TGTTATATAACACATATTAGATCCTTGTCTGTTTAGTTTATAAACTAGTGCACACGTTAAATGCGTTAACTAGGGCGGGCGAGGTTTACATCAAACGTAAATTTTAGGGTTGTCAACTATGATATTTAATTATTGATTAAAAGTATATGCTTTGAAACTATTTCTATTAAAGCTAAATTTTTTATCTTATATATTATATTTAAATCAGACGATAATTGTAGTAGAATTTTGACGCATTTAAATTATTACTATATTTGCGTTAATCAGATACTAGTTCAATTTGAGGATAGTAATGTGCTAATTTAAAAATTGTCTATGCTCAGCGGTGACTGAGTTTTAGCCCTTACTCTATTGAATAGATCGTTCGAAAACTGTGCACCAATGGAACTTTCTAGTTTAAAGTCAAAATCGTCGACGGCACTGACCCTATTTGACCTTTATCGAAAAATGTGCAATAAATTACAAAAATCTAAGACCAAGAGCAAGGGTTGCAATGCCACTGTTAGTTTATATAATTGAATGGCTAATTTTAGCACTTATAAAACCTTCAATGCAATTTTTTTTCTAATTAAATGGCAACCCTAACTTCAAACAGTAGCCAACCACAGATGTGATGATTACCACTCGTCCGAGTAAACACTAAACAGTCCCAGTTGATTTTATAACCCGATATAATGGGTGCATTGTTTTAGTTCGCGATGATAAACCTTAAAATACTAAGGATTATTTTCAATATTTTTAAAGCTCTACGGAAGAGAAATTGGCTCGGATTATTATTTAAAGGGATCTGTTTAAAAACTTCCTCATTGAGTTATTAATAATATAAATATTATCAAAATAACTTAACGAGTTATAATAATCAAGTGGCGCTACAGCTCTATACAGGGTCTTGGCCTCAGATTGCATCCGATAATTTTTATTTCATAGACAAGTAGGAGATCAGCCTTTTGTCTGACATATGTCATCGATTTTTGAATGTGAGACATGTCGGTTTTCTCACTATGTTTTCCGTACGAGCGCACACAGACAGAAATTCCATTGGTGCACAGACGGAGCTGAAACTACGACTTCCGATGAGACTTACACATTCAAGCCATTAGGCTAACACTGGGCCACATTAAACGGTAACAGTGGATGTAAACGAATGTAGGGTTATTTTTAGAATTGGAATTCTAAAAGAATATTTAATAAAAAAATGTACTACGAACATATTAAAACAACAATGCGTTCCACGTTCTCTGTTACTATTGGAAATTTACAAATAGATCTTTTTAGTTCACATCAGTCATAGTTCGTGACAAACTAAATGTTAGACTTACGTGACTCGAACTGAACCCTACAAGGGAAAATTGTTTCACATTTAAAATGGACAATTATTATGGAATTGCTTGTACTGTACCTTTAAACGTGACAATGTTAAACCTATTTTCATATCAATATTATAGAACAACAGTGTCAACAGATTTATGTGGCTAGCATTTACTAACATGGTCTTAGCTTAGTGGACTAGAGCGTGCGATTTTATAGGGTGGACTTGCGGCTATAGCAATTAATTAAAACCTAAACATTACTTGAAAACATTGTGTTTACTTGTATATGAGAAAAATATATTACGTAATGACACCGCACATCAAAAGTAAAAAGAACATAATACAAATTCAAATGCAGTGCATCATAGACAAGTATACGTGGACAACATCACAACCTTCCAACACGATTGTCAAGGATGACACTTTAGGTCTTAGGTTCGAATCCCGGCTTTGCAATAATGGACTTTTCTGTCTATATGCCCATTAACAAGCTCATACGTTGAAGGAAATCATCTTTCTTGCGATGATTTGTCGCTGATAGCGGCATGCCTTAAGTTGACAGCATGGGTCGGGCACAGGCTGTTCTACTTGCCTATAAGAAAAGGCAACTGATCACGAAACAGATACATCAATCTGAGGGTTGTAGCTTCACTGGTTTTTTTAATTAACTAACTTTATATAAGATGGCTACAGAAAATGTTCTTATACTAGAGATAGAATATATCTCAATGGTATTTCTTATTTTATGCCTTTTTGAATGGTGGCGTTTATTGCTATTGAATATATTGCGTACCAAATTGAAAATCTATAAACTATCGAATAAATATCAATAAGTCTGGTATGATTTGTTATGGTATCTCATTCTTCAATATTATATTTGCTAAGGCAAGTAAGCTAGGAAAATCTTTTCGACTTTTATTCAATTTTAGCCTAGTAACTCGTCACCACACCCGTCGTTGTATCTTACACATAAGCTGTTGTCTTCACCATACCTTAGCGAATCTGATCACGCCAAACAGGCTTTTTGAAATCTTAAGCTTATCTGCGATGTTATTTATTCTAAATATGTAGCTGGTATTTCGTCTAAGACCCCGTTTTGCGACATGATTTACGAGAATATGCTGACATGTCAACAAAGCGATAAATTTTAATATCACTTCCATAAATTATTGTTAACAGCTCTCGAAATGGTTGGAATTAACTTTATATTCCACCAAACGTGAACAAACTGAAATCTTAAATCACTCTACTGCGTTTCGGCACTTTAGTATTATGTTTGTCATAATTTTATTTCTGTCTAGAAATTAAAACTATTGAAATAAATCAGAATGACATTACTGTAGTATTATAAAAAAACAAATCTGGTTAACAACTGGCTTTAATTGTTTAAAACATGAGCTTATAACTAAGATAGCATTAGCGGTAGTTGCGACGCTGGATTATCAAAAAAATTACTTGACTTATTGAAGAGTTCGTAAATCTAAGTGACATGTTATTGGACATTATCGGAAACGAGAATGTTAAATTACAATTCATAAGTGTGGTAAAATCTAAAGGGATAATATTGGCTCCAAGTGTGCAATGATTGTTTTCGCTTCTAATTAATTAATTACTAAAATATATAACCTAACATTAGTTATGTTACACATAACTCCAGTGATTTTATAAATAAATGTTTTAACAATCCCAATTTCAAAGCTCATCGCGGTCCTTGGTAAAATTTACCGGGAAAGATTTTTCATATAACAATAAGTTTCTGGTTGTTTCCGTAATATTTTATTCATTCACAAATACGCACAACAATTCCATAAACAATAATATCTAACATCTTAATTCACAAATGATGTTCACAGAACATGATATCTGTTCCGGGATCCAGGTCAGGCGTCCGTCCGTCTGTCACAACGGTTAATTATATTACAAGTCACGCGTCTGACGTATATTATGATCATATGATGGATAGTACTGATTAGATGTAGAAACCCTTGCTAATTTTAAAAATGCCAATATTTAATATTTATATATATAAATATATTATTATTTATATGTATATATAAATATTATATATTATTTTGCAATTTAGTGGATATATATATATATATAATATAGCTAGGATCTTGGTTGAAACCTTTTAGGTTATCAAAGTGCTATAAAAACATAGGTTCTAGAATAAACCCACTAAATTGCAAAGTAAAGTTTTTCCTTGATTTATACACAATACACTTATTATATTTTAAATTTGTACCTTGTATATCTGCTAGAAGTGCTTACAACCTTGAAGATCGGTAAGTTAGTGAGTGACAAAATTAGGAAACTTGACACTTTCTTAAACTATTGCTTCAAATTGAACGAAAATTGAAATATACCGTGTTTATATTAGTACTAGCTGGCCCGGCAAACGTTTTTTTGCCATGTATATTATTTCTAGGAAACATTTTTTTAATTCAATAAAAATAACTATCAACTATAATAAAATAGGGGTTGAATGTAGAGAGTAAAAAAATTAAAACAAAAATTTCGTCCAAAAAATTAAAATAAAATGTTAGGGGTGGACAACTCTTATCACTTAGGGGTATGAAAAATAGATAGTAGCCGATTCTTAGACTTACTGAATATGCATATAAAATTTGATAAAAATCGGTCAAGCCGTTTCGGAGGAGTGTGGTAACTAACATTGTGACACGAGAATTTTATATATAAGATTTGCCTGCTTGGTAAATTCAGGCTTATAATTTTATCCGTAAAGAAGTTATAGGGGGCCGAAAATGGCCTGAAATGCTATTACCTAGATAGTATACACCAACGTACTCCTTTCTACAGTGTTCTTAAAAACCCTGGAGGAACTTAAAAGTTCAAACATTTAAAGTTGTGTTCAAAAGCTTTACCTATAAGGAAAATACTTCCCAGTCACTGACCTGTGTTCTATCGCCCAAACAATGTTAAAATAATCAATACACCAAGCAAATACAGTTTCTCAAGTCCTTCGGAATGCTGAATTTAATTAAGTATATCAGCAATGACGGTTACAAGCGGCGTACAAGCTTTTATCTAAACGTTTAGGGTTAATTCGCGCTTATCGACTCGGTGAGGTCTGATGTTGGCGATTTCATTGAAATAGGCTTTTAGACTGAAAATGTAATCTTAATGCTATGCTGTTTGAATGATAGAAGATAAGGTTTATGTTATACAAGATCTACTTTGATTCGTCTAGTCGTTACTAAGTTACCTAATGTGTAAGGCAACTTATGTATAAATAGGTCTAGAAAATAACAGAAGCATAGAGCAACATTGTATTTGTAAAAAAATTAATCCAAAACTCGGCCGTTCGTAGTCTGGGTGTAAACACCGTAATCGTGTAAGATCCAAAAATCAGTCAGACATCACGCAACTAGTACATGAATATAATACTGCATAGTATACATTAATCTTAAACAATTGTTTTAAGTAATTCAGTTTAAATTCTAGGAGCATATTCTGTGCCAGAATTGTAATAATGTGTGTGTGAGACTTGTTGACTTTTAAACGATACATTTTGGTCTTAATGAATGGACTGTGAAGAGCCCTTATAACCGTTATTAATTTTTATAAAGAAATTGGCATAACTCCATGACTATTGAATGCTATATTAGTCAGATTTGTTATAACCAACAACAATGGGTTTGCTTACAAAACAATGGGCACTAAGGGCATATGTGCAGGTGCTCACTTACCGTTTCAGGTTACACGATATTTTATAGCGAATTGTAATATGTGTTTTTAATACATGATCCTGTGTTCTATAGAAATGTATAATAGGCAAAAAACAGTAAAAACCGTGTCTTGGAAATGAAATCTTCCAAGGATATATTTTTTTAAGTTAGTAGCTTCTTTAAATTTAAAATGGAACTATACTTACGATGTTACCAATCAGACTTTAAAATACCAATCAAATGTTTTGAAATTTTTAATAGAAATAAAGCTATTATGTATTAGGTACATTTATCATATTGCCGGCATGTCGCCGGGGACACTTAAATTGTATAAATATTTCAAAATTGTAAAAATTACTTACTAAGGTATACTTAGAGAGAGCCTGGCTGTTCCACTTTATAATTCCAGTAATTTTCTTTTTAGGGTGCAACTGTTCGAGAGCGGGATCAGAGAGCAACGTTTGTGATATACGAACGGGACAATGTCGTTGCAAGCCGCACGTCACCGGCAGAGCCTGCGACACTTGTGCGGTGAGCTTTTTGGTATATCTTTATAGTATATCAACCAGATCTTGTAAATGTTTTTAATATCGACATCATTAAATTCTATCCCATTTCTTCATAATAAATCAGCTTAAACTTCAAATCATTTTATGTATATCATTGTCTCTTTCATGATATATAAATCTGCTTTCTATAAAATACCAGGAAGCTACTACTACTTCTACAGTAAACTACTTGAGGACATATCATTTATGTACGTAACTGAAACTGCAGTGTTCATCACTTTGTGGCACATTGTTTTTATGAACAGACATAGATGAATATTTTCGTCATTTATTTTTTTATAGAGCTGGGGGTACAATTTTAATTATATAAAGGGGTATAATAGCAAATGATTAGAATGTTATTTTCATAAATATTCATGGTTATTCTAAAAGGACAATCACACTGCGTAGTTCACGTAGACATGCCTATTAGATAGGCATTGCACAGATACCTACAAAATGTTATATTACATTTTTACTCTACCTCATCCTTAAGCAGATTTATTTATTTTACGAAAACAAAGCTTTTGATTAGTAAGATAAATGTAAGCATGAATACTAAGACGTTACCAGATTTTGCGTAGTGGCCTACTTAATAAGTCATAATTTACAGATTTATTAAATTTCCGTAAATACAAGTTGGATTAGCACCGGTTTAACACCAAATTTATGTGCAATTTGCATTTTCACTTAAGCTCTGACTTGTGACACAAAAGTACCTATCAATTTCAATACTAACCTTAACTATTTCGAACTGGGTTTCTTAATAAAATTATCAGGTAACCAACATCATAAATAAATCTCCGAATTATCCTATATACATTATTCTTTGAGTATTTAGTGAGAAGTGTGATAGTTTTTGTTAGTAAATGAGATTTACAAAACGTATATTTGGAGTTGGTAAAAGTTAGTACCTAAATTTTTAAGTAATTATCAAAACAATAAATATAGTCCTACATACTTCATACATTTGACCCGAATATTCTAGTTTAATTTCCGGCGCAATAATAATTGTTTGTAGTTGAAAGACAGAAGGATGATGCAATAAAAAATATAAGTGAAACAGATTCGGACTGGATGAACTAAACGGACTAGCCATCGCGGGTTACGGACAACATAAAAGTTTCTTGTCTATCACAAGTAAAATTTATAGATAGACCATAACATTATTGACAGCTCATATAATTTATACCATCGACAACTCGGGTAATTGCTACTTATTCTGTAAAAGGAAATTCTGTACTTAACCCGTATTCTAAATCATAAATGTTATTATTTTAACTATATTAACAAGATTGCCATGAATAATAAACTGATAAAGTAATTACAAGTGTTTACTTATTCACATAGTCATGAGAGGCATACTCTGACTTATTTTGGAATAAAATCGGTAATAATATGTGTATGTATCTGCTACCTAACACGCAATCAAAACATTAAAATAATTTATATTATTATCTTTTAGTATATTTGACAATGTTTAAGATATTAAGACCTTTCAACATGTCACCGTTAAAGTCAAAAGCTTGTTTCATATAAATACCAAGGGGGCATTTGCAAGCCAAGTGTCGACATTGCTTTATTATGAAATTGACTTTTCGTAATTCATGTTTGACTTAGTCAGTAAAAAGAGACCGAACGTTCCGTATCCAATTTTAGTTCTAAACATCGCTGTACATTCGAGAGCCTATTAATGTCAAGTGCAGTGAGAGAGGTTTATGGTTTCATGAGCGCAACTTGATCTTAACAAGCTTTTATCATAAAAGATACAACTGCTTATTATTGTTTCCATTATCTATACCGAAATAGCAAAAACGCAGAAAGGGCGTTGGTTCATTTAAATAATGCTATATAGCAGTTTATAGGCCGATGACTCCTACAAACTGCTATTACACATTATCTACTGCTACACACTATTCACTTATTAAATTATAATATTTAAATAAATAATAGGAGTGCAATGGGCAGGCGGGCGCCCTTGTCGCTTTCCAGCGGCAGGAAAATTTAATTTTTAAACATAGAGATGTTTTGACAGGACTTCTATATTTTATATAGTTAAATGGTCAAATACATAACAGTGACCTCTTACAGAACATTAACATCCCTTCGTCGTCCCTTATTCATTCCTAAGGTTCAAAATCTGCAGAAGTTTCCAAATTCCGTCTGCAATATCAGGTATCTCTCCTTCGCGAATATAACAGAATAAACACTACTTATCCAGAGTTTGACATATTCGGTAGTAGGACGATATTTTAAAAAAATCGTTGTTAAGTGCGTTTCTGATACCTAATCCGCGATTAAAAAAAATTGGAAGTGTAATATTTTATTTTCAGTAGTATTTATGTTTACCATAATTATCGTGTATTTTAGAAAAGTTAGCTTGTAACGCATATATAACAGTATATATGACGTGGTGAACTTTAATAAATAAGGTTTTTTTTAAGTAACTAACTTTATCTAGCGAAAGGGTTTTTTTTAAATTTTGTGTATAAAATATCTAAGTAATCAATTGTATTTTATTTATATTTCAGGAAGGGTATTGGGGCCTAGACCGTGGCGAGTGTCGTCGGTGCGAATGCGGCGCGGGTGCATCGGCGTGCGACCCCGTGAGTGGGATGTGTGCTTGCGCAGCTGGAGTTGGTGGCGCACGCTGCGATCGATGCCTAACGGGGTACTACGGGTTTAGTGCAACTGGGTGTCTCCGTAAGTGAATTTATTATACACGACTTAAATACTATCTTATTGCATGATATAAATCAAGAATTTGATAAGTATTCTGCCAGGATCGCCATTCAATTTTACAATATTACAGCGACAAATTACTGTATTTAATATTATTTTCTAAGAATATTTATGGACTATCAAATGGACAAAATATACATTATTTTTTTTAGTAATTATCCTATTTTACATTTTAGTATGCCCGCATTGCTCGGATGGAAAAGTGTGTTCGCCAGTGACTGGCAGATGCGTGTGTCCCGGACGTAGTCGCGGGCCAAGTTGTTCTCAATGCGCCAAGGGGTATTGGGGTCGAGAACTGGGATGCAAATCCTGCGCTTGTGGCCCTGGCGCTGTGTCAGGTGAGAAACCTTAAGAAAAATGACAAATATCAAGCGGAGTAGCTGGCTAACTTGTACATTTTCATATTTGAATTAACTAAGGGTTTGCATAATTCTTAAACCAAGGCATAAATTAAATACAATGTACTGGTATTGTACTGGTTTGGCGATGTTGTACCCAATATACATAGATATTAAGAACACGCAAGGTTCAATATACAAATTTTAGTTTCCAACAGGTGGCGCTGATTCCTATTTGAGATTTTCTCACTGCATTTTCATAATAACTTGTTACGAGAACGGAAAACCATAAATCGACTGCATGTGTCAGGCTTATTACATACTTGCCTATTAGGAAAAAAAATAAGAATATTAATTATTGTGAGCATTGTAGTATATAGTGTTTATACATACACCAAAATGTTCACAATAATAAATTACTCCCGTATCGCTATTCTAATAACATCTCTGTTCCAGACACATGCGACATGGTCTCGGGGTCTTGTGAATGTCGTGTGGGATGGACGGGCCGTGCTTGCGACCGTTGTGAGAGAGGTTTCTTTGGCCCGCGATGTCGGCCTTGCAGATGCTCCACAGCTGGCACGAGGTGCTCAGATGTCTGTGAATGTGATGAGAATGGACGGTGTCCTTGTAAGGTATAGATTTTGATGATGTATATTTTTTATAAAGCAGTGTTGGCCGTAGGTTCGATCCCCGGTTGTGCACCAATAGACTTTCTGTCTATGTGTGCATTTAACATTCGCACAAACGGTGAAGGAAAACATCGTGAGGAAACCGGCTTGCCAAAAGGTCGACGGCGTGTGTCAGGCTCAGGAGGCTGATCACTTACTTGCCTATTAGATTGAAAAATGATCATGAAACAGATTCTGAAGTCTGAGGCCCAGACCCAAAGAGGTTGTAGCGCCACTGATTTTTTTTTATTTTTTTTTATTAACGCTTTTAAGTCGTTTTACAAATAATAGAATTCTATTCATATTGAATTTTATCAAACATGTTGTACGTTATAACATTGCATTCATATATTTTTTTTAAGCGGGCAATTTTTACTCTTCATAAACATTTTTCTAATTCCAGGGAAGAGCGGTTCATATGTGTAATACATAAAAATTTAATTTTTCAGGAGAATGTTGTAGGCGATAAATGCGATAGATGTCTAGAAGGCACATTTGGTTTGTCGGAGACAAATCCAGTGGGCTGCACTGCGTGCTTTTGCTTCGGCCGAGCTGCAAAATGTACGCAGGCTGATGTCGTGAGAGCCGCTTTACACGCGGCTGCGCCTTTGCATCTTACGCTACTCAGGGGAGATATTACTAATGTATGTACTGTAAATATACTAAAAAGAGAATAATAGTTTTGATATTAGCTTAAATAGGCTTACAATAGAATTTGAATGAAATACATATATATAATGTCTGTATAAAATTTATTTGTTTTGAGAGTACCTTTAAAGGCGCTAAAAACATTAAAAAAATTTAAAGAAAGATTTTATTCCTATAGTATAAGATCCCGATATACAACGACCTTCACCGAGATGATTATTTAATGAAACGTATTTTATATTTAATTTAATATGTCAATAAATATAATCCATATGGGTTGCCTAGCAAATTTCAGTCCAGAGTATGTTTAATTAATATTTTTAAAATTTTTTTTTATAATTTGCATGTAGTAAATTTTTTTAATTTTTTTCAATCAATATTTTTAATCAGGGTAGTATTATATATGTATTACTATAACTTTCATTTTTACTAAAGATGTATATATACTTTAGTGTCACATAATAAATATACACATAAATAATTAATTGATTAAAAACAATCTAACGTTTGCATATTCTATGGGCTTCATACTTTCGATTGGTATAGAGTTTATCTTATAATCATACCGGTGAAATGTTTAAAAAAATTTTTTTTTTTTATATTAATTAAAATACTCTGGACTGAAATTTGCTAGGCAACCCATATGGATTATATTTATTGACATATTAAATTAAATATAAAATACGTTTCATTAAATAAGCATCTCGGTGAAGGTCGTTGTATATCGGGATCTTAGACCACTAGAAAATCTCGTATAACATTAAACAAGCATCATTATTACAGATTAGGAAGATGTTAATTTGGAATTATACATGTTTTTATATAACCAAATACATTTCATGAGTATTAGTTTTAATAACTACTCTTAGTTGCTTTTGTTGTTTAATCTCACTCTTACAATATTTTGGAGGATAATGGGAACATCAATCAAAATTTTCAGTGATATAAGATCAACCATATTTAAACAACACATAAAATAAAGCTCACTTACACTTCTCAACCTTCTATTAGATGGAGCAAGAATCTCTTCTAGCAGTGCACACCAGAAACCTCGAAGTGACCATATCAGTACCCCAGCCCCCGGTACCTGTATACGCAGAACTAGGGGAAGTGTTCCTTGGTGACAGAGTCATGTCGTATGGCGGAGCTCTTAGGTTTCGAGTTGAAGAAGAAGGGGGAGAACCTTTGCCGCAGCCCACGTTGTCCAAATTTCCTCTAGTCAGCTTACATGGAGGGTCCTTGGTGTTGGACCATTATGAGGTATTAAATGTTATAAAGTTGATTCCGCTCTATAAAGTATAATATTGTCTTTGGTTTACGCGTTCTACGTATAAAAAAAAATTAATACAGACGTGACAATATTACTACGTAGTTTTAGTTAAATATACTAGTTCTCTGATTAGATTTCTGTAATATATTAAAAAACATATAAATAGATGCGCTTACGATTTCACTAATATTTGATTTATTTTTAATTATACAGCACATAATTGTCCAAATATTCTCGCGCTTAAAAGCAAGCTTGCTCAAACGTCATAACCCTAATCACTTAAATAAAAATTACTATAATTATATGAACTAAGACTTTTATTATATAGATACGTCTGACGAAAATAATAATTTATAACCATTACTCATAAGTTATATTAAAATATTAGATGTATTGCAATATAATATGTAATGCGAAAGTATTATTGCTTTTTTGAATCACAGGAACTATAATTAATCCTAGAAAATATAAAAGAACTTGAAAGACGAATTGTTTACCGGTCATTCAGGTTATAAAAAAATATGAAATTTATTTAAGATTATTTTCAGCGTCTACCAGCAATAAATGGTTCGTATGCGGTATATTTACACGAATCCCTGTGGGAGGTGCGCGGGCGCAACGCAGTTGCATCGCGAGGCGCCCTCATGTTGGTGCTGCAAGACTTGCAACACGTCTTCATACGAGTCTCTACTAGAATGCCTAACTATCGGGAGCCTCTACATATATTGTAAGTTATATGTTACGAATATTTTAATAGAAATATTAAAAAAATTCTTTTATTAATTCATTTGTTATTTTTAAATAAAATAAGTGAAATAATGTAATTCTGACAGAATAAATGTTTTTTTTTATATCTGTAACCTGCTCCTTGTGCCATTACTCATTAAATCATGTCATCAATTTTACGTAACCCAAAACATAATTTTTTTTCAGAAATCGAATCTATAGGTAAACTATATTATATCCATTAAAATTTTTGTTACGAAGACGATATAATAAGAAAACTATACCTTCCAGGTTACTGAATGTTTCCCTGGAAACAGCAGTAGCTGGCTTATCTCGAGGTGCTCCAGCTCCTGGGGTGGAAATGTGTGAGTGCGGTACGGGATTCAGTTCTGGATCGTGTCATAAACCCGCTGCTGGCTTTTGGTTACCACCCACCCCTCCCCGGCTGAGACAGACTGCAGGAACGATATTAATACATTTGGAAAACACTCCAAAACCCTGTGACTGTAATCATCGAGCGAAATTATGTCATCCTACCACAGGGGACTGTATGGTAAGACTTAATCTACAAGAATATTAAAAAAAACAAGATATTACATTTTCGGCCTTAGCTAGTAGACACTTTTTTTGATTAAATTTGATTAGTTCATAAATCAGGCAATTTATTTATTGCACATAATACATAACAAGAAATAAGAAAACAAAAATTATGTTGCACGGTCATCTTCACGGCTACTGATCAAATCTTTTTTACCCGAATTGTGAATAATGATAAAGGCAAGTACTAATCTATTATTATTAATTAAAAAGATATAACATAATTCTTGTAAAGTTTGGTGTTTGTGTATTAATGAAAAAAAAATACTTTGCTAATACTTAATTAAAGTTCAGACAAACTTATATTTCGATTGTACCGCCATCATTTTCCAAATATTTATTCAGGACGACACAAAAACAATAACAACTTACAACATTACACAAGCTATAACTTTGAACTTAAATAAAATCTTAAAGAGTTAAAATTTATTAAACCTTGTTATAATTAAACTCGATTTATTTATAAAAACATACTTATAAATTATATCTTTTAGAATTGTACGGACAACACATCCGGAAGACATTGTGAGAATTGTGCCGATGGGTACTTTGGTATTCCTGATGGACCTGGCGGATGTCAACCATGCCCCTGCCCAGCGCCTAATAGGAATAGAGCGATATCTTGTTCCCCGGGGCATAACAGACTGCATTGCTATTGTAGGCCAGGTATAACTTAAAAATGTATTTTAATAATTATATTATTATTCTTTATTTTTTATGTTTAAATTATATAAAAATAATGTTAATTTAAAGAAAAAACTTTTTAACCGGATTATAGTTATGTATTATTATAAATTTACAATTATTTAACATAATTTTAAATTTATCCGACGTTTCGCGTGCTTTACAGCGTGCGTGGTCACGGTGACTGATGACAAAAGGTGTTGAATGTCAAAAAGTATCACAGCTGTAGAGAAAGTTGCATTATCTGTATTTATTTCCCCGGAGTTGGTATCGACTAAAAGATGGAGGGTTTTGGCAAAAATGGCTCACGGTGTCCTCTATTTTCGCGGATTGTTTTTCTTTGTAAAAAAAAGCACCTGAACACGTACCTGCACCCGCACCTGCACAAACACGTGCACAATATATCCTGTTTAAATTATTATTCATTAAGTTCTGTTAGAGCATTGGAAGAGGTTTTTACAGCCCGTAGGTAACTTTCAGTGCCTTTCTGTTTTTCCAACAATTGAAGTTATCCATACTAATATTATGGAGCCGAAGGATCTAGTCATACATCAATCGAGACGTAAAACCGTGAAGCACAACTAGTATTCAATAGTGCGACTAAAAATTACAGGCTATACTGGTATCGCATGTGAATCGTGCGCAGCGGGCTGGGTCCGTAACGCACTCGGGGATTGTGAGCCTTGCACTTGTGATACTCGTGGTGCACTCACGCAAACATGCGACGCACACGCTCGCTGTCACTGTCGCACTCATGTTGTGGGAGATAAGTGTGACAGGTGTGACCTGACTCGGCATTATTTGGATGAAGGAGGATGTAGACGTAAGTGATCTCTGACACTTTATAATAAATTAATCAACTTTTTTTAATACACTTATTCAACTATGTTTAGTTAAATCTAATATATAAAATTCTCGAGTCACAATTTTCGTTCCCATACTCCTCCGAAACGGCTCAACCTTATGAAATTTTGTATGCATATTCAGTAAGTATGAGAATCGGCTACTATCTATCTTTCAAACCCCTAAGTGATAATCCACCCCAACATAATTTTTTTATTTTTTAGACAATTTTTTTAATGATACAGCATAGATACAACCCCTAATTTTCACCGTCATCAACCCTTTTTTTTATTAAAGTAGATAATTGATTTTGTTGAACTGAAAAAATGTTTCCTAGAAATAATATACATGGCAAAACAAACGTTTGCCGGGTCAGCTAGTTTTGTTATAAAAGTAACGGTCAGCACGTGGTACATTAAACATTTACCAAATTAATTTCTCCGATTGCAGCGTGCAATAACTGTACACAAACACTCCTTGACACCGTCGAAGCAATGACTGCAGACCTTCACAGACGGGCTGACATAACAGAACTGACTAAAATACCACAACCATTCCCTGCCCTTCGAGAGTTTCAACAGCGTTCATCATATTTACATAATCAACTGCGCCATTTAAAAACTGACATTGAGACATCCCGTATAATATCAAGTACAATGAACGATTTGGAAGAAACGGAGCATAGGCTCTTCACCTCAGCGCATTATTTAAAAACAGAAGCAGCTAGACGAGAAAAAGAAGCTCAATATCTGAGTTTAGAGGGTATGAGTGGTTTGGAAGAGGTATTAAAACAAAGGAGATTGTTGGGGGAAGAAGTCGCAACTTTGGATGATTTTGCTCGTGGAGAGAAACATTTGAGCGCGCATCGAGCTTTGAAGGAAGCGAGGCGGCTTTTGAAGGCTATAAAGGAAATTCAACTGGTGGATCATTTGGCTGGAGCAACCGACGTATCTGATTCTGTAAGTTTAAATAGATATTACTAGAAATGATTAACGGTTCTACTTGATGTTAGAATGAGGTTTTTGATTCAAAAGTCAAAAATCATTTATTCATATAGGTAACACAATGTACACTTATGAACGTAAAAAAGAAATATACATTAAATGCTTCTAATTTTACATTTACTGCCAGTTCTCAAATCAAGGGCGTAGAACGGAAAAGAAGAACTGGCAATAAACTCTCCGCCGCTCTTTTTAATCGCCAAGTTATTTTTTTACACAACGTTTGTAAGGAGCTGCAACCATTACACCGTGTTCCTCATGACATCTTAAGTAATAAATAATAATAAAATAAATTAAAAACAAATATTTGTCCTCTATCACCAGGAGGCATGGTGAAATATGAGCACGCACTTACCTTCTCGTGGGAACAACACGATTACTTGTTTGTTTGATTGTATTGAATAGGCTATAAAATTACAGGACTGATTTGAATCATTATTTCACCATTAGAACCTTCTATGACGTTATCGTACTAACGTAATACACTACGTATACTAACGAAATAGCGTACACTACAAAACCCAAGGTGTGAAAAAAACGAATAAAGATAATTGCGTATTTGCGTACGCTACGGTAACTATTGGCAATAGAGTGATGTATGTGTATTATAGAAATATCAATATTTAAAAGTGTTCCATCCGGATTGTGTCGAATTTGTGCAAGTTTCAGATTGTTCTTTAATTGTTCGTAATATCACAGGCTAATCTGCAGTCAACTTCAGTCCACGAGTACTCCTATAGAATAGAAGACGTATATCGTCGTGTGCACAAAATGCAGGCAGCTCTCGACCAATGGGAAAACAAAATGGATGACATTGTAAAACTATCTCAAGTCGTCTGGAATTCGGGAGATGTGGTTACTGAGCTAAGAAAAAGAGTCGCTCCTAGTCTTGTGAGGTTAAGGAATATGGGTCTGCAGTGTCGAATTATGCTTGAGGTAAATATTTTATATTAATTACATCATTTACATCGTCTAGGGATAACCTATATTACAATAGTTTTAATTGTTAAATAAATAATTTTTGCTAGTAAAACATACCCTTTAAAATTGGTGAGATTGAACGTTGGTGGAAAAACATTGATGATATAAAAGATATGAATATAAAATTATAAAAGCAATAATGCTTGGAGACTAGCATTCTAGCTTTTATTGTAATAATGAATAAACAAATATCCTTGTATTAAAAAATAAAAAATATACACGATCATTTAATCATCCTTCTAATATTGTACGCGAAAGTTTGTAAATATGGATGGATGTTTGTTACTCTTTCACGTAAAAACTACTGAATGGGTTTCAATGAAACTTTACAATAATATAGCTTATACATCAGAAAAACACATAGCCTACAATTTATAAAGATATTGTGTGAATTGTCCAAAATATCAAGTATGTAGGAAAAAAATTACCATCTGCGAGATATTCTTGCGTGCGCTGCCAAAACCGCTAGAGTTACACATATATAGATGTGTCTTTAGTAGTTTTTTTTCTACGCCACGCTAATATAAGCTACTCGAAATAAGTCGTGGCACCAGCTAGTATATTATAAATCTGTTATTCCATAGGAAATCGCAGAACAACCTATGAAAAACCTCACTGAGGAAGCCAAAGTAGCCATTACGCAGAGTAAAAAATATATTAACCGTCTTCCGCAAATGATTGACGAGTTACAAAGTCTAAAATCCGCTGCTGAAGAAAAAGAGGGCATTTTGTATAACCTCACTCCGGTGTATAAAAAAAAATATCTAGATGAAGTAGTAATACATGCCGCGAAGCTGAATGAAAAAGCGGAGGAGTATAAAAAGTAAGTATTACAAAGAACCCACGTTTTTTATAGAACAGGGGGAAACGGGCGGGAGGCTCGCCTGATGTTGAGTGATACTGCCACCCATGAACACTCATTACCTGCACTCGCGAGTGTGTTGCCGGCCTTTAAAACGTACGAGTACGTACTAAATTAAACAATGACACGTTTTACAGTAGCAATAAGTACTACTCTTTGTCTTGAATTGTATTAACATATTTTTTCAGTTATACCTACTATCTGTGTTTTTCTTTAATTTTAAAAGAAAGACACTCTCACTATTTACGATTATGGATAAGACATAAAGTTCATGTCTTGGTGGTAGCAGTACCAACAAATTAAAATATATCCCAATTCAGTTTGTTTGCTGGGACCCGCGCAGCCGCGTCGTTAGGCGTACAAGCCGCAGGTGCCTGGTCAGCAGTGAGCAGTGCAGTCAAAGACGCCGGTGCTGCTGCTGATAACGCCACCGCTGCTACGGCAGAAGCGATTCACCTTGCCAGAGGACAAGAGCCCTTAATCAAGACCGCTAACGGGCATTGGACGGCTTCAGAGGAACTTAAGAAACGTGGAACAGCTATTTTAGCCAGAGCCTACGGTACATTTGGATTTTTTAAATTGCACTAAATTTTTACATTGATTTCATACTTTGCAAGTTTGTTTAAATTTTAACGTCTATATCGACGGCAGTTTTCAAATAGAGCTAACAATTGTGCAGAACTCGGCCATGGCGTGGAAAGTGCAGCCCGCAGTATAGACTCCATCAGTGTGGGATTGCGTGCGTTAGGCTGGAGGGAACGGTCCTTGGCTGCTGGGGCTTCTACGGCTTCTTCAGGACTTGGTACGTTGTTTTGGTCGAACTTTTCATTGCAATCAACAAACAAGAGTCACTTTAGTCCTTGACACATATCAACTTCAACATTTTACGACGTCATACAGGCGGCACTGACAATGGCGCACTGGTCTCGCTTAAAAGCGCTGGAGAACAAGCTGAACGAGTGTTCGCTGTCTCCAGGGCCCTGTACGACGAAGCAGCTGAGCTTAGACGACGTGTGAGATACAACCTGCGCAGAAAACTTGCAGCGCTGCAGCGGCTGGGAGATACAGCGCTTGGTGCGGCAGAGGAACATGGTAAATAAAACTTGAATAATGTAGGAATTTTTGAAGTGAAACTTCTTTAGGTGCATGAGGGTAAATTTTTACGGAATCGTCATGAAGATGTGCAGCGTTTTTGTCGAAGAAAAGGGAGGGAACAATTGAGACCCATTGAAAGAGAGTGAGAAGGGCGAATTACCTTATAGAAATTTCGTAAAGAGAATTTATGAAATATTAGTATTTTATACAAAAAAAAATTGTGAAATCTCAAATTGTAAATTAAAATTCCACGTGTTTTTATTTTCATCGTAGAAATAAATTAAAAAATGTTTTTTATTAATTTTCGGCACTTTTAATATTTTAATGACAATTAAATTCATTAAGTTCCTTACATCTAAGTCTCGGAAATCTAAAGTTTTAGATTTGTATAAATATGAACAAGACTTAAAAATTAGTTTCACTTCCAACATGAGTACTTTGTACGCACGCACTTTTTTTATCCCCAATGTATACTCAATACTAATTATATATAAACGTTTTGCGTTATATATGCGGGTAATTTTTGGTACATCGTAGCCCTAAACTAATCGAAGTAATACTACTAATTGCTTCCTCTTTCATTCAAATAACTTAATATTCTTCAACAGTATCTCAAATCCGGGGAAATACGCTCCGAGGTGCGGAAGTATCTGAAGCGTTAGCAGCGGCGGCAGCAGCTCGCGCTCGAGAGCACTCCGCAGCGTCCGCTTCTCTTGAACCAGCGCTACGTTCGCTTCGGGAACGCGTCGAGCGGGCCAGACACGCTGCAGGCACGGTAAGTACCTTTAATTTATATGTAAAGGAATATTACAATAAAATAAGACCCGCAAATATATGTATATTGTAATTTAATTTTTTTAAACTTGACAGATCACTGTGTCAGTTCGTTCACCTCTTTCGGGCGTGGGTTGCGCTCGCGCATACAGTATGTGGAATGCACCCAGTGTCACCAGACTTTCTCTCGCGGTTAGCTTCGACGGCGAGGTTAAGGACGGGACTTTGATTTTCTTAAAGGACCAGGTAAGGGCTACAGATAAAAACAATAAGTTCTGGTATTTTATTGCTAACTATATAAATTGTATTGGTTACATCCATTGTTGCTGGCATATATATGTTTTTGTCTGAGCGATTTTTTTTAAAGAAACCTTGTCAATGTCAACATGTATATTTCCAGGAAGCCCTGGAGCGTTATATGCGTCTATCTGTGGTAAACAAAGGATTGCGTCTGAGTTGGAATGTGGGTGGGGACGAAGGTCTCATCGTACACCCAGAGCCATTGCAGTCCACCGTCGACGATGCTGATCACACGGCGTATAATATTGATATTGAAAGGTGAATATCTTATTATTGATATCATGTTTCTCTTAGCTAAGAAATAACACAAATTTTCTAACGTTTTACCAAAATTTAATTATATAATTGAGTAAAAATAAACGGATAATGTTTCTTATTGGACATCTTATCGGGCAGTTCAAACCTAAAGAACTGAATATGTATATGTCGCAGGCAAAGAGGCAAATGACTTGGATCTTGACGTTTCATTACTTGCCTAGCCTGTTGAATGTTAATTTAAATTTAATTCCACTTTTTGCCACAATTAAACTCGAAACTCTTCAAACTGTCAATATGGCGTCAGCAAACCACAACTTTGATGGTGTTTTCAAAAGTTTCATGAAAAACAACAAGTACAATGGAAGAGTGTAGTGACACTAATAATGTGAATTTGACTCAAGCAATTTTATTTTAAAAGAAATATTTTTTCATATATCATATGTTTCATATGGAATGGCCTAAGCTTTAGCCAGCCAGTTTATTAAATGTTGTAACAAACGCTACGGATGAATATCTTTCAGGCCGCTAGTTAAACTGCGCCGTTTAGTTAAAAGGCTAGGCTGTTAATTGAACGGCTAATTAAGCTAGTTGATTGCGACTATATTTATTATGATGAGAAAATATTCTTCGATAATAAGGGAACGTACTTATCGATCATTGTAAGCATTAAGTTAACCTCCAGGGTATGGAGTACGGTTCGTCTACGCGTCGAACGATCAGGCAGCCCCGCCGTCACATCCAGTAACAGTACATCCAGTGTTGCAAGTTCAGGGCTTCTGCGGACTTCTCTAGTGTGGCTCGGAGAGACAGTGGCACCTTTGCCGGGATGTGTGCACACCCTGAAGGATGATAGTGGAGCGATAGGACTGTGGGCGTTTAATAAACAACCCCCAAATGCTAACTGTATTGGCTGTACACATAGGTAAGTCAGCTGTTTCTGTAATTTGGGAATTTGTGTCATTTATTCTCAACTAATGAACTTATTTTTATATAAAATTCTCGTGTCACAATGTTCGTTCCCATACTCCTCTAATTTTTTTATGCGTATTCAGTAAGTCTGAGAATCGGACAACATCTATTTTTCATCCCCCTAAATGTTAAGGGTGGTCCCAACCTTAAATTTTTATTTTTTAGACAAAACTTTTTGTTTTTATTTTTTTACGATACAGCATTATACAATACATACATACATACCTACAAAAATACATACCCTTATTTTTATTTGTTAATTAAAATCTTATGACTTGAACTCTGAGAAAAATTCACAGAAAATCCTAAAAAGTTTTCATTACGGAAAACCGAACAGTTTTGGGGTAGCATAGCAAAATGTTCCATGTTGGTATGTACTAAAAAGGTAAGCTAAGTAACATCACATTAAGGAGAAACAAAGTTCGCGGATGAAAATAATTTAAAAAAATTTTTTTTTAATAAGTCGCAGTTGGTCCTTCCAAGTTTACTATTATAGTTGAAAACGGACATAAGCTATTTCTATTTTGATTTTCAGACGTATAAGCCAATCTCGCGGCTCAAGCGGTTGGGTCCAGTTCAGTGGATCGGGATATGCAGAAGTACGGAGGTCCGGACTTCGACCTGCCGATCGTCGACGTTTCACCATCGCCTTCACTTTTCGCACTAAGGACCATAACGCTCTCCTATTTTTGGCGCTCGATACTGTTAATGTTAGTATTTTTTCCGTCTGTTTTATACTTGTGAATAATTTATACTAAAAAAAGAAATGTAAATCGGAAAATAGAATGTGGGTAGGAGTGTCTCCTGCAAAAATGTCACAGATATTTTAGCCATAAGTTAACTCTAGTTAAAGATTAGTGGGTTGACATACTACTAGTTAGGATTGCAAGTGAAATCCTATTACTGTTATCCATGGGCAGCCTGCTCCTTTGCCCCCTATATTATAAAGAAACTCGACGTTATGAGTGCCTTCCTGGTCTTAATGAAAAAGATTACTGAAATTGCCTTTATTCAAAATAGTCAATAAAGTCTTATTTAATTTGTAGTATTTGAATAAACCAAAGTAAGTTTGTTGATTCAAAATTATATATTTCAGAATCGGTCAGTGAGCGTGTGGCTGCGGTCATGTCGCGTTGTGTTCGCAGTTCAGTACGAAGGGTCGCTGCTGGAGATATCTTCCAGCACTTCCCACTGCGATGGCTCTGGCGCTCACGTGCAAGCCACGAGGGTCTTCAATGGTCTGGAAAGAGGTACTGTGTTACGCCTCGTTGGCATCTGTTTTTTTCCCTTTGCCCTATGGAAGAGATAAATCCCTTGACACTTGACAATAAAAGATAACATTTTAGAATTTCTTCAAATACCCATATTGAAGTTTCTTCTTGGTACCTTAGTATAGAAATTTTTAAATTTGGTCGTCAATGAAATTAAATGTTTATTAAAAATTATATTATTGTATGTAAATCCTATGAAGAATGTGTATGTAAGCGCGTTGCTCCCCAGGCAGCCTGCGCGTAAACGGCGAAGAGACTTTGGGCTCGCCTTCCCCCCCTGTACAAAGTGCTGCTCTTCTGCCTGATCTGCAGCAGGCCGTTTACTGGCTCGGGGGAACGCCCCCTGGTGACCATCCAGGGGAGAGACCACCACCCCTGATGGGCTGCATTGGAGCGTTGACAGTCGACAGAGAAGGTTACGACTTGTTGGACACGCCTACAAGACACGGAGTGGAACCTGGATGTTCTGCTAAGGTATGCAAGGATTTTTCTTTGCATAAAATATTTATTTTTATAAAAATTAATCTCGAACCGGGCTTAGGCAACTTAATAATTTATTTATCCACTGGCTCGGAAAAAAAATCTTACCCAAGCACTACTAAAAGTACTTTTAACATCTAATTAATAATAATAAAACGTTTTTTAATGACACCCTATTCTATCGTTGCCATATTTTACAGTGGCTGGTCCTTTTATTAATTAAACTTTAACAAGAACAAAAATTTAGTGCCTTAAAATATGCAGAAAAAGAAAACCAAATATACCATTTGAGTGCGTTTGTTTTGCACGTGTGTGCGTGAAAGATCATATGAAAATAGTCCCTCTCACTTCTTTTGGAGCTCCTTAATCGAATTTTGTCATTTCTTATTCTTTTAATTAGAGCCATCGATCAGCCATCTTCGAAGGTGAAGGTTACATAGAAATGCCGTCGCCGGCTGTCAGAAGGAAGTCCTCCCTTGGAGTATCTTTCAGAAGCCGCTCACCGTCAGGTCTCCTGGTGTACCGTGCACCTGCTGCTGGTTCTAACGAAGTTGACGATGAAGACGATGGTGACGATGGACACTATCTGGTGATGGCTATTGTTAAAGGTAATTTCGATTTAATTCACATTTTAGAAACTAATTGAATTTTGACAAATTCTATAATAGCCATATATTTTTTTGTGTAAGTTTTAATATTTTTTATAAAATCTCTAAAATACTTTAGAGATCTGTGCCAGAGTTCGAAACGGGATGACTAAACCTTCATTATAATATACAAAAAATCCTTTAAAAAAAGCTTTATTTTAAGAAGATTAAGTCAGTAAAAATATTTTTATAAACAATAAATATGTTAAAATTGGTATGTAAACAGGTGAACTAGAGGTGATAGCGGCGGCGGGCAAAGGAGAGCTGCGCCTGCGCATTAATGACACAAAGCTGGATGACGGACGATTGCACAGCATCAGACTGATACGAGCACATAAACAGGTACTATAAGTTTTGTACTTTTCTATAGATTTTACTTTAATTTCAAGATCTTTGAATGATTTACTTACTAAATCAGAACCCGAAAGAGTTGGTTTATTATTCATATATGTATTTGATATGAACTTACATAAGGAAATAAATATAAGAATAAAATTATCTTCATCAATGCAACCAGTGACATACACATTTTAGAAATATAATTGATATCCAAGTCAAAATTTGATACTGAGTCTCATTTCAGCTGGAAGTGTGGATAGACGAGAAGGCAGTGGGTAGTGGAGCCCTAGCCGGCGGAGGCTTCGCCCCTCGTCCTCGAGGATTATTCTTGGGAGGTGCTCCGCCCTCGCAACGATCTAGTGTACTGTTACCCGCCAACTTTTTTGTTGGTACCATCACGGATTTCATTGTCGACTCTACGTAAGTTAAAGATTTATATTGTTTATACACACTTATAAGCAATCGTTTAATTTAAAAATCAAAAATAAAGTTCAAAAAAAATTCAAAATATAACTATCGTAGTTATAGCACCTACAATCTTTAAAATCACTGCGATGACGTCATACCTTAAAACGCGGTGACTTTATTCCGGCTGCTAAGGAGGTCTAGTCAGTAGTTAGACTGGTCGAAGATCCTCCCTTTAGGTTGAAGGAACACTACACCCTTCACGTGGAGAACCATCCTTCCTCCACATAATAATGAACAATTTTGTATGGAAAACTTAATATAAAATGGAAGCACATACATATTATAATTTAGTGATAATAAATGAAATAATAACGAACACTAAATGAAATAATTGAAATTTTCAACGAAAAAACGTTCTTTTGGTGTTAACAAAAACAGTAATATCGCGATGCTATTCAATGTCCGATGTTGTATTACCGTCAATACACACTTGTTTTTTGAATAAATTCATAAAAACAAAAACATTTACTCTTCAGATTACTGGGACTAGAAGATGGCGTGAGTTGGGGTGAAGTGAGAGTAGGTCGGGCCGACAGTGACGCTCGTATTGACCCACCCGCTGAACCGCAGGCAGACTCCGCTACTTTGTGTACTAAGGTACGGTATAATTATGAAAAAGTGATTAGTAATTAAAGTGAGAAATTTGGGTAATATTAATATTAGTAAAATACATATAACCAAAACATATTCTACTTACTAAAAATTTCATATTTGCTCATATCTTTAAACTTAATATTACTACTTGTTTCAGCTAAAAATATCTTTTTGTCTTAGACAATTTAACGAAGGCTCTATATTCGACAACCGAAATAATGTAATAAATTTGCGTTTATATAAAGAATTTTATTTAAATAAGATGTTCTTCAGATGGGATCATACACAGTGGAGGCAGGTGCAGTGAAGTTCGGAGACTCAGTCGGCAGCTACGCCTCGCTTAAGCTCCCGCGCCAAGGAGCAAAGGCTGAATTCTCCATCACACTTCAGATACGGACATTTGCTACTGAAGGCATCTTGTTCTTGATACCCGTAAGTTATACTTGTTATATTATGCACCAAATTTGTATTTATGAATATCAATTGAATAACCTTTTAGAAGGTTTTAGAAACTGTACTTTATTCACAAGTAATATTGTTCTACCTAGTCTTTTGTCTTTTTTTGTAAAGTTACATAAGGTAAAAAAACGATTGAGTAAATTCAATTGTCTTGAAGTCGGTAAGATTGAGAAATATTTTTAAATGCGAATGTTTAACTTCCAATAACTGGTTAAAATAACAATGCTTGTCTAAAAAGTCTGAAACCTTTAAATGTTCCAAATATAAAGGTTGTTAATGTATTGAAATTTAAATAAAAAATACCTTTCCGAGAATTGATCACCTCGTACTCGGCGATTACGCCCTGCTTGTAAATCCTAAGTCATTACTAATGATTATTTCACGTGAAAGCTTTATTAATTAGTTGATATGTTTTCGTGCTCCTCTGCTGCTTTGAAGCACATTTTAAAATCGTTGTTATAATTGTTTTGTCTCATGTGTATGTACTATTAATGTTTACATTTTCGTGTATATTATTGTTATCCTTTTATTCTTAGTTGTGTTACTATTTTATATAAACAAATTGTTTGGCGGCTTGCTATAGCGCGGTAAAAAGTTAATTCCAGTTTCAAACGCTGAGCGCTAGCGGCGTCACTTTTTTCCTTTAAAATGGTCGGATACTAGTGAATTGAGCGGAAACGGAAACAATATACTCTCATAATGGGCGTCAAACGAAACACATATTTCCAGGGATCAAAACAAAAAGCAAAGCACTTCACGGCTCTTTTGATGCATGAGGGTAAAATGCGTCTGATAGTGCGTGGAAGGAAAAGAAAAGAAATCTCTCTGGCTACAACTCTCGCTGATGGCACATGGAGATCTGTGAGTCACGTTTATTTAAACTTAATTATTTAAAAGTTTTTTCGTCAAGTTCCGAAGATAGAATAGCTTGATGTGGTCAATACCTTAAATAAAAGATTATGTGAAATGATGAATTAAATATACGTTATAATTGTACACTCCGATAGTTGCATTGTAAAGCGTCATCTTTTTTACGACTTATGTGAAATAATAATCTAATATAATATATATATAATAATCTAATAATAATCTGGAATGACAATAAAATAATTTAAGAGAACGTATGTTTACTTAGTGCATATTTATTTATTCTATTCAGTATGACATCTTCTATTGAACGCCCATACACACTTTGAACGCAGTTTAGAAAAACCAATAGGTGAAAAATCAGTAGTAAAGTGATTTATAAAAGCAATTTTATTATATTTGTAAATTTTGTGTGCTCTAAGAAAATATTATTCTAGGTGACTGTCCGTATATCTCGCAACCGATTAGTACTATCAAGTGGCGGCGCGGCTGCCACCGCCCGTGCGCCGGCGCATTCTCGCGCCAACCGGATATACGTGGGAGGCCTCCCTGTCGGGCATTCGCTTCCCAATATACCTAATTCGGTATGTTTAACATTTTTTTATTATAGATATCTTTTGTTAATTGTTTTTTATTAGTACTAATCCGCCATACTGTACCACTGACTACTGAGCCTTTCAAGAAAAAAAAAAAAAAAAACCGTTATAGTCTCACTTAATCGAACCGAAGAATTTGGCTTCACTTGTTATGATACAAAATAAGTGTTTTGTTTTAATTTGCCAGTGCCAGAGACATTGGTCTTCGAACAGTGTCTGTCAAAATTTTCTTGTATTTAATATCAGTTTTGTTATTCACAACGAAAGAAAAAGATAAGGATTAATTATGATCTGCGCTCCAACAGAGTATCGAGAGAAGCTTCGTGGCCCTCAAATGTCTATCCTAGTTAATTACTTTTATAGGTGCTACGTGTGGGTAGTTTCCGCGGTTGTATACGCCGCGTGTCAGTGTGTGGTCGCGCTGAAGATCTAGTACGTGATGCGCGTGCGCACGCCGCAGTCGGACAGTGCTTCCCTAGTGTTGAACGGGGAGCGTATTTTGCAGGTATTACACAATTACGATTGACACGAAGATTTTTAAAAATAGATTAATATCAACATTTTTTTGCTCCCAAAACACAGTACAATTTATTGATTTTAACGCGCTGTACATTTTGCTCACTCACTTTATTAGTTTTATAAGTGTGGCTCTGACCTAAACCGTCAGAGTTACACCCCGAGAGTATAGAGAGACGCATGCACTCTCTTCAGCATTATAAGCATTCATAGCGTTAATATAGAGTGTTAAATATAGAGAAAAAATAATATCCTCTAATTTAAAGCATTTGGACCAGGAACCGAAAAGGAATTCCCAATTGTATCTATAACACTCAATTTGAATTGCAAGTTTTATTTATTTACGCACACAACAATATATATAAAGATTTTATTGACGAATGGTTTTTTTAGTAAAGGGATCAATGAAATACTTATAATATGGCAAAAGTGCAGAGATAGCAATGGTACATACTTAGATTAATTAAATATATTTTATTTTTAAAAAATCTACTAAGTACTACTCTCATACAAAACGCCAATTTCATATGTAAGGAACTAATAGTTTAGAAACTGAAATAAATTATAAATCTGCGGTATTTGTACATAATCCTTGGAATATTTAGCAAAATTGAAATTATTAATACACGTTAATGCTTCCCAGGGGACGCATACGCAGTTTGGTCAACTAAATGGTGGACAGAAGAATCAGAAGTAATCGAAGTGCGGCTCCAGTTCCGGTCCTTTGCTGCCAATGGAGTTATCATCTCTGGAAGTGGAGCCACGTTGGAAATTAAAAACGGAATGGTATTTATTTTGTTCATGTAATTTTTCCTTTTTTTTTATTTGAGAATTCTGATAGGAAACGTCGAGATAATTAAATAAATTTGCGTTTATATACGTATTATATATATTTTATTGTTCATTTTACTTTAATTGGCATTCTTAATATTTTATTTTTACTTTGGTGCATTAAGAGTACAATGCAACGGGTGGTCTAACGATTAGACCAGTGATCTTTTCTGGATAGGTAAGGAAAAACGTAAAATTGCAAATAAACAGAGAGTTGTACAATTACTAAACTAAAACAAGCTTATCTAAAGGTGAACTGAATATAATCCTACATTTAAAAAATAATAAAAAAATATTCAAAATATTACAAAAATCAGTATCCTTATAGTTAAGAGGTTAATTTTATTATAGGTGGTATTAAGTGGAGGCGGCGCTCGCGCAGAATGGCACGGGTCGGGCAACAGCGGTGTAACCTGCGATGGCGCCTGGCATTCCGTGGTCGCACGCATCTCTGCGCAGGCGCTTTCCCTGTCACTAGATGGCGCTGGAGAGGAAAGGGCGTCTACGCCTACGCTCTTTAACGTCGACACTCCCACCACATCCCCACTCTATATAGGAGGGTTACCCGGTAAGTACATGTTCTTCATAAGTCTTGCCAACTCAGAATCTACACAGACACATAGTCTGTGATTTAGATAAAACACTTTTTTTTATTGGACAATTCACACCAATTGACCTAGTCCCATGCTAAGCTGGTGAAGCTTGTGTTATGGGTACTAGGCAACGGATATACATACATATTATAGATAGATAGACATATAAATACATATTTAAACACCCAAGACCTAAGCACAACACCAAATGCTCATCACATCGATGTTTGTCTCAGCCGGGGATCGAACCCGGAACCCATGGATTCGCAGTCATAAAACACTGATTTGCTTTTAGTAAATCGGCTTATTTTTTTTTTCACGGTATTTTAAGTGTTGAGTGTGAAAGTTTGAATGGTCCCAATGTTTTGTAATTATATCTGATACAATTCATAAGTCATTTTAACGTTTAAAGATTTTTAATTTGATTCAAATGTACATTATTTCAGAGAGCTCCGTGGACGCATCCGAGAATCGCGAAAACTTTAAGGGTTGTATTCGCGAGGTTTCAGTGGGCGGGGTGAAGCGGGAATGGCCCGATATGCAGACGCTGCATCATGTTTTACTCGACTCTTGTCCCACCTCGTAGGTCTTTCCGCATCTTCTGAGAACCAACAGACCAGAAGCAATGTATATGATGCTGAGGGAATTCGCTTCAATTGCGTACTGCATTTTTCCTTTGGAAATATTTCGTTGAAAATCGCACCATTAGACCGAATATATAAAATTGTATCAAAAAAATGTTGACGCAATCAAATAAGGTTGGTCAAAGACATTTAACAAATCGTACTTAATTGCCTATTTTGACACGGGAGAGGACGAATATAATCGTCACGTATACGTGAATACCATAATTTGTTTTTGACAGCTAGAACGTATAAATATAATTGGTATTGTTTACTACACATTCTATTCAAGTTATGCTTCCGTTCATTTCTAAATACGCAAAAATAATAAAATATTTTTCTAATACGATAGCTATTCTCTTTACGTTTTTACGTCTTGTTCGTAGTAAGGCCTCAAATCGAAACGACGGATCGCCGTTCGTTTTACATTTTGAAAGAATAAAACATTTATTTGATTAAATCAGACATAGATAAAAAAATCTAAACACTCACTATAACCAAAAATGGAGTTACTGCGATACACACTAAATTAAACAAAAAAATTTGTACCCTTATTGAGATTAATTTCTTTTATATATTTAATTTTAGTGTAATTTTCATATAACCTCATCTGTGGCACAAACAACCGGTGACTTAATTTAAATGAAAAGTATTTGTATTATATTAGTGTAAGTAGATTTAAGAACAGTCATTATAGTTAGGTTTCTTGCCTTATATTTGAAATAATATAGTTTATATTATTTAACAATAATTTATTTTCAGCAGAAAATTTTCAGTGAGCCAATGAGGCTGCTAAGAGGCTATTTTAGTTTTTATTTAATTATATTCTGATAACATATGTACAACCTAGAGCTAAAAAATAGTAATTTTTATCAATAACAAGACTTGTTTAAAAATACTTGATAAAACTGAGATTACTACTGTCACTCGCCGAACTACTATTAATTGTAGAATAAAAAAAAACGTATTTAATCTATTTAAACGTTAAAATGTTTTAATAATGACGAATAAATGTTTAAAAAAATTAGCTACTAAACATTGCTAAAATGGTAGCAATGCTTCAGTTTTCATTAAAAAGATCAATTCCATAAAGTTTGCGCAAGTTTTCATTTCACGTGCATTTATTTCTACGCTCTATGGCGTATTTTAACTTTATTAGATTCTTTCCCAATTTATTCTCATCGCTGAATTCTTAGTACGATTGTCAGTTAGTATTCTTCGGTCATAATAATTGTTATATGTATCTAGCAGTTAATACTCATGTATATAAGATATATGTCACAATCCAGTATTCACTTAATGTATAATTATTGACCTTCGAGTTTGTCTTGTAAGGGTCGATTCGACCAAACTTCAAGTTATACACGAGTAACTATACCAAGAATAATCTATTCCATGATTTTAATCTCGAGTAAATCCATAGTCGTTTGTCCACGTAATCGATAGTATAATTGCGCTAGGAATAACAATACGCGAATAGCAAGAGAATGGTGAACGAAAATAAAACTCGGCAAATAAATGTTGTTCTACAACGGGACAGTGTAAGAGTATTTTGCCGTATTATAGAGTGAAAAAGTAGCTTTTAACAGGTGTCAAACGACAACAAAAAGTTTTTATTTCTTGTTTGTTTGAGGCTTTCGTCTAAAAAGGAACTTCTGTTGAGCCTAGTTGAATTTCATTCTAATATTATAGAAAATAAAAAATCTAAAAATAAATAAATAAATAATAAATTGTTTAAACGTTTCATTATACAATGCCAGACTATTAATTTAGTGCGTTGCGTTGACTTGAAATTAAAACACAGAATACATATTTGTGAAATGACAGAAATCAGCTGATTGGACTGACTGACGCCATTAAATTATTCTAGGAATAGCTGTTATTCCGTGCGAAACGGCGGTATAGTAGCTATTCCCGAATAAGCCCACTATTCTTAGAATTTGTAGTTGGTAAAACGTAAAATTGATTTACTCTCGATTAACTGACGATTTATTCTAAGATTAAGATTTACTCTTGTTTGGTCGAATCGGCCCTAAGTCGAATATTATTCGCTGAGGAATAAAATTTCTTCGCATTTATGTCACAACTATTTTGTAAATATTAAATTTAGGGAACAGCTTTAATAGTTAAGGTACATGCCTCATAATAAAACAAGTTTAAGCATAATCGTTGGTAGTATAAGAAAAAAATGGACACAGAAACATAATCATGTTGCCTTGAATTTAGATAATTTTATTTGATGTGATTAATTTGTGTGAAGTTGACGTCGATAAGTTTTTCAAATTAATTTTGCCTATGTACTCAGATTCCATTAAAAAAACTTTCAGACGAAATTAATATTAAGATCTGTTATATGCAATGTGTTCGTAGTGTAAATACACCTGTATATAAATTAATGTATTTATTGTATGAGGATTTTTATAATAAAACACTTTGGGCAATAAAAAACGTTTATTTTTCATTTCATTACACTGTTTAATGATCGCTTTGTGACTGAAGAGATTCTATCGTACCTATATCTTTTCTTATAAAAAGATGAGAAACTCAAGAATGGTCTGATGATGAATGCTTTTCCGAGAAATTTATTTTGGAAGAGAAAATATGTATTCTGTAGCAAAGTTTTCAACTTTTTTCAAATATGTTTTAAGACAAATCACAAAGCGACACAACATCCCGACCCTGAAATTCAGTACTTAGTAACCTCACTAGAGGTCGCTACTGGACTACATATAATATTTTTTTATCTTAACATATAAACAAAACATAAAAAATTCCACACAAAGAATTTAAAATAACATAAAATCTTCTAAAAAAACATAAATCATATTAATTTTTAGATAATGGTCGATAAAAGTATTGCATGTAATCCAGAAATCATAGACTACACATTTGAATTATAATTAACATCTTAATGAAAGAAAGATTACTGCAATATATCATGAATAATCTTTGGAAATTATAAATGAAATTAAAATATTTGATACGACATTTATTTTATTACTACCGGTGAATTATAACAGATTTCGCCATTTAAACTTTCAATTACAAGAATATTTTTATACATCTACTTTATCTATCTACAAATACATTTTTAGGAAATTTCAAATAAGCAACTATTTAAACGAACGCATTGAGCAATGAAATCCGCTGGGAATTTTATAACACATGTATCGAAAATAATTTCTTTTCACAGCGGTCTATGACATTTATGAAGAGCTAAATGAGATAAATCGATGCTACGTCGATTTCCACACCATCTGAAATACAAAAAGATACAATTATACACATCATTTGAAGAATACTTGGAAGTGTGAGGAATTTCAGGCTCATGTGATGTTACGTCACACACGTGCCAGCCTTTTAATAATTGGTACGATCTGTTGTTGCCCTTGTCGATTTGGTTTGAACATATTTTAATAGGCAGCTACAAAACGGCGCGGATAGAAGTGACTTAAGAACACTCAGTAGTGGAACAATGGGCATGTAAATGTGTTTAAACATAACTTGTTGTTTCATGTTATTTTTTGTTAAGCATTAAAGGTAGGTCTATTATGTACAAATTCCGTGTCATTCAAGTTTTTACGCTAACTATATTAGTGAGTAGTCTGTATATATAAATGTTCAGCCCTCTGCCTGACGCAATATTTTGCGTCTAAGAAATAACGGTTTCACTATGTTTTTAACGTGCGAACTTGTTTAATACATACAATAAAATCAAAATGCTTTTGACACTCTGGATCTAAATTGCATTCACCTTACTTTAGAATAAACTCATCTCGACCTCTAGGAGTGCCCTCATTACTGAAATGTTACTTAAAAATACTTAACGTTTTTGGTTACAAGAAAAAAGATAGATTGTCACAAAAATGGGCGTTAATATTTGTTATTTATGTATTTTTCATTGACTTACCTACAATTTACATAGAGAGGTATCCCCTAGCAGCAGAGCGGCGTCGTCCAACGAGGTAAGCGACCAGAACTACCACAACGAGACCGCCCAACGCACAGCCCACAGCTATGGGCACTGCGTCGGGGAGATCATCACCGCCGCACTCGCGAGCTAAAAAAAGATAACAATTATTTACTAAAAACTTGCATTCCAAAGTAAATCGTAATTATAGTCACATACGCAATATGTAGCACGTTACATTGCTAAGTTAATACTAAATTCTTCAGAAGCTCCACCATTAAAAAGGTTTAATTCACAAGAACCAATTGTTTTAATTGAAAGCGTACGAATGATTTACTACGTTTATGACAATTCAAATCGGCTTAGTAGAAGCAAGAGTTAAGATAAATTGCAATTGCAAAAATCAATGCATGGTTGGTATTGAACGACTCTATTTTAAATCGAATATTATCATGGCACTCATGGCTTTGCCTTATAAACAAAAACACAAATCTGTGTATGTTTCGTGACCATTTGTTTATATTTTTATGGTAATCAGCCTTTTATGCCTAACATGGTTTCCTCACGATGTTTTCCTTCATCGTACGAGCGAGTGTTAAATGCGCACATAGACAGCACATTGGTGTACAGCCGGGTTTCCAACCTACAACCTGAGGGATGTAAGACGCAGGCTCAAGCCCGGCGATATTTTCACTTATCCTTTAAGATTAACTGTCACGAACAACCCGGTCAGGTACTCGGTTCCATAAAGACAGACCCCACTTATAATCGGTACTGCTCGATAACCTTCCCAGTCAGCACTAATAGGGACACCTCAATTTGTTTATATAATAGTATGACCTAAGTTAGCGACATGAAACAATATAGGAAATGATCATATACCTACTAACTGATACATTCGTTTCTCCTTTGTTCGGTTTGTGAAAATACCGACGATTATGAATCACAATCAAGTCATTCCCATTTTACTGCATATTAATTTCTGAATCACGACTTATATTTGCACAACCTAATATTACATTATTTTTACGACGGCTGTCAGAAATATAGTCAGCGCACAGTAACAATCGCCTATATTTAAGTCAACAATTGTCTTTACCTTACTTATAAGTGGTCTTAAAACTACTGGTCGTTAAAATTATATATAATTCAAACATACTACAAATTATAGCACAATGGATTTGTAATTGTCTAAACAATTAATACATTATTATAGATAATTATTAATTTAAAACCTTCACTCAATGTGATGGCCAATTAAAGTGCTTCATGGTCAATAATTTTGTTTTACAAATAAATTTGGTATTTTGCGTAGTGCAAAACGGGGCAGTTTTGAAAATATATTAAATTGAAATAATTAAAGAAGTAAATAAGATAATAACTTTCATCTTTATGCAATTACTGAAAATTACTTTTTAAATTGAAGTATTTGTCTCGGGAAAAGTAATTTTAATTTATAAAAGAAATAAGTTACAACAAACATTTGTTTTATTTAAACATCATTACTAAATTTAATATATTTCATGCGTAAAATAAAATTGCGGATGTAAGCTGTAACATTGTGCGTAACATTTCTTATCAGTGCGATATGGTTCTGTAATGAACACATATTCATGTTTAAATGATGGATTTGTACCTATTAAACCCATTCAAATCTGATTTTATTATATTCAGTCTACTTTATTGTTATGTATGCGGTTTTTAAGGCGTAAATACTTATTACTTTTAGGTTTTTATAAGCAATATTTATGACTAATAAATTAATTAATTTTTGTCGACGTTCATAATTGTTTGATACATATGTAGTTACTTGATCAAAATGGTTACCTATAAGAGTAATATTTTGACTAACAATTTGTTGTAATGATGTCAAGATTTTAAGTGAATTAACTGAATTGTAACAGCTTCTTTATTGCGATGCATCCATGTGTATTTTACACAATGCAAAAAAATATCAGTCGTTCCTTACTGATCCAATCACAAAATTTATAATTAACATCATAACAATATTGTAATTTCTATGCATACTCGGATATTATGACAGCTTCGTCCTACATCTTTGGCTATAAAATCATTTACTTAATTTTTCAGATCTTACTTTCGATCTCACGATATACGTTTTTATAAAATTCCCGTGTTTCATTATGTTTTCTTTAGACCATGGTTGACATGGATGTCATAACCAATAGTCCACATTCAATAATTCCTTATATACTGTATTATGTATGAAAAAATACACTTACCAGCGCTAAAGACTTTGTCCTTGCCAGATCTGAAAGCCTCTTCCTGGAGCTGGCTGAGGGTCAACTTGGCGACGACAATAGCAGCCTCAGAGGACAGGTTGAAGTAAGTGGGAGGTGCGCATCGGTAAGAAGTAGCTAGAGGGCTGTGCCATTCCACACCATGCCAGAGTTCTACGGCCTCTTTGAAGGCTGAAAGACAAAATAAACCTTAAGAACTCACCCATTTTTGTTCGAAATTTACGAGGTAAAATAAAAACAATAAAAAAATATCCGCAGTTTTTGAAACTAACGTTTCTATACTGACTTAATTTAGACGAGAGTTAATGTAAAAAAAAAAACAATTTTGGTAATGCGTTGAAATATGGTACGTATTTTAAAATACATGTATTATTTATTTATCTTCCAATGTTTCAACTTTTTAGGTTCGTTTGGGATAATAAATGCACTTTGCGATTTCCGCTTTAAAATGACCAAAAAACATTTCGGTTGAGAGGTTTTAGTTATATTTTTCCTTATAATAAATGCTTTCATTAACTAATAATTTATTTTTGCATATTATTTTCATTAGATTTAGGGAACGTGCAAAGTGATTGTTAAAACTTTCCAGTCTATGAAGTTAGGAAGGAAAGTTCACACTAATCGTGATATACACTTTTAATGAAAGTAGGTGAAAATTACGATACAAAAGACATTCATTTCATCGTGAGAACAAAGAATTAGCATTTCTCTCGAAGAAGGACATCCTCTCATTATTTAACTTACTTAAAGGACGCGAACAATTGAATTATTTGTCTCTTCAAAGTATAGCAACAAGGATAGTAATTTCGTACAACTTTCGTAATGGCGAGACAGATTTTCTTGATATTGCATTAACGGAACGATCTGTAGTCCGGATACTTGAACCGATTTTTTATGCGATACTTGAGCTGTGGGTGCATTTTATTTTGAAGCATGAACAACCATAGTTCGAATATAGTTAGAGAAATATTGTATGAATTTTATATATAATACTAGCTGCCCCCTCGAACTTCGCCTTATTATGATTTTTTAGTAAGCCAACCTTTTTGGTAGCTGCATACATTTTGATATGCTGCCCCATAGATGCACTTGTCCGGCAAAAACAAAAACCTAAGTACTATATAATATCTACCAATTTTTTTCTAGATAAAAGCCGTCCTCAGAGTTCAAGGAATAAATAAAAACAATACTCGAATTGGTCCAGCCGTCTTCGAGTTTCGCGCCTAGCAATATAATTTGCGATTTATTTTTATTTATATAGATTCGTCGATAAATCGAATCGACGTGTACGAATAGTTAAAACTATAGTAAAATTTGTGCTCAGACATCTGGATACGAAAGCTATCTAAGTCTAAAGGCCTTTTTTGCATCAAAGATAGAGCCGTACTATTTGTTGGTATAACAAATTTTCGGCCTGCATAATTATGATGAAAATTCAAATAACCCGGTCCATAAACTACCCGGTAAGCGAAATAAATACGTTAGTACATAAAAATACACAATTTTTAAAAATAAATTGTATATCATTATGGAAATTAAAAGTATGAAATCATTTATAGCATTCAAATATTTACTGGACAACGGACATCGTGTAACCAGTTTAATTAATGCATAAATGTATTTTGATACAATATTCCTTGGCCGTGAAATACCACACAACTTTCCGTCAATAGAATCTAGACAAGGAAAATCCCAAACGTTTTATCGATAAAGAGAAAATTGTGTTTAAGGAAAATGAATTATCTAAACAGGTATTCAAAGAATAAGTGTTTTTTTTTCGTTTCCTTTGAGATTATGGATTTAACAATAAATATTAAACGAAGAAGGGTTAAGGGTTTTGGACCCCGCATGTTTCAATGTCCCATTTTTCTTTTTATATGCCTATTTAGGGATTGAGTGAGTTATGATAAAGCTATGTGTATTTTAAATTTTTTTCAAATCTCATCTAATTTATCGGTCAAAGATGATTTTTTTTTTGCAATTACAATTTGTTTTAAATATCTTTATACTGTTCATAGTCTGTGAAGAAAAATAACCATCAGGTTAGTTGAGATCGCTCCAGTGTTACGCCGTTATAGTTCGACGGTATATCTTGATACTAATATAAGAGAAAAAAAAATTTGGTGAAGTCAATTTGGCATGTCAATTTCGCATTACTGCCACATACTATTTTTCAAAATGTCAACTTGATCAGCAGTTTCTTGTTGACTACGATTCGCACTCAAAACGTACAATAAATTATGAAAAAAATTGGTGTTTATATCCGATATAGTTCTATATTAATATGTAGTACTGACGTACACCAAACAGTAGACTGGTTTGTTGTTTTAGAACAATTGTTAACATATTGATGTGAGGCATAACTCCGATACCGCAATTGTAGTCATTTTAAACTCACATGAATTATGGAACACCTCCGGCACCAGGGAGACGTTAAGGCTCTTCAGTTCATACCACTTGGTGGTTTGATTGACCTGGAACACCAGAAGCATGGTATTGGAGCTGTTTTCAGTAGCTGGCCAGCTCAACTGGATCCATTGCGTGTCGTTTGCGCAGCTACCATTCACGGCTGTAGCGTTCTTCGGTACGTTCAGTTGGAAGTGGTCGGTTGTGTCTGGAAGAAGATTTAACAGTATTTAGAAAAGCGTAGAAAAATTTAGCGAAAGAACTTTTATAGAGATACTTCTCTGTAGGCAATTGTTATTTTAAAATTGTAAATATATAGACAATATTCTGGCTGAGATATGGTTAAAGAACAGTTTAAACGGGGTAAACCCATTATGTGGCCCGTGATGTACATATTTCACGTTATTTATATATGAAGTTGTCAAACCGAAACTGTTTAGGCGGATATTGAACTCAAGTCCCTCCTAGATACGTTTCCAACCTAGATGCAAAAGCACTTTGATTTTGTATTACTTTAGTTCATATCAATCTAAAATTCTCTTTTTGGAGTTCAATAACCCCCACACATTTAAACATGCCCTTATCGTGAGATTTCATCGTCTCCACGCTTGACGTTATCAATAACTTTATAATGTAAACAAAAATAATAATTTTACTAAAACGCTGCCCAATAAAAAGATAAGTTTTAACGACTTGGGCTGGAGTAAATGTCAGGGCAGGGCAAGGACAGGTGACAAAGCCGTAAGTGTAACGTTAAATTTGTATGACTGTTAATTTCAAGCCGAAACAATTATAAGCTGGCAACCCACTCGTAAGCATTTTGGCATTATATATGTATATATATAGTTTGGCATCATTAGTCCATAGACTGTGGACCTTTGTTTCCCTACCATTGCAAAGCAGACCCTAAAGTCTAAACATTCAGCTAAGCTTCGTGCAGAGCCCAAAAGAATATTAACGTGAACGCAAAAACCAAACTTCTTTATACTTTGTTTTTGTGACAAACACAAAGGAGAACGCGAACGAATAAAATATCGGTTTCAATTTGGAAGCCTAACAAAGTTTAGAAATTCATTTGTCTGAAAATTTTTATTCAAAAGTTCACAGGTTTCTTAACAATGTTCGAAATCGGTTTGAGAAAACCATTGTTGTATTGAAATAGATAAAAAAAGCCAATGTTGAAATGCAACTGCTTCTTGCAAATTGAACGAAGTCACGCGGCAAGCCCGACCTTGCCTCTAACCAGTTAAACTCATAACTATTTTATAAACATCGGCTTAACATTACGTAAGACTAGCTAATACGCGCGACCGCTAAGATTTAGAGACAGTGCAAACACCTACTCTTATATTACTCAGTGATAGATGTAAATACATAAAGAGTAAATAAAAAGAGTCGAGTACAGTCGAGTTAAGTGAAGAACAAAAAATCATACTTCCAGGAACATTTTTTATGCCTGAACAATAAGTTATATCGTTAATTATATCACGAAAGTGAAAGCAACCATTCCTAACTATGCACAATAATTGTCAATTTTGTAGTGTCAATCTTGTGAGTAGAAAATATGAACGGACAAGAAGCAGTATCAAGAAAAGGTTAGGGTTTTTGAAAACACATGTTTAAAATAAATAATACTTTCTTGTTAATAAATGCAGATATTTAAACAGACCACGGCTTATCAACGTGACTCACTCGATATAACGATACCAACTATTTACAAATACAATTTCAATGGGTACATTATTAGCAGAAATATTCATTTTAGCTTTATAAACAATTCCGACGAACTGTAAATGATTAATATTCATTAATCAGTAATTCTATACCGTTGCTAGTATATGGTTATACGTAAACGGAAATTCTGTTACAAAAAATCTCATGACCTTATTTATCAGCGTCATCTAGCGATAGTGACTCGTAATTTCTTCTACAAAAATTTGTGTTTAAAATGGGATATATATTTTACATTTGCAGGCAATTACTTAAAAAACATAACGACTTCCGACCAATGATCACGGATCCAACAAACAACCCCATCAGGGGATATCAAAACCTCTTACCTTTCTCATTAAAAGATCTTGAATATATTTAATAAATATATATTTTGGATTTAAATTATATATGTTTTAAAACAGGAAACAATCCATTATATCAGAATAAAAATATTCAAAACTGGTTTAGCAAGGTCTTATCTGAACAAACTCGATATAGTACCAATGGACTATCACTGAGGTACTCAATGTTTAAACGGTTATTATTAAATAAAAAAAATATGGCTGCATTGTAAGCAGATCGAGGTGTGTAATCTCAGCCTGTTTCATAGAAAAGAGGGACTAATATAATAAATTTATAAAATACAAATTTTTCCATAGGTCTGTTTTGATCAAGGGATCTAGTAATATAATAATAGGAGTGTACCACAGGTCAAGTGTGATGACCTTTGATAAGGTGAAATGAAGCAAGCATCAATGAACAAATGTGGAAGTCTAAGGCTTCTTAGCATAATAAATCCAGCTATTACCAAACAACTGGCTATTAAACCTGTTTTTAATAGGTCTAAGCTATTTGCCAAATATAATTCGTTATCGAGATAACCAATAATATGTAATATGAAATCTAAATATGGATTTTGTATAAGTTTGACTTAGTATATCAACATAGATTGAACTTTAGAACCGTTAAACAGATCACAGCTTCCAAGTATCGAGTGAAACCTGCATCGTGACTCATATGTACGCAGAGATGCCGGGTTCGCGAATGTAGGTTACTTTTTACATTGCTAATGTGTACTGTGCCAAAAAATGAGGAAAACTTTATAAATTCCGGTCTAACTGTTTTCGGGATGACTACATTTTTGATACCACTTAAAGAGGTTACAATAATATTGCAAATTTTGAGTGGGTACTGTAATATGTATCGTGACAAAGGTGGTACCCACCTCTGGGAAAAATATTGTAAGTATTTTTCTATAAAGGAGAGATGTATAGATAACATTATTTATCTAGCGTAGGTTTAGTTTACCTCACGTATTTAACTAAATATTATCAAACACGTTCAATTAATGATAAGGTAAATTATGATAAAATTATCACGTGAAGATGGACGTGAGTTTCGTTCATTAACATAAGTGTGCACAAATAAACGTCTATTTTTATACGAAACTTTCAACCCAGACACGCGAGAGTGCCGTTAACATTAGGACAATATAAGAAATATTGAATTGGAAGATAATTATGGATATGTAATCTATAAAGCAAAGACAATAAATAATATCATTTGTGCCTCATACATTTGATGTAGCTTTTACTAAAAGGTACAATATATTTATAACTGAGAAATTAATTTATGACTAGTACAACAATTTAATTAATAAATAGCAAAATAATATAATACTAAATAAATATTATATTTAACAATATAGTCAAATATAAAAGCATATACTGGAACTCATAGGCATGCATCAGACTTATCATAACCGACTATCCCATTGCAACAAATACACAATTTTAATCTACAAATGGTACTTGTTATCTACGGTTTCATACTAACAAAGTCTGACTGATATAAGAACAATAAGGGTATTCAATGTATTTTTTTTAGGATCTCTAGTGACTGTTTTAGAGCAGTAGATGCTCATGTTTTTACCTACACATTCAAAAAACAGACAATGATTAAGTTAAGCTATATTATGCCTAAATCCACAAATTCTGGTTACAAAACAGGAAAACTCAATATTTTAATATCATTGAACTAAACAGAAACAAATTGCCTTCAGTTTCTTTTTGCTTTTAATTAGCTGTCAGCACTTCTGTTCCATTAAATTCAGTATTATACCTGCTTTTTGTTGGTCGGTATTGGTAAAGCAATGTATAAAATAAAATTTGTTATTAGTTTTTATGACTTAAGAATGCAAAGTTGGTATTGTTTCATCCCATAAGTAAAACACACACAGATAAATAAAAACTTGCATGTAGTATGTATTAAGCAAATAATGATGCAATCACTATTTGCTTAATACATACTACATGCAAGTAACTATATTTTCTAGACCTTTTAGGCTCTTATGGGATGTAAAATATATACATATTATTTTAAGTCAAAGGTCTCGAGAGTATAAATTAAATTTACATGTGAGTTTACTAGGTTGAAAAATTATCATCATGATATCTCAAATTGTCAAATCATGAAAATTCAAAATCAAGTAAATCTTCATAGATAATTCATTTATACAAATGGTAGGTTCAGGTAATTGTTGTTTACATGCTTACTAAAAAAATACTATAATATATAAAATATAATGGTCAGACATATGGGTTACACCAGTTATTTTTCATGCATTTAGTCTGAATAAACTAAATAAATAATATAATTATATAGGTAATAAGGTAAGTACTTACTGCTGTTTTCCTTATTATATGTGACATTCAGCTGTGCTGCAAACTGCACTAAAATACATGTAATATTAGTGGCCTTGTCAGAGTATGACCACATTCCAGGTTCTGGAGGTGGAAGGGGTTTCGGGGCTGGTGCCGGTGTTGGTGCCGGAGTTGGAGCCGGAGTAGGAGCTGGAGTTGGCGCAGGAGTAGGAGCTGGAGTTGGGGCAGGAGTAGGTGCAGGTGTAGTAGTGCTAGTTGTACTAGAAGTTGTTGTATTTAGTTTAGCAGGGCTGGCAGCAGGTACTGCGTTAGAAGTTGGTTCTGATGTGATAGAGGCAGTTTCCAAGGGCGACACCGGCGCCTTTGAAGACGAAGAAGGTGAAAGGTTCGCGCCAGCGGTAACTGATGTCGGTGTAGCATCTGATGTACCCGAAGATGATACTAAGTTAATAATACTCGTCGGAGGTACAGTTATTTCGCCATTACCTGCAATAAAGAAGCTACAGTAATTTTCTCAAAAATCATTAATTTCGCGACATTTTTTTATTTACTTTGAATAGTTAACTGTAATCGTATTTAAAGACTCGGGGAACAACGCAAAAACGACTATCGCTGAACTTGATAACTAACAAAGAAAATGGATTTTACGAAGGATGGGAAATATTGTTTTTTATGGACTTACCAAGTACGGCCAAGCTACAGAATACAACAGCAATTACGGAAAACTTAAATTGTGACATTTTAATAATGACAAAACTTTATTTTCTAAAAAAAATTTATAAATCTAACGTTGAAACTTAAAATTATTTGTCCTATCACAATCCACTTCACAAAATGAATGAGAAATTTCAACTTATTGTGAATTTGACACTGTCATAATCATATTTGAAGTTGAAAGATGTTGATGTAGAATATACCATAATCACAGACACGATATATAGGTAAAAATATAGACAATACAGCCTTCATGTCTAGTAACGAATTTGATTTATTATTACTAATAATAGTTATAATTAACTTCGAATAGGTTGAGACAAGAAAAGTTAAACTTAATCAACATTAAGTTTGACTAAATCAACATTAAGCAAAAAAAATTTATTAAGTAAGTATGTATGTGGTAGTTATGTAATAAGTGTATTTAATTTTTTGGCTTAGGCTTCTTGAATTTAAGTCGTGAGTGGCTTTTTTACTTTTACTATAATATACCTATATTAAATATAATATTATAATATTCTTTGCCACAGGTCTTGACTTATAGCGCCAAACAACGATCGTCTTTTTTACTTCAAAGTTGAAAGAACAGTTTATGCATTATAATATTATTTCGTTGAGAGAGTTTAATTTTGCATCCATGATAAAAACTAAAAAATAAAATTTGACTACCTAGTTGCGATCCAATGCGATTGCCTCATCGCATGAGTTGAAAAATTCTTAAAATTATACAATTTATACTTCAGCTACCTTCTTTTGCACTGTCGATTCTTGGCGGGAATGCGAAAAAGCAAAGTTCCATTTTAAAAAACTGTATTTAAAGTTACTTATTATTTCCATATATAAATCAGTATAAATAGACAAGTAATTAGTGATTATATAAATATAGCGTGTAAATAATAAAAATTAAAAGAAAAGAGCAGGGCTACTAAAAGTAAAAGAAGAGACCACAGCGGCTCGACCTTTCAGGTGTGTGACTCTTATATACCAAATTGCAAGCCAAATTACAAAAGACTACAACTAGAATATTTTTATACACGGATTTTAAGGTTTTCATTGAAAGCAAAACATACCAGGTAAGACGGGGAAAATAATAATAACAACAAAATTTACTTAAACCATATATTTTCAAATTTCATAGGTATGGCAATAAGACGTATAAGAGCAAATAAAATTGTTTTGATAACGTTTTATCACATTAGCACAATACGATTATAATAAAATTTGTCAAAAATAAGACTTGGCTAAAGGTTGCCAGATGATATAATCATTTAAAAAAAAAATTCACTGCCTGAGAGAGAGAAGGTTTATGACTCACACAACCAATTCGTGAAGATTGAATGTTTTTTTTATTCGATATATTATATATGGATATAAATACGAATATAAAACTAAAAAACTATCACAAAGATTTATACTTTAGATCTTTTAATTGTGTAAAGTGTGTTACACAGATACTTATTTTAAACTTAAAGCGTAATAAGTTTAATTTATAATACGTAATTGCACAAATTATTTACAAACTATGTGTAATTTTAAAAAATAATTCGCTTACATACTAGGAGCCACAAAAATAGTTTATTAATTATTCAATTAAATTAAATTGTAATTAATGAAATTTCGCAACGACCAATTCCAAATCTTGTCTTTAGATAAAAGTAAAACTTAGTAAAAAAGCCAGCAAATTTATCTGTAATACAAATTCATTGATTTGGTATATATAAAGATTATAGTTTCAATTTACAAAGAAAACAATTGCTGTATGCAGGACGTATTACAAAATACATATTACACATTTTAACACACATGAACATCATATAATTTATAGCTGATTATTAAGTACCTAGTATAAATACAACTTTACCATTCGTAAAACAGCATGAAGCATTCTTTTCATAGACCATAATATAATGATGACGATTGACGTCTGACGATGTTCAGTTGTCTATAGACTGTCCCAGGGGGCTTAGACAAGATGTCGAGATGAACTGTTATTTCCATACAAATTTAGTTTTCTACCTTCTACATACACAACTGTTAAGACACTTTGACTAAGGCCCCTGGACAACTAAACGTCAACCGTCAACCTGCTTTTGTGCATTTGTAAATCATGAATATATTTTAATTGTATATAGCAATCTTATCTAACACACTGGGTTAGTAATAAGTTACGGTTTAGTTTAGGCGGCATATTAATTTAAAACAACATATTTTTAAGAAATTCTATAAAGCAGAGTTCATGTTCCATTTAGTTACAGTAGTCATGGCATGAGTTTGACAAAGTATTGAATGCTATAAATAAATTGGACGAATCTAGAAATCTTTCATATATGTACTCAAATGTAAAGGCATTTTTTCTGTCAAAGTTCAGAGAGACCATGAGATTTAAACTAAAAATATTACATTTGCTTGTTATAAATAACCGAAGTAACATTCTGACAACCAACTGAATACAATCACACAGAAACAGTTTAAAATTATCGTAAATTTAATGTTTTCTTATATTACTTACATATTTAATAATCCCTAGTATTGGGATTTCCTATTACTGGGACTTTGTACAGAGATCAACTATTGTATTACATATTAACTTCGTACATTAATTAATATAGATTTTCTGGAAAAACAGATATAATAGGTTATAGCACTTTTACGTTATATATTATAAAGCATTTCTGTTCAGGATAAAATAATTGTTAGCAACAATTCCTTTACAAACATCTATTGTAAACTTGATTATTGAATGTACAGTTCAAAGCGGGCGTGGCCTACTCGACTGGAGCTGCGGTAGATGATGTCGCGTGTCCAAATTCGACATTCAATGTTGATTACTACTCCACCTAATAAAGATATTAAATTTATTTTAAATCTAGAGCATTCAGATTTATTCATTATCGGCCCAGATCGCTGGAAGAACGCCATCACGGCGTTCTAAGTTTCGCCAAGGCTTACTTTGGGTTTTTGCGACGTTGGAGTAATCAAGTAAATATTCAAAACGCCTGCAATTTTTTTACCTGCTTATGCGAGCAGCATAAGTTAAAATACATTTTGTTAAACAGCAACGCGCAAAAAAGTCACCCGCGTTTTTAAAATTAATTATAGGTATTTTATTCACCGATCTTTTTTTATGATGTAAAATATTTAAGAAACTTTTGCCCTCCCTAAAGCATAGTTAGTTAACTTAAATAAAAACAATTCTCCTGAAATATCTTAAAACAAAAAAAAAAAAACATTAATGAAGCCCAAAGTACGCGTTCTCTTTTTCTTTAACAGCATTGTGTGCCTGACACACACTGTCGATTTTTTCCTTCATTCCCTCCGATTTCTTTCTCCATAGGAAGTGGTATAAAAATTAGGTTCAGTTTGAACACTAGATTCTAGCACTCTTAGGCACCGTATATAATCAAATTTCACATAGTTTTAACTTACGTCTGGGATTCTCAAAGAAAACAGCAACGAGAGGTCCATGTATCTGATCGGGGAGGTTCCGGGCCGAATACGGGATCCTATCAGCAGTAGTCAGCCTGTTTGTTGGAAAACCTGGTGGCAGATTTGCTGGAATGTACTGTATAGGACCTACATTCTCCTCATCAGATTGGAACTCGCCATTGCAGGAGACCCAAACGTAATCGCCGTAGTGGTGAGCTGGGCGTTGTTGCTAAAAATATATATCACTTCTATTCTATCTATACTATTTACCTATCTATATCTACATTATAAATATTCAGCTTAAGAGTGTTTATATAAGGGGCTTATCTGGACCTCAGATTGCATGAGTTTCTTCGATTATTTTTATTGTATGGACATGTAGATAGCTAGATTTTTTACACGGAATGAAAATTACACCGATGGAATTTTCATTAATGCAATCACAGCCGTGATACGAATGCACGACCTGATGAGGGAAGGAAAGCTTAAGGCTTTAGGCCATCAGACAACGAGGAAATTACATTTTCCTGCTAACCAAAATGGTTCGTACAGCACAGAGTGCAAAATACCTTCATAATTACTATTAGTTATTTACCATGAATTGTTTAATGTTGTTTGGCATTTCTGGAGGAATCTCCATTGGTTTCGACACGTTGTACGGTTCCGGTACCCAGTAATGAATCTGTAATTAAACAAAGAATCACTTTTGTCGTTTGTACGTTAATATATATAGGTGTTTTCTTAAGTAATAGCGCATGATTTTATATTAATTTCGTTGTTAGTTAAAAAGTATTTTTAATATAAAGCACAAAAACCAAACATTCAAAAATGTAGCCCTGTTTAAAAATCATAATAACAATAATCTTTATAGCAGACGACGGCCGTCCAATTACTTATGAGTTAGTAACAATACGTAGTTAGCCTAGCATTCAAAAAATATTATTCAAATCCATGTGACACAACTACACATTTGGTTTAAATCAATTTAATTTAATTGAATGACTATTAACGTAGTCTATATATTAAACTATTTATATATTACGTGATTAAGTCTTAAGAAGACACAAGGTTTTCCAGCTGCGTATCCATAGAAGTTGTCAGCATTGCAAGGCGCCCACATGTTAAGTGCTCGCTCACAACTTGGTACCGGCAAACGCTGGTCGTGACGGTGTATGGAGCATGGTGCTCGGGGAGGATCCTCAGGGACTGTTGTCTCGTAGTCTGAGAGATTCAGATTAATTCTTAAACACTACAGCGCTTGATATTCGATTTCTATACCATTCAAGGCAAAATACAATTGTCTCAGAAGTCGAGCTTTCAAGGCCTGTTATAATTAAAAATTAATTGCTAAGTTAATACAATAATTATTAATAGCATTTCTAACTTACATGGAAACATTAATAATGCTTATGTATAAACACGCCTTTCACTATACAATGGAACATTTTACAAAGCAGTCTTAACAAAAGTTCATAAAAACATATACCACGTAGGAAGTCGTTAATCCGTTTGAACCAGACATGCCAACTGCCTGGGTCACCAGCCCGAAAGTGTATCAGAGGCTCGTAATGATTGTACTCTTCTGACCGTGGCCATACTTCCAGTTCTACACAAAAAAAGGTTCTCTTTAAATGTAAAACTTAATTAATTACAAGTTGCTTTGTTTCTTATCTATTTGAGATACTTGGCTGATACACATAAAATAGTGTCAATTTACTTACAAGTGTATATTATTGTTTAATGAAATATAAATAATTTTTGAAAACTTATTGATTTTGTGAGAGAAATTACCAATTATAGCGAAAAAGTGCCAGGGTTGCTGAAACTTTGCTTATCACTGAGTCATATGTGAGTTTATACTGCAATATTATATTTAGTAGGTAAATCATTCAAATTAATAATGCTCAGTGTCGTATGTTTTGACATAAAGGATTGTTCAATGAAAATTGAAAAGACAATATTATGTTATAATTCAATCAATGCAGCGACTCACCCACATATCGATACGGTAGGAAAATTGCAAGCAGCACTCCCAGGATAATACCTGTCGATTAATTTCATTATTGGTTATTCACCCTAATATGTTCCTGACTCATTCTTGTTCGTCACCATAAATCCAGCAATGTAACAATTGCACATTATTATTAGTTGTCTTGGATTTATTTAGTTTTCACGAGTTTATGCTTGAACAAGAAATTTCATGGCAGATATCTACACTCATTGTTTAAAAGTTATCTTGGTATCGTTCTAACTTTTGAGTTAGAACGATACCAACTAAATATACTATAGATAGCAAGGTGCAAACTAGAATAAAAGGTAAAAAGGATAAAGATCTATCTGTACCACAGACAACACAAGTGAAAAGGAATTACTTATGTAATATTTGCCTTCTATATTATCTGGTGTGTAATATATTTAAAATCTCTTCCATAAACTTGTTATGGCCCTCTAATAGTTAATTATTGTTTTGTCACGTAAGTTTTTGTAGTGTCAAGAATTATATATAACAAGACATTATATTGCATTGTATCGAATATTTTTTTTAATATCATACAGCAATACAATAATCTTGGTACTAATATTAAATATATTTTAAATATCTTAGCAAAAAAAATATGGCACTTGAGAGATGGATTAATGATCTCTAGTACTAAAGTAGTAGAAATAATTAAAGCAATAATTTTTACGTAACTTTCTTCAGCGTAATTTCAGTTCAATGAAAGAAGCCGTGTTGAAACTGTAATGGGCTTACACATGAGTAGACTACTAATTAGACTATATTTACTTAGAAACTTTATCTTTCTCCCTCCTGCAATACGCTTGATGAGATGACGACACCTCAAGTAGACACCGTAAGAAGCCCACACATCCACGACAGGTTTAATTAACTCTGAGTAAAATTCTGAAGTTTTTATTGTAATTCGTGTCTACACGGAGAAATAATTATGAGGGTAACACGGCTCTATAAGCATACAAGCATCTCATCCAGGTTCACCTATTGCGCTTGGAGTATAAGCTGTTTAGATGGATGAAAAACATATAAGCTGTTTTATAACGTTATTACTTTTTTTAATAACAATACGTATAGTAAATACGTAATGGAAACGCGGCAGATTTGAAGTTATCCTATCAATTTCCACTTGAAACTTTCTTAATTTTTATTACAATTAAAAAATTAAATTCGTTCATCCTTTTTGTACTCACCAAGGACAAGAACAACGGATACCACTGCCACTATTATTTTGATAGTACGCTTGTCCATCCCCATCTTGCGAGTGTACTGAGTAACTGTCAGGGATAAACTGCTCTCTGGAGCAGGGTGGGTGAATACACTAGGTCAGCGGGAATGTACGGTGTACATTGACGGCTTATATATATTTATATATCCCTTATTTTAAAAAATATATAGGTACAGGATATAGTAGCCACTTTATAACATCTTATTATTTGCGAGTATCGTATGGAATAAATAGAGAATGATTGAAGGTAACGTATAAAATATTTAAAAGTTATAATTTGTTTTTTCAGTCTATTGGCAAAGATGGAGACATCTGGGAAGGGTCCATATCCACAGGCGACTAACGTATAGCTATAAGTAAGTAAATACTTACAACGCTATTAACAACATTTGAAATGGAACTTAAGGGCTTTATTATTATTTGTCTTTACATTGGTCTGTTTCCTTATATGCTGATGACTGGTTTCGAGGACTCTTAGCGAGTTCCATTTAATTGAAATTAAAAGTGTGGTTTAACTTTAATTTATACATTTCTTTATTTTACACCGAAGTATACTTAGGATTCAAATCGTCATATCTAATTACTGTGCGATAAGTTTAAAACAAAATAATAATTGTTTATACATGAGCTTTCAAATTTTATAATTCAGTTTTGAGACAAATAGTATGTTCTTTATGTGCTATGGCCTTGTATCATACTTCATAATTTAAACTACCATAAAGTACAGAACCGTCAATGTAACATGGGGAGAACCTTTAGGACCATGATACGATAGACTCGCGGCGCCAACAGCGACGACTTGCTGTCGCCGGCTTTGTTGTCAAATAGCAATTTTGCATTTTATAGGTCAATCAGTTAACATCATCAATCTCAGATCTTTAATTAGTTTTTACCAATTCGTAGCTCGATCTTACCGATTTACCTGTATTTAAGATGAAAGTAAATTTATTGTTCGAGTCGATAAATTTGTATTATCTAAGCATTTTCTCCTGCAAGTGGAAACCCAAGTTTATTTGTTTTAAAAACAGGAAATATTTATTTTATTATACATCGTAGAATGCCCAAATTCCTGCTAAACTATTTCTGCCTGACTTGTTACATAGAAATCAGCGACGTGAAAACCAAAGCGTCTATACTCTATATGAATATTGGTCCAAACAAGCGTCTTAGAAGCATTTATTAGTACCTATACTAAATGATTTAGGTACATAAACCGGATTATGATGAAAAATAATTTAAAGATATGAATAACTTAGTTTTAAAGACATTATATGTAGATGGATCCTTCTTCTTTCTTCGAAGGTTCTTTTGTTTTCCTTGTGCTACCTACCTATATAGGACCTATGGTATAGGATATAGGGCAGTAGGATCGTCAGTGTGGCGCCGAGGGCGAGAACACCCCAAGCATTTTCTTAGGGCTAGATTGTACTGAATATGTTAAAATAATAATTTTATATCATAACCGCCTTCGACGTCGTACACACTAATATTATTATAAAGCCCTTGGGTTTGACCATATATAAATGGTTTCCATTTCGAATGTTATCTACTTGAATTTTAATAAATGACGATTAGCTAATCTACTTTTTTAAATCCAGTAAAAAATATCTATATCATTAATATTTCAGCTTAGAATTGTTTTAATCAACGAATTTACTATAACATAAAGTTACGTTTATGGGTGTTGTGTTTAAACAAATAAATATGCAAACAATTTTTAGGTTAGTATGTTTTTTCATTTGAAAACTATACATACACAAATCAAGTAATATTAAGTACATAAATAGATCTAACATAGTATTAGAGGGAGGATGGTAATGGAATGGGGAGGATCCCCGACAGCGCGGCGCCGAAAGGCTTTGCCAAGTGTTACTGAACTCGAAAACATTATTTACGTCATTGAATCTTATTGTATTACTATAATCGTAGGGTAACTTACTTATAAGTATTCATATACTTAGTTTAAAATTTCAAATTCAGTCCATGATATGAAATATGAGAAATAAAAGATTTATAATTATTGTTCAAATTATAGTCTTTTCAAATCTATTAATATAGATTTTTAATGGTAAACTAAGTACATTATTCATAACGATTAAATATAATTACAGTGGAATACACACTATAATGTAATAATGCAACATATATACTATGAAAATAACGCATAAAAAGTTACGCTTGTAATTCTACGCAGGTACAAAAGCGTACATTTTGTTTTTCGTAGACACAGACTAGTATGTCGTAGAGGCTAGTGACAAGTTACTCGTAAAAAACAACATTTCACGGCCTTGTTTGTGGGCAGCACACATTAGTAAAGTCAATAGACGTCTATAATTCTACTGGAAATCGATTTAAATGTTTAGATATATTTAAATCTATAGTATCGAATGAGGCACAGTTTGTAAATTAAGTACTTATATATTTGGACATCTATTACTATTAATAACTCTCGTTACTAATATTATGCTTCACTTTCTAATTATCATGCTGTTGACAGGTATTTATCACTAAGAACTAATTATTACCTTAAAATTCACGTCGACGATGACAGTTTCCGACGATACCCTTATATTTTGTAGCATAATAGCTTTCATGTGCACTTAAAAAATACTTGATACTACATCGGCGGAGTCTACATAGGACAGTCTCTAAGTTGTGCAGTTAAGGGCAGTTCTTGATCCACTACAAATTTAAAAATAAAAAATGTTGTTGTTTTATATCTAAAAACAATCTCTTCGTGTCAGTACGTCGTAACTGTATTCCAAAGTGTAATGGTAGAATTATGTTTGACATAATTTTTAAATAGGTTCATAATAACTAATGAGTAATGAATACGAGGTGTTGAAGTAAACGGTCTATTATTGCATTAAAAAGATCCCGGCGTCACATGGCGACTGGGCACAATTTTGTAACACGTAATTTTCAAAGCTATATTCATTATAAGTATAATTATAATACACGTAAGCCTTATAGTATCTCAATATTTTTTCATGACAATTTTTGTAAATTTATGACTAAGTAAAATGAAGATACAAAAAGGAAATATGATTACCATGTAAGATTTAAGGGTAAATTATAAAACTCAGATGGTTTTCTAAATATGTATGACATATATATTATAATATATATTGTATATTATGTGATTTAATTAGGTATAAAAAAGCAAAAGAGCATGCAAATACAGGGGGTCTAGTCTCTGAATATGATTCTGTCCCATTCGGTGTCGAGACCCTTGTTCTGTGGGGCCCTAGCGCTATATGGCTTTTTAAGGAAATAGCTAAAAGGTTAGTAGACATCATAGGCGACCGAAAAGCTGGCAGCTACGGACAAAGTATTAGCCTAGCTATTCAAAGGGGGAACACTGCCAGTATCTTGGGAACCTTGCCTAAAGGGACTTCTTCTAATAATATTATATTTTAGTTATTATAATTTATTTTATAAGGTTTTTAGTTTTAGATTCAAAGAATGTTATTTACGTTGCTTAATTAATGTAGTATCGTTAATAAGGTAATTAAAATGGGTATAATTATTAAGTATAATATATGAAGGCATGAGCCACGACTATATTTCTATTCACACAGGTATGATTTAGCTTTATGCAAGGTGGGAAAAGTAGTTGAAATCATAGAAGTACCTGAGATATACTGCAGGCACTGTCTTGAGCATTTTGCTTACCATTTTCTTAGCTTTAGTTTTAATATCACGAATATTGCCCTTCTACTATATTACCCTACCATCAAAACCCTAAACTAATTTGATATCTGACACTTAAAAATAAAGGGGAAGAGGGTATTAATGTTTTAATTGAAATAAATAAAACGCACAAAAAAGCTAAATTGGAACCAACTATTGCATATTTATTGACTCATCGTCCAGAAAACATTAAATATTAAACATTTATTTATTATTAATTTTAAAACTTTAAGCGTGTAAACAAAACTGTGTTGCCATGTGGCTATTCTAAAACGAATATAAAGAAATTGCCGACTAGGTGGCTATTGCTAATGTACCGGCAGCCGGCGCCAGGTAGGACCATGGCAGCCTTAGCCAACTGGTTCTTGGCCATCCCCCAGACGACCTTCAGAGTCCACGCGCCCTCAGCGCTTAATGTATGAAACAAAAATTGAGCAACTTTTAATTGCGCAATATTTTTCAGGCATTTACTGCGCAATCCTGCGAATAGAAGCCACGCGTTAAAGAGAAAAGAAATAGCGTTTAAAATGATCGTCTCGGGGTGACTTGACAGAAACTTAACCAATTGGCAAACTAACGTGGTGACCAATAACCGATTGGCCAATCACAATCTCGGAATGGCAGTATTGCAAGAACGCTGGACGTTGACTAGAGTTGGCCGAGGGTGATTGGCCACCAAGAACCCGCAGCTTAAGAGCGGTCCACCATCAGCTCGAAGTGCACCGAGCCTCGCCGCTCGTATCTATCGTACTGGATGTTCTTCGCCCACGCTTTGCACTCGATGTTGATGAGAACGCCGGCTGAAAAAAGATATTGCTGTAAGCTTTTCAGTGCTTCTTAAAAAACGTGTACATATTACAAAACTTATTCATTGTATAGTCACTGTGAGCAACAATGTTACGTATCTGTAATATATGTTTATGTTATAGGGTATGTAAGGGCTTCAATAACTTACTTCTAGGCTTCTCAAACAGCACAGCAACCAGAGGGCTCAAATAACCTTCCTTGTTGGTGAATGGATAGTAGAAGTTGGGGAAGCCGCGGCGTGGTATGTACTGAATTGGTCCAATGTTTTCCACATCTGCTGGGTTCTCACCCTCACACGACACCCACACCGTGTTTGCTTCAGGCTTGCCAGACTAGACAAATAATAAATAATGATTAATACCGAAGGGTATTTACTTATTTTAATATAAAGCGTCAACGAAAACTATCAATTTTCTAAACGGTTTTGTACATTTTATCCGTTTCAAAGATAACGATACGATAACGAAAAACGATCGTTGGTTGAATTAACAACACAGTTCTATTTAGATAGAGCATAGAGATGGTGTAACAAGATACAGAAGTAAAGAAAACGCAACACTTTGCAAAAAAAAAACAGCATCGTTTCAACGTAGTTGTCTAATAACATGTTAATACATACCACAAGTTTGATGTGTTGCTTAAGATCTTCAGGCATGTTGTCTGGTAAGCCTTCAGTGGTGTTGAATGCTAGCGGAGTCCAGTTGAAAATCTGTAAAGTGTAAACATACCTAATTTAATAACTTCTGATTACATTTTATTTATAGAAATGTATTCGATTACTCGCGCTACAATATTTTGATTGTCAAGTTTGAAGAGACAATTGATCACTTATATATTTTTACCTTGTTCAATTTCAGGAAAACACATGGGCCTCCCTCCTCGAAGTTGTACTGCTTGGCAGAGGTGCAGGGGTTGAAGTCATCTACGGGGACATCACACACTTGGTGCTCTCCAACCGGCGCAGAAGTGGGGCTACACGGGACACGGTTCTCTGCTCCAGTGGCTTCACCGCTTCCGCTACCCTTCTTGCGGTACTCTGAAAGTTAAAGATGATTACATCTTTATGATACGTCACAATATCTATTAAATAATAACTGAGGACTTCAGTAGTGTCTTTATTTCACGCGAGTGAAATATTTAAATATATAACACATATCAAATTTAATACATTTAACTCAATATTTCAAGTGCTTTACACTATTCGTCAAGTAAGACGTCTGAACGTGAGTTATGTAGATAGCGTAATAAATTTTATTTAAATTAAGGAGGAATCTTAAACCTGCGTCTCTGACCTCGGGTGTGGGAAGAATGAAATTTTAAGTTCAAAGATAGTGTTATGCAGTCAGTATGTATATTATTTAGTATACACAACATTATTTGTCACAAAAACACTCACTGCATACCAGAAAAGATAGTGTATACACAATTCGTGTACTTTTCCAACGTATTCGAATGAAAATAAAATGTGGAGAGGCAAATGTGGCGTGGATGTCTAAGTTTTAGATCAGTATATATTAGGCTCTGTAAGGACTGACCATCAAGAAAGTCATCGATGACCTGCGCCCACCGAAGCACGGATCCCTTGTCATTGGCTTTGTAGTAGATGAGGGTACTCTCTACAGTTGCGGAGTCGGGCATGGGACGAAAGCCGAGACCTGAAAATAAAACCACTTGTAAATGCGTGTAACTAGTAAAATTCGTGTTCTAAAAATATATTCTGAAGTTTTAATGCTACAAATGGGTTTTTTGGGAACTTCTTAAATTATTTGGAAATCAGTGTCTTGGAGATAATCTCAAGTTAATCAACACGAAGATGAAAATTTGAGCTATTTATTCCCAATGATAATATTTAGGAATGAGATCTATAACAAATTTATGCGAATGTTTGGCATGATTTCGTGGAATCTGATGCATTTGTGTGTTAACGACTGGATATTACGGGATTAGTACCAATTTTAATTATTCAACTGTCTCTTACTAATAAATCTAACAATGGTCTGAGGTTTACAAATTTTATTGTTCTTTATAAATACCTGGATTATTTCCAATGAGTGAGCTATCCATCTGCCATTTTGGAGTCTTAGCATCGAGGGTCTGATAGAAGATGGCCAGCATACCCGCGAAGAAACCCACCAGTATAGAGTAGAAGATCACGTAGAATAGGAGGATTTTGGCTAAAAACAATTTTTAATATTAACTAATTTAAACTTTTGTATATCATTATGTACATACTACAGAAATCTTTTATTATGTAGTTGTAGAAATATATCTCCCTATATACAGGCACTAACAAGTAAGCAAGTAGCCAATTTCCATTAAAATTATTAATTTATTTTGCAATAAATACTAATAATATAGTAATATACCTATGACAATAATTATTACTTAATTTAAACTGTGTAATTTAAAAAAAACATTATTGGCGTCCCAAATATCCGTCATAATTATATCAATTTGTAACGTTTGTACAAATTCCGTTAAAGAGTTCATTATTCCAATTCTTCTTATATTAATTGATTATTATTATTCAAGTTTATTATAATTGGAACCAAATAAGCTGTCACCAATACAAAAACAGCTTATTTAATTCTTTCAATTTCTACTTCTGAATAATCCATGAATTTTATTCTAATTTCGAAGCTTATCATCATCATCATACAAAGTAATATAACAAAATAACGCCACCAAGCGCCTCTTTGTTAGTATTTACCAAAATATTTGTTTTAAAATATTAGCACTTAGCCGTAATATTGTTGATGAAATGAGAACAATGTGCGTGTCTACAATCAACTAGAGGCACACCAGTAATTGTTCCTGATGACGCTGATACAGTTTAATTGTCAAACGAATGTTGACCGACTTTTATTGCTAAACATTCTCATCTTACCAAGATCTATATAAGATAAGATATATATAAGGTTTTAAATTTGTAACCTGTGTTATAATTATGACTTCGTTGATGGAGCGAGGACAAGTACGATATAATTAGAGTTGATTAGGCTAGACTTGTGAACAAACTCTAATGGCAAAAATAGAATAATTTTATTTATACATTATATATCCCTTTGAAATTAATACTAAAATTATCTTTGCATAGCTTTTAATACTAAAGTCTAATTCTGTCTAGCCGAAAAAGCCGAGATCATTCATTAATAATTTTAATAAGTTATCATACACATTTATACATGTTTAAATCTATCTTATTGTAACTTATGTCAGTCATTTCTAACGACACAAAAACCCCGCCCTTTGCATCACATCTCTGTTGTTTTTGAATATAACGTAATGCAAATTAAACTTTGTAATACTGTAGTAACACTAAGTGTGTTTTATTGAGAATATTCCACCGCTAAAATTAAATATATCTACAAATATCAAAATGATAATTGAACATTGAAGGTGCATTATTCATCCATTTCATTTCATTTCTAAATATAATATATCTATACTTTTACGACTAACTAAGTAGGGTAGACTGGGTACGGTTGTGCCAGGGTACGGTAGTGACAGTCCTTATAACAGCAAAACTATACGGACTGCGGGTAAGGGTCCAAGGGGAGGGAGAAGCGGCATGTTGGTCTAAACGTGTTCCCCACATTGTGTCAGATAGCGCGCGAAGCTAACGTCAGCAGGAATCTGCATTGCTTTTTAATAGTCAAAAGTAAGTTTTTTTGATGAATTTCTTTTAATATTTACTGTTATTTGTATACAGATAGATTATATCTTATATTTTTTTGTTATAAGTTGAATATTAGTAGTTAATTAAGAGTGATTAGTTTTTACGTAGGTTACTTGGCCCAGTCGTGGCGATTATTTGTTTTCGAAAGTATGCGTTGGGTACGGTTGTGACAAATGTTGTGGGTACGGTTGTGACATATTGTTTTTTTTATATTTTCTCATTTTAGATGCCCAGAACACGCTTGCGGAAGACTGAAAGAGCGCGGTCTGACATAAGTAAATATAAGCATGCTTATGAAGAAGTGAAGCGCGGGACTTCTTTACGCAGAGCTGCGGAAATGCATAACATTAACCGCATGTCGTTGTTGCGATACATCCGCAAACGTGATGAAATGGGTGCGAATCACGATGAAGATAGCATCCATATGGGTTACGTTGCTCATAATAAAGTATTTTCAAAGGAGCAAGAAGAAGAGCTATCAAAATATATCATACGATGTGCGGATATATATTTTGGTCTTGCTACAAAAGAGGTACGGAAGCTGGCATTTGAACTGACAACTAAATACAACATAAAACGACCTGCTACTTGGGTTGAAAATAATATGGCTGGTGAAGAATGGTTCCGTTCGTTTATGAATAGAAACCCGTCCCTGTCTGTACGTGTAGCTCAGGCTACAAGCCTTTCAAGAGCTACAAGTTTTAACAAAACTAATGTGGAAGCTTTTTATGATAATTTGCAAACTGTTTTGGACAGACACACATATGAGCCACAGGATATATACAATGTTGATGAGACAGGTGTCACTACCGTGCAAAGACCAGATAAAGTAGTGGCAAGACGTGGCATACGGCAAGTCGGAGCTGTTACATCAGCTGAACGTGGTACATTAGTAACAGTTGCTTGTGCAGTAAATGCCTTGGGAAATGCCATACCTCCTTTTTTCATTTTCCCGACAGTTCGTTATCATGATCACTTTGTTAGTGGGATCGATTGGAACGGCAAATCCTTCAGGCTGGATGCTGGATGAGTCGTTTTTAGTATTTTTAGAGCATTTCATAAAATTCTCTAATGCTTCTCTAACACATAAAGTGTTACTAGTGCTGGACAATCATTCTTCTCACATTCATATTAATACACTGGATTTTTGCAAATAAAATGGAATCACTCTGCTGTCATTTCCTCCTCATTGCTCGCACAAACTGCAACCATTAGACCGATCTGTCTTTGGGCCATTGAAAAAGGCTATAAATACTGCTTGTGACGGCTGGATGAGAAGTCACCCTGGCAAGACAATGTCTATTTACCACATACCAGGTATCATCAAGACTGCTATGCCGCAGGCTTTCACACAAGCGAACATTCAGGCAGGTTTCAGCAAAACTGGGATATATCCTTTTAATCGTAATTTATTCCAAAATATTGACTTTTCGCCATCTTTTGTAACGGACAGACCAAACCCTGACACCATTCCAATAAAAGTAATTATAAACCATTTCTGCGTATGCTTATATTTGTCACTACTGACCCCAAGCACTGTCTCAACCGTCCTTGGGCTGTGGTCGGTTGTGACACTTTCTCTTTTTTTTTATTTAGATGCTATAATTAATACAGTGTATTAAGGTATAACATTTTGGTATTTTTACGTAGACAAAAGTACAAAATAAGATTTAAATTACTTTTCTTGCAGCTAAATAGTAAACTAACAAAATTATTGGGACTCAAATCAAAATTGTCACAACCGTACCCAGTCTACCCTACCATAAACCCGCCTGTTTTAGGTCACCTAGGTCATGAAGAGTTTGGCGCATGCGTAGTTGTACTGCGGTATGTCATCAAAGGAAAACCAGTGAATCATTGCCCCATTTATGGTTTAGCATGATAAATTTCCTGAAGTAAAATATTACGGCAAGATATGTTGAAGACTTCTACAATTTTGTATGAACTATTTTCACTTTTTTTTAGTCGATTAATGTCAAGAAGTTATTGTTGGTTACAAATGGAAGTTAGCAATTGGCTTTTTCGTATAGAACGAAGCGATTCTGTCTGTGGTATTTAATAGCTCAGTTGCTATTTTTTCATCTGAGATGTCGTTTCTCTTTTAGCTGGGGAATGATGTCTTTAAAAAAAAACATCCGCTTCACGACATTAAGGTGGAGGATTGGATTGCCGGTATTCATACTTCTTATTTTTCTACTTAAATTTTCTTTTATTTATAATAACTAATATTTGGAATACATTCAAATAAATTGAAATAGAAATCACGTGATCAAATTTCTGTCAAGTGTCGATTGATGCACCTGTTCATGTGCATCTGAACATAAATGTTTAGTCATTATGTAAGCAGACATTGATGCTTTAAATATCATTTTCTTTTGCTTTAAGTTCAAAAACAATTCAATACAAAATATTCCTTTCATATTCCGCAAAAGCTGTAAGGCATGCGAACAATTTCTGTAACGTTAAATAATTTCTTCAAAGTTTAAAGGCTAATTCATATATTACATAATATAAAAGGTAGAAATAGATAGTCTTGAGATCTGATAAGGATTGTATGTCAGAAGGCTCGAGGCTGCGCAGACGGATGCGCGTAACTCCAATCGATCCAAGGACACTTATTTTGCTAGTGGTACACTTCGTACGAATTCGCTACTTCATCTTTAGAATTGCTATTTTAAGATAAATTTCCATGAATGAGTAAACAAAATGACTATTAAGGCAACATTTAATTAATAAATTCAAATACCTTAGCTGATATTTTAACTTGCTTATTACCGTAGTGTATTAAATATTTTAATAGGGTAAGGTACGAAGCGTTGTGCTTATCGTGGAGCTATTTATCGACAGATTTTTTAGACAGCTGTTCTTTTCGAAGAAAAAAATTATCACTTGTAGCGGGTGAGAGGTAAGGTAAGGTCATCAGTGTAAAATTTTATGATATGTTATCACTACTAATTGTACCAATATAAATTGATGAAAGTGCATGTTTTTCAAATTGATAAGAAATACAAATTATTGACGTACCCACGAAAAATGAAAAATGAATTGTCTGTGAAAGAAACTTGGTACATTAATGATACTTTTATGTATTATTGAACAGTTAAGCTGTTAAACAAATGCCACTCTTAATGATTACGGCTTGCAAAGACAATGCGTGACAATTATCAATGGTGATAAAATAAGAAATTGAATTATTGTCGATTACATTGCAATGGTATATTTTTGGGGTCTTACTATTGTCTTGAATCCTTGCATGAAGTAAAAATTGCATTCAAAAAGATTTAATTAAATAACCATAAGAATAATGTAACAATATCTAGATACCATTCGTTGTGTAATCTATAACTCAGGTATCATTTTAAAACTAAAATGAATAAATTACTTTTAAAAGAAATATAAGTTTCAATACTTTACAAAAAGATATCGTAATTTGTTGCCTATTTTTATATAAATTAATATCATACATAATCAATCTTTAAAAATGGCTTAGCTTAATTCCAATGAATTAAGCACAAGTTAGAACATGCTTGTATATCTAATTTAGTAATCTTACAAAGCAAGTATATGAGCCCTCTTTACCTATTTTTAAATAAAACTTCTTTAATTTATATAAACGCGTATAAATGTGTGAGATTGTGTTCTCTACGTAACTGGGCGTTTAAAGCGCTTTTATTAATTTTAAATATATTTACGTAAAAAAAATGCCATATTTAATATAATTTTACGAATCTAGAATCTCCAAGGATGCATGCCATGTGTATAGGCCAACAAATAATGGAACATAATATCAATAACCTGCTAATTAATGAAAAATACATTTAATATCTGTACTCTGGTTAAATAAATAAGTGTATAAGTAATGCTTCTTATGTAGGAATTTTAGCGAATAAGTACGTAATGTATGGTATCTCTTTTCTCTCGTATTTCTACTACACTTTGTTACTATCTGGGAACTCTTGACAAACCATTGGTTCACACCGATTTATAATATCTTCTACTCTTTAAGTTGTACCTTTTATTTGGAAATCTAATTTAGTTCCTATATATATTTCTTATATTTATGAATAATATTCTATTATTAAAATATGGATTGTTAAGTTTTAAGTCCAACTTATGTAAACCATATTATATCTTTATATAATCAACGCGAATAATTACACTTGATTTTAATTATTTTCATTGTCATATTGTTATCTCGCTTTAACTTCCGGTAGAGTTATGCGTCTGCGCAACTATATCCAATGTGTTAATTACCTAAACTAAATGACCCTTGAGTTATTTATTTTGTTTTGTCTAGTTCTGCATATATTACAATAGCTAATTTAGAAATATTTTCCTTATACTGTGCTTTCTATGCTGAATCTACAAATTGTACGTCAATATAACTGTTTCAAATATTTGACCAATATTATCTATTTAGATAGACATATCGAATCTATAGATAACTATTTCAGAAAAATTAGTTACTCTGTTACAAATAGAACATTATGTTATTGAATTATATGAGCTGAATTGAATAACTTTGAAAATGAAAAGAACATATGCTAAAATGTACACGACCGTGTTATGTAATGGGGTTGTTAGCAGACTCATTACTTATATAATCAATACTCATTTTTCTCTATGAGAAAATTGTATACAATTGGGAAAAGCAGGAAAATTGAATTTAGATCGATATATCGATTTTCCCTCCGAAAAAACGAATACTTACCCCAACTCGATCCCGTGCGTCCCAGGACCTGCCCCGTCTCCGAGTTGTAAAGGAAAATCCTGAAGGACTCCCATTTTCCCAGATCTGGTGGGGGAGCATAATACTGTTCAGTTACTTTAGTCTTGTCTGCCATGGTCGAACGCTGAGCCGGACTGCGGTGCGGAATCGATTGTGACCGCTGTGCACCCTCTCGCCCCTCTTCAGGTCCCTCCGCACCCCGTCGTACCCTCTGCAACCCTCGTCGGTTACGTAATGATTACGTAACGCTGCGCGCGCAACATTCAAACCAGAGAAAATCCCGCCTTTATATGCCAGCTACTGTAGGGCGTGGAAGCACGAGGGAGGTCAAATTTAACTGGCCACTGAATTAGGCTACGAAATGAAGTATTTTCATTTATTTAAAGATTCATAAATCTTTGTTTGGCTGACATTTTCAATAATCTATAAATTGTGTACTTTTAAATTTCACTTCACCTTATAGACTTTTTACTATTAAGTGTTATTATATTCACTCTACTAGCAAAGGCTTGCTTTACTCGAAACTAAATTCTTAAAAGGCCGGCATCGCACTTGCGAGTGATGTAATGTGAGTGTCAATTGTAATGTGAGTGTCAATTGGCTATCACTTAACATTAGGTGGCCCTCGTGCCCGTTTGCCCTCTGTTATATAATAAAAACTATCTTGTAGTTTAGTTAAAATCGGTGTATATCATTTTATACATATTACTTCAGTCATAAGCAACATACAACAATAACACATTGCCTGTCAAACGACGAATAAAATATGTTTGACTGACCCATATATAATTTGTATTATAGTATTTTAAAACTGATTGTTGAAATAAAAATTTAATTTGAACCATGTATTTATTCAAATATAAAATGCGTTCACAAACACAATAGCTTAAAAATATACGCCTGACATATTTCTCGCAGCAAAAGTTATCACAGTGCATTGAACTGTTCAATTTTGTAGGATAAAAAGTTGTACTGGTATTAACTCCATAAAAGTTAAGAATCTAAGCTTAATTTTGTCAACTTACATGGAGTTTAGCTCATTGCTTACAATGTCACATAATATCAATCCTATCTTTAAATATACGTATACTTAGAGCATTCTACTTTGCATCACATCTTTTTCAACCTTTTCTGGAATCGGATCATTCATCACATCAGCTTGAGGTTTCGTCCACGCTTGGCAGACACACGTGGGTCCCTGTCCTGATTGCCCATTGGACACCATGAAGCCTTGTCCGTTCATTTGTCCAGAACCATCGATGCCACTTCCTTGAAACTGGCCATTTGTGCTTTGGTACTGACCTGTCCCAGAAGTGCCTTGATAGTGCTGTCCCGAACTACCTTGATAAGAACCGGTTGTTCCATGATATTGACCTGAACCACCTTGATAATGGCCACCGTTTGGTTGGCTCGGTGCCTGACTTGTTCCTATGTATTGTCCACTTCCGCTGGCATATTGACTACCGTGGTTCAATTGATTTGGTACATTTTGGTAGACAACTTGATATTGTTGATTTTGGCCTTGTGTAGTGAAACCTTGATTGCCAGCGAAGCCTTGGAAATTGCCATTTTGTGGAAAATTCTGTTGATTGTATCCATTTTGGTAGTTAAATTGGTTCTGTGCGTTGAACTGTCCTTGATATTGGGATTGTGCGTTGAAGCCGTTTTGAAAATTTGCGTTTTGGGAGTTCCATTGTTGAGGGTACTGCTGGTATGGTGGGTTTGGTTGAGTTTGCTGCGATGGTTTGTTTTTATGACTTTGTACGATGTCTATTACACCATTAATGAACTTTTCTGGCAGAAGAACACCTGTACGTACGTCTTTTGTGGTCGTTGTTGAGGTGACATCGCGACTGGCAATCGCTAAGATCTGTAAAAGATTAAAATTATTATTGATAAATGACTTAACTAAACCAATGTAACTACCTAATTTTTATATCATTAATAATCCCAAATATTTTTATTTACAGCATCGATGTCAAACAATAATTTTAGTATAATATACTAACTTACATATTACCGTAATCTACCAACAAATTTCATTACTTTAATGTATATAGTTAGATTATCAAAAACGGGTAATAACTATTGCTATTATCATATATTATCTAGTTTAGAAAATAATTATTATGTGCTACATACGAGGAAGTACAATAAATAGTGAAAATGCGATCTCCTTGGACATAAATAAAAGATTTTGTCGAAGAAAATGAAGAGAGCGATTAAGACCGATTGAGAGAGAGTAAGAAGGGCAAATTACCTTAATGAAATTCTATTTTTAAAATTAAAGTTTCGTAATAATTAAGTATGAAATATTAGTAAATAATTTATGTCTTGCATAGCTATTTGGTACTTTATCCATACATTGTGAAACAGACCCTAAATGAAGATTTATATATGTATTAAATAAAATGATTATATGTAGTATTAGAAAATAAAAGAAAGTTTCAACGTGAATGGGAGAGAATTTTACAAATCTGTTTGGGCTAGGTACAATAAGGTTTTGGCCGATTTTGCCTTGCTTCAAAACTATGAACGAAACATGGCAAAGCGACATCTACATTCTACGGCAACAATCACTGCGATGACGTCATACCCTGAAACGCGCTAACCTACTTATTTCGGCCGCTAAGGATGTATGCAACTTCTAGATCTTAGCCACTGGGGCCTTTGACCTCCCTTCAGGACTTGAAAGACCGTCATCTCCAACTCAGAAGAAATTTTAGTCAATTCTACTCACCAGTAAAATCACGGGCTGTTTTTTCTGGGACAGCCAAAGTGTGGTAATGAATACCTTAATCATGGAACTACAATTACCCTATTACAGAGACTTTTCACGCAGGACAAATAATAAAGTTGCAAACTGCAAACGCAACGGCGTGGCAAACTGTGTAAAGTTGTTTTATTTCACTATGACAGGCGCCGCGTTAATAATATACAAGAACCTGGCTTCGAATTGATGGAAGATCCTCCATATTCTACGGACCTAGCTTCTAGTGATTTCTACCTATTACTACGGTTAAGGGCCGATTTACATTATCTTAGTGTTTAGGAGAGTATTTTAGTACAAGTTGAAAGGCAAGTTCTTTAGTGCTTTAGTGCGTTGCGAGTGAACGTTTACATTTCTTCCAGTAGAGTATCATTATTCATTACAGCGCCACAATGAACGCGCAACGACGTCGGCAAATACGCTCTATTCTAAATACTAACTGTAGTTATGGAACAAATAGAAGACGAGATTTTATTCGAAATAAATAAACTAAATATAAATAATAAATAAAATAGCTTCTTTTAAGGCAGTGTATGCCGAATGCCTAGCCTGTTTGTTTTTGTAAAAATTGTTTTTAATGTTCCACAAACATTCGTGAACAACATATTCAGACACAAATTTGATAGTTTTATCTTCCGACCGTTTAGCCATCTTTAAAAATAAAAAAACACGCACGCGTTTCACGGCACTTGTGCACTCTCCTAAAGATTTTACTAAGTTACGTTTACACACAACGAGGAAAGATCTCGAGGATGCGCGGGCGCGGGAAAAAGCGATTCTATTTTGATTCAACTTGAAAGTCAAGTAGAACCGTACTAAAGCAAGTAGCGTTTATATGTTTCAACTAAAGCACTCTGCTAAACACTAAGATAATGTAAATCGGCCCTTAAGGAACATCGCAGTGCCTACTGTCATCATCTTCAATGGAGGCGCCGCGATACACGATTTCTTAAGGGATCAGGAACAAGAGATATTTTTTTAAGCGAATTTCAGCTATAGAAAAAGATATACAAATCTGATAGGTAACTACGTCGAAAAATAAAGTAACATTTAATTAAACAAAAAAATATTGCGTCATACTTATTATCACTTTCTAATTTTTATTGAACACTCCTAGTATTTAAATCTCTATTTTTATTATGTAATTATAATTATGTATTGTATAAAGTAAGGATTTTTAATAATTAATGTAAGGACTATTTTGTATAAAATATTTAAAACTTTTTAGTAATTTATTGACCACTCCTATTATTTTAATCTTTATTTTTATTCTGTAATTATAATTATGTATTGTATAAAGTAAGGATTTTTAATAATTAATGTTAGGACTATTTTGTATAAAATATTTAAAACTTTTTAGTAATTTATTGACCACTCCTATTATTTTAATCTTTATTTTTATTCTGTAATTATAATTATGTATTGTATAAAGTAAGGATTTGTAATAATTAATGTAAGGACTATTTTGTATAAAATATTTAAAACTTTTTAGTAATTTATTGACCACTCCTATTATTTTAATCTTTATTTTTATTCTGTAATTATAATTATGTATTGTAAAAAGTAAGGATTTCTAATAAGTAATGGAACGACTATTTTTAATCGAGACTTAAACAATAGTTTGGATAATAAATTAAAACTTTTGACTAATAACTTACGATTAAGCAGACGGTGTACTTCACTTCCATATCGTCGGACTGAAGGTTCCTTCCGTGATGGTGAAAATTCCCAAGGACGCGCTTTTATATCGCACTCGACAAGATAGAACCTGCCCCTCTGTCCTTTCTCTTAGGGCTGCCACTAATTGAAATATAATTTTAATAAGTTAACTAGGTCAAAGGCATCATAAATGTAGTTTCATAAATAGTACTTAAATATTTTAAATCAGTCCGAGGTTTGAGTCTAAGTAATAAAATTATTTCAAATTGTCATTAGAAAACCCAATAAAATAAAGGTCCTGCTCTCCCTTCAACCTAAAGGGAGAAGACATTCATAGCGGTCGGAATAACTTTGTTTGCGCGTATCAGGGTATGACGTCACAATTTGAAAAGAGCTGTGAACTGTATGTGTAAAGAAGCGAAGCAATGATCCTTATATGAATAAATGTGTAAATAAAAACAAACGAAGAGAGAAAAATAAATCTTTAGCCAGCCCTATAAAATTGCAAGTTGTTCTGTATCTGAGTGATGTACCGATGTGATCGAGGAGGCGGTGCGCGAAATATCTCGCCCTGTGGCCTACAGTCCCGCTATACGAAAATTAAGTGATGTGTTAATATTGATATCGATAAAAATATGGACTATGCCCGCGGATTCACCTGTATACATTTAAAGTAAATGCGTGCGTGGTAATTGATTACTTTGTAGACGAGTTATATGAAAATTACAATATCTCCTTAAATGTTCAATAAAATCAAATGTTTTTGTTTCAAATTAAATGTAAATTTAATACTTACAATAAAAAAATATTAATATTTATACTAAATTTCTTGTGATGAAAGACATATTTATTTGGTATAAAAGAATCCTTGTGGATAAATATAACATCTTAGCAAGTTATCAAATATATATTTCAGAACAAATTTGAGTATCGTAATAGGATAGTGAGTCTATGTTCAGAGATAGACATGCTGTCATATATTTTTTTAGGTTTTAGGGAGCAATTCTGCTATGTAATGTTATATGTAATGTTCGCAACATTATCCGAGTACGCAGCAAGAGAAGGTCTCAATGAAGAATATTTTTTCCTCTTCAAAAACCAGGTATGTGTACACATTGAAACTATACCATTTGAAAATATCATTAAATAAATATCGGTCTAAACTCTAAAGTCACAGATTTTTTTATTAATAATTTACATGAAATCTATATAGTCTTTGGATTATTCAAACGACCAGAAAAAACAAACTATATTACGTATCGTTAACGTATATATATCACCTACAGAAAGTGCAAGCAAAGAAAACAAGCAAGTTTAAGACATTACAAAAACATAATTAATTATCGATATCGATTGTGACGATCGCATCTCTAGACAACCAATTTGCTGATTGACGCCGGAGCCAGGCAATCCGTTCGATACAAATGCTTTTTTTGTTTCTTTTTAATAAAATTAACTTGATCATTGTCGAATGAGGATTTATTATCTTAGCCCCGATCGGATTCGCGGAAGGCGCATTTGTACTTCCATTTGTGAGGTAATTTGATTTTAAAATTACGTACTTGTAATAACTTTAAGGATAAGTATCGTAAGAACACTGAATAAAATACTGTAATAATTTAAAGTCATATTAACATATATTTAACTTTCATTAAAGTTTAATCATTTATATACAATTTATATTTTTCATTAACAACGGCATTAATTTCATTTCGGATTCAGAGATGTGACTTAGCACAAACTATGACTTCCATATGTCAAAATCTAAGAGGTTTTGGACATACGGAAGTGACACTTAGCGCTGTCTTGTTTCCGAATCCTACACTTATCTATCTACAATTCAATTTTAATACATATGGAGCAGATCTCTCTAGTAATGGGCCATGTGATACAAGTGCATGAAAGATTTATATATATTTTATACAAAGTAGATAGTAACAGTGAGCCCTGGTTTCCGGTATGAGCATCCTGAATACATAATTACGGGTACTGTGTAAAGTAAATAATATGTAAATATATGATTACAAGTGTATTACTAATATGATTACAAGTAAAGTCTCCTTCTAAAGTGACTTGTCAAATTTAGGTACACTACTCGTCCTTTTTTTTCTTTTTTTTTTAACGATAAAAAGCTTATCAACGCTCGGCACACTGATACATTGGTAAAAACAAACACACAATACAATTTTCATGTGACAAGCTCTTAAAGGCAAACATGACACACATGTAGAGATCATACAAATATCAATCAAAACAATTATCAAACAAAAAAAACAATTACTAATAAAAAAAAATTAAAATTACAAAAAAACTAAACAAAAATCGATTTTATAGTGTGAGGGGAGCAACTATGGAAATCCAGACCTAGCTAGTTCTGAACAATTCATGAAAGACTTTCGAGTAAATGGAGTAATTGTAGATTTTACTTACATACTTTTTTACATATTTTGTATCATTTCTATATTATCCCATATATGGCTAATGATACCATATGTGGTGCCCAGCAGACACGAATTCGATTTGTTGTGCAATATTTTATTCAAGTTGGTAGAAAAAACAAATTTTATCATGCTATTAAAACATGAACACAAAGATTAGGATAATTTAAAACAACCGCGTTGTATTCTAGAATAAAGAACTTGTAAGATACATAGATAGTTATTCAGCCAGCGACTCTCATCCCTGTGGTCCTACGTTCAATCTCCGGCCGTGTACCAACACTCTATTTAGCACTCGCTCGTACGGTGAAGGAAAACATCGTTAAGTCACGCAGGCACAGAAGGTTGATCACCTACTTGCCTATTAGAAACAATCACAGAGACAGAAACCCGACACCCAGACCTAAAAGGTTTTAAGGTAACTTCTGTAATTCCCGACACGTTCCTAGACCTCCCCACTACATAATTGCAAATTCGCAGGAAACGTCTGGTGTCGAGGCAAAACTAATTAAATGACGTCTCAAATTATAAACGGGAGGTGAGATTGCTCGACTATTCCTTTGTGGGGTCAGGGATAGCTTCATGCAGTAAACACGCATTACTGAAGGGAATTCCGGGACGAGTTTAGGTATATATTATGCATCTTACAAGAACAACTTCCACTTACCGCGCAATCCTAAATTAGCGATCAGCACTACCGATATTGAAGACTATATATTTAATAATATGTAAATTTATTACCTTTATCTATCATGTGATAGAAATTACATAGGATACTGCCGTGCGATTCTGTTAATCCGTGAGTTCCCCTCGCACTAACAACGCTCCCTTCGTCACTCACGTCATTTTTGGAATCTCATGGGATTCTGTTAAGCAATTTCACATTACGTCTTGACAAGCGGAGGGAGCTTGTAGTTTATTGTTAATCAGAATGCCAAATCGTAACTGCAAATGACTGCTTCACGACTGATTTGAGCGCGAAAACCGCTGAGGAAGTTCGAAACGTGAGTTACAGAATCGCAAGGCAGGTCCACAAATCCCCGTCAAATACCGTAGGCGTTCAATTAAAATCCAGAAGAAAAGCGTCCCAAACAGATCAGCACCTTAACTCTGCTAGCTTTTGGGATAGCTATTGGAAGTAACAGTGTAAAGGCTCTGTTGATGTAATAGTAGGTGCAGTTGCAGTTGGGGCAGAGATAATCGTAGAGACGTGGAGCAAGATAAAAGACGAAGGGTTACTGTGGACACTAATCTGCCCCTTTCGGGGAAATATTTACAATACGTATAATAAGTCTGCGGACACAAATTGACTAATAATTATAATCTACCGCTTAGCTCACCCTTCACATATTATGTATGTTATAGCGAAAACAATCTTTATTTAAATTTAGCTATTTCAAGTTTTTAAAAACGAATGCTTTGCGTATCACTTCAAGATTATGATACGTGGATGGAATCAGAAAACTAATACGTCTGTTGTCCTATAAACGAATACGTTGTTCCCAAATAGGGTTTAGGGCAGATATGTTTGCATCTGAAGACATGAAAAATTATTGCAATGAAGACTCAAATGACTATTACACAACTATTGTTTCGCCATGGGCCAAATACTTTACATTAATTCAAATACTTTTTACCCTCTACAACGCTTGAGGTTACCCCGAGCTAACTAGGTATATTAAAGAAAACCTCCTACGAATCATATTAAAGGTCAGTAATTGTCTAGTGACGCATTACATCGTCCTATTATCCTGTGTCGGTTGACGGTTGCGCGGGCGCATTCATTGCGTGCACACTACTCTGCCCATCTTCCTGACATGTAAGTTGCGAATCTTTTTAAAAAATACTATTATCAACAGATTTAAATTAACATTAAAGAGCATAAAGTGGGAGAACAATATTATAATTCATTCGATGCCTTACGGTTTAACACTGTGTTTAATATTGTGAATTATTTCTTTATTTTTAGTTTATTATAACAATAATTTATTTTTCTTACAATTTTATTAAATATTTAGGGCAGCCACAAATGTAAGGATTAAGAATAAGTATATAAAAGATATGCCACATCAATTAATTGTTTTTATTATAAATACGTTTTATTTTATTCATGTATCAACATTATACAAATACTTTACATTAGCTTTATATATACTAACATTTCTCTTGCAGATCCAACTTTTCAAGATGACAGTGAAAAAGCGTCCATCAGACCTCTCCAGTCTGGAGCGGTTCAACATGTATTACCGGGAGAAGGAAGCACCACTCCCAAATAGTCAGAAGATGAAGAGGTTCGTCTGGAACCCAAAGACAAGACAGTTCTGTGGCAGGACCGGTGCTAGTTGGTGTAAGTATGCAAATCCCAAAGTATTTTCATTCTTTTTTAACTATTAACTTCTTAATTAACGTTAAATGTTGTTCTATTGTGAATTCTATCAAAAAAGCACTAAGCTGAGTATAATTAATGTAAGAGAATCAATTGTCTGAATTAGAACTGTTGAGACTCAACGCAACTCACAACACTCAGCTTAAGAAAACTAAGTAAGGTAGGTAACAAATTGATTGTAGTCTTGTATGTTTTGTACCCTTAACTTACTGGCCACAAAAGTGAGCGTGAACAGAGTGTAAAGAATCTTTGCGGTTGATTTGTAAACTAGGATTTTGCTGAAAGTTTCAATAATTAACAATTAAAACGTAATATACTTAGGTATTGCTTAGATTTTTCACATCAGGAATAAACTCTTAGCCTCAGGATTACGCTTTACAAGATTCAAAACTATTTAGTATTAGAATTTCGGTAGTTTAGAAACATAAGAGCAGTCAAGGTCCGCACAAGACGGCCCCGCCGGAAGCGACGCCGGTGCAGAATTGGACTCATTGCTACATCCTGTGACACTGCCACACTAGTTGTGGCTAGTAGGCAGTAGCGTCCAGTTTGATCTTGAAATTAATATTATTCAAAGATAAGAAATAAAAGAAAGAAGAAATGGGTTAATTTAATTTAGGAAGTTTTTGTTGTACTAGCAGATAATAAATTCTACAAAGGTTCGAATTCTTTCTATTCTTATTTTAAAAACCTAACTAGCACTATACTACTACATCTACTAATACTACTCTAACGTAAAACTTTGTGTATTTAAAGTACGTATGTTTTAAATAAGTAGAACTGTTAAAAGATAAGTTATTAAATCTTTAAATATGTATGTGTGTGTGCACTAGTACTACTCATTTGAAGGATACTATAACGGATAGCTTCGACTGCTGTAAAGCCGGTGTAAATAACGTAACAAGGTTGAATTTGTACCGGTTAAAGGAAAAAATATAAGTAAAAATACCTTTTAATTCACTCGTAATAGGCTGTTTGAATGTAAGACTATTGAAGAATTTTATTTTTTCAGCGAAAATAGCGTTATTTTACTTCATCTTCTATGCGGCGTTGGCTCTTCTCGTTGCGATATGCATGTGGACCTTCCTCCAAATGCTAGATGCTCGTCAGCCTAGGTGGCAGCTGGAGAGTTCAATTATTGGAACCAACCCAGGTCTAGGCTTCAGACCTACTCCACCAGAGGTCGCTAGCAGCGTAGTCTGGTACCGGGGAAACAATCCTGGAAGCTATCAATTGTGGGTGAAGGAGCTATCGACGTTTTTAGAAGGTACTAGTCTTACCGAAATGATACAATTGAGACACAAACCCTTAATGACTAGGCTCTAAGGGTCTCAGAAGCGAGAATTGGCGCTACGTCAGCCCCGTACGTCAATAATGTATTGGATTTTGACGGATGGTTCGCGCTACGTCTCGTTTCAGAATACCACCCTAACACTGTTCATCGCCCATCAATAATTAGACATACACATATAATTTATTACAAACAAAACACACAAAATAATAATAATTAAAGAAAAAAATTAAATAAAAAATATAATGAGAGATATATAAAAAAAAGTTCGATTCAAGTGTGTAATGCGTATATGCTGTGTCTATAATAAGAACTGCCTCAGCATTATGCTGAAGAGCAGAATGTTCCACAGCGCTGGTCATTCTGCCAGAGACCACATCAGCTAGTTTACATTGTGACAATTAACTAAATTATTGACTTATCACCATAATCTATTAAAACTTGCCTTATCATGCTTTAAATAACGATTCTGGACGAATTAAAAAGATTTTTAATGTGTTTCTATATTTTTAATTTTAATACAATACGCTCATCAGCACCTTGATTGTTGTAACATTGTAATACATACTAAGACAATTCTTTAATGTAAGTTTAGGTCATTTTAATTAGGTGAATATGGTTACGAAATTCCGACATGCAAGGGACTAAATAAGCAAATAAATATTCTTTATTTTAGCATACAAACGTGATGGGAAAAAGACGAGTGCCGGCCAAAATATTCACAATTGTGATTTTAAGCTACCGCCTCCTGCCGGCAAAGTCTGTGATGTAGATATTAGCGCCTGGGGCCCTTGTGTTGAGGAGAATAACTTCGCATACCACAAATCAACGCCGTGTATCTTCTTAAAACTGAACAAAATATACGCTTGGAAACCAAAGTTCTATGATAGTTCTGAAAACTTGCCTGAACAAATGCCCATTGATTTGAAGGAACATATCAAAAACATGACTGCGTATGATAAAAATTATGTAAGTTAGTAATTCTATAAGCTGACAACGCACTCGCGTACCCATTGTGATTGTCCATGAGCAATATTTCTTACCATCTGGCAAACCTCACCGTTTGTCCTATAAATAGTGTCTTAAACCAATAATCAACGATTACCTTTTGTATTTAATAATTTATTACTACATCATAAATAATACGTTTAAAAAATGAATTTTCGGCGAAATTATATTTGTCAATCTTAATTACCAAGGATTTAACAGTTTTGGCCACTTACCGAAGTACATAACGAAACGAAAGAGCAAAAGACTGCTTCTTGTTTAAAGAAATATATAACAAAAAAAATCTATCTGTACGGGCAATAAATTTGCCCGAAGAAAGCTTTGTAAAACGCATTACGGTTTTATAAAGAATGAGTATTCATTGATCTGAAATAATAATAATATTACAGCTTAACATGGTGTGGGTATCATGTCAAGGCGAGAACCCCGCTGATAGAGAGAACATTGGACCCATTCAATATTTGCCTTATAGAGGGTTCCCGGGTTATTATTTCCCGTATACAAACCAGGAAGGTTACCTCAGTCCTTTAGTAGCTGTTCATCTGCAGAGGCCTAAAAGTAAGTGTAATTTAATATTTCCATTAGGCTGACATTACCAATAAAATGTAATAGTATCCGAGTCACTTTCGTTTTTCATTACAAGTATTGTAAGATGTCACAGAAGTGGGTCTTCACTGCCTTATGCTTTGTTTTAAACTCTATATGGACATTGGACAGGTATTCTTAACTGTGTTGCGAGACGTAGGTAATATTGCATATGCTTTACTAATTTAATTTAAATGGAATTTCTTTATAAGATATAATATTCATTGATTAATTCATTAAGAGTAGCTTAATCGAAATTCAAGTACATATGTAATTCGAGTTATGTCTGTAATAAACTCGCGTTAATATCCTAAAATAATTAACTGTTAAGATATATTATGTATAATTAATAATTTAATTGCCACCACAGAGTGCAAATGTAAGTGGCAAAATCACATAATATTGTTACCAGTCAGAAATCTCTTCACAAATACAACCGTGAACTTTAACTATCAAAGCTGCTTACGTCTGATACATAATAAATTACTAAATTACTTAACTATTACAGCCGGGATGCTCATAAACATAGAATGCAGAGCGTGGGCCCACAATATCAAGTACGACCGAGGAGAGGGGATGGGATCTGTGCACATTGAGATAATGGTCGAATAATTCACACACAAACGACGTAAGCTAGTTTTAAGAACTATCAAATTTATCTGGCGATTTTCATTTGATGGATCTCAAAACTAGACATACGGGCGTACGACAAATTGTAGTTATTGCGTATTCATTTGAAGAATGTTTGAGTAAATTATTGAATGACATTTGTATTTTTTATTACTTCCTTTAAAAAAATATTTACGTGCGTGGGTAAACATGCCAAACACAATTGTGTGTATTCAACTAAAAAGGATTTCATTATAATCTAAAATATCCAATAAAAACGAAACAATCAGTTTTGTTGGTAGTACAGTGGGCAAAATATACATACATACAGATATTCAACTCTGTTAGAATGTACCTAAAGCATAAGACAAAACGATGGCTCCTTTCGTGTGATTGTGATTGGTCACCGTATGGTGTGTCTGTGACTTCAACCAATCACAATAAAAAGAGACTATCGCTAGGTCTTACATTTTAGATTCTCATAACCCGGGATGTATCCCATTAAGATGTATCTTCACTATTTTATTTTGTTTGTTACTTTAGATGCTCAGATGTAGAATATCTTTGAATATTTTGTATCTGCAAAAAGGCTGGTGACCACAGAACTTCTATAGTCCTATTATAGGCACCAGCCTCACTCATAGATGGTCAATAGCTGTAGTAAGTAAACTTGTAAAATGCAATATTGTGGATAAGCAAATAAATTTTATTATTATTGAAGTTGTACTTTTGGCGCGTTAGGGATAAATGATGAGAGTAAATTTTTACGATGCGCGCGCACACCGTCTCAAAAAACCGACACCCTGTAGTTACCTATAGTAAACATTTTAGTTGTCTTGTTCTATTGTTAGTGTCGTTTTTTCAACAAACATAGAATAACATTTTTATCTTGTTACGCCAAAGAAGTATAACTTCTAACGCGTGTACATAAGTACACACACGTATGTTTATTATTTTTACAATACATATATGTTTTCGTTGATGTAGGTTTATGGGTAATGAAATAAGATGTAACTCAAATAGAATTTAATAACTTCTCTAAAGTGCTTTTACTACATATACATAACATCAACATACATTACCAGAGTACCGACATTTCCAAAGGCACAGTCAAGGCACTGCTTTAATTAACAAATAATTATTAGTTCCTCTTGGTTAGAAACTTCGAAGAGATATTTAAGTATTCACTTTATTTAAAGTTTTTAATTAAACAATGTTATCAGAAATGTTTTAAATCAGAATTCTTTCATATTTGTAAGCATTAGTGATTTACGTCCATGGTGTATAAGCAATATTTTTTGATTCGATTATCGGCAAAACAAAAATGAAGTGTCTATTTGTGTAAAACCAGGGCCGGTTTTAGAGGTCTTGAGGCATGGGGGCAACAAAGGCCAAAAAAAATTTTTTCCAGCCGAGATTTACAATCAATAGATTAAAATTTGAAAAAATGAAAAGTTGTTTACTAGTCTGAATTTAATACATTTTTTCCCGAATTCTCTATTGTGGGGGCTCTTTTGTGGAAGCCCCAGGGCTATAGTCCCGGTTGCCCTCCCCTAAATCCGGCCCTTTGTAAAACAATGTTATGGTAGCAGACAAAGACAGTTTGATTCCAGAACTTCAAAAAATAACTGTAATGTTTTGCTACAGATATTCTAGCGAATTGTGCAAAGTTCTGCTTACATTTTCACATAACATTCGCCTCTAAGAGAGATTACATATACATAAAAAAATTGTCAAAAACATTATTTTTAAATATAATTTCATCTAATATACTAGTTCAGTACATTGACGCAGAAGTGTGCGACAAGCAATAAAAGCAATGTTTTCTTGGCATAGACTATAGAGCAAGAGTTATTATAAACTTCATACTGGTATCTACGTATAACAATTAAGAAACAAAACAAGAGAATTTATTTGATTTTCTCTTGAGTTATTATTACTATTTGTATATCCAAGTAGTTCCGAACGCCGCGAAAGGCGCAGCCTACGCTAAAAAAGTTTCTATAGCTGTAAAGCTATAATATGACGTAAATATATACCATTGCATTAATTTATTTAATTTCAAGATCAAGTATAATTATGAAATGTTTAAATAATTATGAGTACTAAAAATCTACTCACGAAGGTTACTTTGGAAAATCTGAATTATCTGAAATTTTTATAATGACGCCATCGGCCGACAAAAAATATTCGATATAGTTTTTTAACTGATAAAATCGGAATCATTATTAAGGTTATAGACTTATCTAGTAAACTTTATATATTCCATGTGTAATTTAGGTTAATCATCTATGAAGTTTATAAGAACCCTGAGAAAACTTCTGAAAACCTAGTCCACCATAATCTCGAGGTGAGTGGAGCCCATTCTCTCCTTTAAACTCTCAGTGAAGACAATGTTGCGCGCCCAAGCTCTGCACCGGATGTTAATTATTTGACCACCTGGAATAAAAGAAGGTAATACTTTACTCTCAAGCTGAAGAAGAATGTAATGTAAAATGTTTTGGCATTGTATATTGTGTTTTCGTTTTTATAATATGTATTTTTGTAGCAGTAAATTTACTTATAAATAAATTAAGAATTATGTTAATTGATTAGAAAATTCAACAAAAGCGTTTGATGAAATAATCATATCAAAGTTCTATAGACCAATTTGAATAAATTCAATTGAATCTCACACTGTAATATAGTCGCGCAAGGCTTTTGAGAATTTTAACACCAACTGTTATTTCCAGAAAATATGTTATAGCATTTTTGTTACATATTTTATGAATACCCGTAATTCGAACATTACCGAAAAATTTCCATGTTTTTAAAACAACATTTCAAATTAATCAGTCGGTAAAGCGACGGATCTGATAGAAACATGTGATTTTTCTAGAAAACTGTGTAATTTAATTAAGTTATGTATTGAGATCTGCCTACTATAGTTTATATAAATCTACATAATATAAGTTTTGGAAAAAAAAATCAATTAATGTTTATTTACGTGAAACATTATAATTAATATTAATTTGATAACATAATAGTATATTTTAACAATTTTTTTTTATTATTATAGTTATGCTTTTATTTACACAAATACAGTATTTACAATTTTCTTAACCTATAAAGTAATAATAAAAATAATTAAAGAAGAAAGAAGAAAATCAAAACAAATTTAAAAAGTTTGGTCCCTGTGGCAAATAATAATAATTAAGTTATTATTTTTATTTTGTTTCAATACAAACCATTTTGTTTGCTTGTATGCCAATTTTCATTACAACAGAATAGAATTAAAATAATTATAGTATTGTCTTTGATTAACATAACTTTTATTCATTTAATAAAACACTATTTTGACCGGATTGAAGTTATGTATTATTATAAATTTACAACTATTTAACATAATTTTAAATTTATCCGACGTTTCGCGTGCTTTACAGCGTGCGTGGTCACGGTGACCACGTTGTAAATTTATAATAATACATAACTTCAATCCGGTCAAAATAGTGTTTTATTAAATAAAATAATTATGACAAAAACTAACATGATTATTTTATTTTGAAATGGCTGCCCTGTACAGTTTACTATTTGTCAGATCCGTCACTATTCTACGACTATGACGATTTGTTCCTAATCCAAACATGTATATTACATTAAACTTAATAAGCATTAATCTCGGTATGAATACGCACGTATAGGATTCAAGAGTTGCACAGCGACTAGAGGACTGAGGTATCCGGGTGTATTGTTGTAGGGGAAATAGATCTCCGGTAGTCCAGGATATGGCCAGTACCGCAAGGGTCCCAGTGATTCTGTGTCTGCCGGCCGCTCGCCCTTGCACGACAACCATACTTGGCGACGCTAACATATGGAATTAATTATTAAGAACCACGTACCGACAATCACTTGTAAAGTTAAAGTAAAGTTATTTTGGGAAGCTGTTAAGGATCATTAGGTATATTGTTTGGCAAAAAAAAAATTTACTGTGAATTGTGCTTCTTGTACTTACTGGAGGCAAAATGTTTCTGATAAACATATTTATATGGGCTTTCATACTGACTAAAGTAAATTAATTTTCATCCGCATGTCAAAATTTCAACCAATATTCGTTTCTAATAATTGCCTAAATACAAAGACTCATGCTTTTATCTTTGACGACGATAAACTTCCATACAAACTTTCTACAGTTATTTTAACCACTTCAACACACTTTTTTGCTATAAAAAGGTAGAACCAAAGTAGACTTAGCTACTTTCGCATTTTTAAAATATATAGTCGGTAGTAGGAAAGTAAGTTTAAGGAAACTATTTTCCCTTTGTAAGAAATTACACTTATCCTACTTCTTAACTGCTAAACATCTTCAAAGCTAAATCGGTAATGCAATAAGTACGAGTTGCCGTATTAAATTTGAAAACAATTACAATAATCAAGTGTTATGGGCAATGTATAATAATATATTATCGACGTGGAAACGTGGACTAAAATCGAGATTATAACCATGTGTTATTTCCATGTAGGAAGTGATAAAACTACATTTGCTTACACATACTTAATAATAATGATGAAAAAAGCCAACTGCTATTTTATATTCTACTAGTACTTTATACTGGTAATATAATGATGAAGGACGAAATCGGACTTACCTCTTGTGGTGTCTTAGTGGTATTTATATAGTTCAAGATGTCCGGTGGCATGTTGGATGGCAAGTCACCAGGGTCGTCGTAAAACTGGGGCTGCCAATCGTATATCTACAAATAATACAGTTATTAATATTTTAAGTGTTTATTATGTCGATATTAATTCGTTAGACATATCTAATTTAGAGAAAGTTTTAACTTCATCAAGTGCTTGATTATAGGATTATTTAAATTTTCAAGAGGAGTTACAAGGAAAGGAACCGCTTAGGTGGTTCGGATGAATGAACGCATGTAGAACGGATGAATGAGAAGCGGTTTACAAGTGGGATATTGAACGCAACCGTGGATGGTTAAGTCGGGTTGGGAAGGCCTTGTCGGACATACATGGACCAAATCCACGAGGTACTAGAGAAGGGACAATTTAAAAATTCCCATAACCGAGGAGCATTCATGGAAAGTGGATGAAGCGAGAGGGGTATGTCAGGACCGTGGTTTCTGCTCGGGAGAAAGGCTAAAAAATAAATTAATTTGATACCGGTTTTAGCGGTTATTAAACACATCAAAGTTATTATTATTCTACAAAATAGAAGTGCACAAAGCATACTAATAAGCCACCTCGTTCAGGCATCCTAATAATAAGCTAATGGCGACAAAACCCTATATACAGGTCTTGGTCTCAGATTGCATTTGTTTCTTGTGATCAGCAGTCTATGCTCGATTTGTAGATTCGGGATTAAGGTATTTTTTAAATGCATATTAGGAACATATTGTTTATAGTTACTCGCAGCAGCCTAGAGAGAAAAAGCTACTGATAGAAATTCATAAGAATGTTTTAAATTACTATAATTATATAACCTTATTTAGTTTTATAATAAGACAGGGCGTGCCATCAGCATAGCCATAGTCGTTTTCACTGGAACACGGTCCCAGTAGGGACGTATCGAAGGCACACACTTCACCCGCATGAGGCCTCTTCTGCTGACAGTCTACTTGATTCTCTCCTTTGTTGATTAGCAGAGATTTATTCTTATAGGCTGAAAACGATAATTTTATATTATCTTTAATTAAAGATTCAGAACACATTAAAACGTGTAAAACCGCTTTAGTAATAAAAAATATTTGGCTGATTTAAAAAAGTACTTTTTTAAATTCTTCATTTATTTTTTTTATTTATTTATTTGCTCAACAGTATTCCTACAGCTACTCACTAAACAATATCCAAACAATTACTTTGTACACAAAGACCAAAAACGGAATACACATTCAAAAATAAACAAAGCACAGTTTTACCTATTTATACAAAAAAATAATAAATTCTAAATTCTAAGATTCATTGATCATCTAATTCTAATATATAAAATCTCGTGTCGCGGTGTTTGTAGTTAAACTCCTCCGAAACGGCTTGACCGATTCTCATGAAATTTTGTGTGAATATTGGGTATGTCTGAGAATCGGACAACATCTATTTTTCATCCCCCTAAATGTTATTTTTTTATTTTTAGATATTTTTTTTATGATACAGCATTAAAAAATACATACAACCCCTAATTTTCACCCCTCTACGATCAACCCCTATTTATTATTATAAATGATATACTAGAGTACATGGCAAAACGACGTTTGCCAGGTCAGCTTATATTTAATATGAATTAATTAATTTAACTGTAATGAAAAACTAAGGTCACTTAATTCTCATTGTACACAGTATTTAAAGCCTATTAAGGGATTTAATCCTATATAAGTAAAATTTAATACTAACGTGCTAAGAATTCATCTAAATTGTCCGTATACTTTTTGTACGAGGTTTCATTGTCCAGTCTGTACCAGATAAGAGCTCCCTCCTCAAACACAACAGGCCTATGTCCCATACCGGGGTTGTTTCCTGAAAGTAATTATATAGTATAACTAAACAAATTATCATTAAAGCAGAGATTTTTTTTCACTTACAAATACATCGTCGAATAAAGGGTGATTTATTGTCAACATAATATACAGGTAAATTTGTCAAAAACGTATCATATTTTGATCTACGGGTATTTTTTCTCTTAAACAACAAATACTTAACTCAGTACAACATTAAGTACACTGAGTAGAATTAAATAGAATTATGTATTTAACGAAACATCACAGTATACACCATGTTAAGAAGCAGATAATTACAAATTGAATTATAATTTGGCCACCGATCGGGAATCAAAACTAATACCCCAAAAATTAAAGAAAAAGCCATCCCACAACGCGGGTTTTTTCATACTGACGTTAGATATCTTGTATCATTTGAATATGGAACGTAATTTGATAAATTAATTTTGATTCAATTATCAAAAATTTGTTAATTCAAAACATAACATTAGTCTTATATTATTATTAGAGGCTTCAGATTTTGGTGTCTGTTTCTTGATCATTTTCCTAATAGGCACGTAGATGATCTTCTATGCTTGATAAAAGTAGATTACCACGCGGTTTCCTCCACCGTACGACAGATAATTGCACGCATAGAAATATTTGGACTTACCAATAATGGAGTCGGCGAGAGTGAAGTAGGGTATATGCTCGTCCACAGATGCGAGAAGACCACACATGCAGATGGAGAAGAAAATTATAATGCAGATGTACATCACGAGGTAGATGAGGCCTATGACTCCTGTAACATATTGGTTAGTTTTTAACTGACTTCAAAAAATAAGGTTATAAGATTGATTTATATGTATGTGATATGGCAATCAGATATTTGGAATGAAGCTAAAGCTCAAAGACTCCGTTGGACTGGTCATCTTGGAAGAATGGTAGAAGAGGAAGCGTATCTCGGTGTACAGACCGGCCGCCCGTCTGCAATTCCAGATATCGCTGTCGCTGTTCCAGCGGAGTAGGTGTATTTGAGTATGATATACTTAGACTTTCAGGCACGTGTGCTGAATGTCGTAAAATTGTTCGTCCACAATTTTGTCAGAAACTAAAAGACCAAGTTTCATCAAAATCTGTTCAATACTTTTTGAGATCCACGCATTTAAGGGCTTGAATAATACATATCTTAGGAAATGATGTTGATTGATATTTGAAATGGATTTAATTTTTCTAAATTACTTACATGATCAGCATAAAAGCTGAGGACTAATTTGTCTCTTTTTAGTGTTAACCATTTTGGGCACTTATTTTTATTAAGACAGTTATTAATTAAACATTACGCAATCTGCCTTAACATTTGCTGTAAGTAGACATATTGCAATTGTTCACCAGAGCCAAAAAACTTAATTAATTTCGGAAAAAAATTAATAGTGTAGAACCTATCCATGATATTGCTACCATTTTTGAAACATATATTTATTTAACTGCCAGTCACCATTTGCAATATAAACTTTTTATACAAAGTTACTATAAGTACGTGTTTGGCTAGTTACAGCATACAGTTTTGTAAATCACAAACCTTTAAAACGCTGTAACTAAGGAAGAAAAATGTACGCGCGGAAATATTATCAATTTACAGGCGGTAAATATGCTGTAAATTATGCTATGCAGTAAATTTATGTATTTGGGTACTTTCAATTGCAATTCAAGATGTAAGATTAGTTAATAATTATGATTAGATCTAGAAATGCAGTGGGTCATTTGGTAATGTAATGTTTGGTTGAAATAAAATGTCGTAAATGGTAAAAAAAACTAAAACTGTAGGTTCCCTAAACTTGCTGTAAGTAAACGAATGTAAAAATCACACGCCGCAGAAATGCTGTAAGTAGCGTTAAGTTTTTAAATGGGAAGAAGTAAGTATTTGTAAAGAAAAAAATGCAGTTTTTCTTTTGCTGTAAGTACAAATTGTCTAAAATGACTGGATTTTGGTCTACATACAGCATTTAATCTTACTTAAAAAAATATAAGTACGGGCGTTTTCAACCGCGTATGTAATTTTTTTTTCATCGTAGAGGCACAGGACCCGGGACATTCGATGCGGTTTTTTTTTCTGATTCTAATGGCAGTAAAAAGTCACTTTAGGTATTTTGTCTACTTACAGCAAATATGCTTTCCTACGTCGATATAGGCAATTATATATGTAGAGGTGTATAAATGCGTGTGTGTATGTGTGCTAAAAATATATGCCCAACTAAGCTCTTTAGATCTCTATTGTAATATTAGGGATTTGTCATGTTCCTACTTGCTGACACTCTGTAAGTAAAATTAACATGAAAAAATCTCTTTTTCCCTAGGCTATCCATTAAAATAACTGTTTTGTCGTGTCATTAGTGACAAACGTGCTTGAATTATATGTAAGTATAGAATATCGCGTTACGTAACCACAAACATATTTCATTCATTTCAATAAAACCACAATATTTTATTACGTACAAGTGTGGATATTCAATTGGAAGATAGATCGCTTACAAAAACAACCAGTAGCACTACAACCTTTTTGGTTTAGCGTGTTCTGTGCCACACGTCGTCGACTTTTTGGGTCTAGGGCATCGTACGAGGGAGTATAAAATGCGCACATTAACTGAAAGTCCATTGGTGCACAGCCAGGATCGAACCCACGACCGCGGAAATGAGAGTCGCATTTGTTGTAACAAGAATTGGTTTAAGAACCATAACTAAATTATTAGACATTCTTAAAAGCTACATTCAACTTCAGGTAACGACACGCCTAGCTATTCTCCTTATAAAACAAACAGAAATAGTTTCAGGAACTTATTTTTTTTTAATATAGGTCTTTATCTTGCAATCAGTCAGCTAGACTATGAGCAGAAGTGTTGAAAGCTGTTAGGCGTTATTAGGATGCATTTCTAGCCTTTTTTTTAACCTTACATTATATTATAGTAAATAATTAGAAGCGCAAACCAAGTGTTAGCCATCGGCTCACACATGACACCAAAAACACATGCCCATGCACAACTTGGAGCCTCATAAATTGTAATACAATATTCTTGTTTCCGATTAAAAATTCAAAAAAACAAATGACTGTCACTTAGATTTATTAATTACCCTAAGATGAGCCAAATTAGTTTTTGTTAGCGTCGCAACCCCACTACCCTTAATTTTATGTTAGATATAAGCTCATGTTTTAAACCATTAAAGCCAGTTGTTACCCAGCTTCAAACAAAGAGTTTCATTTAAACATCTCCATACAAAAACTGCCACCAAACTTAATTTTCGTAAAACGTCAATTAGTAATTGGTAAAATTATATTTAGAAGCAACCTAGAAGATGGAATGAAGCGTAAAGAGGCTAAATAGTCATGATGATGGAGAGTACTTTACAAATTCCTAATTTCGAAAATTCCTCTGAGAATATCTAAAATGACGCGATTCGGACGTGGTCGAAATAGCTCGGTCAGGGACTGTTTACATTTACGTAAATCACACCAAATCATACTTTATGGGTTAGCATAAATATTTCAAGATCATATACACTAGGTTATATACTAAACAATTTAAGCAGAAACTGGGTGTAGATACTCGTTACAGTTTAATTATTACTTTTGCTGATAGGAATAAGCCAATCTATATATATAAGCTGTAGCGTTTCGGTAAGTAGATTAAAAAAAATATAATACAATCCAAGAAACAAGACAATACAAGAGATGACACAATCAACTTTTTCTATTTGTATTCATCGCAGCTAATATGACAGCAAGTTTGATTTATAAAAACATAACAGACTCCACTAAAAAGTATTAATTAATAAAGATATATCAAATTCGTGTTTTAAAATGAGATTTAAATGGGTTATTTGTGGTACAAGGTGTATGAAGAACATATGTGTGTTCTTATATAATGTAAGTACGTGCCTCTATTTTGCCTGCTAAGCGTTTATAATTAATTTGGTTTCTATATGTCAAGTGACGCAGAGCGTAATGGTTCCAGTTCCTTAAAATTTCCTTATAAACCAAAAACTTAACTAATAAAAAGATTGGCGGAGAGCCTATGCCAGTTCTTCTCGCCCGCTCTACACCCTTGATTTGGAAATCACTCTGCGACCCAAAAAGTGTATTGGCCTCCGAAAGTAGAATCTTCCAGAATCTTCTTCAATTTACATTTAGATCTTCCTTTATTTAAAATTGAAGTTCATAAGTGTTCATAGTTACCAATGTATAATTTTTTTTTTTGATAGATGGAAAGCAATTGAGGTATTACCACAGTATTTTACTAGATCTTAATACCCAAGATATTTATTAGTTCATTTAAAATGCGAAACTTACTTCAGTCTCGTTCGGTCAGATACAGGCAAGTCAATTCCAAATACTCTAATAAATTTGATAGTTCGCAGCGTGTGTCCTTCTTAGTGTCCGAAAGACCTAATATCGATTTGTAATATTGTAATATGGTCAGTTGACGCATAACACAAATAGAGCCTCTCCCATCGGGAGGTTGTCCCCACCTCTTGACGCACACTTACGTTACATAGCCAGGACAAATATAACAATTCTGGCGCTGGGAACGGAAAGTTTTTCGTTTCTCTAATCATTATTTTTATTCACAAGTATCGTGTTAGTGTCTATAATTTAAATAATATTCAGAAAACACGAAAATGGACGATGGTTGATATTCTTATTGGGAATAAGGAGTCCAAAAAATCATCAGAAAATACTGTCTTCTACAAGCGCCACAAAATTATATTCGTTATGTATATCATTCTTCTTAAGTTCCCATTCAGGAATTTAGCCATAGATACCAAGCATCAGAAAAGCAGTTTTTTGAGTCATCGTTCAGCCGCTGTCCAGTATAATATTACGCTTGTCACAATAAGCCCAAAGGATTACATGTCCAAATAGGAACTCTTGTTTGAAGTTATTATTAGTTGGATGATATTGTATCAGGTCTATTGGGACTTCAAAATATATATTTAAGAACAAATTTTCTAACAATTTTTGTTTTGTATGTGTTTGTGACAAAGTATGTATTAATTTTTTTATAACAAATATACAGAATTGTAACAGAAATTCGTAACTTCTTTCTCTGATTCAATATATTCCCCTAAAGAACAAAACTCGCACATTAGGTATGTACACATGTAGTTTTTTATAGTATAGACATTCTGCATAAGTAGGTATAAAATGAATGCGGCTAGTGTTCAGGGTAATCTGAGTTATGGCTTCCAAAATAGACGCTGAAAGCATGTTTCAACTGAACGTTAAATATGAATGCATTACTTTAGATCTAGCCTCGATACGCGTTTGTAAAAAAATATTACGATCAATGATTGAATCGCATTAAAGAGAATTTATTGAGTGTTCTGGTGTTATAATTTTATCTTAGAACTAACAGTGTTCACGTCGTGTCGTAGTTGTAGCCGCGTCATAGTAGAAGTAGCCTTTCCATAAATGGACTATTAAAAATATTTTTCTCAGCTTAAGTTTATTAGATTCAATGTATTTTTTTTATTTACAAACCCTTGCCAAAGCTACACTGATACATAAGAGACAAGCACTTATAGGCAAACATAACATACACAGAAAGAAAAAAAATACATCGATTTCTAAATTATAAAATCTAAAGGAGAATTGATTTCAAAGTATGAGGGGAGCAGCTATGGATATGCATAGATTTCATACGTGAATAATCACTAGCCTATCCTCTTTTGTGAGTGTGACAAAACATTTAATAAGATGTTAACTTTTCGTTAAAATACATAATAAAAATATTTAATTATTTATTTTTAATTAGAATCCAATTAGTATTTACCTACTTCTATTTTGTTGCATGCTAGGAGTACTAAGTTATTTTACGATTAATTAATATATTCTCCGAAGCTATCATTCGTCTAAAGCTATTTTAAAGATAGAAACAGATTCAAAATAGCGAAAGATTCCACTAAACTTTTTACTTTTGTTTAATTAGAGAGATACAATAATGTTCTAATTTTGTATTTGTTTATTTAGAACTACCCTAACTTATTGCAGTGGTTAATTATGATATTGTTAAAGTTCTTCTGTTTCTGCGTCAAAAAATTATTAAACCATTTGCGTGGTTTATAAATTAAAGCGTTCCTTTATAATTGACCACATATACCAGAAAAATTACGTTTAATAAGATAGGTTGTCTTGGTATTAAACATTCCTCATGTAATCTTAATGTATTTAAGACCTTAAGAACTTTAAGATTACGAACATGAGTCACTTTTGGCTTATAGTTCTTAAACAAATGAGAAATAAAATAGTGAGTTCCAGGAATGGTTTTATCATGTAATGTGGTGAAATATATTTACAATTAAACTGTGAGTTAAGGTCACCTATAATGCACGAGTTTTATTAAGTAACATTGCCTAGTCTAGAAGCGCGACTCAACCCCGATACCCGACTTTGGACACCCTTATCTATGTAAAGAAATTTAATTGTAATACTTGCTCATGTCAATTGATCCATTTTATGATTTTAATTAATATAAATGGCTTTTTTATTTTAGAGTCAAACTCTCCTATTATATAAACTGCATAGTAGCTAACTCCGCCGTTGTGATAATCGTCATTTAAATTAACAGTTATTAAAGAGTGGAAATTTACAAACACATTTTTGTACTCGTAATGAAGAATGGATGGGAATGGGACTCCGATGGCTTATAGAAACCTACAGAATATTGTAATATCATTTCTGTTTTTAAAAGAAATATAATGATTAGGTCAATTTTCAGTCGTAAATGAGTTACCAACGGCTGGCATATAAGGTTCTACTGAAACATGATAGCAATAAACTCGGTAATTAAATCATTTTCAAATCATTAATCAATTTTTTTTTAATTTGCAAAGTGACATATTTTTATAACCACGAAGGTAGTATATAATTCAAAATAACTGCCAACTCACCCCATCGTTTTGGCGTTCGACCCAGAAATTTTCGTTCCTCCGGATCCCAGATCGCATATTGTATCCTCTGAAGGAAAGGTCTTTGTGGTGGTCGTCTACAATAGTTCACAACTCCATTTGCTTGGTCCACACCCATCTTGCTCTGGCCACCGAGGAATACTGGCCAAGAAAAGCGGCATAGAATGCATAGGTGCGTAGAGCTTGCGTAGATCTGGGTTAGTTTTTACCGCTTGGTTGTAGTCTCGTAAAGGCTGTATATAAGCTGGCTCTAGGGCGTATTAGTAAATTTTTTGATGTTAACGTTGCCACAATTTAATTAACAGGCAATGGTATATTTTTGCAATTGTTTTATTAATCAAACGGACCTGTTATAGACCTGACCTAGAGAAATATGAATATTTTTATTCTATTAAAATTCGATATTAAAATCGATACTAGACTTTCTACTAAGACTTAGATAGTTTTCTTTCATTGTTTCAAATAAAAATAGTTCTCTGGCATAACTATTTTGTATTTTTATCTTTGCCGCCCAGATCCGCCCAAATCTGCCAGCAACCGCCCGCCCAGCCCTGACCAATTAGTTCCCGATACTATTAGCTAAGTGACGAAGGCAGTGTTGTTTGAACTAGTTAATTGAGGTACGAGTAATTCAATAATACTAGAAAATGTGATCGAAGAATATAGATTGAATTTAATATTGATGATTACTTTTTACAAATTAACGTCGACATAAAGACGAATAAATAATACTCCTAATTGGCATCTCGAACAAGAAACAATTGAACTCTTGTAGTAATCAAAAATATGTTTTCAGTACTTATGAGTGATATAAGGATTTACATAATTTTTATGAAAAAAATATAATAATGTAAGGGTGACATTTATTTATTCATTATAAACATACAATTTTGTACTAATAGGTAATTTTAAATTTACAAAAACAAACACAATTTTTAAATAAATACCAATGTATACTAATTACAAGAATATAATGTGATAGATGTAGAATTTAGTACTACATTATACCAATATTAAGCACTAAACTCTTACAGTCTAAGAAAATTATTCTACAGTAGGCAATCGTTTTTTAATTGATCTAATTTGAAAGTCTTCTCAACCACTTTCAAGAGACTTTCTGAATGGAGTTTTAGTTTTAATTTTTTTATTAAAGTTAAACTAAAAACTGAAAATTACTGAACTAAGCCTATACGATGTAGCGTATCAATATCGTCGCTTTCAAAAATTATAAATTTATTTAAATATAAAGTGAAAATTTCATTTAAATATAACTTTTTTCACTTCAAAACATTATTCATAATCCCAAATACACAGAAGAAATATACGTGGGAGTGGGAGCGGCATGAACTAAGTGGCATGACGGAACCGAGACAAGAAATAAAAAGCTGAGGCTAGCTCCGTACTGTACAGAGTACGTAGTGACATATTTGACCAAGGGGAGCTGGAATTCGTTGGTGCTCGGCGACTCTCGCTCCTAACTGGAATCCATCGCGGGTGGACGCTCTCTCAATGCCCAAGTTACCGAGATTCGCCAGAACCTGGAAGTGTGCCATGAAAATGCACTCAAAAATGGATAAAGGCGCTTTTTGGCCCTCCGGGAAACGAGAGGGCGGATGCTCTCGCGAGGGAGACGGGGACGCGAATTGGGACGACTCGTATCCGCTTTCTTACTTGCGACGACTGACTCAGGACGCTTGACAGCTGGAATGAGCGCTAACGGAGCGAAACTACCTGTCACAAAAATGTTTTTCAAAAATGCAAACGCGGCATACAAACAAATCAAGACAAGGCGCTTCGACCTTACATGGGACTGGACACTCACATTTAAGTAAAGGTTTGACACTCCTCTGCTGCCTAGCTCCTGGGCCTCAGATCTGCCTGATCGCGTGCCTGATAGGCTACTTTTATATAAATAAAAATAATATACAAAAAATACACAGGGCCTTCGTCATTATTAAATTCAATATTGTGCGGCCCTCAGCGTAAATATCCATATTTTTTTAAATTGCTGGTAATATAAAGTTTGAGTGATACGTCGCTGAATCTTAAATATGGGGCTAAGTGAAATTATCTTCACATTCTCCAATCAGCGCAAAAACCCAGCGCGAAAAATATACACGGGTCTTAGCCCCCTTCCAATACGCCAATTCAAACCAGTGAAACTTTGTATAATTTTTATTTTTACACAATACTTCTGTATATTTGGACTTAAATTTACGACTAAGTACGTCCTGATAATATTCAAATTTAAATATAATTTATTATCTATAACATTTTAATAATTCTAAAATGCGTAATGCGCATATACCCTTAATCTAAATTAATTGAAATGGGAATGATTTATCTATCTTAAAATTAAGGTTAACGGGTGTTCTTTCTTAACAGCGTCAATTACTTAAATAATAGAATTATAATCAATAGTAAATTAACTACCAATAGTCAAAGTAGGTATCTTATTAAGTAAGCATGTTCAATATATATTCTAACTAGGTACGTAGTCTAGTTTAAATATAACTCTAGATTTCAAGTTCACATCTCGAAATAATCTACTTAATTTTGCTTTGAATGAGACAATCTCTCATTTAGGTTTGCGATTTAACGCTATAAAATATGATCAATCACAAACATATCAAATGAAAAACAGACGCAGACATGTGTTACATGCCCCATTTGAGTGATTTGTATAATATATAAAAAAAAGAAACATACAAAAATAACCAAATCGCGAATTAATTCCTATTTAAACCTCGAATTTACATAACTAGTGGTTGTGCGTTGACCGATTACTCATCATACCTCTACAGATAATAATAAATTAATGCAAATTAATATTACGTTAATGCCCATTTCTCAAAATATTTTATTTGATTTCAGCGCCATCTGTGTTTGTCGAGTTAAGACTAGTGTTATCTTCGAGGTAAAGTTGAATACGAGTGTAACCAGATGGCTCTTTCAAACTCTTGTTGTAAATAATGTTTTTAGCCCATGTTCTGCATCGAATCGTGGTTGGGGTGTTTGCTGAAAATTTAAATAATCGTTATATTTCATATATATATTTATTTTTCTTTCTATAGCAAAGCCAGTATTTCTAACCCACATTATGTAAATTAGTTATAATTGTTTATTTATAACACTGCAATTTACTAATTAATATCGACATTTTTATTATATAATATGAGCTACTTAACAGGCCTTATACTAAGAAAAGGTCTATTTTTTTAAATTAATTAATTCATACAATATTGCTTGCATAAAAAAAACACTTACGGGTTGGTGCTTCAAGAGCCACACCGCAATATATGTTTAAATACTTAAACTAAGGACTGAATAAAATATATAAAAAAAAACAGATGACACAAAAGCAATCAATTTTAAAAAGCGTATTTTAAAGATTTTACTCACCAGGTGGCGTAACTTTAATCGCCAACACGGGGCTTATATACCCAACTTCATTTTGGTAGGGGTAGTATCTACCCGGAAGGCCGCGTCCCCAAGGGTATTCGATACTCGTCGCATTTGACACTTCATCCACACAGGATATCCAGATTTGTTGTTGCTGAAAAAACATATAGATGAGACATATAAATAATACAAGGGCCTTCGTTCATTTCCCAATGAAACTGTTGGGCGGAATAGACGGTCTACCAAGTTGCCTAGACAAAATATTGCACATGTATTTGAGATGAAAATAAAAACATCAAAATTAATATCTTATATTAGAATAATTTGTTTTAATTAATTTTATAAATAGCTTCTTTAGTTACAAAAGCATGATTTTTTCTTATTTATACCTGACAAAATTCTGAAATTGTATTACCTCAATATCTGTTAATGATGCAATGTATTCTGAGAGGTGCTCAGGCATATCTGTAGGTAAACTTTTTGCATCATAGTATTGTGGTTTCCAACCGTAAATCTAAAAAAAGGCAGCTTATTGTTAGTGTGTCAAACGTAAATGATAAATAAATAAGGTGTCCAGATATACAAAGGTAGATTCTTAAAATCTCCTGTCAAATTAACTTTAAGTAATTACTGTGATGACTGATGACATATGACAGCTGACATCAGACGGTGCAAGTCGACTGAGTCGACGTATTGTTTGTTTCAAATGTTAAATGGGAGAAAAATAAAGAAATTACTATTATTATGAATCCCCCCACTTTGATCTAAATAATGTACCTAATATTGTAATATGTCATAATAAAATCTGTGCATGTCTTACCCTATTCAACTTAATGAAAAAGCATGGTGATGTGGGATAGCCAAAACTATCTTCCTCTTTGCACCCCTTCCTCGATAAATACCACTCTTCAGTTGTGTAATCTGAAAATTATACAATTCATTTAAAATAGGAATCTCCGTAAGTTAATAATTTTGTATTATTTTTTATAGCCATGCAACAATGGCTGTGTGCTATTTGTGTCTTAAAGTAAACTTCGTTTTAATAGAAACTTGTTAAATGTTACAATAGACTATTAAAACAAAGAAAAGGTTTGTTTTTGTGTTTTCGTAATACATGGTACCTAAAGTCTAAAAAACTAAGTAATTTAAACTCTTTTACGCTTAAAATTAAACACAATATTATACTAACCGCTAAAGAAATCTTTCAACTCGTCGACGTAGATGCCATAACTGCTTGTGTTAGTATTGTCTAAAAGGAAGGAACCTTCCACGGCCGGCCTGGACGCAACTCCCGGATTCGCTCCTGGAATTCACAATTAAATTTATCTTTGGCTTTTCCTGTGTTGATCGAAGTATTAGACGAATGGACATATTTTTATTTTTATTCACATTAGTACAACAAAAAGCAAAACAATTTAGCGCGCATTTGTCACGCCGATAAATACGAAATTCTCGTGTCATAGTGATTCTAAACAATCTCCTCCAAAACGGCTTGACCGAATTTTATGAAATTGTTTGTGTATATTCGGTAGGTAGGGTATAAATAAAACATATTCTCAATATGTTTTATTTATACCCTTAAATAAACAAGATGACCCATCCCAAATTTGTTTTTTTTTTGGCACCAGTTTTGTATTTGATTATTTATATACATATAACCCTTAGTTTTCATTCTTCAGCCCCCATTTTTAATAGCGATATTAGTACTAAAATAATCTTTATATGACAAAATAACAATTGCTGGGGCAGTGCATGATACATTTACCCTGACTTTATTTTAGTAATGAAGATAATAAAATCTATTATAACATAGTCAAGTGAATAATGCATTAATAAAATACCTATTAATGAGCTCTCGAGTGTGTACATAGGTCTTTTCTCATCTATGAGCATAAGCAAAACTCCCATACACGCTGCAAACATAGCTGCCAACACTGCATAGAAGACCAGGTAGAAAACCAACGCGATTCCTGGAAAGTTAGATTATATTTTATAACATGTAAACTATAACTTATACGCCATACACTATTTAAGGGACCTTACGGATTAGAATTTCAGCACACATCCAGCTAATTCGGTCTCCTACGTCTTCGATCTAATAATATTTATGGCAGTCCAAGAATTTTATCGGGTTCACCCATCATAAAACATCCCAAAAAAGACAAAGAAACCTATTCTCCTATCGCCAGGAATACGGTAAAAGTACAAGTCATTTTCAGGTATGTTTAGGCGTTAGTACCTACAATAGCATTTTCTTTAATAAATATGGAAGTTATATATTTTATAATGAATTTATGTAATCATTTGAGGTCATTCTTTTATTTTGGTGCTTATTACTAGACATTGAAAGTCGAATGTTTCGGATTCCACTATTTTGGTATATTTAAGATCTGACTGAAAATTTGTTTCTCTGAGTGTGAATCTTTGATTTTTGCTTTATTTTCAATTAGTTTTATATAGATTGTAATCTAATTATAGGGGTTGGAGATACTTAAAAAGGGCATAGCCAAGTTTATCTTTAAATCTACACAATCTAATCGTATATAATAAATAATAAAAATAATCTTAATATATATACATTACGTGTCACGTTATTTGTCCGCTATGGACTCCTAAACTACCGAACCGATATCAATCAAATTTGCACACCGTGTGTAGTTTGATCCAACTTAATAGATAGGATAGCTTACAATTCTCAATTAATACTCGCAATATTATTTTATTGCAAAACATTTGTTTATTATTTGATAGTCACAATTCTAACAGATGGCGCTGTGTTGAAAGTACCAACGTTTCACATAAGCTACAATTTAATGGCATAACCACCAAAAAAGCATGGTGGATTGGTGTTCTCCTGCCGTTTCTCTTGAATAGTTTACTACTATGTAATATAACAAAAATCTTAGCCTCAGCAACGCTTTTCCGAATCTACTAGTTGTTAAATGTATTGCTTTCGCTCCCTTCGAAAATGCCCTAAAATTTCCAATTAATCAGGTCAATTCTTGCGGCTATTTATTTACAGTGAACTATTGCGTCCGCGAGCTATTTCAGTACGGTTACCGGTACATTCAGACACGTTACGTCACAACTACTGTCATACGGAACATTACGTTGTACACTAAATAATATATAGTTCGTGATATTTCTGTGTAATATCTGAAACGGTTAGAAGAAAATTCGCTACGCAGCTATAGCGAGGAATGTATAGTATAAATGCTTCATTTTTTCGCCTCAACTTTAAGCAGAAGGCTGCAAAAATTAAATGTAAATAATAAATGTTTGAACGGCTAGACATTTCCAATATCTCTTTACGAATTCGATTGACGATGGCCATACACGGGTGTCGAGAATTTTTTTTGGTCCCAATTATTGACGAAATAATATTGCTCGCTTCCTCTCGACCTTCAGCATCGCACTCGTCAAGTCAATCACTCTCCTCGGAAATAAGCATGTATAATATATAATAATGTTTAATATATAATAATGTTTAAACTTTTTGGACACAAGTCAATTTTAAAATTCGGTGTTAATTAATATAACTCAAAATACTTTGACAAACGTTGTTAGCATAATATTCGTTTAATTTATATGTATGTAGTATAGACATAGGAAGTTGCATATAACATTATTTCGTAGTAGTAATAATTTGTTTATTCCTGTGACAAATATTTTTTATTTAATAAGATTTAGACAATATTTTTTGTATGGCCCTAGTTATACGAAGTACAAGTAGGTCCTTGCTGTCAAATTGTGCAACTCTATGTAATAAACACCTTAGGACACTTAAGTATAAGTTACTTCGAAATTAGATATAATCTAGACACGTAAGAAACAAAACGAGCGCGACTTTGCAATTAAATGGGTTTATAGAAATTGGTTTCTTTTAGACCACTGACGGCATTATAATTAATATCTGTTCTATATTTGTAAACATCCTATAATATAAATAAATTATAAAAGTAAGATATCGTTATTGTGACAATGACCTGGCAATAACTCGTAAGAATAATTTCGATAAAAATATTTTATTAATATAAATCTATATGTGCTATCTTGTTTATCCATAACAGAGTAAAGTCGTGAACTATAATAAGAAATATATATTTTATGATCTACTAATACATACGTGTATTATAGTTTGTATATCAGACATATTATGTAGCCGGGAATAGAAACAAGGACTTTGATGCCAGGACTGTGAGTAACTTTAATTATCCTCGGCGTTAATAAGCTCCGTCCGTGTCCCACCTAGACTGGTGCGGATTTCCTGTCCAGTGTCCTTGCTACCGATTCGAAATTCTAATTATAGAATTTCATACCATGAGTATTCTTAGGTGTCAATTATCTCATGGTATCCTCGCCACGAGAAAGTCAAGCCAAAGGCAAAAATCATTTAATCATATAGGTAACACAATGTACACTTATTAACGTCAAAAAAAGAATTGTATATGAAATGCTTCTAACTTTGCATTTAGTGCCAGTTCTCTAATCAAGGGCGTAGAACGGAAGAGAAGAACTGGCAATAAACTCTCCGCCACTTTTTTTATTTTTATAGAACAGGGGGCAAACGGGCAGGAGGCTTACCTGATGTTAAGTGATACCGCCGCCCATGGACACTCTCAATGCCAGAGGGCTCGCGAGTGCGTTGCCGGCCTTTCAAGAATTGGTACGCTCTTTTCTTGAAGGACCCTAAGTCGAATTGGTTCGGAAATACTTCAGTGGGCAGCTGGTTCCACAAAGTGGTGGTGCGCGGCAAAAACTGCCTTGAAAAACGCTCAGTTGTGGAACGGCGGACGTCGAGATGATACGGACGGCCACTCTTTTTATCGCCATGTTTTATTTTTTATTACACAACGTTTGTAAGGCTGCAACCATTACACCATGTTCCACATGACATCTTAAGTAATTAATAATAATAAAATAAATTAAAAACAAAGACTTGTCCTCTATCAGCAGGAGGCATGGTGAAATAGGAGCACGCACTTACATTCTCGTGGGAACAACACGCAAACACATTCGAAGTAACTAACATCACCGCATACAACGAAATAAAAATCACCTAAATACACTAATGTTACTACATATCTTTGAAAAGTATTAGATTTAAAAACGTAGTCATTGCAAAAGAAGTACTTATAAATTTTATTTTAAACACACTTTTAAAATAAAGAAGATCGCACATTAGGTTATAAAAATCATTTTCGCTGGGACTCGAGCCTATTGTATAACCCTACCTTATCATTCAGGAGACCACAATGTATGTCCTTGAACGTGCAAAGGAGCGGCCAATGGGGACTATTCATATGGTAATTGGATAGTCAATAGTTATTCAAGAGTAATGAGGGTCACATATTTCAACCGTTGCTACTTGGATACTGTGCCCTTACAAAAAATGTAATAACTAAGTAGAATAGTAACTATAGAATATCAGGCGAAAATTACACGAACCCACTTCTTGAACGTAGTAATAGTAGTGAATAAAAAGTAATAATTATTACCCTCAGTGACTCCAGTAATACAGATAAAATGTATGCCAAACAAAATTGTCGCCTTGTGTATAAGACGAAATAACAGTTATTATAACATTTAATTTTAATATTATTTTTAAAAAATTTGGCCATATTTTTTGAGAGATATTAATTTTTGAGAATAGATTGGCCAACGATTCATATTTCATTACAATTAAACTTTATAACTGATAATAAGGGTGAATAGTCATTAATTTAATGATTAATTAAGGTGGTATTTTATTATTGCGATAGGTCGCAATAAAAATTTGTTTGTATAATATATTTAATTAATAAATAATAAGTACTTATACAACAATTTAAAAAAATGTGAATGTTAGAGAATTCGTTTCAAAAAACAAATACGTGGTATTAAGTAAAAACACTCAAATGTCTCAGAATATTTATATAATATTCGCTTTAGGGACGATTTACAAACTAAAAAGTCCTAGTCTACTTACTGATAAGGTTTTCCTAAACAAATTATCCACACAGCCTTATGAAACATTTTTTTCCACGCAATTCAATCAACTTCACAAACTAATTACACTTAAAAGCCGACGTTACGGAGGCACTTACGTGATAATAGAACCAAATAAGTCATTATCTAGTATAAAAAATAACCATTAGCGGTCTGCACTTAAATCTATTATTTCATTATTCAAGAGGAAGGGTCAACATAGTCGGTTGCTGCTGTCTGTATACTTCAATCATATTATGGTACCTCTATAAATTTTCTACATTTAGTTTTTTTGTTTAATTTAAAGTAAAATAAGTAATTAATTTTATATTTAAGTATTATAATGAATGTCGACGCTTCGGTGGACGGTAAATTGTGAGCATTTTGTGTATAAATTTCCGTATTTTTTTTAAATAAAATACACAGGGTAAAGCGCAATGAATTGATCATAATATGGAACCTGCGGGTAGAGGACGTTTTGGCGGTTCATATAAATATGTTCAGTAAAAGTTTCTTGGTTTTCGTGATATTTGACATTTTCGAGAAAAACACTCTCTTTGATACTCTTCGAAGTTTCTCAATCTGTTTTTGGATAGTATTATAATAGCGTTAAAAATTATGATTTTTGGGGCATAGTTTGTTTTTAAACAAAGATCTAATAAGGTTTGTTCCCATGTTTGTTTTATCTATGTACAATCATAATCATTTATATGAATAATTAAGTGTAAATATGTTTATTTAAGTGCAAAGGCACGATAAGTGTGTTTAAACTGATATGAATAGCAAATACAAATATAATAACATTATTCTAAGGTGGGTGGGAAATGAAATAGCAAATAAATGCAGATGTTTAAAGCATAATTACCGCACTAGTTCGTGTTGAGAAAATTTATAATATTTACTTTCATAACTTGGTTGATAATAATCTTGGATGCTCTTAGCGCGAGGCTTTAAAAGTATTATGATTTTAATGTCTTATTGACATTGATCTTCATGTATATTATATTCATATAAGTAGGTGTCGTTCACTACAGAACCAGACCAATAAAAATTTTGAACACATCACAAATTAAAACATCTGGTTCTATAAATGACACCCATGTAAAAGCGGTGTTAAAATATTTTGTATGCAGCCTGCGTTTTGTAGCAGCTTACCGCATATTAGTATTTCACTGAATATTAGAATGTTTTCGTATAGTCTAGAATACATTTTTACTTCCGAGTGCTCTACATTTCATAGAGTTGTATGTATTCTACATTCGCGTTAGTGCAGTGTGGCGTGAAGCAAACATGATCTTATTATTTATTGACAAGTTAACTTACTTTGGATCATTTTATATATATAATGTAGTTTACTGGCAACAAATCAAGTTATAAGAACATACATATATTCCAGGCTTCTGATGTAGTAATGTATTTCCGGAGCCTGCTTTCTTTATGTATTCTCAAATATTTAAACAAAATAGAAAAAATAATCATAATTCTATTTAACAAATTTATAATTGGTAGGTTAACTTTAAGGAAGTTCATAATTCCTTGCTTATGTCATATAATTCCGAAGATTTGTAACATTGTTAGAGTCTGGCTAATGAAAGAAGACAATTGAATTATTTGAAAACTTTCGGATGGCAACACAGAATGTCATTGAATTTCTTAGGTTAGTATGACTTATTGTCTTGATACTTCATGCAATTACTCATTTTTATTTCTATTATATATATTTTTCGAATAGTTAACAGGTATGATAACATAAAACTTTGTTTTATTTGATAGAATATTTCGTTTTTTTCGCAGGATTTGATTATTCCGAATAAAATTGTGTTGTATAATAAATTTAATTTTAGTTTTTCATGCAATGCTAGTCATTTTATCAATAGTAAAATACTAAATACGTATAGTATTTAATTTCATCGAAATACAGTTACTATCAATGTAAAAATAAAATCAAGTATCAAGGAAGTTTAATCCACAAAATATATCAAACTTTTAGGGATACCATACTAAATTATTTTGAAGTTGCCGCACTTTTTCGTTATTTTCTTTCATAAGCCAGGCTCTACATTCCTATTGGTGACTGGCTCATTGTCTATTTGTCTTAATATGTCATTGTCCGCTAACCGAGATATTATATACGTGGTTTTAATATTTTTTCCAACAATCATTAGGTTAGTATGACCCGTTAAGAAATTCATGTAACCATTCAAATTTTATATATTTATTCATAGTGACTTGTATATTACCTTTCGGAAAGAACAATTTTCATAAACTTATTAACATAGATTGCAGACGTACCTAGTTAGCAAATGCTTTTTACAGTAAAACTATACTAACGGAATGTTCACGTTTATATTGGATATGATGATATGTTTTCTAATAGGTATTTTTGGCAATAAATTAAAATTACATACAGCATAATAGATACTTTTTAAATTACACTGTTTTACTGAAACCTACTGTTAATGTTTATGAATAAGTGGGCTATAAGATCAATAAAACAATAGACAATATCTATAATATAGTAGGTATTACGCTGAATTTCACAGAACAGCTTAGTATCACATTACAACAAATATGAGACGATGTTTTGATAAACAATTGTTCATAGCTCACGGATTCTATGCATTTGTAATTAGTTTTGTCACGAAGCATTGTGTTATAATTAAGAAATTGCATAAATTCCAATAGGTAAGATAATATTATGGTCTGTATAATAGATTTAGAGAGATGAATTTAGCAATATTGTAATAAATTTTCGATGCATTTATCACATTAAAGTTACGGGAGAGCTTGCCAACGTTCCGAAGATAGTTATAGATTATATCATTTATATTCCATTCGCATATTTGCGTTATAATAAATAATCAAAAATAGATAATACTTATATTAACTTCGTTTAATAAGAAATATCATATATACTATGTACTATAATGATCTCGTGTTAGTTTGAACCCGTTAATCTCGAGAACTACTGGATCGAATTGAAAACTACTTTTTCTGTACATTTATTAAGGAAGACTGTATTTAAAATCTCGCCAAGACCAAATTAACAACCGCGGGGCATAGTATTACTCATATTAATTTTGTCTTAAAAGTATAATATACTAGATATTGTGTGTGTCAGAATATATCCTGTCTATGTGTGAACATATTTGGTTAAGAAGAGAAAAGGTATGTGAATTGTGATGCTTTATTTATGAGACAAAAAAGCTACCTTTTCAATGGCGCAGACATATGCATCAACGATTTCAAAACAAAACTGAAGGAGGAGGTTAACAATTCATTATTTTCCCCAGAAGCAATTATTCGGCGCTACAGATACAGTCTTTCAAAGGGTAAACTAGTGTATGTAAATAATCTTATTTCAATCGAACCTTTATCAAATATTTAATATACAGTAGTTGCAAGCAGTAGGTGGTAAATTTTACGCACCAGGCCCCTCTGTAACTTCCAATAGTGATACCGACGATTTTTGTTCCACGCGATCCCATTGTTGCGAAAGCAGCGTACAGATATTGAAACAACTTCGAAATTGCATATAAAAATGTCGGAATCGGTATTGCTGTCGCTGTTAGAAGTTATATAGAGTATAGCAGATATTTTGAGTTATGTTGTATGTTTAATAAAACCCCGTTTCATTTACCTTTTCAGTTAATTGTAATTGTAATTAATGACCTTTTGAACGTGTCACATTTAATACCGCGTTACGTTAATAATTTAATACCTAGTTTTGTTACAATATGTGTTGATCCACTGTCTGCAGATTAAATATTCACATGAAAATAAAGGATCATCAAACGAAATATGTAATATATTAAAATTGTTATAGAATTTTTGTTGGTAGGTTCAGTTCTGAAGAATGTTGTAAATATAAAATGGTGTAAGGATTCTTTGAGTGTAGCACAGTAATATATTTATATCTTATTGCACATTATACATATCAATAACATTTATTGTGTGTCGTAGTAATAATTTAATGTTTAATTTTATATAAATATTAATCAGGTGACAAGTTTATACATCACTGCATGCTAATAGATATAAAATATAAATGCGTTATTCATCAATATTATATAATATAATATTGATGAATAACTGTATATAAAACACATATAACTGTATAGATATGTATTTATAAGCCCTAAATATAATCCAAAACATTTGCTTATCCTTAAATATGTATTATTAATCATAAAACCCTTAAACCGCTTTAACCGCTCAGCCTATTTAGTTATATTTTGTAATGGCAATGTTTTCTGTCATTTTAAAATATTTTCTTAAGTAATAAGGAGAAAGTAAATGAGAAATAACATATATTAATGTATTGAATTCTAAAACGTAAAGCCTTGAAATCCCTAACAAAATGTTTAAACCCTGAATGAAAAATGTCAGGGATGAATTGTGTTCCCAAATGTGGGTAGCAGACAGACAGCTGTCAATCAAAACATTCGAAACAGGTTTTAATTTAAAAAAACTCACCCCATCTTTTCGGCGTCCGGCCCAAAAAGCTTTTGTCTTCTGGATTGTAAATCGCCTTACAAACCCTCTCCCACAGGGGCCCTGAAGTGGGAGGAGTTCGAGCCCAATCCGATGTATCAACACCATTCGATTTACCCGCCATTTCTTTTAACTTTAAACACGTCTGTTAATCTCAGAGGTACAACTGCGACTGCGCGCGCGCACGTGTTTAGAATCTCATGACATATGGGAGCGATTGATGTACACAGCACATTTCTTCTGCCCACATTTCATCTGGTTTATAAATAAGCTTAGCCTCGATGAAGGGATTTTATACCTGAAATTTACGATTTAGTCGTATTTAAGTGAGGTGAGGTGAGGAGAATAACCCTGAGGGGAGGGTGCAGTAATTTCTAGTGGAGTATTGGGGATGATTGTCATTTACACTATAGATTTTATTTTCTACAAGAGATCTTTTTCTTTTGAATTAGTACGCAACTATCGCTTCGAAAACGTACCCAAACAATGCATTCTGAACGACGAGTGACTCAAAAATCGAATTCAGAACGCTGTGAATTAGTTTCTAAGCCACTGGACGCTAATCTAAGCATTATATTATATACTTTGGTCATTGGTGCAATTAGCTACTTATCTAAATGTGGTGCCTATCTGCAGTCTTTCAATCGATTCCGTTGATCCTGTTGTATTTGTAATGCAAATCAGCTATTGCAATAATAACTATACTATTTTGCTAATTACCTTATATAAATGACAACGAGAGGTTATCTATTATCTAGTAGGCTAAGAGCTACACCATAACTTATGATGTGTGTCCATTCTATAAGGAGTTTAACAAATACAAAAAGCGTTTTCCGATTTATGGCAATTAGATTATTGTATTCATATAAGATTAAAATATAAAGCCAAGACTCAAATAACATTAATGTCGGCCTTATTATATAATGTTTATAAGCCTGAAATGTTTAATCTAGATTACTTTTAAATTGGCAGGTGGTGAGGACGTTTAAAACTGATTTGAGGCTTAGATACGTTTAAAATAATCGGGGTCATTTTGTTAGGCCCTTTCTCCACTGCTCCGGTCCGGCGTCGGATACCGGAATGAGTCATGAGAAAAATATCGGAAGGCCGGATTGAGCTTCTCCACTATATCCGATCCGACAATAATCGATACTTGTATATATTTATCATGCAACACGTATATTAACTAAAACCCATATACTTTATTTTATTAATAAAACGTTCTAAATTCTGAATATTTATTGCCCTGGCAAGTTTATTACTTTTTTATTTTGTCTATCTTAAAATATTATAATCTACTTAATAAATAGTTCACTAATACTATGGTATAAAAATATAAATAAATAGGAACATCATTTGATTTGGTCCAGCTTATCCAGATTCTTTCAAATTAAACAAACTATAAACATAACCCTGTGAATAATAATTTATAACCTCTTGGATACTTGGATAAACTTGGACCGATAAAACGTCGCGTTCTCATCTAGCAAGTTATCGGATCGTTAAAAACCGGATGCCGGAGTAGTGGAGAAGCACGTAAGTACTGTTGTGAGTTTCTAAATCGGATCGGTAATTAACGTTTGCCGGACCGGAGCAGTGGAGAAACGGCCTTAGGATTAGACTTTCGAATATAAATAGTACAGTTTATGGAACTGTTGAATAATCAGGATTTAGATTGTTGCAATAACAAGTCTAGTTTTATAATTATTTTATTTATTCATAGACACGATCAAATCTTTGAATGAGAAGTTTATGGTGCGTTCCACTAAGCGTTCACAACGCTCACGCTCACGACCGCTGATTTCCCCATTCCACTTGATTGTCAATGTTAAGGGGCGTTCCCACGAGGCGTTAATCACGACAGTCAACCACGCTTTCGTGAAATACACTTCTGTGTGAACGCATAGGCGTTAAACTTGCTTTCGTGAGGAACGGCGCACGACACAAGCGTGGATAGATCAAACGTGTTTGATTTTCAGTCGTGATATACCGTTCGTGAAGCCAAGATGTCGTCACAACAACGTGGAATTAAGTTTAACGACAGTGAAACTACGCGTTTTTTGGAGTTATATTCTATGGAAAAGGTGTTATATGATCCAAGTTTGGAGGAATACCGTGATAGAGATTTACGTGCCGCCGCAGCTAAGAGAATAAGTCATGAATTAAATATTCCTGGATTTGGAACTTAAAACAGCACAACTTTCAACAACCAGATCATTCATGATCGATGTTTCGATAATGACTAAGTCGAAACACGAAGCGTGAACGGCACGAAATCCCCCAACCATGTGAACGTTTCATCAATTCACACTTTCGTGAGTGTCACGAACGACAGTTGACTAGCGTAGTTGACTGTCGTGATTAACGCTCCGTGGGAACGCCCCATTACTGTCGTTAACTCAAGTGGAATGGATTATGGAGCGTTTCGGGCGTTCATGTAAATATTACAAATGTCAAGTTTGAAAATAGTAGAATTTTAAGGAGGTTAGGTAATCATAAACAATAAGTTTTTATATTTGTGACTTAAATTAATTTATGTTAAAAGTGAAGAATAATTGAATATTTTATAAATAATTTTGGAAACTGCAGGAGTTATTAAAAGAGATGCTATTATGAATTCCTTGTAAAACTGGTAGAAAACTCATCATAAATCCTATTAGGAGTAATCACAATAGTTTTATAGGACCGAAAATTATCAAAGTTGTATGATCATTGGATTTTTGAACATTTGAGTGAAAATAATAATTTGATGTAAATTGTATGAACTATAAATAAAAATTTTAATATTTACAAATTATTACAAACTAATTTTTTTTAATTTAACATTTTAATTGAGATTATCACTATCAAGCCGTTCTTCAATAAAACTCTCTGAAGTCTCTTCAATAAATTCTTGATCTACTTGAACAGATGCGGAAGCTTCAGCTTTTCTTAATAGCTCAGTTGCAAAAAATACATCTGCAAATAAAATAAATTTACCAAATATATATTATTAATGAAAATAAATATCGTTTACATTGAGTTAGGTTATGCTATCCATTATTCAGGAAAAATGTATAAATAGCTGTTGAATATAAACTAAAATCAATTGTATTAAACTTATATTGCATAATTATATTTACCTCTTTCTGCACGAGCAGCTTCAGCTTCAGAAACGATAGCATCTACAACAATTTCTCTTTCTGAATCAAATAATGTGATTTTTCTTGTCGCCATCTTTATTATTATTTGTCATATTTCAAAAAAAAATCAAAAATTGCGCCAAATTATTCTCAACGTTCACAACGACCCACCTCTTTAGATGGGTCGTTGTGAGCGTTGCGTGAGCATTAGTCATGACGTCATGAGTGACGTTTTCGCCGTGACCACAACGACCGCGGTCGGTTTGTGGAATGGCTAAAGGAGCATTTTGATCGTCGTGAGCGCTTAGTGGAACGCACCATTAATAAAGAGTATGAATGGCGCCAAAGCTAGAACAGCCATAGATTACGAAAAAAACACTACAACAGACTATACTAATAAATGAAACGAAATATTTTTTTAAATATTTAATATCAAAATATAGATACACACAGTTGGACGGTTTAATTACTTTCTAAGTACGAGCAAAACACAAATATTACAAGATAAATGTAAAAAATAAACTGTAAAATTAAAATAGATACATGCACTGGCAATGTAATGTTTGTATGGTGACAGCAGCTTATAATCAAAAACACATTTTAAAATCAAAGCTCTGAAACATATTATAAAAACCTTAATTATTTAAAAATTACGGGGAATGTAAAAGTACCTGCACCCGAGCTGCACTTAACATAAAATATGTATTAATAAAATTGAAATACCAAACAGTATATTTTGTATGCAGATTTGATTTTATTTTTAAATATAAAAAATATTCCTATAAGATAATAAATGCTATATTAGGATTTAAAGTACTGTTAATATAAAACTAAGGTGGGTTCATAATTTATATATTTAGACTACAACCGAATATAATGATAATAGATACAAAACGGACTCGTTCAAATAAATTCTTTAACAAAAATTAACGCGAACTTGTACTATTTCAACGTTTTGAGTGCTTTTCCAACGAACAAAAGTGTTTACTGCTGATTAAAAAGGCACCCGAAACGTTATGCAAATAATGTATTAAATTCGCGTTTATATCCATTAAAGTTTTATTTTAATGTAAGTACTTACGTAAACTAAAAACGAATCTGTTAATATAAAATAATATCATTAATAATTTCTACACACAAAAATATTTTTTTTAGATAAAACGTCTATAAACCCACAAATATAAATATAGTGTCATTTATTAAACAATCCCTAAGGATTAAAATTATTTTAAAACACACTAACATACTAATTACATACATTACATATTTAAGTAATGGTCAATATAGGCACAAATGTATGGACGGATTACTAGCTTATATGAGAATTACTTTTAATTAAGTCTTATTGTCACTATCGTGGCTTAACTTTAAAATTGATTTTAGCATCAGATCACGACATCTACATAATTCCTGAGGAAACATAACAATAATAATTAATAATAGTAATTTAGTTTTATAACTTTCAATTGAATAGAGATTCAAATTATACCTAAAAACCAGATCCATAAACAATTATAATTTGCAAATATAAAAGTAAGTAAAAATATTATATGTGCAATATTCAAACATAATATAGGTATGCTGAGATAATATCTGGCACTTGCGCTACTGCTTTAGAAAACCTAATCAAAAGCTACTCTTTGCGACCAAATATATAGGCCACTCCTAAACGAGTATATAAAACTAGCACACACAATACTTTTTGAATTGGTCATATTCGTCAAGATGTATAAACGCAATATGAAATTGTCATATAAAGTCAGATGCCATGAGAAATTCACTTTGATAACCAAACCTAGAAAAACTTTACTTTTATTTATATGTAGCTGCATAAGATAGTGTTCTTAAAATACATCAGGTCAGACAAAATTATTTTAAAAATAACAAGTCTAATATCGAGTATTTGTATGTAAGTTTTGTGTATCATGATGGCAATTTCATAATAGTTAATATATTTAAATTTTGATTATGTAACAAAAATGTCAGTCTATTCAATCATAAGCTCAAAATGTACCACACCCAACTTTTCTCTCCTGTCATATTTGATATTCTGTGCCCAAGCGCGGCACTCAATGTTGATCACTATACCAGCTGAAATAAAATATTTTCTATGTATATGAAGAAATCATCCAAGCTGTTATGTTTTTTTATTAATTGTATACAAATAAATTTTAGTACTACAATACCCAAACACAGAAGTTTTATATAATATCTGATAAATAGCCAATATAATTAAGACTACAACAAACAAAAACGACACTTGTCAAACTTATGGCTCACTATTTAATTATTATGTAAAAGTTAGTTCAATTTACCTTTGGGATTCTGCAAATGTACTGCAACCAATGGACTAAGATAACCCTCAGCATTGTTGTATGGATAGAAATATCCTGGAAAGCCTGGATATGGAAGGTAAGTGATGGGTCCTATGTTTTCCTTATCGGTCGGTGTCTCTCCTTCACAAGACACCCAAATCATATTTGCCTGCAAATATGCAGTCATTGAAGCATTATCAGTTTATTTTAATATCACAGAAACGCTGATTGAAAGTGGCATGCTTTTGGTAAAAGCAGTATGTTCTAAACGAGTTTAGTTAGTAAGTCTAAGCTTATAACCTGAAGTATTATTGTTTTTAATTGAAAAGTACAAATTGGTATCTACTTGCATATATAGAAATAAGTCATTGAAACAGAGGCAATATTGCCCTATATATGATTTACTTCACATTTACAAATGTCTAACATAATATCTTTGGTTTACGCAAGTACAATAACGACATTTATTTATATCAAACACTAAAACTTAAATCTATAATTTATTGAAGAAGTAATTTAATAACAATAAATTATTTTTGTATATTTAAATAAAACCCTTTGTAAATATTTGTTGCTCCATAGTTTTTAGAAAAAATATAATTGGAAATAATATTTAATTACTAATAAGATATACTAATTGATCATAAGTTATTAAGATCTCTCGATCCATTAAGATATCTCTGGACTGATAAAACTCAATTTCACAAGACTATCATTTTGTATATTATTTATACATACATGGTCCCTATTATTGAAAGTGATATTCCTTATGTTATCTTTGAGTTCATTAGGCATCTCTACAGGCAAATTGTTTGTGTCATTGTAGAACTCAGGTCTCCACCCATATATTCTGAAATATTAATAATATTTTTACAATATTTTCCATACATTGACATTAAATATAATAACTAAATGTGGGTTTTAATTAATAATTTCAGTTTATAATAAAAAATAATACAATAATAAATTACTTTTTACCAATACCAAGTTTAAAGTTTTTTAAACATGGTATTGGAAAAAAGGATATTATTTAAGGGTTCAACACATATAATAAATCATTAACAACCAAAGCAGTTCATCTCATCAGCATCAAGCAGTTGGCTAATATATTTTAAACTGTATCTACGGCAATATCTACAATCATTGTTCATACCTGTTCAGTTTTAAGAAGATACATGGAGATGACTTATGAAAAGAAAAGTGATTTTCTTCTGTACATGGTTCAAAACCCCTGGTAATATCAACATCACACACTTTGCCTGGTGGTGGGGAGTTTCTAAAGTTACAGTTGAATATATTCTGACCAGCGCCTACCGTTTGACCCTTCTTTTTATACACTGAAAAATAAATTTGTTAATATATTAAATAAGTCCACACTTGCTTATCTATAAATTACTCTATAACTCGCAAATAAATACATTATAATGTATTTTGACATTTTCTCCTACAGTGAAGGAAACCAACATGTCTTAAAACCTAAAAAAATATATGTGTCAGGCACTCACCACCAAAATTTGCGAAGAAGACCCATGTAGGGTTGCAGTGCCACAGGATTATTATTATTACTATTGGTACTACAAACTTCACATTTTCGTGAAACAAATTTAAGGGCAAAACTTAACATTCTTACATAACATATTGATAGCAACTTTAGTCTAGCAGTACAAGTTGTAATTTTAAAGTCCCAGGATTTTATTATGTTAATATATATATTAGACAATAATATTTCTTTTTATACAAGTAAAGCTTGCTCATACCTGATAGAAATTCAATAAGCTCATCTTCCCAGTATTTGTAACTTTCATAACCAGTACCTTTGTACCAAATAAGTGTACTTCTTACATCATCTGGCAATGGACGGAACCCCAGCCCAGGGCTACTTCCGATTAAACTACCTTCTTGTTGTAATCGTGGCACTCTAGGATTAATAAATTGTTGCAAGAATGTTGCCATACATACTGAGAATAATGCAACTAGTGCCGAAAGAAAGATTAAATAGAACAAGAAAAGTTTTCCTGAAATATTAAAGGAGAATTAATACAAGATATAACCAAGAAAAAGCACGACAACTATAAACAGAACAATAACGACAGATTACTCCCCTAATCCGGCTGGTCCCCGTGGGGAATGCGACCACAACCCTCCATCAAACAAGGTACATATAGCAACACTTAACACTCGAACCCTTAGAACAGATGAAAGTCTTAAAGAATTAGAACTAGCGATTGAAAACCTCAATTGGGATATCATTGGTATTAGCGAAATGAGAAGACTGGGTGAAGGCATTGAAGAGTATCCAAAATATGTAATGTATTACAAAGGAGAAAAGGCTGGCCATAGAGGTGTAGGATTTCTTGTAAAGGCATCTCTAAAGAATAATATCCAGGAATTTGTAGGCTTAAACGACAGAATAGCTGTACTCAACATACTCCTCCCAGGCTACCCAGAACAATGGACACTAATACAAATCTACGCACCAACAGAACAAGCCGATGAAACAGAGACGGAGCTCTTCTATAACACTCTAGCGGACCACATAAGAAACAATCAAAATAAAAACACTATAGTCATGGGCGATTTCAACGCCCAAATCGGTACTAGACAAGCCTACGAAGATTTTATAATTGGAAAATATGGCCATGGCAAAAGAAGCGTGAATGGGCAACGACTGGCAGAATTTTTAATGGAGAACAACTTATACCTAATGAACTCTAAGTTTAAGAAGAAAACAAAATGCAAATGGACATGGGTCTCCCCTGATGGAAAAACTAGAAATGAAATTGATTACATCCTATCGAATAATCCCAAAACCTTTGTCGACGTAGACATTATTCAAAATCTTAACTTTAATACTAACCACAGAATGGTTCGTGGAACTCTACTTCCAAAAGACATTAAAAAATCAAGAAAACATATACACAAAACTACAGGAAAAGATTTTAAACACGAAAATATTCAAGAAATAAAAACTAAAATTAACTCCTTAGCAAAAAATGAAACCTACAAAACCCTACACATTACAGAACAATATAACAGCCTAGAATTACAACTGACCAGCAGTGTTAGCAACATACAACAAGATGGAAAAAATAAATCAAAAAAACTCAGTGACAAAACGCTAAAACTACTTGCAGAAAGAAAAGAAATGATACAAGAAGACAAGAAAGGAAATTTAAAAAAAATTAATAAACTAAGCAAACAAATACGAGAGCATATAAGGAATGACCAAAGATCTAAGAGACTAAGAACGTTGGAAAATTACATAGAAAAATCTGGTGGCACAAGAAAGGCTCTGAAAGTACTACGAGAGAAAAATGACTGGATTCCAAAATTGAAGAAAGCAGAAAAGAGTTTTACTCAAAGGAAGGACATTCTAGAGACAACAACAGACTTTTATAAGACACTTTATTCCGATCAAAGTAAACAAATAAACTATGAGACAAATGCAAACAACAAAAACAAAGTGATAAACCCTTCAGAATATAGCACACAAGACAAAGAACCTGATATTCTACAGTGCGAAGTGGAAAAAGCAATAAAAAGTCAAAAACTGGATAAAGCTCCTGGACCAGACATGATATACAATGAACTACTAAAAGGTACCATAGAAGAGATAAGCCCACTATTAACAGATATCTTCAACAAAATAGTTAACACAGGCATCATCCCACAACAATGGAACATATCGCATATAATATTGATCCATAAAAAAGGCTCTAAAGAGGATGTCAATAACTACAGACCCATCAGCCTTATGTCTAATATCTATAAAATATTTTCAAAGGTACTTCTCAACAGGATATGTAAAAAGATTGATGAAAATCAGCCAGAAGAACAAGCAGGCTTTAGAACCAATTACTCCACTTTAGATCATATTCATACCGTAAAACAAATAATGGAAAAATACAGAGAATACAATCTACCACTATACACCGCCTTCATAGACTACAATAAAGCCTTTGATAGCCTTAATCACAACTATATGTGGAAATGCCTACAACAAATGGGAATAAATAATATGTATTTGAATATATTAAAGGAAATATACAACCACAGCAAAGCAAGAATCAAACTAGAGAAACTAGGAAGCATCTTTCAAATCAGCAAAGGTGTTAGACAGGGTGATCCTATCGCCCCGAAAATATTCCTAGTTGCTTTGGAAGGCATTTTCCGAAATATCAGCTGGGATCAAGTCGGTATAAATATTAATGGAAGATTACTTAGCCACCTTCGCTTTGCGGATGATCTGATTCTTTTGAAGAAAACCCAAAAAAACTGCAGGTTATGATTGAAATGCTTACAAATGAAAGTATCAAAGCTGGACTAACCATGAATACAGAAAAAACTAAGGTGATGACAAACTCTATCAAGACAGAAATCAAAGTGAATGGAAAGATATTAGAGTATGTAGAAGAATATGTTTACTTAGGGCAAATAATCTCTCACGAAGACCAAATGTCTAAAGAAATACACAAAAGAATTGCTAATGGCTGGAGAAAATACTGGGCAATGAAAGAAATAATGAAGAGCAAGGCTATGAATATAGGTCTAAAGAAAAAAGTATTTAATACCTGTATACTGCCCTGTGTTACATACGGATGTGAGACTTGGTCCCTTACACAGTTACACAGGAAAAAACTGTCAACATTCCAGCATGCAGTTGAAAGAAGTATGCTCGGCATCAAGAGGAAAGATAAAATTCGAAACACCGACATACGGCGTAGGACAAAACTAACCGACATACTGATCAGAATAGACCAACAAAAATGGAGGTGGACAGGACACTTGATGCGTTCTTCTTCTTCTTCAAAGAACAAATGGAGCAACATCGTCACACACTGGTATCCACGTAACGGCAAGAGAAGTAGAGGACGGCAATACAGACGATGGGAGGACGAGCTAAAACTGACAGCAGGCCCAAACTGGAGGAGAGTCGCCTTGGACAGAACACAGTGGAAAGAATTGGAGGAGGCCTTTGCCGAAAGGCACACTGTAATTAGGGATATTTTATAATTTTAATTTATATATACTAACTTTAAAACTTACAGTAATAAAGGCTATTTTATTTTATTTTATTTATTTATTAATACAAGATATATAGAGTTTATAATATTTTCCATGTATGGAACACTCTAACTAGTATAGTTAATTTAAGAGAATGTTTTTAATATTATAATTATTCAATAATTTCTCTTTCCAAATCACATTAGAATAATATTAAATAAGGATAAAAAAATAAGATATTGGTATTTGAAGCCTCATTCCTTTATATTATTTAATGATATTACCAGCAATATATATATATATATTTTTTTTGTATACTTTCTCTTGTATTAGTTGAAAAAAAAAGCTTTGAATTAGAATTACCAGCAATATATTTTGTTAAATTAATGTTAAAGCACCTTATATGATGCCATGCTTGTTAAAACATATTATAGAAGATTTAAGGATTAAAACTTTGTCAAGACACTAGGGTTTCCCAGATTAGATATTAACCTCATACAAAAGAAAGGCACGCTATTTAACTATCGTTTAATTAATGTAATTTATATGGCTTCTGGTACATGACCCCTAGCAATAGTTAACTATGATATTTGTATACAAAAACTGATAAAATATAATATTAATTTACTCGTGTTAGGGTAATATTGAGTTATTGCTTAAAAGATATATATTTTTATGAATTATTGTTAGTATATATTTTTATAATTTAGTGTTCAGCTGAAATTGAGCTTTGAATTTAAAAGTGACGCGCGCCACGCCCAACGATAAACATTTATCATAAAAAAATTCAGTATATATTCAACTTAAAGAAATACGACGAAATAATAATTAGTATCTATATTCATTCATCATGATTTTTAACGAACCTACCCCATCTTTCAGGCGTTCGTCCGAAAATTTCCCTAGTATCTTCATTGTACATGAAGTCTGAAAACTTTTGTTTTCCTGGTTTTCTTGGCTTTGTTTCTATCTCAAATTCTTCAAGTTTGGGATTTCGAATCATATTTAATTAGTTTTCTAATAACTTTTTTAACAAATAATGTTTATTACAAAATTTACAAAACAAAAGCAACGTTTTTATATTGAAACCGCCGCAACACCATAACTTTACGGTACTTGATCAGTGTCTTTGACCACAGGTCAACACCACAGATAAAGTAGATAGAGACTAAATTATAATTATAGTCATCAAATGGTCATAGATGTCGATGTAAACCAAGAACCACAGTTCAACATGAGGGAGCCAGCGTGCGTTTTCCAATTACAGCACTAGAGCGCATTTTGCGGCATAATGCTCAACGTTGAGTGTTCCAACTACAGCAACGCTTCGCACAATTGAGCACTCTCAAAACGAATGCTCTCGCAAACAATACCAACACAGTGACAGAAAATTGACCAGTATTTTTCTTTAAGTTGGCATTTATCGAAATTTTCGTTAGTAAATATTATTTATTGTTGAAAAATTGTGTAAGGCTTTCGTTTCGTCGTAGATTTTGAAAATAATTAAAGTTATTTCAAACTGCTAAAAAAATTAATATTAGTATGGATGAAGGTATAAATAGTTACTTTTTTTATATTCCACATTTAAAATATGAATACAATTTTATTTTAAAATTCGGATCTGTAAACAAATTTACTTTACAGGATTATACTTTAGAAAAAATTGCAATGGTTTTGAAAAAGTATATATTTTTTTTAGAAATCATTAAAAAATATTACTCAAAACGTAAATGATGTAAACTTCTTACATGAAACTAAATATTTTACTGTTAATTTAGCTTGTTAAAACCTTATATTCTTTAAAGGTTTTCTCTTATTTCAGTAAAAAAAATTTAATGAAATAATTTGATTATTAAATTAAGCGTAAAAAGTTTTCAACCAATTATTATTGTTTACCACATTATTTATACATTAATGAGGTTGCTAACTCTATTCAGACCATTTTTTTGTCAACACTGACTTAGCGCACTCTAATGATGCATTTGAAAACTAATTCACGTTCCAATTAAGCTTCAGCATTATGCGGCATTGTGCGGCACTGAGTCGAAAAATGCTCTGTAATTGGAAAACGCACAGCGTACAGAGAGATAGACCCAACCCGAAGACTTCGAGACTGGAATCAGGAATGGCAAGCCAACGCAACGATGAACGAACACCGAACTCGCTGTTCACTGACTGACTGTACGTACCTGTACTAAAATAAAAAAAGGGTGCGTGTACTTATGTACGCGCGTAAGAAGTTATACTTCTTTGGCATTATTAAAAATAGTTTGGCTTTGTTCCACCTCCAGTTTTTGATGTTTCACAGCGATAAGATGACAACTTTTTTTTGTATTCAATTTAGTGCACTTACACTGATTCATCAATTGTTTTTTGTCTCTTGTCCTTATATTTGCTAGAGAAAAATTACATGTTTTGATTAAACAATGTGGTTAATTTTTTAATCAAAACATTACTCGATATTAATAATACATACGGATAGTTAACCTCAATTGTATTGAAGCACTTAGGAAGGTTGGTGAGCACAGTTTTTTCACAAATATTAATTAGTATTGGTTTAAATATTCAATTTAAATCACTTCTGATTATAATTCAAAAAGCATTGCTAAATTTCTTTGAAAAAATAATTAAAACTCCTTTATTTGTTTAAAAGGTAAATGACAAATGTCATTATGTTTATTCAAAATTCTTGGCATACGAACTTCACGCATATTCTATTTCTTTTTACTTGTAGATTGTCTTATTCCTATCTCGCTCGCGCACGCTATAATCACACTCCTAATTTTGTGTCACGGTCGCGCGCATCGTAAAATTTCACTCTCATAAATTTTTCATAACGCGCCTAAAGAAGTATAACTTCAAAAAAAATACGTGTGGCACTCGGGGACTGCTGCGGTAAAGCTGTTGCATAGCATTTTTTATAAACTTATGCAATATAATTATTTATTAATTTTTTTTGAAGTTATACTTCTTTAGGCGCGTTATGAAAAATTTATGAGAGTGAAATTTTACAATGCGCGCGCACCTGTGACACAAAATTAGGAGTGTGATTATAGCGTGCGCGAGCGAGATAGGAATAAGACAATCTACAAGTAAAAAGAAATAGAATATGCGTGAAGTTCGTATGCCAAGAATTTTGAATGAACATAATGACATTTGTCATTTACCTTTTAAACAAATAAAGGAGTTTTAATTATTTTTTCAAAGAAATTTAGCAATGCTTTTTGAATTATAATCAGAAGTGATTTAAATTGAATATTTAAACCAATACTAATTAATATTTGTGAAAAAACTGTGCTCATCAACCTTCCTAAGTGCTTCAATACAATTGAGGTTAACTATCCGTATGTATTATTAATATCGAGTAATGTTTTGATTAAAAAATTAACCACATTGTTTAATCAAAACATGTAATTTTTCTGATTTAATCTAGCAAATATAAGGACAAGAGACAAAAAACAATTGATGAATCAGTGTAAGTGCACTAAATTGAATACAAAAAAAGAGTTGTCATCTTATCGCTGTGAAACATCAAAAACTGGAGGTGGAACAAAGCCAAACTATTTTTAATAATGCCAAAGAAGTATAACTTCTTACGCGCGTACATAAGTACACGCACCCTTTTTTTTTCTTTGATATTAATTAAATCTACCACTCTACCAGACTCAGACTAACACGCCTATCCGATCACGCTAAACCGATGTGAGACGCAGTATGCGTTCTGTCCCGCTCTAACGCGTATTTGGCCGCACCTATATTACGTCATCGTGTGTTAGGTTTATTTCGTTACGGAATTTCTTGATTCGGTCGCCGCGCTCAAAGCCCGCGATAAAATCTATCAATGCAATAGCAATGTAAAAATTTAATATATGCATAAATTAGCCATTTTTAGAATTTTAGCAATATTCACTTTAATCATATTCTTATAAAAATAAGTACAAATAAACTAAATACACAGATATGTAATGTTTCCAGAGACTAAAACTTGAGGGCGTTTGATCAAGTTAGATTCAAAATGACGTTGCTTCTTTTACTACTAATTGTCTTGGTATTTGAATTTGACATTTTAAACTAGTCCTATCAAAGTCTAATATAGATTTTATAGGCTTCAACTTTTGTGCAAACTGCAATTTCATAAAATTCCAACTAAAATAAATTGATACTAGGTCATAGACAAAACATACTTAAAAATCTGAAAGAAAAAAAATCCAATAATGTCTTTCCCAAGAGTTTTATTAACAGTTGGTTTCATTTCATTATTCCATTCTGCATTTTCAGCAGCTCAGCGTAAGTTAATGTCTGGTAGTCCTTTGAAATCTTTAATCATATTCATGATTCAAATTAATTGGTATACTTTTTTAGATCGTTCATATCTTCGTATTACATCGCAGGAGTTTACAACTTTACCTTTAGATGTGAGTGATTTTTATTTTTTTGATTAATTACACCACTATTGATATGATTCAAACCAATTTCAGAGCCTTGATATCTTATTTTATTTTCACTGATTATTAATATTAAATTCCATTACTTGCAACTTTTTGTCCTGTCTTGCTACATGTATATATTCTGGTGTTGTGCATAAAAAAGATACTTACATATTATCTATTTTCTTTCAGATAGTCATACAAGCAGTTGGGAGCCTATTTGCAGTAATGTGGGGTGTTATGTGTATTGCTGGAAACTTAAGAGAAATACAGGCAGCTGCTGAATTAAACAACTCAACCTGGGAAACACAAATGAATCTACCTTCATTCTACATATTTAACCATAGACAGAAGGCGTTGAGCTCAGAATATGTACAAAGTTCAGGGAAAGGAGACTTGGAGAATCCTGAATAAATATAGTTTTTTCATAGAGTACTAGTCATTTATTTTATTATAAGCATTAATAATTGATGACATGGACAAATGTTAAAAAGATTCTTATTGTTAATCTTTTCATTAATAATATGTAAGAACCATGGTATATTTTTTATTATTAAAGTAACCAATAATGATAACTCATTGAATTGAAATATTAGTGTTGGCATTAGCTTTGCCAGATTAAATGTGTTTCACCCATGTACTTTAATTATTTTCAAACATACTACATAATATTATGTGGAGTAAGTAATTTATTAAAACTTATTTAAAATATACTATTCTTTTAATTACAGTTCCTGGGTCAAGAGGGATACATTTTATAGTAGGGAAACATGACTGCTGTTTATTATCACTTACTCTAAAATAAAAAATTAATGTTTGAATTGAAAAATTATTGTATATTCCATTAAGTTTTTTTAGTTTGTTTAATGAGAAAGGCTTTAATAAATAGGAGCAGAATAAAAAAACCAAAAAGTCATTCCTTTTAAAAAGCTTGTTTTGGTTGGTCACAAATAGTGAAAATGTTGTAATTGAATTATTCTTACTAATTTGTTTCTAAATAAAAATTTCAAGGCTGTTTTAAGAAACAATATTAATCCTTAACCAAAACATGTCTTTATTCATGATAACTATTTCATAAGATTTACCTTATTATATCATTTGATTTCTATGTTGATAAAATATCTCTAACAAAATAATGTGTGTAATGTTCAAGTAAATAATATTTAAACAAATTTGATTGCGCTATGACATGCACTTGTCCTAATGCTGTTAAACAGCTTAGGGGACAGCTAGTGGAAATAGAAAAAAAGGCAAACTTAAAACTATTTATTTATCCACAATATAAACTATAACCTTTGCAACTTTTAGTGAAACTTTAAGTATTGCTTTACACACACACAGTCTTTATGGTGATTATGCAAAGGCTATCCACATACACTCAATCTTGATTGTTAACAAATAAGTTTTACTTTTATCACTATCTTCCCCCACGACCTCCTCTAAAACCGCCGCCACGCCCCCCTCTGCCTCCGAATCCTCCGCCACCCCCAAATCCTCCTCCACCCCGACCTCCGAAGCCTCCACCTCCTCGGTTAAAACCTCCACCTCGATTGCCACCTCCTCCTCTGCCGAAGCCGCCACCACGACCTCCACGTCCAAAGTTCCCGCCACTTCCTCGTCCGCCTCTTCCACCGCGGCCGCCACCACCTCGCTTGGCTCCAGGCGGTTGCGGAAGAAACCTTTTAAGTGGTAACAATTTTGCTGGATCAATAAAGAATTGTTGACCATCCTTAAAGCTCTTCGCCTTTATATTTTCACCGAGTTTCACGGACACGTAATAGTCGCGTAGATTACCAAAGATTTCGTCGATTTTGCCAATCTGTTCCTTGTTCTCTAAGAATATTGGTGCATTAAAGTAGGGAACGTCTTCTATGTCAACTTTACATACAAGGTCATCTTGCACAGTCCAGCCGTAGTGGCCCAGAGGGATCACACTTTCAGGAGGACCAGCGTCTTGATATCTATTTCCACCGCCGCCGCCTCCACCTCTTCCGCGGAAGCCACCGCGACCTCCTCCTCCACGTCCACCGAAACCTCTTCCTCCTCCACCTCCTCTACCTCGAAAAGACATGTTATTTAAAAATTTAAGGTTACGTTAGTAAAATAACCTCTAATCGTGTTGTTTTCAAAACTGAGCACAGTGCAGTGTGCACGCGGTTGACGGCACACACAGGCTTTGTTAATTGTTTTGAATTCAGAATTCAGGTCATAGAGTATAATAATAAGCATAAGCTGTATTACTAACTAGAGAGTATAGTAATGTATATAATATAATCTAAAAAGTTTAAGCTTAGTAATTTTCTAAGTTTAAACTTTACGATGTTTTATATCAATAAATATAAAATATCAAGCAGTAGTTTTAGGACTTGCTTAATTTGAGTCAAATAATAAATGAAAAAATATTTATGAAATCTCTGTCTGACTTCATTTAGGGTAAATATTTTAGCCAGACTAAAATGGATAAAGGAAATAAAACAAACACTGCAATAAAAACATTTATTACGATCATTACTACACGCATTAGACTAGTCTATCACACAAATCTTATTGCTGTAATATTATTCTTATGTGTTATATAAATAGTCGCGTATTTTAGTAAAATTTATATTTTTTAATTTGTTAATAATTCCTAGGAAGTCCATATCTAATTTTCAATTATTTGGTATAACTATTTTGCTTTATTATTACTTGGTCAACATATTGTTTCGAAAAATCATTTAAAAATATCAATACAGGTATAATTCTCTGAAAAAAAAAACTATATTTCGGTAATAGTTTTGGTAATTAATATGAACAAATATTACTCATTTTATGTCATTACCTACGTAAATATTATGTTAAGCAAGTTGAGTTTTAGTTATTTTTTCTTAACCTCTAAGAATAAGATAAAGATTTACGCACTTATACAAATTAACTTTAATTCATCATAAAACCAATAGTAATAGATACAATTTAATAAAGACTTTTCATAGTAATGTTCGTAAAAGTACTGTTTTATTACCTACATTAAAAAAGTCATCAAAATGAAAATTGCTACGTTATTCTATGTGATATGTTTATAAGATATTTTGCCACAATTTACATTTCTTCTGCCATCAATTCTCATTTATTTTTAAAGGTCACAGGAACTAAGGGTTAATGCAGAAACGAGACTTATCGCGAATTCTCAATCTAACCCTAACTGTAACTCCCGAATGTCAAAACCTTATTGGTTTTTGACATACCAGATGTCATAAATTCTTGTCAAAACTCAAACTCAAATAGAAAATTAACAACTATTTTCGGTTCTCGAATAACGAATTCAAATTGCATTTTGTAACTGAGCTAGGATTTTATAATTTTAAATAACATAGTTTCACATATTTGATTTCTTCAAATCTACCTTTATTGGATAATAGTTTTTAGAATGGCAAACTTAGAAAAGGAAGTTCGAGATTTACGTGAGCAGAACCATGAATTGGTCCAGGCAGTGCAGAATTGGAAGATGGTTGCTGGAGAAAAAGAAAAGCATATATTAAAGCTAACAAAAGAGACTAATGACTTAAGGATTCAAATAAGCGTGAATATTAAATTTTTTCTTATAATGTTTATTGTACTCCACACGAAAATGAGAATTACTTTGGGAACACTATTTAGACTACTGAAACTAATATAAAGAGCCCTAGGCTCCTCCTACTAATCATTGTGAATTATCTTTCTACCATCATCAGTCTATTTACCATCACTTTTACAGATACTAAGGAATAAAGGTAGTGCCTGTGCACGAAAACTAGAAACTGCTTTGCAAATAATTAGCGAAACAGCATTAACGCATCTAGTGCAAGGATCGAATGCTGTTGCAAGTATAATGGAGCTTATGAAAAACTATATGATAGAGAGAGAAGAAATAGAAATCTCTTCACGCCAGTCTCTAATAGACACCACTCCAAATACTGAGAGAGTGCAAAGAGTTCCTCCTTTAATGCTGGGAGGAAAATCTATACAGCCTGTAGTATCATTAAGTCGTGCAATGTTACCTAATAATAGTTGTAAGTATTATGTCTAATAAAAAGATTCTGAGAGGAATGTCATTTAAACAAAAAAATCCAGATATCTATAAATCTACAGTTATCAAGATATCAGGTCTATATCGAATATGGAATCCCAAAAGTATATGATTGAAGTTTTTTGTAAGAGTTTAAAATTTTTAAGTTAAGTTCGAACAACAAAGAATATAGTATTGACACAGAATTATAATAAGCATGTAGCCTCTTGTTTGTATCAAAGTAAATATCTAAGTAATAGGATGTCCTGTGTTGTATATTAATTAGCGTTTAATATATTACCTAAAATTTTAGTGACAGGAAGTCAAGGGTCAAATGAAAATCACAGTGGACAAGTTAGACCCTTGCCAATGCGGGTATTACAAGGTAAAGCATTTAATTACTGTATTTACTGTAGTAAACAAAAATTCTTTAATCAGGAAACATAACTCTTCCTTCATCGTGATAATTGATAATTACACAGCTAATTACCTACAATGTTTACAATACTAGTCTATTTCAATGGCACTGCTCAACTGCAATGGTGGAATGATAAATAAGTAACTGTGGAGATTTTTGCAGGGTCTTGCCAAGTAGACCTTTTTAAGCTAGTTAAAAGTGAATGTCTTTGTGTATACCATGTATACTCTCGTCATTTGTTATAACGAAAAGTTTTGTATAACGTAAGAATAGTTACATTTCTGTTTGGTTTAACATAAACACCATACATTAATTCACTCTATATAATGCAACAGTAACTCTCTTTATCGAAGAAATATTGTCATATTTAGACATCAACAACATACTTAAGTGTAATTGTTTATTATAATTAGCTTAAGAAACTAACCTTTTGACATGCCAAAATTTCTAAAAAAGACACCTGAGGTCATAAACAGCCGTCCGGCCTTTGTTATTGTTTATTGCATTAACACGTGTGCCATTATTCTTAGATTACATTGCCTGTAGGATATTTTTGGTCTCAGTTACTAAGCGTACCACCATCACCTATTGTGTATTATCAGTGGTAAACAAACTTTGAAACTGTCAAGATGGCCAGTAAAAGAAAAGCGTTATGGTTTATATGTGTTTAGAATAGTTTGCCTATTGATAGGTATAAAATTTAAAATTATTGTAGATAATTGGTTAAATTTGTTTTTTTTTTTCACTTCTCTCACTATAACGAAAAAAATGAAATTTAAATTCGTTATAAAAATATATATTTTCGTTATTAAGTGTTTACACTGTATATCATGGATAATTTTTAATTTACAGGCTTTAGGTCGCTACTGAGTCTGCTGTGCCTTCTGATAAAAACTGTTAATGTTAAAGCAAGGATGGATATAACACAAATATTTAAACTTATCAATATTTGTGTTATTTAAATATTTATAGCTCAAAAACTACTTCATTCCTCAATATTTCCAGAAATTTACATACCGCTTACAAGGATAGATGCCGATATGACTCCTCCTGACATAGAAAATAATCATGACACTAGTGTGGAAGACATGGGATTAGACGGTAATAAAATTGACTCTGTTTAACTCTAAGTTTTAAACAAATAAAAATATTATATTATTCTAAGCAAATGAACTCAATAGTCTCAAATGTAATTACTACAAAATAGAAAGTAACAAATATATAGAAAACTTAAAAAAAAAATTATGTCTTCCATTCTTATAAGAACATGGTTTCTATGTGTATAACTTTGTTATAAAATAAGTAAATAATGTATGTCACTTCTCTATTAAAAATGATTGAACTAGAATGTAACTTGTTTTATCGAACATTTTAAGTCTCTGTGGAAAGAAATAAAGAGTTCACTTTTGAAGTACTAGGTTTCCCAAAGTGATAAGAAAATATTAAATTTTTTTAGAAGAAAGTGATGAATCTGAAGAAGAGGATGGAGGAGGAGGAGGAGCAAACACACCAAGAGATGATAGAAGGTGCGATTTAAAATCGGAATACATTGTAAAATTTGTATATTAATGAATTTTTTCTGGGGTTAGGTTAGGTTAGATTCCCAACAAAATAGTTGATATTATTTGTCAAGAATTATAGCTGAAATTTCTAATGAAGCTGGATTAAATATGCCTTTATTGTGTGTGATTTCAGAGAAGAATTAAGCATTCTCCTAGAAGAATCTGAAGAAAGCAGAACACCGTCAATGTAGGTTTATTTTTCATAATACTTCATTTAATTAATATTTAAACAAGTTGTTATAAGCATCCTCTTCTATTTATAAACATCAAATGGCTACAGAGAGTTTGGTTATTTAAATAACTCAGGCGTTATAAGTGTTTCTATAACGTCCGGGGAAACTGGTTGTATTCCTGGAGCGAAGAATATAATTAAATGGCGGATACGGAGACATTTCTATGGCGACTCTAATGCCGTAGGCAAGACAGTGAACCGGAGCAATTCACTGGTTGATCGTATATTTTGGCCCCCAAGTTGAATAAATAGAACAAGACACAACCTTTAGATTTTGACACGCTATAACTTTTTGATCTCTAAACATCCAATAGAAACTACACTCTTTCGCTTATGTACACCGCATTCAAACTCTCCGAACATTCGACAAATAAGATAATTCATGAAAATTTAAACTATAATTTTCTTTAATATTTGCCAATGAAATGTTTCAGAGTTGATCCATTGGAAGGCCCTAGCCGATTACTTGAACCTCCCAATTATAATGTGAGTATTTTAAACCGCAATAAAATAAAAGTATTTATTACGTTAATTCGATAACTGAGATTATTAAAAATTTCTGTTACTTTGAAAACGAGAAAACGAGATTTACTGATGTCTACAAGTAACGTTCTTAATGTGTCACAAGAAATCTCTTTTATTTCACTTGATTTTAAATTTTATATAATCACCTCGTCAATTCTAGAAAATACAAAAATTATATCTATGGCACATCTATGATATAATATAATTTAGCAGACAAACTTCTGGATTATTTATGTGGTTTTACCTTAATAACTATGTATTTTACACCTCAGGGCCCTAGTGATCAGTCTACGCGTGAATTTACGCCAACAATGCGCCGGCGCAAACGCATTTCATCACCGAGTGCTGCGGAATCGTCGCCTATTCTCATGCCCCGTCATGTTATACCGAGGTATGTTTTTTAGTTTTTTTATGTTGTAATGACAAAAATCTACAAACATCAATTCTCTTTTCAATGCAAACACACTTATTTTTCTATTCAAAATTCAAAATTCCAATCAAAATTCACACAATTTTAAAATAATTTCCATAATGATGTTTTATTTCCAGACATAAGACGCATGGTCGCATTCTAAAGGTTCATGTTAGGTCGTCATTTTAATCTCTCCTTCGCTATTCTATACCATTCTACCCTTCTTATCTCATCTTCCCAATGCCAGTTTGCAATATTATTATTTTTACATTCTTAATTTTGTAAACAATCGTTGTTGTTTCTGTTGCGATTTATAAGCGTTTACAACACTTTTTATATTGAAAATAATTTAAATTGGTTAGTCCATTCTAATATTTGGTATCGCAAGTAAGGAACTTGCGGGTATGGAAAATTAAGTATTTTTAGCAACAATAGTTTTTATCAAAATAAATATATACAGGCAAGGAACATAAAACCGTTTTGGACTTTCGAGCCGGATTATTTCGTAATATAAACCAATATTTGACTTAAAGTATTTTTATAATAATCGTTGCCTGTCACAGTACGTACTTATGTAAAATATTATAGTTGCAAAATACACCGCACAATAGTTGCAAAGATTTGACGGAAATTCAAACGTTTTTAAATGGTTTGCAAGTGTTTTCATATCAGTCGCTTATAAGCTGATATTTCTTTTTTGAAGTAAAACTTCTTTAGGCGCGACTAGGGATTAACTCAGATTTATTTTCTGACGGAAGTAACACTTACCATAGTCTGTGTAGTTTCCGCTATTTAAAAATAACAACGATAGCGCGTTTTATAAGTCCGTTAGTTGGGGGGCCTCATAGCCTAGCGGTCTTATTAAGTGGCAGCTAGGTGAGGGGTACCGGGTTCGATTCCCGGTTCGAGGGCAAGTTTTTAATTTAATTTATTTGGGGGGGGTTTTTGGGGGGGGGGGGGGGTTTTTTAGGGGGGGAATTTCTAAAAGACAAGCACGAATTATAAAAAATCCTATACTTGACGCTGGCTAATGCACAAATCGTGCCAGAGCCATAAAAAAAAAAGTCCGTCAGTGCTATTTAGTGTTGCATTATTTGAACTGATTTAAGTCAGTTTCTTGGTAGTGTTTATTTAGGATAGCATTCGCTCGTTTTATTTGGTACTGATTCTTGTAATTAATTATTTATTTATTAACACTTCGTTGCATATACATTAATATAGTACAATTGACATAAATTAAATAAAAAGGAGAGCAACTGGCGGCCTTATCGCTTTCGAGCGATCTCTTCCAGGCAACCACTGTGAGAAAAAAAAAAGTATTAAATTATATAAGATAGGCAAGAAGTGCAAAAATACATGTACATATTACATTTAGTTGTTTAGAAAAAGAAACTAAACAGGAACAAAAAACAAACTAAACTAATAAAGAATACATGAAAAAAAAGAAAAATTATAATACTTATTAAATTATGTTATTATTAGTATATTTACATTTAAAATTAAAATCAATACTAGTAACATGTGACCAAATTAAAATTCCACTAAAGAGGGAAGGTTCCCATCGTAGCTTGCTTTTCTTTTGTTATACATACGGCCAGTTTTTTCGCTTAATTTCGTATTTTACCATTTTGGAAGAAGAGATTTTACTATTTTATATAAAAATAACAAAGTTGTATAAGAGATTAGCAAAGTAAATAAAAAAAAATTCAACAGTTTTAAAAAAATTATTTTAAATTGCAAAGTTTTTTGAAAATATCTAAATATACTTATTGATTTATTACTTTTAAAATAAGTAAATTAATCAAACATTTTCTGACGATTGCGACATTCTATAATATTCAATAACAGGGTTATATTGACATTTGCTGATCTAAAGATTATTTATTCAAATACGAAGGTATTTGAATAAATAATCTTTGTAAAGGACATGAATAATAAATATAATTAAATTATAATATAATATGATATTTATTATTTAAGTTAATATTTAATAATTTCAGTGATATATAAGGGGGCGTCCATAAATTACGTGAGGTGTTTTTTTTAATTTTCTGGACCTCCCTCCCCCCTGGTGAGATGTCATGAGATTTTATTCAACCCTATCCCTCATCCCCCAATCTCACGTGAGATTTTTCAAAATGTGGGTTTCTTACGTAAACGCATTGGATTGTTATTGAAAAAAAAAAAACAAATGCTTCGTGCTTTTATTTACGACTAAAACAAAATAAGTGAAATGTTGAGCGTTTAGATATGGAGTTAGCGGGAAGTTGGGTTGTAGGGTCAACCGTTTTCCTAATTTTTTTTTCAGAAAAAAATTGCGTGATATTTGCCGAGACCCCCCTCTCTCCAACGTAAGATTAAATGAGATTTGACTCGACCCCCTCCCCCTTAAACACCTCACGTAATTTATGGACGCCCCCTAACGTCAACGCCAAAGAAGTTTTACTTCAATCGCGCGTTAAGGTTACACGCACCTACTTGTTTTTTCAGTAAACTTTGAAGGTTATGAGAAGATATTGTACGGTTAGACTGCATTGTAAATATTAATTGTCTATGAGACTGATTTAAAAGGATTGTGTGGTTTTATGAAACCACAGTAAAAGTGAAACTTTTTTTTCACTTTATGGACATTTAACTAAAAAATTTTGGAATAATATTCCATTAAGGGTATAAAAATCGCTTTATCAATCTTAATTTTATACTGGGAAAATTGAAATGATAATAGGAAATAATAAAAGTAGACTAAGTCTCCAACTAATATTTTTATTGATCTCTATGTCTTAGAGAGGACGACATACATAATACTTAACAATTATTTAGATTAGGTATATACATTATACACATATTAAATAATAGTTTATACATTACACGGTCAGCTGCTGCGAACTATAGGCGCCGCCATATTGGCCTTGGCTGCTATGTCGAGCGCCTTTCACTTTATCCCTACTCCGCGGCCGACCGTCACGCGACCTGCAACACACAGACGAAAAAGTTTAGATGATGTAATAAAAGTTTCGAGAAACGCAAGAAAAAGCTAGTTTAATACTGATTGGCAGTAACTATTTTATATAATGGGACTTGTTTAATTAATTTTCTAACTAGTTCACCGCCTCTTTCACACAGATATAAACATACGAGGGTAGCTAGTATAGATTATAGAGAATAAAATTCAAAGGCTTTGTGTGTTGCAAATAACACTAATGTTGGTCAATCGAGCGTGACAAAACATGATGGTATCATGTCCAGCGCGTGACTAATATATCGTGATTACAAGTTAGGTTTAGGTACATAAAGCGCAGGCATTAATTTCTAATAGGGGCTTAAACGGCAAGTATTTTAGAAACCTACGAATCCTACCTTACCTAAACCTAAAAATTTGGTTTAGATAATCCCATTTTTTAACTGTAATTATTCTATATTTCATATAGTAATAATAATGCTAATTCAACAATATATTAGAATGGGAACGTAATGTAAAACCATTTTATAACTATTGATTTTTTTAAACCTATTGTTTTCTTCTATGTTTAGCGAAGTTCACAAATAGCTTAATGGCGTAATGTAGTAATTCTAATACCAATACGGACTTAATTATAAATAATATATATATTTAAAAAAATATATGAGTTGATTAAACAATAAAATGATAAATACCTCCTTATTTCGTAAAGGATATTAGTATGCTTGAAAGGGTCCAAAGAAAAGCCACGAAAATTATCAGGTCACTCAGGAAGAAATCTTATAATGAGCGTCTGAAAGCCCTTGACCTTACTGATTTAGGAAGTAGGAGATTAAGAGGAAATTTTATTGAAACCTATAAAATCCTCACTGGTCACTATAATGTCCCAGGAATTGAGAAGCTCTTTATTTTAAGTGAAAATACACATTTGATAGGCTCAATAGGCTGCACTAAAAGTATCAGGAATGGAATAATACCACTGTTCCTGTCATATTTAAATATTTTTAATTGAAAACTTTGTTTTTTTAATGGAATACCATTTTTTTTTTAAAAAGATTCTCGTACTTTTCACAAAGTTTTGTCAAACTTGTTTAGTCGTTGAGAAAATGGAATTGACTCGAGAAAATTCAAGAGCGATGATTTATTATGACTTTCGAAGTGGTTTATCACAAAAACAGTGTGTTGATCGGATGATTTCTGCATTTGGTGATGAAGCCATCCACAATCAATCAATCAATCAACATCCAAAACCACAATTTATCGCTGGTTTGCTGAAATTCAACGTGGACGTGTCAAGCTGTGATGATCCCCGTCAAGGTCGTCCAAAAACTGCAGTCACCCAAGAAAACGTTGATGCTGTGCGTAAGCTGATTGAGGAAGCTCGACATGTGACATACCGCGAAATTCAGGCAACTTTAGACATTGGCATGAGTCAAATACAAATAATCTTGCATGAACAATTAGGTGTAAAAAAGTTGTTTTCCCGATGGATACCGTATTCGCTCTGTGAAGAGCAAAAAGCGGCTCGCGTTACTTGGTGCGTCAGAACTCTCGAAAGATTCCACGCAGGATCCTCAAATGCTGTATACAACATCGTATCAGGTGACGAATCCTGGATATACGCGTACGAACCCGAAACAAAAAACCAGTCACGAGGTGTTCGAAAATAAGTTAAAGCCAACGAAAATTGTTCGTTCACGGAGTGTTGCAAAAAAATGGTGGCCACGTTTGTCTCCAAAACCGGCCATGTTGCGACTATTCCTCTTGAGGGACAAAGAACGGTTAATGCAGAATAGTATGCTAGCATTTGTTTGCCACAGGTCGTTTCTGAACTCCGTAAAGAGAACTGCAACCGCCGCATCATCCTCCATCACGACAATGCGAGTTCTCACACCGCGCACAGAACAAAAGAGTTTTTAGAGCAAGAAAACATAGAATTATTAGACCATCCGCCGTACAGCCCCGACCTAAGCCCTGATGATTTCTATACTTTCCCTAAAATGAAGAATAAATTGCGTGGTCAGAGATTTTCATCACCTGAAGAAGCTGTGGACGCCTACAAAACGGCCATTTTGGAGACCCCAACTTCCGAATGGAATGGTTGCTTCAATGATTGGTTCCATCGTATGAAAAATGCTTCAAATTTCGCGGAGAACACTTCGAAAAGCAATAAATATATTTTTAAATAGTATTGTTGTATCACTTCCTTGATTCCCGAAATTTTCAGTGCCGCCCTCGTAGTTCTTTAAAACTTTAGAACACTCAACATAACACAAACTCCCTAAAGAACTTTCTCCCAAACCGAGTAGTGGCCGACTGGAATAGGCTTCCGGAAAGTGTAATCAGTGCACCATCTCTGAACTTCTTTAAAAATAGAATGCGTAGTTTCTCCAAATCTCAAAATACGCGCGCATCAGCTTATTAAGCTGCTAGTGTGTTTATATACATAATAATAATAATACCTTGGTGTTCATGGCTGTTCACTTAGGGTAGGTTGTCAGTCTGAAGATGTACTGTGAGATCCCCGGGTCTAGTCACATTATATATAAGAGAATACGTAACATGGGACGTGAGTACAATACTTGTGGCCCATTGAAGAAAGCGAGTTACGCGATCGATTACAATTTTTATATCGCTTTAAATTGGAGCAGTAGATGCTCACTGTATACATGCTACGTAGATGACAGGTTATTTGAAGACGCCAAGCTGAAGGTTTCTATCATTTTTTCTTTACTTTTTATGTATAAGACAAAAGATTGGTTTTAATAACAAAAAATAATAATCCACTGTGGCACTCCACTCATTATATGCGTCAAATTTCTGTGTCTAATTCTTTTATCATCTATTCGGTAAACACGCTGTGTCTCCTGTGCCTGAGACACGTCGGACATGCCAGTTTTTTCACGATATTCTTTTACAGAAAGAAAATCCATTGGTTCACAGCCAGTGTTTAAACACGCAATCTTGAAGTCGAGGATGAACAGAGGAGCGTTTGACTACTGGTCTAACAAAACTGATACACAGAGTTATATTCATCGTTTCTATGTATTAACTTTATCTGTCAAAGCTTATATTACGTAGGTAACACTAAAAATGTTTAGAAAATGAAAAACGGCTTAATGTAGAAAGCCTAGGCTGGCCCGTATCTGCTGATAGGTCACTCTCTTATCTCCCTCTATCAGTCGTCGCACAGCACTGATGTTATCTTCAGTAGTCGCTGTTAAAGGACGTCGCTCACGCGGATCATCATTGAGATTGCTACGTCCACGCTTAAACTCGTTAAACCAATTGTAAATAGTGGCACGAGATGGGGCTTCATTTAGAAATGCTAACTGCAGCCTATCATAGCTTCGTTATTGAGTAAGCCCACACCGAAAGAAACACTCTTTCGGTCTTAGAAACGTACACACGGCATTCAAACTTTACACACATTCGACAAATAAAATAATTAAGGTTAGTGAATAAGTTACTATAATTTTCTTTAATATTTGCCAATGAAACGTTTCAGAGCAGATCCATTGGAAGGCCCTAGCCGGTTACTTGACTCTCCCAATTTTAATGTGAGTATTTTATACCGCAATAAATACAATTATTAATTACATTAATTCGATAACTGAGATTATTATACATTGCTGTTATTTTAAAAACATTGCGAGATTTACTGATGTCTACATGTAACTTTCTTAATGTGTCACAAATAATCTTTTTTATTTTACTTGATTTTTAATTTTATTAATCACCGCGTCAATTCTATAAAAAACAAAAATTATATCTAAGGCACATCTATGATATAATATAAATTAGCGGACAAACTTCTGAATTCTTTATGTGGTTTTACCTTAATAACTATGTATTTTACACATCAGGGCCCTAGAAATCAGTCTACGCGTGAATTTACGCCAACAATGCGCCGGCGCAAACGCATTTCATCACCGAGTACTGTGGAAGCGTCGCCTATACTCATACCCCGTCATGTTATACCGAGGTACGTTTTTTAGTGTTTTTATGTTCTAATGACAAAAATCTACAAACATCAATTCTCTTTTCAATGCAAACACACTTATTATTGCAATTTTATAATAATTTCCATAATGATGTTTTATTTCCAGGCATAAGACGCATGGTCGCATTCTAAAGGTTGTAGTTGCAAAAATGAGGTTTGATGACGACAATGCAGGGGTGTTCCCTCCAAGGAAAGAGAAGATGGAGGCAAGAAAGTCAGATAAAAACGGATCCTCACAGGACATAGAGACGTGCGAAAAACCCAGCTCATCTCCAGATAAACCGCTCTCTCCGTGGCAAAATACTAATTCACCGCGAGATAAAAGTGTCCCACCTTGGGAACGACCTGGCTCATCTAAAGATAAACACGTTTCGCCCTGGGATAATCCCGAGCCATCCCGAGATGGTTCACCCCGGAATAATAATAAGCAATCCCAAGGTGGGTCACCCTGGGAAAAACCTGGTCCATCTCGAAATCAAAGCAATTCCCCTTTCGACAAAGCTGGTTCAGCTTTAGAAAAAGCAAACACATCGCTAGAAAATGATTGCGTGGCTGAAGTTTCACCTCACTTGTCATCGCAGGAAAGTGAAGAGGGAAATTCACATAAACCACTTTTGAAATATAGATGTCAGAAAAGGTCCGTGTCCCGAGATAATACAGGTTTTGGCGAAAGTAGCCCATCGAACTTAAGAATCCCCTTGAGTGTTATGCGAGATAGGCGGAAGCCAAAGACAAAAAATGATATTTATAGGTTTTCCACTGATTCTCAAAACAGTGAAGAGTTTGATGCGCCGAGCCCCAATGGTTCGACGAACACTAGAGTCATCGTGCAGTAAGTATTAGCCTCCATAGCTCAGAGTTTGTCATTATTTAAACTTGTCACGTTACGTTCACGTTGAATCTGGCCTACATTACGGATGTTATAGGATATTTATTTATTTATAGCTAAATATTAGATTATATCAGAAAAAAAATGTTATATACATTATATAAGTTTTTCTTAATCTACGATAACTGATTCTGTGTGCCTACGGGCAAAGGCCTCCCCCATTGTTCTCCGTTTTTCGTTATTGTATACCAATCTCGTCCAGGTCTTAGTCTTTCCAGCCATTTCCATGATTTCATCGGCCCACCTTTTAAATTGCCTACCTCTGTTTCTTTTATGGCCTCTTGGTTGCCATAGTGTTACAATTTTGCTCCTCTTATGGTATGTCCAGCCCATTTCTTGTTACTTATTTTGTCAATTCTTCTTTTCTTTATTATGCTTCTTTCCATGGCTCTCTGGGTTACGCTTAATCTTTCACATTGTGCTTTGGTAAGTGCCCATGTTTGACATCCGTATGTAAGAATTGGTAGGATGCATTTGTTGAAAATAAAAAGTTATCTCTTGATGTGCGTGCTTGTTTGACTATTTTTCATAACTTCTTTTAGGGACGAATATCTCGTCCATGCATTTCCAATTCCTCTGTCTATTTCCTATTAGGAAGTTTCGTTTCAGGATTACACTATTAAATAGTTTTATTGGTATTTACCAGTTTTTAACATTTAATACACCGTTGAAATGTTTGAATGCTTTAACTGATTATTTACAAAAACTATACTAATGAATCCATCACACGCACTTGCACTGATACTTTATACACTACTATAGAGTTTATTGCACTCCAAATTCGCGAATATTCATTGATTATATTTTTAATGATTTTTTATTGCGGAGCACGACGTGACCGTGACGCGTGAATCTGTACGTGTTAAGGTCGATTTACATCAAACGAGCGAATGCTCATTCTATCCCCACTACATCAAATTCCTCTAGTGTAAACAGGCGTAGAGCATTCTTTCGTTGTTCTTAGTGCGTTCGCAAAGATTCTATAGAATATTCTAAGAATGCTCGTTCGCTTGATGTAAACAGCGCAAGAGCGCGCGAACAGTTGCTTAGAGCGTTCTAGCGTGTTCGGACGTGCTCGCGCCACTGAGCGGTCTTTTCAAAGCGTTCTTGTGTTCTAGTCTAGCTCTATGTTCGTTTGATGTAAATCGATACCTCTAGCTTTCGTTTACACTAAAAGATTACGAAAGAATGCTCTTGTTCTAGCTCTAGCTCTATGTTCGTTTGATGTAAATCGACCTTTATACGATATAACAGTTCGCAAATAAGTATTTTTATTCACAACCGAGGGGTTGCTAGTAAAAGTCATGTCAATGGTTTAATACATAAAAATTACGTTTACAGAGAAGCTCAAGTAAAAATGGACCTGGAAAGCCGCACTGCTAAGCGAAATAATAGTACGGATAGTGTCAACGACTCTAGTGAAGATGTACCGAAGACAAGGACAAGGCGGGCGCGAAAACCTGTTGTCTATAAGGAGAATATTAAAGGGTTAGATTTTTTTACCATAGATACTATAGACCAGGGTAGATAGCCCTTAAAAAAAATAAAACGTGAAAAAAATTATAGTAGTATGAAACCTATTGGAAAGGGAAGATTCATAGAGAAGTAGGGAAGGGGATGACGGGTCTGGGCGTTACTGCATACGATGTTTTGCATTTTCTGAGAAGATTTACTATGGTAATATATATATATTTTTTTACCATAGGAAAATAGAGATTTCAACGAACTGAAAGCACACCAACTTTTTGAAAAAAGCTGATATTTTGACGGGTGAATTTTCGATTGAAAATTAGGGTGCTTTTTCGATATTAATTCAAAATAAGGTGAAAATATTATTATTTCAAATCAAATAAATTACAGCGTATTAAAGACATAAAAAGGTAAGTTTTCACCAAATTTCGTGGGAAAAAAATTAATTTTGTAAAAGATAAAAATCAAAAACCAAAAACTTGTTTTTTTGAATTTTTCACATATATTTTGAGGTTATGTGAAAAATGTGTAAATACAAAAGTTTTAGATCTTTTTATTACCTACAACTTTGCCATTTGACTTTTTCCATAGGACTTTTAGTTTTGCCGGAAATCGAGATAAACAGTTTTTTACCCTTAAAACTCCGCATTACGCAGAGCTATAAAATTCATATAATATATTATAGATATAATTTATATTTATATAAAAATATATATAAGATAAGCTTTTATTGCTGTACTTAGTATCTGGTATCTTTTTCCTTATTTATTATTACCACTAATTAGCTAGTCTCTCGATAAACGCCTTTTCCAAATGTCGTCATGTTAATCTTCGCAATTCTATACCATTCTACCCTTCTTATCTCATCTTCCCAATGCCAGTTTGCAATATTATTATTTTTACATTCTTAATTTTGTGAACAATCGTTGCTGTTTCTGTTGCGATTTGTAAGCGTTTACAACACGTTTTATATTGAAAATAATTTAAATTGGTTAGTCTATTAAAAACTTTGGTATCGCAAGTAAGGATGCAAACTTGCGGGTATGGAAAATTAAGTATTTTTAGCAACAATAGTTTTTATCAAAATAAATATATACAGGCAAGGAACATAAAACCGTTTTGGTCCTTCGAGCCGGATTATTTCGTAATACAACCCAATATTTGACTTAAAGTATTTTTATAGTAATCGTTGCCTGTCATAGTACGTACCTATGTAAAATATTATATATAGTTATGTCAGTGCGTCCAACTAAGGTGTAAATAATGAATACAAAACCGCACAATACTTACAAAGATTTGACGTAAATTCAAACGTTTTTAAATGGTTTGCAAGTGTTTTCATATCAGTCGCTTAAAAGATATTTCTTTTTTTTTTTTCAGTAAACTTCGAAGGTGATGCGAAGATATTTTACGGTTAGACTACTTTGTAAATATTAATTATCTATTTATAATATAATTTGTTTAATAATCAACATTAGTACTGATCACTGTGATATATTTATTATGATGAATTATGTAAACGTCCTTAATATATAGCTGTAGTGACTGAGTAACTCAGCTGGACAGCGTCAGACCTTCAAGAATTTAAAAATAATTAACGAGGAACTTCAATTGCACTCGGAAATACACTGATTACGCGTAATAAATCTAATTACCTCATTTAACGCGCATTTAACACTCTCACAGTAATCACTTGTCTTGACTATGGGCACTTTATTTCATGATCTATGTCTCTTGGAATTGCACTCAAGACCGAATTCACCGGCCACCCTTCGGCCTGCTTATATATACATACATAAATCCCTTTTAACAATCGAGAACTTTCTGGGCAGGAGTAGAGTAGGAGGTGTTCCATCCTTATCGCACATTATAGAATGAAAACGAAGAACGTTCTAGAATGTTCGTGCTTTTGATCACTATCGTACATTATACTCCGTCCTTGTCGTCGAGTTGAGTTAAATGTTTAAATACGTACTCGATTAGATCCCATGGATTAAAGTGAACTCTTTATTCAGTGTTAAATGACGCAACGCTGTGCGCCACTAAGAGTGAGTTAGTAAGTTAGCGCAAATGTTACAGATTAACATTTAAACCCTGTTAAATAATTGTTTTAATGTCTGTGCCAACATTTAAATTCAATATGAAGCTTATATTGCTGTCATATAGAATAAGTTCCCATACACTGTAGAGCAAATGTCTCTTCATTCATGTCTGTATTGTATTGAACAACTCTTAAATTTTGAGTTATAAAGACTGATTCTATTTGTATATACTCTTAACTTATTGTAAAAAAACAAATTACTATTTTACCAAATTGAAACAACTCCGAAGCTTTGTTAAAGCGTAATTTTTTTCGGAATTAGGGAGCGTTCAAGTACTACGTAACGCAATTTTTGGAGATTATTGACCCCCCCTCCCCCATGAAACGTGCCGTAACGTTTTTCTGTACCCAATAGTAAAACGTTCCTTGACCACCCAGTGACTCTTTATACCTAAAAGTTACCATTATGTGGTGTAAAGTACTGGAAAGTCGAAAATAATATTAACAATAACGCGTAATTTAATCCCCGCCCCGCATCGTAACGTTTTACAAATAGAAACCCCCCCAAATTCGTTACGTAACACTTGAACGCTCCCTTACTTCAATATAATATCAAACAGAAATGTGTCTAATATTCTGTCTGTAAGTCTGAATAATACATGCTTTAATTTATTATTGTCTTCACTATTGTTTTTTTTATCCCATCAACTAAAAATAATTTATATGAAATCGCTTTATTGTAGGATCGTTAAGTTTTCTATTATCAAGCTACAAACTACTTTAAAAAAAAAATTATGTCGGCGTCCTACAAATATGCAGCTTCATCATTGCTTTTATTATTAGCCCAGAGGGATTTCGGGATTTACTAAACCAGATTACTATATAGGATACCTTGTACCCGGTTAAGTACCTCCACAAAATATGAGCCCATATATAAGGCCCCTAGAACAGATCATTAGTAAAAAAAATTGACCATCAAAATTCCCGACGCTCAATTAAGGTAGGGTGAGTTATTACATCCTAAAAGTGTATATTCCACTAATCTACAATTTGAGAGTGACGGAAAAAAGGAGGCACAAATTGTAAAAAACGTCTCTCACATTCTCGAGCGTAGCTAATTTTTCTTTTATTTTGAAGGAAATAATTCCAGAATAATGAAAAATATATAATCTGACGATTTCCGCAACCGAAATAACAAAAATTCGTGATAAAGTTAAATGCGTGCAGCTCGTGATGCCTACATTTCCTTAAACCGATCGGAATCTACTAAACGGCGTTCAAAATATTTCCCTCAAAATTACATTTCCTGTAATTTGAACCATTCGGACCATAGATTTTGAGAAATTTTGAAAAATCTTAAAAAAATAAGAAATATTTTTTTTTAAGTGGTTTCTTTATCATCAACTTCAAAAACTAATCCCCTTACTTGAAAACCACCATCCCCCAAGCTGTCAAGCGGTTGATTCGTTGAGAGATATCGTACATGAAAGAAACCCGAAAAAGTGTTTTTTCGGGATTACTCGAAATTTGTGGTTCGATCAATTAAAATTGCAAAATTACTTATGAGAATGATACAACTGCTCGAATGCCCCAACCCTGAAAATTGCTTGATCCATTCAAAAGTTATTGCGGTTTGAAAATTCCAAAAATAGTGTTCTATGAAACTTCTATCAGACTTTCGAGCTGGGAGAGCTCAAATCATAGAAATGTTATTTCTTTGAACTCAGCGAGCTCAAAATATCAATTTTAAGCCCCAGGAATGGAATTAGCGGAAGTGCAGGATGCCTTTAGTGAACCGTTTTTCTTTTTTTTTTGTCAGATCAGCAATCCTCTGTTCGTCAGATTATGAGACAGTACGTTTAGAACATAAAGATGAACCACATATATCTTAATCTGACGCCTTGAGTATTTCAAAATTGCGATTTTTTTCAAATTAAGAAAATGGCTGTGGGTTTGCGTCCCATCAAATCGTCGATTAGTGAATGAATTTTTTTGGTGCACTTAACACTCCCTTAGAAAATCTGACCGCTCGATAAATTTTTTTTTTTTTTTAATTTTCAACCCTTAATACAACCACCCCATGCAAACGATCAGATTACTACGTACATTATTAAAAACGAGGGCATCTTCAATATCTGACCGCCGAGGATGTCCATGCAACAGTTTTTTTTACATATTTAACTATCTATAGCCGCTTCCCCACCATGAAAAGGAATTTATCATATAACATTTTTTCTTCTTTTTATCTAAGCTTTGTATCCCAATAGGTCTCTCGACGCTCGAGTAAATCCCCATTTAGCATCGTGGGCTCCCTACCATTAGAAGTATTAAGCCCGTGGCTATGATCGCTAAAAGTATGAATTTCCTAGTCAAATGTGCTTTAACACTGCACAATCAATGACACTAGGCAAATTCGTTAAATGTGTACGAATGTTATCGCACTTTTTAATATAACCTTAATGTTTTGTTTGTTTTAGTACTAAGTAATATTGTTTGTTAATGGCAATAACTATTTTTTGGCAACTCTTAATTTGTATATTCTGACAAGCGTGAAGTTTGCGGTTTAAGATTGGCTTGAGAAAAAATCATTTTGCAATAGGCGTCACCCAATACCGCCAAAATAATTTGTATGTTAATAACATTAACTCACGCTTTGTCACGTGACCATTTCCATATAAATATGTTTGGCGTAAGCTGGTCACACCTGTCGTAATTTTCTCTCAAGGACCAGTACCTTAGCCAAGTACGTTTAGTCGATGGTTTTGACACTTCGAACGCATACATTTTCAACATTTTTGGTACACACAAATACTATTTGAGTGATATAAATTTTCGTTTAGTATACGCCACGGTACTGAGTTCAGTTTTATATACACTATCTAAGTAAATTTTTATCGCGAACAGAAGTTTAATAAAAGCAATTGATAACCGACGTTATTTTTTCTTATCATATTAATGTACACTCCTTTTGGTTTGTACATTTGGATATTTAACTTGTTAATCAAGTGCTATTATGTAAAACAACACTGTATTGTTTAGCATTAGTAAATCATATGAATATGTACCTACTTATAATTATGGTAATTAAATTAATTAATTTTTTGACAATCTTGTTTCTTTTTAGTGATAATATGACTGTGGTCGGAGAATTTAGAAAATAGTGGTAAAGCTTTTTCAGTGGTACAATCCTACCTATTCGAGCCTTAGTAAATACTACTTGAATAATACTACCCCTCTAACCAAATAAAAAAAAAAATGGTGCGTGTACTTATGTACGCGCGTAAGAAGTTATACTTCTTTGGCTTTCTTTATTTTTTTTTAAATATTAAATAATTAATAATAAATATTTAGTGTTAATTATTTAACAATATTTAATATTTAGTATATTATTCAATTATTAATTAATATTAATAATGATTATTATTTATTATTTTATTATATTATTAATTCAATTTAATAACTAGGTATGTTTCATAACCTTTTAACTAAGTAACAATAGGTCTTTGTGAAAAAGCATTGCTAAATTGCTTTGAAAAAATAATTAAAACTCCTTTATTTGTTTAAAAGGTACTACAAATGTCATTATGGTCATTCAAAATTCTTGGCATAGCTGCTAACGTCACGCATATTCTATTTCTTTTTACTTGTGGATTGTCTTATTCCCATCTCGCTCGCGCACGCTCGGCGCCCATACTGATAATTTTGTGTCACGGTGCGCGCGCATCGTAAAATTTCACTCTCATAAGTTTTTCATAACGCGCCTAAAGAAGTATAACTTCAAAAAAACATTTTGGTATCTATAATAATAACTCTATAGTTTATCTAATACGATACTATATTTTAAATTCTTGGCTGTCATTTGACGTCCACAATTGTCATAAACGCTGTAAAAGAATAATAATATACTAGTGATAAATACACAGAAATTATTTCTCTAAGTTAACTATAAATTATACCACAGTCATTGAAGAACTAATCGTTGCTTCATTTTTATGCAAATTTACCACCGAAATAGTTGAAGAACTTAAAAAGACAATGAGAAATGAAAAACAAGACTTATTCAGGCAAGCCAGTCCAAGAGATTTGGAGAAGTTAGCTTTTCTGGAAAGACAGGAGGTATTTATTAACAGTAGTGTATTCTAAACCCTAGATTCTTCTAGTATTCTGCTAAAGGTTCGGCTTATAACTTGGCGTTGGTAGGTTTGCTACATTGCTACAAAAATATGTCGGATACAAACTTACAAATATCTTCTACATAATAATATGTAAGCTAGGGACTTAGTTTTTTATCCCCTCATAATATAATACATTCCATAGAGGAGGCAGCAATATTGCGTATAGGTAAAAAGACCACAGAATGACATTTTAAGTTTATTTCCAATATCATAACTATCTATCAACAATATCGTAATATCAATATCGCTTGCATGAGATTTATTTATGTATTATTTAAATTCTCGTACTAGAGTAGTGCATATTCTAGCTTAAACAATAAGTAATGTCTATCTACTTTTAAAGTTTATTATACATTATTATTATCGTAAATCTCGATTTTAAAATATGCAAAACATATTGCTTATTTTTATACAGTACGGGGCAAACGGGCAGAAGGCTCACCTGATGTTAAGAGATGCCAACGCTCAGAGACACTGTAAGCCAGAGGGCTCGCGAATGCGTTGCCGGGCTTTTAAGAATTGGCCGCTCTTTTCTTGAAGGATCCTAAGTAGTATTGATTCGGAAATAGGACGGCAGGGTAACTGGTTATACTAAACGATAGTGCGCAGTTAAAACGACGGTCAAAAATTAAAATTTCTGACTTATTAAATAATCCAAAACCATTTCATAGCCAAGTAATATAAAGTCTTATAAACAGTTTATTTCTAGCGTCCGTATTATATGTGGTGGTCACAAGATTGTCTCGCGCGCACATTTTTTCACCTCCCAAATAAAACTCTGTGGAACTGCTTCGTTTGCGCCACAACGCTGACTGCTGTTGTACTTATTGCTATCACCAGGGAGTATGAAATTAATATCCAAGCATTTTTCAATGCGGTGTATATTATTCACGTGGCTGCATTGATGTGCCAGGTGGTTAGACGGCTGCAGTATTCCTACATTGATTATTGTACAGCGGGTAAACCATTCAACCTTATTATTTTTAAGGCAGCTATTAAGAAACGAGACTTGGCACGTAGGACTGAGTCCGAGTGGCATTTTGACATACGGAACTTACGGGTATCTTACCTGAAGACTTAGTAAGATGTTTCATAAATGATAAATGAATGATTCAATAACCTTAATATATTATAATAAAGAATTGCCATAAAGTGTGCTTTAACGTTATCGAAATAAAATTGCATCCGAATTCGATATGAGCAAGGCCACAAAGCGTCGAATTCATCTCCATTGCAATTGGTTATCTTTTCTACGACTTCTTTGTTCTTCGTTGAAATCTGGCAAACTCGATAAATTTTAATAAAATAACTATTACGCACACACATACATGAATGTACACATTAATTTGTCTAACACTGATTCTTTTAGCTGGCTTCTTAATAGACTTATCTACGTTTTCTCACTACATAATAGAAGTAAAGGACCACGACTTACTAGAGCTAACTTGTTATTATGTACGACTTCACAGGCCTATGCGTTATCTATGTAAGTATTATAGCCATTCACTTAGAATTTAGATTACGACCTGAAGTTCTTTGTTTCTTCTAGTCTTAATGTAACTGTTTTACTGCGTATCTCGTGTAATAAAAATGTAGGAGGAAGAACAGAATATTAGTTTGTATAACGATATAAAAAATATGATTCCAAAGCCTATGTATCGTACGAATGAATAGCATATTCATTACAGAATAATTAGGTTTTATTTTTTTAGGGTCTTTAAATAATGAGAACATGAAAGGCAGCGTCTTGGGTACCACATTGAAATATTGCTACATTTTTATGGTGCTGAGAGTCACCTGGGCGTTAATTTGGCTTCGAATGGGCGTGGTAAATACGATTATAACTTATGATAGTATCTAAATGTTGCTTCCTAGTCCCTACTTCATCAGGAATTCGTAATTATTCAAAATAAAAGAAACCAATGGCGCTACAACCTTTTTAGGTCTGGGCCTCAGATTGCTGTATCTGTTTCGTGAGCATTTGGCTAATAGGCAAGTACGTTATATCAGCCTTCTGTACCTGACGCACGCCGTTGACTTTTTGGATCTAAGGCAAGCCAATTTCCTCACGATGTTTTCCTTCACCGTTCGAGCGAAAGTTAAATGCGCACATAGAAAGAAAGTTCATTGGTACACAGCCGCGGATCGAACCTACGACCTCAGGGATGAGAGTCGCACGCTGAATCCACTAGGCCAACACTGCTCGTAATTATTGTCTTTTTTTGGCGTCGGGACGTGACGACCCCATCGCCCACTTGAAATAACCTTAAGAGGTTATTTCATCACCAATAGTCAACCCCTTCCTAGTGGGAGTCCATGCTGTTCCTTCGGGCTTCACCAAATGGCCCACCGGCAGTACCACTTTTCAGAAAACCGGCGTGAAGTGATGCAAAAGGTTCGCCTTCTGTACTCCGTTTCGTGCGGTGAGAGAGATTCCCGAGCCCCCCCCACACACAAGAAATATGAAGGTGCAGAAAAACAAATCTACCCCAGGTACCACACCGCTCGCGTGGAGAATCCCCCTCTCTCCACCAAACTCAGCACCCGGTGGTGGACGCCAACTGCCCTTCGTATTCTGGGGGGCAATTCTGCGCTCTACAAAAATAGTAATCGTCCTCGGCAATTTACAAGCACCCCCTCCACTCCCGTGACTTCACAATTTAGGGGCTTATTCTACATCAACCTTCCACTATCATCTAAGACTGCACCGCCTTGCTCTTTCTTACCGAGACTCAGATATCTTCCCCGGCTGATACTTCCCTTCTCCGGTACAAATTAAATTCATTTGTGCCGCGGGCTGGAGTTCTGTACGTCAAGAGGATATCTGTTCTCGTCGCCTCGGGACGCTTGAAGGAAGGGACCTTCTAACCTCTGGCTCCGTAACTCATGACCATCCCGATTCTACCATCCTGTATAGGTCCCATAGCGATACCGATGACCACTCATTGACACATCAAATGGCTACAGATTCCCTGCTCGAAAGGGTTCCTACCCTAAATCTGATACTTGGCGATTTTAACCCCCCATCCGATTGGCTCGGCTCTAAACCACCATCACGCGGGAAGATCCTTTCACGACTTTGCTTTAGCCTACACCTGACACAAATGGTCCCTCATTACCATACCAGATGTGGATGGTATAAACCCTCTTTTTGACCTTCTCTACTTCTCATCCGGAGAACTATCAAGTCTCTTTACCCGCCATTGGGTTCATCAGATCATTTGTGGTCAGTACTGTGCCATCTACGCGCCCTTACGCCCCTTTATGGGTTGTCGCCGTATTTGGCACTATAAGTCACAGATTGGGACGGATGCGGTCTTTCTTTGCGTCCTACCCTTGGGGCCTATGTGCTTTTCGCCGGAAGCTCCAGATTCCGTCGCCGCCTCTGTCGCCGAAGTGGTTCTGCAGGGCATGGAACTCTTTATTCCATTTTCTCGTCCGATCGTCGTCTCACTGTTTAAACGTTCTTCAAGCGGCCCCGTCAAACGAGATGCTTACTGGCGGAGCCGATCTCGTATCTACCACAACTTAAAACATATAACTCACCTCAGGTCCTTCAAACGAAATACTAGCTCGAGCCATTCAATTTGGCGAGAGATTGGCCCAACTCCCATCAGGGATCAGCCTTCTGGTTCTCCCAAACTTCAAAATTTTTGTCAGCCCCCATTCCGCCACTCACAAGGATGACTCTTTGGCCCACACTCGAAGGAGAAGGCTACCTTTTGGCTGTCTCTTCCTTAACACTTATACCGAGGAGATCACCACCACCATTTCGCGGTGTGATTCTTCGATGCCATACATTCGCAACTGCTGTCCCAAACACTATCTTCCTTGAATTCATAGGTGAGCGGGCATGGTATCCCCCAATTGTGCTCGTACTTTGCTCCTGAGTTGGCTCCGGTCTTAACGCGCCTTTTCCGTACCTGTACTCGCTCGCACTTCCAATCTGAAGACCGCTTTATACATCCATCCCTAAAAAGCATCCTCTGATCCTCCAACTATCGCCCAATAGCTATAACTCCTTTTCTCCAAAATAATGATCCATTGTTAATTGCCAGCTCTTGAGGTATCTAGAGGGCCACCAGCTATTAGCATTATCAGTACGGCTTTCGTCGTGGTCTTGGCTGGTACCTTCTTTATACCTTAACATAGTGGGCAGAGGCAATTGAGTCAAGGGGAGGCGCTAGCGGTTAGTTTGGACATAGGAAAGCCTTCGATCGGGTGTGGCACAGACACCTCTCGAAGCTTCCAGCCTATGGGCTTCCCAGAAATTACGCAATTGATCTCCAGCTTTCTGGCCGATCGGAGCATCAAGGTCGTCATCACGGAGCATGTTCCACCTAAAACCCGTAAACCTGGGGTCCCACAAGGCTTTTCTATCCCCACCCTATTTCTTCTTTCAATGTTATGTTGAAACTTAGCAACATTCATTCTATGCGGATGACAGTACTGGGGATACTTTTTACACTGGCCGGGCAGGTATTTCTCGGGCAGTTGTTGATGAGTACCGGAACAAACTTGTGTCTGAAGTTGAAACTCTACTTCTGGAGTCTCAGATTGGGGAACAAACCTAGTCCAATTTAACCCCAAGAAGACACAAGTTTCCTTTTCCCTAAAAACACTTTCTATCCTTTAAATTTCTTACCACACCATTGATATTGGGACATATGAGGACGTTCAGTTTCGCGGTCACTGAGGAAAGGCTAAATTAGCCTCCAAAACTTTCTCACACAGACGTACTTCACTCCACCCATCAACTATATAAACAAATTCCCCCACATATACTGCTTCACCTCTGGCGGGGCTCCCACAGTTTCCACTACCGTATAACGCAGAGTTGATACACAATCCTTCAGGGCTGATCTTGCGTTCTAGAGATGTGTACTCCATTTCTACCGCATTTACCATGGAGAGTGTCAAGGAGTCGATACTAATTCTCATCACAATTCTATACCTACATTCCTAGTTTCAACAGCCCCCACCACTATTGAACCACCCATAAGTATTCCCAAATTCACTTGGTCTCAGAGCTACCAATTTTTAAAGCCGCAACTCCGAGCCCTCTGGCAGAGTGTCCTGCGCGGTATCACTAACATCAGGTGAGCCTCCTGCCCGTTTGCCCCCCGTTCTATAAAAAAAAAAAAAAATTTAAATATATTGTTTTCATTATAATAGTAGGTTATAGATACTTTAAAATCAAATTTAGTTCTCTTCGGTGATAAACCCTGAACACGCACTAAACAGTCGGCTGATGAAAAATGACATTTCTCTTGGACAAAATCAAGCTACCAATCCCGGTGAATTCCTGATTGTGTTCTATGTTTTGAATAAACTGTTCATACCTATTGGGTAAGTTCTCCTCCTAAATGACGACTCGTAAAATTCTACAAACTGTTATTACTTAACCAACAGTGGTTTTAGGCTCATTCTGGGTCGTTCGATTCTGTCAAGAGTCAAATAAATTATCGGTATTGGTAGTTATATACTTAAACATTAGGTGAGTAATAACACACATTGGTGGTGAACAATTTAAAGTTTGCGAGGGTATAACTGTTAGGATGACCTGATGCTAAGAAAAAATATTTATTAGTCACACTTCATTGCAAGAAATGCAGTACAATTAAAATAATTAGAGAACGAAAAAAAAATTACTACATGCGATATGCAATTACTTAGACATTATTAATGAAACAAAACAATGCAATTAAAACATATGTAGACAATGAAAAGGGACGAAATCACGATAATTTTAGTTAGATCAGTTAGTACGAGAGTTGGGGATACAATGTGTACTACTGTCTAGTGTCTACATCCAGTAGAGATTTAAAGGATAGAGAAGAAGCTAAGCGAATAGGGACAGGAAGTGAATTCCATTCCATTGCTTAAAGGATTCACCAAGAAAAGAAATTACTTACAAATTCTACGAATAAATAAGTTCTATTTTTAAAAGTGTCTGCCCCATATAAGAAATGTTCCCTACCTATATAAATTAAGATTTTTTATAGACCGTCTATAATGCCAAGGAATGATATGGAGCGAATAGCCTGTCTTCTTGTCATGTTGTCTGGCTCTTTAGTGGTGACAGGAGTGGCTGTGGCATCCCTGTCCCTTATTATTAGTCTCTACATGGCGCCTGAAGAGACCTTCCGATCCAGGTTCAAACTCATTATGAAAGAAATGGTTAGTATTTTTTAATACAGTTGCTCAAAAAGTGGCGTATTGCGTTTGGGATGTGGGCTATTACACACTCGTGCTTTTTCTTTACCTTTTCTGAACTCGTGCGTTTTCTTTCCCAACTGTCAAAATATAATGTACTATTAAAAAGAAAAAACCAACCACGAAGTTTTTACTAAAAAAAAATCATCGAAGTTTTTATGTTTCATGCAAATATATCTAAAAAGAAGCTACTAATTTGTTTCAATATCAGATTTAATGATTTGATGCAATGAGTTAGGTTAGGTTTCATTTCATGTCATCTCATTAAATTTCATTTTCATTTCATATCAATAAAAAAGTAAAAAATGCTTCGAAGAACATTTTAACGGAAAAGTCACAAAGTCGTTACATATTTACATACGACGAATTTATTGCGTGGAGATAAGAGAAAAAAGCAAATAGTTTTGCGAACGTGCGGAACCGTCATTGCAACTTGTTCGGGCTTCGGCTGCGCCTCGGCTCGGGTAGACATTTGTCGGAACTCTTTGCAATGACAGGCTTTCCGCACTCGTAATGAGATATACTATTGTTTGCAAGCTAGAAACATTAAAATAACTATAGGTTTTTTTAGTATGCAAATAAGTTTTTGCTACGCTCTTTCTTCTTCTCTAATTTCTTCCTATAGTTCTGAATGCATAATGTAAAACATGTACATAACGTCATCATAGTGATGTGTAAGCGCAGATTGTAGGTATCGCTACAATTGAATACTTTAATCCCATAAATATTGACGAGGACAATCAAATCAACTTAAAATAATTTTAGAAAGGGTCGCACATGCCTCTAAGTCTACGTGAGAAAGTAAAGACCTTTTACAAGATGTACTGGCACAAGCAGAAGGCTGTGTCGGCCACTCAACTCTTGCCTATCTTCCCGCCAACACTCTGCGCCACTGTTTACACCGATATCTACTTCAGAGCAACACAAAAGGTGCGTGTCTAGTTACAAAGTGCCTATAATAGTTTTATTACTTATTTATTTTCAATAGGGCGAAATTTTAATTACAATTATTATAAATCATTAGACAATTAAGTGCATTTTATAAAATTCCAAAAAAACCTATTGCTATCCATTTATGTATTCTTAGTATTTTTTTAGTCACAATATGTTACATACGCTACACATAAAGGTCGCTTTCCGGCGAAGAGTCGAGAAAACTATTTAGCTGCGAGAGTAAGTGTGGAATGGGAGCTTGTTGATTATAATACCTTAACTAGGACACAGAAACAAATCGCGTTGAATGAATATAATATATCGTTTCAGTATCTTTAGACACTAACTAAACAAGTTTATGTGAAAATAAAGAAACAATCTATATTTTCTTAAAGGGTGTTTTGACGTCAACTTTTTCTTCTTTCAGAGTTGTATTTTGCGTGACCTTTCCTACCAGTTCCTTTCAGAGCTCGCGAAGAAAATGCGTACAATCCACTATATCCCCGGAGACGCAATCATTAAACGGAACACAATCAGATCATCTATCATATATATCACCTATGGAGATGTTGAGGTAAGCGCAAAAGTAAATATACGCGTACGATTCATAGTAAAGACTTTTATGTATGTTCTTGTATGTAAAAATCTTATCGGTGGTACAGCGAGCATGATCCATTCACACTCTGATTTGTCTACCTTCCAGATGCTAACAGCCGAAGATGATTCAACAGCGATTCTTCGGATGGCTCGTGGTACCATTTTGTCCCCACAAGCAGGCTGCCCGGCCGCATGCACGCGTGCGCATGTAGAAATAAGGGCTGCTACGTTCTGTATCGCACATGTGTTGTATGCTTCTGATTTGTGGAAGACAGCATTGAAATATGGACAGAAGGAACTTATTTTGGCTTCTTTTTATGTTAGCAAAATTGTATTTACTTACTAACGTAGAAGATTATCACTATAAATTACTAAGCATAACCTACAAATATTGTCTAACCAACCGACTTATTGAAGTTTCAAATAGTTAGCTTAAATTTTTAAATGAATATGTGCAGGTTCAAGTATATTGTAACACGAATATTAGATAAATTACACGAATATTAGATAAATGCATTTTCAGGAGCACTTGGAAAGGGTTAGGCGGCACTACTGTTGGAAAATCCCCGAAAATGCTGCGTACGTATAATTTTTTTATTATCTATTTAGTACCAATAGAAGATTCTAACAGAAGGTAACCAAGGGAAAAGTGGTTAGATTTTTAAAGTCACGGTGCTTCTATAATGCCGTTCTTCTCTATCTTCAGTCGGTAGCTCATGTCTGAGCGCCGTGGTCAGCAAAGAAACATCTGGAGCGGACAATCTGTTTCCACCGGTTTCTGTACAGAGCCTCTCTTAAATAGTGTATAGTTTTGAGGACGATGAGTCTTTCACTTGATCAGTCCATCTGGTTGGTGAACGGTTTTTAGGTCATAAATCAATGTGTGTTTTGAATTATATTTTGACAATGCATCCATCTTATGTACATACCACATTTATTAAAAAAAAGAACTTAGTATAATTTTTATAATTGAATTCGTGGTAATTACAAATTCACGTAATATTATTTTTTATTTTAGATATAAGAGTAGCATCTTACATTTCAAACGCAAATTAATGAATTTGAAGGAAGCGAAAATCGGGGAGACACCTCCACTAGCGAAGACAGATGTGATGATGGAAATAGCTGGTTCTTATATTATGAGAAATGTAAGCTTTTTTGAGTGAATGAGTTTTGTTTACTCTTATTATTATTAAATTAAAAATAACGGTATGAATCAATTTTTAAAATACCGGTGCCCAAATAGCGAATTCTAATTTTAAATATAGCTCCAAACTTTTAATTTTCAATAATAAACCTCTGGTATTTAAATAGTAATGTTTTTACATCAAATATAATTGATTGTCTTTGATGATACGATTCCACCATTCAAGCTTCATGGCAAATATGGTCTGGAGTTAATCGTATTTTCATTTCTTCATACTAATAAAAATGTAAAACAAACCGCCAATATTTTCGGACAATTCTTCTTCTTATAGTGCCATCTCCTTGCGAAGGTTGGCGATCATCATGGCTAATTTAATTTTGGATGCCGCGCTTCTAAACAATGACTTGGTGCTTTGACCAAACCATTGTCTCAAGTTTTTCAACCAGGACGTGCGTCTGCGGCCAGGTCTCCTTCTACCTGCCTCCCTACCTTCGGACAATTAAGACTTAATTATTTATTTCAGAGAGCAGATGCATCCCTGACGGAGGAATCCGACGCCATTTGCCTACGAATGACGTTCCCGTGTATTTTACAGCCATCCTCGTCGCTACAAGTCGTATGGCATTCATTTGTGACATGCATAATACTGGCTGTTTGTCTAGTTAGTATAAAACTCATAACTTCCGCTCTGTGAGAAGATAAATAATTTGATAAAGCATTTCCACATTGAAAACAAGACATTATGGCAAACAAACGAAGAGGTTGCATTTAACTTGGATTCTATTCGCCGTGATTATAATTGTTTTAGGTTTTGCACAGACAATTCATCACTCACTTCCCTAAAAACGAAATATATTTATTCCGTGGTTCATTAGAGGTAATGGACTTAAAGAGACAACTGTTTTGTTCCATAGACTCATCCATACTACCTGGTGTATAAGAAAGAGGTACCGCTTCAGTTCAGGTTCTATGACTACATTGTGAGCATTATCTTCACACTCGACCTAATCATACACCTCTCCACGGCTGAGAATGTTGAAGATGGTAATTATTAGATTTTTATAATTGTTTTGCTGTTCCCTTGTCATATATATCCAATACTGCTTAACCGATTAGTCTGCGGTTTCCGGGGTACTAATATTCCTTTCAAGTGTAGCTGGAAAAACTTCAGTGTTCAGTGATTTCTGAATTGAATGTGGCAACTATTTATAACATAATTAAAGTAAAATATTAATTAACTGTAGGTAAATTTTTTAACGTCAACGTTATTCATTTGTTTTTTTTTCTAAAACTAAATTTACTGCCAGTTCTTAAAACAAATTCGTAGATCGGTCGAGAAAAACTGTAAAGAAACTCTTTCTATCGCCATTTTGTTTAACAACATTCTTGTTTATGAGTTTATTATTATGAGCACGTAGCACTTATTTGAATTTTAGCAATTTTAATGAGAACTAAAGACAAACTCGTGTAACTCGGTAAAGTAAAATGAAAACCATACGGAAATCGTTTTAAAAAAAACAGAATTCTAAATAAATTTATAATAATAATACGTATGTAAAAAAATCTTTTTACTAAAATTATAAGTCCTCGAATAGCCCTTGGGCCTTAATAACTACCCTTTTATCATAATATAGATCTGTGATGAGAAATGAATTTTTCTTACAGAATAACATATTATTCATGCGCTACTTCCAGGTGTACCCATAACCCTTGCCCAAACAGCGTCCCAACAAGCTCGAAGCAAATGGTTTATGCTTGATGTTATAGCCACGTTGCCAATATTCGAATTTACTACTGAAGGGCATTTTGCTGGAATTAATAAAATACTCAGATTACATAAGGTACTTGTAATAGTAGTTAATGAAACATGATTATAAGAGTTTTTTTGTTGGGTCTTTATACGGAAAAATCAACTCTTAAAATTGGGGCTGAAGTTAATAATAGGTTTTTTTGTATAAAAAAGTAAAAACAAATAAAACACAGATGTTATTTCTGCAAGTAGCTAAATATATGTGGATTTGTTTTGAATGGAATCTTGCTGTTGGACTAAAGGACCTTGACAGCTCAGCTTGGGCTGTTTTGGCGAGTGTAGCTCTGCCTGAAAATGGGTTCTTCTCACGACTAGCTCAAGGTATCGTACTCGGCGTCGTTAGTGGGACACTTGCCTGAAGGGCAGCACGGAAGCTCACTTATAACGGAAGCTCACTCACGTAATGGGATCATCAGGTTCCGTTAAATTTAAAATGTATCTGGGCCTCTTACGTGTCTTTGTTTTCGGAAAGGGGTAGTGTAGATTTGTCACATTTAAACGTTTTGAAGGAGGATTCTAAGGATTCTCTTACATACAATTTTGCGAGGACCACCTACGTTACTTTATCTAAAGTTTTTTTGTACCTGGACAAGCTAATAAGCTTATTTTGCAACCGCCTTTTATTACAGGTATTTCGAATGCTTAAAGCCATTGAAGACGAGTGCGTATATCACAGTAATACCCTGAGATTCCTTTCTTACTCACTACTCCTTCTAATCGCCTGTTATCTCCTCGCGGCATTACAACAAGGATTTATGTGTTATGGGTAATTTCTTTAAGTTTTCCCCTGACGCGTTAACGGACAAGTAGATACTACCTACATTTTTTCTGCAAGAAGAACATTATAAATGAAATCGTAATTATTTTTTTAATTTGACTAATAAAATCATAAAATACTGTATTAAGTATTATTACAATGATTAAATACAATTTTATAATCATTGCTACTGAATGATTGAGAATCCAAATGACAAAGAATCCAAAATCGTCAAATTTATAATCTTTCTGGATACTAAAGTCAGATATACGGAGTCATAGGTTCCTTCCGTACCTTATATGGAGTACCTAAGTCATGAAGTAAGGTTGTTTTTGTCAATGAAAGTTAGTCCAATAATCAGAATAATGAGAATGCAACAGTATTGTGGGCAATGAAATTGCTTTGCAAGTAAACGTCTAGCGCATCAAGCTGCACCAACTTGAATAATAACTTAACTCCGTAACTAACGATAGTGATACCAATCCCGACATTTTTCTAGATAATTTCGATTTACCGCAATCGCTATTGGAAGTTACAGAGTACTCCCTCGATCTGTTACTCACTTTTCGAACAACAGCGGTTTTCGCATCGGGGTCGCTCTCAAATCAGTCGTGAAGAGTCATTTTATGATTTGGCATTCTGAAAAGGTGGGAGCTTGTAGTTTATTGTTTATCAGAATGGCAAATCATAAAATGACTCTTAACGACTGATTTGAGAGCGACCGCCATGCGAAAACCCTGTGAGTTCGAAAAGTGAGTAACAGAATCGCAAGGCAGGTGTTGAAGTTCAAGCAGTGATACTGGTTCTATATATATAAGAATTAAAAGACAGTAGCTTGTTTTAAAGTTTTAATTAAGATTTCATCCATAGCTTTGGTTACTGCTTAGTGACGAATATAACTCATTCTCCATACTGGACCCCTAAGCCTCTAGATGACACAGTTGAAAGCCGACTCACTTTCAGCCTCTATTGGTCGATATCTATGATTACTTTTACTTGTAAGTAGACTTAACATTATAAACTCTTTTGCAAAAAAAAACGGGAGCCTATGGAAATTTCCGTTCTAATGCCGATTTGAGTTAATGAAATCATATTCTCTGACGTAGTCTGTATGCTTATAATCGTCTAAATTAATACACATGAAGTGAATACAAGACAATCTTCTTGCATGAACTTAGTACACAGCCTACGTCTGACAATTAAATATGATTTAATTAACTCAAATCTACCTTATGTACTTTTATGCTTTTTGAAGTTATACTTCTTTAGGCGCGTTATGAAAAATTTATGAGAGTGAAATTTTACGATGCGCGCGCACCGTGACACAAAATTAACAGAATGAAGTTGCTCACGGAAGATGCTACGGCATTGGACAATTTAAAAACAACATTCGAATAATAATAGAATTTATATTTCACTTAATGTAAGAGAATAATAATAAATATTTATTTATTTAATTTTTCAAATGTAAACTGAACTTTATTGACTATAATGACTCCTTTTCCAGTCTTTGATTATTTAATTGTTGTTAATTATTTGCATGCAATCAAAAACTATTTTTAATAATGCCAAAGAAGTATAACTTCTTACGCGCGTACATAAGTACACGCACCCTTTTTTTAATACTGTATTTATATAATACTAATTAAGAAATGACATATTATAAATACGATTCTTTACATTGTTGCTAACTTACTTTTTTTATAATTAATTTTCTTCTGTTTAAGATATATCTAAACAATTGTTCCTTTATCAATTTATTTTAAAGCTCACAAACAAGACTTCGGCGCAGCCAACGCTCTAAGTGTGGTGTATGTAATGTTTGTCCTGGAACTATGCATCGTGCTACACATATTTATCGAAGCTGTCTATTCTGCTACTATCATGGTCACCACAGCTATGAGGTACGATTGTTTATAGAGCAGTTATTTACCATTTATAATAATAACCTATAGATCAGTTTTATGAAGTTCTTTTTGTTATTTTTTAACAGACCTGTCCCTCATAATAATATAATTATTATTATCATATACAAATCTTAATATATATAAATTACGTGTCACGTTGTTTGTCCGCTATGGACTCCTAAACTACCGAACCGATGTTAATCAAATTTGCACACCGTGTGTAGTTTGATCCAACTTAAAAGATAGGATAGCTTACATCTCAATTTATACCCGCAATATTATTTTATTGCAAAATATTTGTTTATTATTTGATAGTCACAATTCTAACAGATGGCGCTGTGTTGAAAGTACCAACGTTCACATAAGCTACAATTTAATGGCATAACCAACAAAAAAGCATGGTGGTCCCCATGACTGGTGTTCGGTAGGGCCGTTTCCCTTGAATAGTTTGCTACTATGTAATATAACAAAAACCTTAGCCACAGCAACGCTTGGCCGGTCTGCTAGTAATTATATATAATACAGTTAAGGTACTCATGTTATAATAATCCTACTTCAGGGAAAATTACGACGCGTGTATCGAGAACGTCACCAACTTCCTAAACAAAAATGAAGTGGAACCCATACTAACGAAAAGATTCAAGTCTTATCTTGAGCTTTGCTGGTACACTGATAAGGTAATATTTATTATATTTTCTATTATTGCTTCGTTCCAACATATTATGGAACGAAGCTCTAAAAAGCAATTCAAACAGCAACGCTAAGCCTCCCGTCTTCTGTCCTCTTTTTAGAATTTCTCTACATGCGTGAAAAATTTTAACTTTGGAAAAACAACATAGACAGTTTTTATTAATAGATATATATAGAATATTCGAAAACAAATTTTGGATCGCAGAGTGTGTGATGAGATTTGAGAAGATATTAAAATTCTTTTTTTTTATTAAACATTAAAACATCCTCGTGATTCCCTTGGCTTTGCGCTACTGTTTTATATTGAGGCGAGGAGCTTGGATAAATTTAATGAAGTAATTTTCGTTATAATTTAAGCTAAGAGGACTGTTTTATAATTTCTTAAATAAATTAAAAAATACTAAATACTTTTTTTAGGCGTATTCGATGACTAATAAAAAGAAGTCAATATTTCACGACTTGCCGCCACACGTACACCAAGACATTGTGACGAGGCAGAGAAGCAAATATATGCTGTGCATACCATTTATGAAGGTACCTGCGAATATTGCTTCAAGCTAAATATCGTTGCTTTAACCTTAAACAATTACATACCTACTCTTATTATAATTTAATATTTAAAAAAACTATATCTTAGATTCAATTATGTTATGTTTAAATGTACACATCATTTTGATACTTCTTTTGGCGCGTTGGGAAAATATGGTGAGAGTAAATGGTTACGATGCGCGCGCACACCGTCACAAAAAACCGACACCCTGAAGTTAGCTATAGTCAACAATTTAGTTTTTTTTAAGTTATACTTCTTTTGGCGCGTTAGGGAAAAATGATGAGAGTAAAGTTTTTCTACTGTAAGTGTCATTTTTTCTACAAACGTAGAATGAGGCGAATGATAAAATTTTTGAAAATATTTCTATCTTGTTACGCCAAAAAAGTATAACTTCTAACGCGTGTACATAACACACACTTTTATTATGATAATTTCCAGCTACTCCACAAAGAGGAATTAAAAACTATAGCATCGAACGCAACCTTATTTTGCACTTGTCCAAATGAGATACTACTGAACACTGGAGACATTTCTAATGAGATGTATGTCGTTAAACAAGGGATATGTGAAGTAAGAAAATTTTGTTTACTCTTTAGACATTGTGATAGCGAAGAAGGAAAGTATCGCTTGGAAACCTTCTTCGACCGGGAAATCTTTTCATCTCATGATAAGGAGGCTCATCTGATGATAAGTGATACCGTTGTCCCTAAAATGTTCCTTTAGTGTAAGTTTTTTTTACTAGGTACGTACTTGGGTGCTATGCCCTAGATCTTTTTAATAAATATTATTAAAACTTTATCTTGTTTTCAATCCCAAAATTCAAATTAGTTTCTCTAGTGCTAGTTGTAACTAAAGCTCGGAGTGACAACTAGTTTTATCAGAAAATTAATTATATCAGTGGTAAATTCTAGTTTTCACTTGTTATTTCTAGTTTTGACAAAGGCATTTAGTAAAAACTTTTTTTTATACTTTTACTAGGGAAATACGCAGTTTTACTAAAAACTAGTGGTAACTGTAAATATAATATCATGATTTCAAGGTATTGTGTCCAATAACAAAAACTGTTGTTCGTGAATTGACCACGAGACATCATTTTGGTGTGGTTGTTTGTTTACTGAGTAAGTATATAGTAATTTACATGTTAAGCTTAAAATTACCATAGGAACAAAATTTTCAACAGTTTCAAGTATTCTCTACGATTACCTGATAACAACGTTGACAACATCAATACAGCTTTTTCAATATTTAGTTTACGAATACTTTTCAAAACAAACATCGTTTATTCATGCTTACTCGTACAGAACGTAATTTTTATTTATTTAGTATTTATTCTAAACCAGCGTAACAGTATTTAAAAGTTCATTACATGAAAATAGGTAAGGCTACAGAAATATAATTCCTGAAATTTAAGGATTATTTACTCTGAAAATTGAAACCCATTATTTTATACTGTTTACTATATTATTAATTAATTTTATATTACTGTGAGTATGTTTAATAAATATAACTATACCCTCAGGAATCCCTTCATTTTACACTATCAGAGCAGTCACGCACGTCCAAGTGTTCTCTATATCCAGAAAGTTTCTGAAAAACATAGACGAAATACCACAGATTAAAGATGCTATTGAATTTGCCAAAGAACAACCGGTATAATTTTTACAATATTATATTTTCTATAATAAAAATACAATTAAAAGATTTGTCTTTCATAAAAATAATTGAACATAGGCCAAGCAGACCTCGGCCGTGGGACGTCGAACATCGTCCGTCTCCATTCTGTGGTGGCAACACTTGTGCAATTTAAATGTGCTATGATTTAAACTTTTGTCGCATGCGGCTTTATGTCGTTGTGTTTAGGTAAAAAGTGACTGAGCTTTGGCTTGCGGAGCTGCGAAGCAAATTTTATGTTGCAATAGTATTGCCACCTACAAATCTCCCGATTTTAGTATTATGTTTGCGGACGAGGTCTGCTTGGCAGGCCTCTCGAAAAGCATAAATACATATAATAAAACTTAAAAAAACATATTTAATGAATAAAAAATCTATCTTATTTAATTTAACTTCACGTTTAGAGTGCTTCAAGCCAATTGTTGTCAGCAAGAGAATCTCTTGACTAGTTTTTAGTTTATATCCATTGTAGAAGTTTTATTTAAAAGCGTTTGACGTGGGTTTGGGTGTGTGCTGCCCTTTTTTGTTTGAAAGGAAAAGGTGCCTATTTATTTATGCTGCAGCTGCACTGCTGAAATTTGTTTTCTAGAAAAAAAAATTCAAGTCATTTCTTTGTAGGAGTTCGAGTTCCTTCAGATGCCGTTTCCATCATTTGTGACATATGTTCCTCCAAATCCCACACCTAACGTGGAACGATTTCCATTACCTCGGAAACATGAGAAGGACTCTGCATTTCTACACCCATTTAATAGACTTGGTTTCTTATCTATATTAAGGTAAGCTGTAGTTAATCTAATATATAAAATTCTCGTGTCACAGTTTTCGTTGCCATACTCCTCCAAAACGGCTCGACCGATTCTCATGAAATTTTGTGTGCATATTGGGTATGTCTGAGAATCGGACAACATCTATTTTTCATCCCCCTAAATGTTAAGGGAAGTCCACCCCTAAATATTTTTTTTTTATTTTTAGATATTTTTTTCTGTTTTTATTTTTTTATGATACAGAATTAAAAATACATACAAACCCCTAACTTTCACCCCTCTACGATCAACCCCTATTTTTTATTATAAATGATATATATGGCAAAACGACGTTTGCCCGGTCAGCTAGTATTCTTATAATATATACTAAAAAAGCAGTGGCCCAGATATTTGTATCTGTTTCATGGTCATATGTTTTTCCCAATAGGCCTGGAGGTGATTTGTCTTCTGAGCCTGACACACACTGTTATTGACATTTTCGACCAAGGCTTGCAGGTTGTTTCACAATGTTTTCATAAGAAGTCCATTGGTGCACAGCCGGTGTTTGAACCTACGAATTTAGGAAAGACAATCGCACGCTAAAGCCACTATGCCAACACTGATTTTATTAATAATTAAAGTATTGTATGTAACTTTACATAAGTTAAATCACATTATTCTAGAAACGTTATATATACTGCTTTTAAAGAATACACTTGTGTCAAAAAAAAATAACTTTTTACGCAATACTTTAAAACACTTACAATCTGTGGCTACAAAACACTACGATGAGGTCTTGCCCTGAATCGCGCTAACAGAGTTACTCCGATCGCTCAGGATACATATACAAACGATAATCTTGAGTTATGGGAAAACTATGTGGAACCATCTGCCCATTGAAGTATTTCCTAACAATTCGACTTAGGGTCCTTCAAGGAAGGAGCGTACCAATTCTTAAAAGGCAGACAACGCACTTCTGGCAATGCGAGTGTTCATCGGCGGCGGCGGTATCACTTAACATCAGGTGAGCCTCCTGCCTGTTTGCCCTTGTTCTATTAAAAAAACCATTTTCAGGAACTACGCTCGCCGAAACAGGCCGAGCCTTTCAGGGCAACAGCGAAGTTCCATTCTAAAACAGAACCAAAATCTTGTAGGCAATTCGTAAAAGTTGGACATAATTTTGAAATCATCAAAAATACGTAGTATTTTTGGTTACATAAATTATTCTTAGGTACATATTTCCACGTTACACAATTCGTCCTGACGGACCGTATTTGGCTCGCTACGAGTGGTTCCGAGCTGCGTGTGCGTTAACTAGTGCTATGGTCTTTCCTGGCTGGACATACTTGATTCTTCAGTTCGACAACCTTTATTATCTCAAAAATTTTCTAGATTTTTCTGCTTATTTGGACATGTGAGTTTATAAAAGCTTATTTATGAGTATTATTTCATTAACATTCTGTAGCTCGATTTATTTAATAACTCACCCAAAAACTACTGTCTTTTGATATTTTTCCTTCCTAGAGTTAATAGAGTTAATTATTTTATTTTATATATTTAAAGAGCGTGTCTTAAAATAAAAATAGTATTTCCAGTAAGTATTTTTTTTTATATTTTGGGTGACATGATTATACCGCGAGTCTGTTATTATTATTTTTTATTTGCTATGTGGAACAGATTACAAAGAGTTCTGGTGGGATACTACAATGATAAGGGTCTACTGGTTTATCATCCCGCAAGTACAGCAGCTCACTATTTGAAAGGCACCTTTCTCATTGATCTCCTAGCATGCCTGCCCTTAGAAAACCTGGAAATTGTGATTAAGGAGACCTATGGTAAATAATTTTATAGTATTCTTAAATTTACTTAATGAAACGACACCAATTTGTACCAGCACAAAGTGTACTATACCCCTTCCGAGATTATTATGATACAATAAAATCTATCAAAATCAATTAATTAAAAACTATGATCCCCTTTATATTAAGTAGATTACAGCATATTGTTAAAAAGACAATATGTTTACCTTATTACAATTTGGCCATGGGAACGTCAATATAAATGGCATGCAGTACCTAATAAGTAATTGTTGTTTGAACTGGTTCGAAAAATAAAACAAGTCAAGATCGCTCGCACACATTTCTGCTCGGTAATATTATGTATGTCATGTGTCCACACCTATTTCACCATGCCTCCTGCTGATAGAGGACAAATCTTTGTTTTTAATTTATTTTATTATTATTTATTACTTAAAGCAGCTCCTTACAAATGTTGTGTAAAACAAAAAACTTGGCGATTAAAAGAGTGACGGAGACTTTATTCCCAGTTCTTCTCTTCCGTTTTACGCCCTTGATTTGAGAACTGGCACTAAATGTAAAATTAGAATCATTAATATGTATTTCTTTACTGACGAGTCTAAGTGTACAATGTGTTACCTACATAAATAAATGACTTTTGACTTGACTTGACTCTTATAATTTATTATTTAACCGGATTGAAGTTATGTATTATTATAAATTTACAACTATTTAACATAATTTTAAATTTATCCGACGTTTCGCGTGCTTTACAGCGTGCGTGGTCACGGTGACTGAAGACAAAAGATGTTGGATGTCAAAAAGTATCACAGCTGTAGAGAAAGTTGCCTTATCTGTATTTATTACCCCGGAGTTGGTATCGACTAAAAGATGGAGGGTTTTGGCAAAAATGGCTCACGGTGTCCTCTATTTTCGCGGATTGTTTTTCTTGAGATTTTAATTTGGATATTATTGGATCCCAGGTGTTTGACAATTTTAGGCCGTCTTCTCTATTGAAATTGGGGTGTTTTTTGATTTCAATGGCTTCGCGTACCAATCTTGGGAAGAATCTTTTTTCTTTCGCAAGTACTTTCGGTTGGTCAAAGCGTATGTAGTTAACTTATCATTTATGAAACGACATTAAAGTATATGCTTTCCTAATAGAGGAATTCTTCATCATGATTTTTCTTTTAACACCTTATAACTTAAAAACTCGTAGAACATTCAGTGTACATGTTTACCTATTTCCTCACTGACTATTCATTTACAGAAGGGAGGTACTTCTTACGTCCTACCTCTCAATACTTATCCTTGAACCGGCTCATACAGCTTTATCGCACGCCGAGCGCTCTCCTCACACTGAAGGGATGCGTGCGAAAGGATATTATTATTGTGTAAGATTAAATAAGTTTCATATATGTTACCTAGTTTTCAACTCGTATTTAATACTCGCTCGTACTGAAGAAAACATTGTGTATAAGTTGGCGGTGTGTGTCAGGCACAGAAGGCTGATCACAACCTTGCCTATTTGCACAAATGATGACATGTGACGATAGGATGACAAATGAAACACGAATCAGATACAGAAATCTAAATACATATGAATACCACGATGAGTACTTTTTACATATTTACTCGTATACTACGCTTTGCCTGCTTTAGCCTAGGTTTTTACGTGCTAACATAATTGCTAAGGGCAACACTTTTCCAAAATAATTGCGATCCCGCTTGCTACAATTCTGATTTTTGTCAAATAGACATCCCTATATAGATTAGTAAGATATCACAAAGAAATCAACTAGAAAGACTATGGTGTTTAAAAGTTAATACATTTTCAGACTGAAGGCGATTCCCCCATTCTTAGCTCTACTAAATGTACTGACGTGTTTAATTATTTTTAATTCTGTGAAAGTCGTATTTGATAATGAGGACTACCACCTTGTACCATTTGTCGATGAAGGTGGATCATGGATAAATTTATACAGGAATGTTTGTAAGTTTCAGCTGTTATAAAAATATCTAATACTTGGGCCGCGTACGTGTAAGCCTAGTTTTTTTATAATAACACTATTTTAAAGGAGGCCCCATGTTTGTCTCTTTTTTTAAAAATAGGTCCTCTGTTCTGTCTCTACAGTCCAAGCTAATTAGCTTAAAAACAGTTAATTAGAAACTATTTAAAAAAAAATGTTTTGTGTTCCATATTTTTTTTTAATACAACTATTTCTGGGTTAATTTTATAATACAGACGTACGGTTTCTACGGACGTATATTATTTATTATATTGTAAGTTCATGATCGATATGGATCTCCTCTACCCTATCTGGGGGACATAGGACCATAAGTAAGTAATCTTATTAGGAGTTCCAAGTTGTTATGGAAGAATGGCAAAAGCACACTATTGCGTTAATAAATACTAAAATACAAGAATTAATTCTAGTTCGTTTCAACATCACTGAAAATTCCTGGAACCTACATCTGGCGACGTATTTCTGGGTGGTTTACGAGACAACCACTACGGGATATAATACATTTAGCCCTAGTAACTTTATAGTCATGAGGATTTTGATTACTGGAATGATTATTGGTGAGAAAGTCCCATAATATATAATTTTTTTGCGCCAGAATTTATTGTCTACATTATAATAGTACTGATTACTTTTAAGTACTATTTTGACTACTTTGTAATGGTTTTCTTAAATAAAATGAATTAGCGTTATTGATTTTACGGCAATAGTTTTAAGTACGCCAGCGATTAAGCTACATTTATAATAATAGCGACTCTAGCGATCTACTTCGGCTTCGCACGGGCAAGTGTTTTATTCTGGATATTAGTGATAACCGCTATAAATTCCTTTTTTTTTATTTTATCGTAGTAGGTCTGAACTAAGTTTGCCAATTTGACCACGAAAGATTCTTTTCATTTTTCTGGTTTATATTTTAGGTGTGCGGTTTGCAGCCACCTAGATAAGGAGTGTAGGAAATTAAACATAATCAGTAGCTAATATTTTATTGCGCGCGGGAGGAACGACCGGCGCTTCCTACGCTACACACTGTCGCTATTATATTATGGAAACCACACATATTGTATGTGTGGTTTACATTAACCCACTACAATATATAGCCTATGAAACTCACAAATAAAGTCACTTTCTATTGGTTCTGTAGATCTAGAGATTCTCACAAACTTTACGACAAAACTTCAATCAAAGATTTCTCGGCACCAGACTGCTCAATTTTAAATTCATTGATTTTCTTGCGTTCAAGAGTATTAAAAATTATCTTTTAAAAGGATTATTATTAGGCATATAAATTAAACTAACAAGAATTTTGTAGGAGCAATGATAACTACTTACTTCTCCGTTCGCGTCATCAGCACTCGTGCTAATGTCAATAAGGCACTGGCTTCTTTCCAACAGCATATGCAGGATATTGAGAGGTTCATGATGAAGGAAAATTTGGAGCCTGCGCTAAAAAGGTACTTATTAACTACTGAAAAATAAAATGTTCTATGTTTGAAAATTTAATTTAAATTTAACAAACCCATAAAGAATCCTATTTTTTATTATATTACAAGAAATTATTTTCTATTTTTTTAATTCTTAGTCTGTTTTAGACAAGTTTTAGAGTATTATAAACTAAACTGGGATAACATGGGTGGCATGGACTATCGAAAAGTATTAAAACTATGCGACCACATCACACTACGTACTGATGCCATTGTCTTCATCTATGGACCTACATTTTCAAAGGTTATCTCTTGAAAATAAACTTTTTCTGCGAAGCATTTTAGAGATTTAACAAATTCATTATTTACTTCCGTGAAATAAGCGAAAATAAAAGTAAATTTACTAATTTACAATTGTAAAAACGGGAAATAGTGGAAAACTGCTCCATTCTAGAATTAATGTGGCCTTTCACCTATCTTTCCATTTCCCGACAAAGAACATTTAAACTTAAGCTCGTCAGTTTACCATCCATCAATGTTTTCTCGTGGTAAACCTTAAATTAACCATCCTACTGTGAATCTTTTGTCTATGATTTTATAATATTTTGCATATTTCATAAGAAAATTTAAATTTCAGTGTCCAATTGTAAAGAAAACCGACATAGCGTTATTAAGGATTATAGGGCGGGCTGTACATACGCTCCACTTCCTAAAGGACACGTGCATCATATCGCAGGATGACGTCACATCCGATTTATATATTGTTGATCAAGGAATCGTGGAACTGAGATATTATGACAATGATGGCATCATTGAAAGGGTTAAGTTAGGGAAAGGAAGGTTAGAAAACTTATATGAGGTCCTTACATATGAAATTGGCGTATTTCGTACTGGCCACTTTAATCACGATGTTCTCCTCTTTGGTAAGGAATTCCAAATTCAAATTTGTACAGCTATTTACTCATGTATTTGTGCTTCGATGACCGTCATTCATTTGTTTTTTTCTTCTGTTTTTTTCGGTTTGCGTCACTCATTTTACAAAATGGAAAACTTAAAGTATCGCATTATTTACGAGTACGAGTTCCTCCGTGGCACTTGTGCTGCGGAAACGACTCGAAGGGTGAATGATGAGTATGGCGGTCATGTTGCAAAAGAAAACACAGTTCGTTTTTGGTTCCAACGTTTTCGTTCTGGAAATTTCGACCTGCAGAACAAGCCCCGTGGACGGCCTGAGACCCAAGTTGATAATGAAGTATTGAAGGCTATTGTGGAAGCGGATCCATCGCAAACCACGTCCGAGTTAGCTGCAGGCTGCGGTGTTAGTGATAAAACTGTTTTAATTCACTTGAAGCAAATTGGGAAGATTAAAAAGCTTGAAAGATGGGTACCTCACAAATTGACTGAAGCAAACTGGCAAACGCGCGTCGACTGCTGCGTTACATTACTGAACCGGCAAAATAATGAAGGTATTTTAAACTGAATCATTTCCTGTGATGAAAAATGGATTCTTTACGATAATCGAAAGCGCTCAGCGCAATGGTTGGATCCTGGCCAGCCAGCCAAATCCTGCCCCAAGCGAAAATTAACCCCAAAAAAGTTACTTGTAAGCGTTTGGTGGACTAGTGCCGGTCTTGTTCATTGCAGTTTTCTCAAATCTGGCCAGACTATTACGGCTGATGTCTATTGTCAGCAATTGCAAACCATGATGGAAAAGCTAGCGCCTAAACAACCTAGGCGGGTCAATCGCTCCACGCCACTTCTACTTCACGACAACGGTAGACCACACACTGCACAACAGACGGCTACCAAATTAGAAGAGCTTCAATTGGAATGTCTAAGACATCCTCCGTACTCCCCGGACCTTGTTCCAACAGATTACCATTTTTTCGAAATTTGGACAACTTCTTGCAAGAGAAAAAATTTAACTCTGATGGGGCAGTTTAAATCGCCTTCACAGATTTTATTGATTCCCGTCCGACTGGTTTTTTTACTAAAGGGATCAATGAACTACCTATGAGATGGCAAAAGTGCATAGAAAACAATGGTTCATACTTTGATTAATTAAATATATTATATTTAAAAATATTTGACTTTTTGTTCCTCCCATACAAAACGCCAATTTCATATGTAAGGACCTAATATTTAAATCTAAATTATAACTATTCTAGAAATATGCCCAGGAAACCGAGTAGTGAGCCATTGTGAACTTGTTTCATTTGTAATTTTTAGTATAACTCTACTAGTCTACTTGGAATTGGTTTGGCCCTCTATTTTTTGAAGTTATACTTTAGGTGCGTTATGAAAAATTGATGAGAGTGAAATTTTACGATGCGCGCGCACCGTGACACAAAATTAACAGAATGAAGTTGCCCACGGAAGATGCTACGGCATTGGCCATAATTTAAAAACAACATTCGAATAATAATTGAATTTATGTTACACTTAATGTAAGAGAATAATAATAAATATTTATTTATTTAATTTTCAAATGTAAACTGAACTTTATTGACTATAATGACTCCTTTTCCAGTCTTTGATTATTTAATTGTAATTAATTATTTGCATGTAATCAAAAACTATTTTTAATAATGCCAAAGAAGTATAACTTCTTACGCGCGTACATAAGTACACGCACCCTTTTTTTTAATCTGGAGGGTTTACAATTTGATGCATATGTTTTTCTTCCTTGCATAACATTTTCTGTGGATATGTCGTGAATATAGACGACGGAGATTTGCCGATATTGGGTCCGTTGAAAACAAATCCGTATATGAATCTCATAATATAGAAATACTATACTAATTGAAAAACTAAAATTTTATTATCTTTGTAATACTAACCAATACAAACAAATAAAGTATTAAAATGAAGAATGATCATTAGTTACTTAGTTTTTAACTCTCAATAACCTTACATTAACTTTTCAGTCTATTTGGTAACTTACGATGTCTTGTGACAATGCGTAGTACGGTAGAAGTGGTATGTGTGACCCAAGTACATCTTTTGTATATGAATACCGTTAAGTTTTACAAAATCATCGCTGAATTTCCCCATATTCTTGATTTATTGGAAGAATACCTAGGCCGTAATGAGGTAATATGTCTTTGGTATTCGCGTATACTTAAATTAAACTTCTTTAATGAATATTTGTTTATATAGTCCCTTGCTTACCATGACTGTGGTAGAGACGAAATGTTGATTAATATAAATAATGTAATAAATGAAACTTGTATTCGTTAAATTTGTATTTAAAAAGTTAGCTATAACTGCTTTTATGAATCAGTGGGGATGCGGTTCAGTTATTTTACATTGCTTTTCGAAAAATGAAAAAAGGTAGTTCAGGACACAGGACGGTCCTTTCTAAATCGTTCGGTTCGTGTCAACCACGCTGATCATCTACTGCCCTCGTAAAACAGGTATAGAAATGAATTTGCCCCAGCATACACGTACCTACGTATAGAATAGACATTCCTTATAAATAGAAAATTAATTATTTTTGTTACAATATCCACTTCACTGGGATTCATTCATTGGATTTTCAGTAAGAATAAAATCCAAATCTGTCTTCCAGAACTATGTAATGGGAACTGAGGAAGTTATAGAATTTAATACAAAGGAAGTGAATACTTCTTCAATATGGACAATTTTCCAAAAGTTTATCACTGTAACCCAACATCAAATCCCAATCGTACAAATTTACCTGATTTTCATTTCTCTTGGATGTATCTATGCTGATGTGTATAACGCTGGTTTTCAAGATAATCGTACAAGTTTAGTAGTCGCATTGTATTTAATGGATTTGGGATTTTTATGGAAGTTTTTAATTTATATTCTCATGCCGTATTCTGGGAACGAGATGGTGGCCTCAATTTGGAAGGAAAGACGCAAGTAAATCCTTTAAATAGAATATTTTTTAAAGTGTAACTTACTTAACTCTACGAAAGCGCCCGAAGCTTAATTATCCGCGCGTCTCACTCTTTCGAGAACTGAATATAAATATTGGGATACATACAAATGTTCGTATTACAAATAGCTTGAACGACCGAGAAAAAAAATCAGTGGCACTGCAAACTTTTAGGTTTGGTTCTTAGATTTTTTTTTTTATTATGGCTCTGGCACGATTTGTGCATTAACCAGCGTCAAGTATAGGATTTTTATAATTCGTTCTTTTTGCCTTAGAAATTCGACCGTGTCCTCCATGTACGATTTAGGCACTCGCCAGGTACCGCACAACCCTCCCAAAGGCCGAGAACAAATTTAAATTAAATTAAAACTTGCCCTCGAACCGGGAATCGAACCCGGTACCCCTCGCCTAGCTGCCACTTAATAAGACCTCTAGGCTATGAGGCCCCCCTGTTCTTAGATTTGTATGTCTGTTTCGTGATCATTATTTTTTTCTTATAGGGGATCAGTTTGTGCCTGACACACGACGTCGATTTTCACGTCTAAGGCATGCCGGTTTCCTCACGATATTATCCTTCACGAGAGTGCAAGTGTTAAGTTAATTTAAAAAAATCCATTGATGTACAACCGTGATTCAAACCACGACCTCAGGGTAGTGAGCCGTACGCTCACGCCACTATAGGCCATCACTGTTCAAATGATGATGATAATCGAAAAAAAATTCGGTCATAAAATAAAACGTGCTACTACAGACATTGGTTAAGCGTAAAAAAAAAAAACAGGCACACACATTATCAAATTGTTTTCTTTAAAATTTATCATAAAGCCCTTTATGCATAAAAATAATTAGTTGAACTCTTTTAATTAAATTGCTCTTTCGTAAGTGTCAAATTAAGTTTACACTGATGAGATGAAAAATAACAGATGAGTACTTTGGTAAAAACGGTATGATTTTTTTTCTATAAATAAGAGGATAAAGATCTGCGAAATTTGGGTTCACACAAAATGGCCTACCAATAAATGATTCAAATTTTAGATATTTAAAATGTGAATTCAAGATGGATTTGATATCAGTTATACCGTTCGAAGCTCTTTCATTATTCAGTGTAACTAACAGATGGTTGGTGTTTTCAAGTTTCCGCCTAAATCGACTGTTTCGAATCGTAAGTTTAAATTTGTCCCAAGTAGATTTATGTATATGGAAAAAACAGTTTGAAATCCAACTAATATTATACTTTACAAACTCGAAAAACCGGTGTTATGTTGCGAAACGAATTCACATAATGATGAAATTTATTTGCGATTTTTTATGCGAATATTAGATTGAAACATTCGTGGTCGTTTACTAAATATGAAAGGAGAAGCGATTTATATTTAGTTATATACAGCAAGGTGTCTGTGATGTATTTAATAATACTAATATCTATCTATATATATACTAATAATTATCTAAATTTGCCACCAGGTAACCGTATACAAATGCCTTCAAAAGCGTCATGAGAGTATTTCAGTAAACCTGATATTCACGACGGCTGTGTCCGTGTTAATTTGGATGACGTTTTTCATCCATGTATCCACTTGTATCTGGTATTTTATTGGCGTTATGGAAGAGGATATTTCACCTAAGTCCTCTTGGTTCTATGATGGTAATTTATTAGCTTAGATTTATTTGATTTTATTGCAACAAGCAAAAAAAGAAAATTTAAATTTGTATGTTATTTAATTTCTATTTCAATACATAAATACACTACGACTGTGCAAATTAAAGCCTTAACTGTCCAAATTGTTATTTTTAAGTAATTTATTTAATAAGACTATAAAAAGAGTTTATTCGTTCTTTAAACTTTGAATGTGTTGTTGTGTGAACTAACATTAACGAATTAGTTAAAATACTTTTTTCAGCTAAAGGTCGTCCTCTCTGTCAGAGTAAATATATTTGTTCTTTGTACTTCGTCTTAACCACCTTTACACAAAATGGAGTCGGTGATATTTTACCAAAGAAACAATCTGAGGTAGGGATGTCACAATATTTTTAAATTTCCCATCTCTCTTATTTAGATCGCACATTACTTTCCTATTTATGTGTTCCATTTTTACCCCGACATGAGGGTGCGTGCTTGTATTGCCCTATATGCCCGCTGATGCTATATATAATTTGTCAAGTGAAACATGGCGTCATGGTTGCTGTTCCCCACAATTTCCTTGTACAATACTTGAATTACGATTAAAAAGGGTGTCGGAGTGTTTCTTCAAAGATCTTTTCACCCTAAGCCCTATTTTTGGGAAGCCACTTAAATGAAAATTTAGATCTTCCTTTTTTATATAAGATTAAATAAATGTTTATTTTATGACGAATCATTAATGATACATATCAAATATACAAGTTGACCAGTCTAGAAGCTCAGTCGTATTTTTTCTTCTTACTTGACAAGATTATGTGTAATATTTTAATAATTTTTAGGTTATATTTGTTTCAATACTTCAGCTAGTATCTACAATGGTATATATGATATATGTCGGTGAATTCTCAAATATTATACAGTATTATTCCTTTCGGTCTTTTGGATATTATTGCAAGTTTATAGAACTGCAGGTAATGCCTTTTTTAAAGTTAAGCGTTTTGCGAAAATAATACGTTAGTTAATGAAAGACATGCTTGATTTCTCAAATTACTAAATAATTTTGATAATTTTCCAGGAATTCCTCAAAAATAACCGTGTCTCCCAAAACTTAGTAAAACTGGTTCACAAATACTCGCTGCACCTTTGGTCGGAATCCCGCGGTGTTCAGTTACCCGAATTTTTAATTAATGCGCCGAACTGTCTCAAACTTGAGGTCATGTCTGCGGCGTACTTGTACCATTTACATGCTGTGAGTATAAACAAAGACTGTATACTCGAAATAATCCTTATCATTTTTTATTTCGAAACGAGACCGTCGATTGATCCCTATATTGACGATTTATGAAAAAAAATAAAACGAAATATAAACTGACTCATTAAATCGTATTTTCGAAACTGTTACAGATGGATCTTATACGTTTTCACCCCATACTAAATTAAACAAAATATATTTTATATATAATTTCGAATATCGTTGTTCCAGCATCCTATATTTAGGAACTGCGAGCCAGTTTTCCTACGACAATTAGTTGGTTGCTTTAAACTCTTTACTTATAGCAAAGGTATACATTGTATATTAAGTTTTATTTTAATTTGCTCACCATAAAATGTTTAACATGTAAGGAAGTGTGCCAAAAACTTAAATTATGTAACAGTTTTATTAAGCAGTCTCAGTCAGATTTTTGTCATATTATTTTAAAGAACTTATAAATTAATATAAAATTTCGTTTGTTAAGGGCTATATGTTGTAAAAGAGAACGAGAGAACAGACAGCCTTTACTTCGTTCATTCAGGACGCGTTCTAGAAACTACCGAACAGAATTGCATCACTCGACTATATTTTGCTGGAGAGGAATTTGGAACGGTATGAACTCAATTTGCCTTGTGATTTCATAGGATAAATATACTATGTTCATATTTTTTACCATATATATGCTATTTGCTAAGATTGCATTATGAGACTTCAGAACAAAAATATTTTAGTGCCTTTGATATAATTTTAGCATTTGTAACATATTATTGATATGTAAGAGATATGAGAGAACTATAAAGTTCACAAAAGAGCTTTGCTTAATTTATTAAATAGCTTAAACTAAGATAATGTTCATTTATAGTATTGTTAATGTTCATTAATATTAACTAAAATATATTAATAATATTCTTTTACTATTTCAGCTTCATGGTCTTGTTCACAATTTACCCTATACACACTCTTATGTAACAGTAATGAATTCGCAAGTATTATCACTGTGTCTAAACGACTGGGAACATTTATTACAGCATTTTCCTGACAGTAAAGAAGTTATTGAAAAATCATTGACGAGAGATGACAATTTACCTGACGATAAAATAGAAAAAGGAAAAAAAGAACGAAGGGTTACAATATTCCACGATTTTAAACATTCATCTAAAGAAAAGATAAATTCAGGGAAATTAAAACCCCTTTCCGATAAAACAAGCGAAGAGGCAACAGAATCGCAAGGTCAATCTAGTGATGATACAAGCAGGTGGCCTGTTGATAATCGGCAATCTCTAGCAGAACAAAATCTCAATACCTATGAGCCGCCTAAAGAGGTTCCCTTTGCTATAAAATCTTCTGAAGATGTCTCAACTGTTGATCGAAGGGAAATAGAATCAACGAATAAACTTACTGACCAAGATGTATTAAATGAAGAAGAAGAAGCTACAGAAGCGCTTTTAGCTCGGATGGAAGCAGTTAATGATTCTACTCAAGAAAATATAGATTCCCTACCTTCAGTAGGAGACAAAACTTTAAACCGAGAGGGTTCGAATGCTAATTTGGATGTTAAGCAAATGAAAAGCGTTGACGAATATATTTTGGGACGATATGGTGAATATGCATCAGTAACAGACTCAGGTGAAAATGTACAGGAAGTAACCGACGACACATTTGATGCTCCGACGTCTACATCACGTCTTAAGCAAAGTATACATGTAAAGTATAATGAGATGAGTCAAAGAAAAAGTTCATCGATAGAATTGCATGAATTAAAGCCAATGCGAGATTTGACCACAGATGAAAGGAATTTCAAGTCCCTTGATAGTGATACAGATCCAAATACGACTAACGAAGATGATAATAAGAGTATAATAACTCGATTATCAGCGGAGAGCGACAGCGATTCATCTATCAATAAGAAAAGAACCAGCTCCAAATAATAACTAATAGTATTTGAAAATATTTTATAGTTATCTGACTTTACTAATTAATTATCATGGCTTGAATATTATATAATAGTTTCTAAACAAATATTTTTCATAGTCATGATGCACACAGACATTCAAAACGTGCCCCTAATAATGGGAAATCATAAACCTGAGTGGAAGTTTTGACCTAATTAATAAAATAATATTTTTTTGCGTTAACGATTCAAGCACTACTAATATCCAAATGTTCATTATCATTATGTTATATGTATGAGGGGGTTTTAGTTTTACAGATGATATTATTAATTAAAACTACTGTTCTCACTCTTACTTTCATTTACGTTAATTTATTGTCATCTACTAAACTATGTTCATTCATAGATTTGTAATCAGAGCATGGCCAACAGATTGGATCTGCGCCAGAGTACGATTCTATTTCTGGTAATGTTTAACATCGTGGCCTCTTGACCGAAGTTCAATTCAATTGCATTGCGATCTCGCCTGGAATTGTAACTATTTCTGAATTACTGTGATTTTTTAAAAAATTCTAAAAGATAAGTCGGTCATTAAATTTCACTGTTATGTCAAAGACATATGTTCAGCAGGCTTGTGCTATAGATTTTTTAGTTAGATCAATTATTTATTTATCCTAACATAGTTCAATCGATTTTAAACTTTTTAGATAAAATTAGGTTTAGGTAATTATCTCGGTATTAGGTAGGTATCTCTCTCGAAAGTCAGAAGGGTTCTTATAGACATGTATCGAATGCAAACACATAAAATAGCTTATGAAAATGTGCTATAATAATTTCAAAGACAAACCTTTTTTAATATTTTTGTCATTAAATTAATCTCAGAAATTAATAGTAATAAGGTAAAAATATATTTATTTCAGAATTAAATCATGTTGTAATGCTGATTTTAAGATGTTAAAGGTACATTATTAAAAAGCAGGCATAAATACAAAAATTTAATTACAAATCTCTTAGTTCTTAACAATAACGATAACAATCTTCACAGAATGAAAAAAATGGCACATCGTACTGATTTGTGTTTCTAATTCTTTTATTGGAATGCCCAGCACTGAATAATGGTTGATTATTTTAGCCCGGTGTCGTCAATCGTAAATGCTTGGGGTCTTAACTTAGTCTAACATTACGGTTTCTTAAACTAAACTTATGTAGTATTTTCTACTTCCTCCATTGGTCTTTTTGTTGCCTCCTCCCGACCATTATCTGTAATTAAAAAAAAATTATGTACCTGTTTGATAGTTAGATTTGATTTTGAGATTAAATCTTTGAAACAATTCTTTGTAACAGTTTCCCCGAGAATTGAATCCTTAAAAATTGCGACCAAGGAATGCAGTACGTTTCTCTACGAAATACTGTAGATTATTGACACAATACGAAGTTTGCATATAACATCTTGTACACTGAGAACAGAAATAGAAAGATTTTATTGTATAAATGTTTTATCTATATATCTCCGGATATATTATGTTACGATATACATAGCAGCTATTCTTGTCTGCTCAATAATCTCTAAGAACACAGCCTGTTTTGCTTAAAACAACTGGACATTAAAAAGTAATGAGCTGTGTTTAATTATCATAACTTAGTTTCGCGCCAAAAGAGAATGTATGCTTAACAAAAGCAATTAGTACCATTTTTATAAGTGTGATTATTTCACAAATTAAATTATTTTAAAACACATAGTACTGACAGTAAGTTGCGGATTGTAATTTTAGTTTAAAAGGATTAATAAACTTAAATTTAAAGTCGTAAATCACTTGGAAGAAGTAGAGCAAATTCCGACCGTTTGTTTGTTGTAATCTGTTTAATTAATTAACTGCGGTGTTAATCGAAATTGAATTGTAACGTCTGAAAGACAAATGTGTGACCATTTGTCAACCTTCGCATGCGACGTCGTTTCAACGTTTTGAATGACAACGATAATCAGCAAATGATTTATGAGTCTTTTGAGCGTTAGTTATTGACGTTTTCGCTACTATATAATATTTAGAATATAAGTTACATAAGTCGCAGAAACGCATAATTTTGCAATGAATAAAGAGTTTTTCATAAAAACATATGAAAAACTACCTATTTCGGTCTGCATTTCCTTGTATATTTGTAATTTTTTACCAAATAACAATTACAAATTTACTTTTTTACCTGTTTTTTCGAAGATATGTGGAAAACATAAATTTTAGAAATGTTTTATTAATGTATTCGAAAGTGTCCTTATAAACCGTAATAATACTTTCAAATACAACGCCTTATATTTTCCTTTTTTCCCTCCTTAAACCCCGTTTAAATCAGCCCCCAGGGGTATAATAAGGTATTAATATTTTTATTATTATTATTATTAACGTAATATAGTAGTTACGTAAATCTATTAAAAAAAATGCTTTAATATCCATTTGTGTTTCGAACAAGGTGATGGCCGACTCAATCAGTGCTATTATATGTATTTATGTTGCTGGTGGCACCATGTCAGAAATATTATACGGATAATTTACAATCCAAACATTTTCAGCATGCATTACTGTATATTGGCAGATGAACAAATTCTTTTAAAAATTTCATTTCTGTCCATTACGTTTATAATATCGCAGACTTTCGAAAGTTATTTTAGAATGTTATGATGTGAAGAGCAACAGGCGCGGACATTTATAGAAATACGGATTCTCTGAGATTTTGATCGCAATGATTAATAATAAAGTTACAGCATACATACAAGAATATCTTTACAGAGTATAAAACAAAGTCACTTCCTGCCGTGTGTACGCTTCGATCTTTTAAGCTACTAACGTTTTTCTGTGTTCAAAGAAACGTGTCCAATTTAATTATAAAATTTGGTTTAGTAGTAAAATGTTACTATGCGATCAATTAAAATGATAAACGGAGTTTTCTTATAGAACCGAATAACAAAGAATTGTTATTATCCATTGAGCCATCTTTCTCAACTCCAAAAATACACATCAGAAAATAGTCAATGAAAAAAAAACAATACCAACCACTTCTATACTTTGGACATGGCACATAATATGCATGGTGCTAGTTAAGAAAAACGTGGTAAAATTACACGCGATTAATGCTCTCAGAGTGCCAACTACCGAAAGCAATAAAAATTATCGATGTTATTAGCATATTTAAATGTTCATTAACTTTAACGACAATTTCATGATACCAATTTCCTTCCCAACAAACAATTTATATAATAATTTGGCAGGTTTTAATTGATTGCTGATAAAGATAAGCTTCACTAGGAACATTTTAAAACGGATAAAAAAATGCGGCGGTTTAAAAAAAGATATCTTGTAAATCCTTTGAACTCCAAATTATTCGAAGGCTAGTGTAGCTTTAAGCAGAAACTAAGATATGACATTGCAGGAATATGACAAGTTGGCTCTCTTCATACAGAGCCAACTTAGAAAGCTTAGATTAATCATGAAAAGCAATAGAATAATCACCTCAGAACATTCCGGAGTACAAGAGCCAGAGACTGGCGAGTAGAAGTACCAGGATAAGGTAAGTTGCGATAAGGCTCGTTGTCTCGTGGTTCGGCATGGCTGGACAGTGCTCACTGGACAGGACACTCCAGAAAACTGATTCTGACAGCAAAGTGTCGCGACCGCCCACACGCCACGCCCCTCATATCCACATTTATAAATATAATCGGGTAATTATAGAACTGTTGACAACAGGAACTAATTCGGCATTGGCCCTTGATAACAATCACAACAAATCTGATCTCAAAAAGGTCAGGACATTGACGAAAACTTTATGTTGCAGTCTAATTAAGTATATTTCTAAGCCAAATTTAGACCGATTCACTTAAAGAAATCCTAAGACGAAAAACATTAAATGCTTTATCAATAAACTGGAGCATGGCTCATAGACACAAAGAAACAAATTAGTATCAAAAATCAAATAATATTAGAATATGGTACATAGGTACGATAACGAAAAAATAAAGATATCTTTTCAGAAGCTTGATATCTGTAAGCACTGTTGACTTCAAAGGCAGCCGAAAGAAGTGCAATAGCCCTACGTGCTAGGATTAGTTGCAGTCCGCGGTATATCTTCGTATGGTCCTCAAAAAATAGCACACACTAAATAGAAATCATACCAACAACGTATTGCAACCTTTCTATGATATTTACTTTCCAATACATTATCTCTACCGAACCACTAATTACACAATAATTATCACACTTACAGTCGGCAGATGTGAATTAGAAGACAGCTGAGTACAGCAACCACAAGAAGAATAACAGGATCACGAGGATCATGTACGTAGCAGCAAGATTAACAGTTTCTGCGTTGATCGGCATAATTGTGGTAAGGCAGGGGCTAAACTGAACGCTGGAAGGTCCTCAGCAAAAGTATCACGTGAGCACACAGGGCCATACTTCATGATTTAAGGATTTCTTAAAGATATTTTCGTTGTTCGTGAAGTTCATGAAGTAAATTTCTTAAAATATCGTATGAAGTTGTATTGTCGAAATAGGGGTCAATAGATAATATGATAGATGTTCCGTCATTTAATACATATGTAATAACTAATACGGCACGCTTAAGAAACGAAACTAAGGAAAATTGTTGTTGTTTAAAACAGTTATACAAGGTAATCCTACATTATCCGAAAAATATTTAATTACGCGTTACGAATGCGCGTTGGTTTGATATATGAATAATATTTGAAATACATAATTATTTAAAACTTTATATATTCAGCCGACTTAAATTGATCTGTACTTACGTTTATGTTCCATTTTAGAATGCAGAATACAATGCCCAAAGAGACACCAGTAGAAGCAAAAGGATAAAGTATGTTGTAAATAAATTAGTGCCTTCTGAAGAAGAAATCATATTGAATGAACCACCGCGATCCACGAACAACACGAAAATGCAGAAAATACAACAATAATCATATAAAAACCACCAGTTTAAATAAGCTTTTGGACGTTAGGAGTACGAAATTAATTACACGTCGCATGTCAAGAAAGAATTCGTCGTTGACTCATGAATTTCCACTAACGTCTTGTTTTTCTTTGAATGCTTTGCCAAATTTTAAGATATTTTTTTCATTGCATGTATGTTTTAATAGGGACATATTGGCGCCTGGCGTCATTTCGTGACTATGTTAATTTAAAATAATTGTAGTCATTAGTCACATTGGATTGACATACTAAAAGCTATAAGCTTTTAAGCCTTACAAAGTTTTACTTAAAGCTTTTTTTTGTTAACCTAATTTAAAACGAAACTAAAACATTTTCTTATTGAAAATATTCTTTTGTGGGTCCATTACAAAAATGAATATTGTTGTATTTTTATTGGAGATCTTTGTTTTATTCATGATTTTACGTACAGTATGACAACAAACGCTGTTAATCGTCCTATTTTATAAACATTAGAGACTGTAAAATTGGGATTACTTTTGATAATTGTTTTTTAACACGATACATTTATGGAATCCTAATAATTGAATCCGTCCCTGTGTGGCCATTTCTGGAGAATGATAAGCGTCTAAATTTGTATGGAGCATCGCTCGTCGGGATTTTAGCAAACCCGGTTCCAGTACTAAATCAATCAGCCTTGCTAAGCTCTTTGAAGATTTGCTTTGTTGCCAATTATAAACTTTAGTACAGCTTCAATTATAGTGTAGTTTTATACATTCTTACCGTGGGCAACATATACGTTTGCTGAATGCCTCTGAAAATTAATAATAATAGCAAACGATTGGCTTTAAAACGTGGCGTTCAATGAATAAATAATGAAGTCGGTACCTCAAGTATCCTTCTTTTGATTACACGGGATTTCATTGCAGACACAACAAGTGACTAAAGAACCATAGTAAGTACCTACTAATAATAATAATAACCATAGTAATAATGTTTAGAGTAACTTCGAACTTTCTAGATTATCCATAAATTTTCTTTTTATTTGTCGTTATGCATCGGTCCGTTTTATATTCAATTCAATATCAATATATTCATTTTAGTGTTCTGTCTTCTGACTATCAACCTAAAACAATAATTGTTTCGTCGGAAATCGAACCTAAGCGACCTGCATAAATAACTAAGCGACGATGGTGGACATATATATGTTACGTGATAAGAGTCTAGAAGCTCATAAGGGTTCGGGTTTTCATCAAATTATTTTAATTTGAAGATGAAGTACTTAATTTGAAAGCAGTGCTTGTTTAATTCTATATATATGCTTAAACGCATACGACTCTTAACCTAGAGGCCTTGGATTCAAATTCTGGATAAGTACCAATATACTTTACGTTCTATGTGGGCATTTACCGCTTGCTCAAAAGTGTACCTACTTGTCTACAAAAAAATATTTAATAAACAGATATAATCTGAAGCCAAAGCCTATTAAGGGTTGTAGCGACACTGTGTGTTATAGATATTGCGAACTTGCTATGAAAAAAGGTCTCATTAGTAAACAAAAGCATTAAAGATACAGAGATGTGAATAAAGCGGTCTAGTATCATCTGGATACATGTAAATCTTCATGAGCGGCTTAAACAACCATTAACATTCTAATTAACGATTCTAAGTAGGACTAGTAAAGACGCCGAGACCTACCTAAATTATTATTATTTATTTTCATTCATATGGATCAGATTTTTTCTATTAATATAGATCTGCATAGAATTCTGTCATCAACAAACGCACACTCAGAATCATACAAAATACCAAAACTATTTCTGCATTATAAAGGACATTTACCTTTTGGCACCTATAACATATCTTTTCAGCATACTTTTCACCGTTCGCTATTTTTGCCAAATACTTTCATACTGAAAATGTTTGTCCGCATAAATAGAATTTAAATGCGTCACATTCTTTTTAATGGAGGAAGCCATGAATCATATGAATTCTACGAATAATTTAACATCTTTGTCAAGCCTTGATAAAGGAATGCGATATTTTGGTCTTTAAAGAAATTATAATAGGTAACTAAACGTGACCTTTATTTAGGAATTGTACAGAACTTTATTCAGCGTGGTCCCTCAGGACCTTCTTCACTATTCCAGAGACTTTCTCAAAAATCTCGTTATGTTTTTTTTTAAATGGAATATCGCTGTTGGCTTTAAGGGCCTTGACAGCTCAGCCCGGGTTGTGTTGGCGAGGGTAGCTCAGCCGGAATGGGCTTTTTTCCCGCGACCAGCGCAAGGGCGTCTTCTGCGAGACTCAAACCTCGGCCTGGGCTGTCGCGGGGTGGTCAATTGCCTATAGGGCAGGACGGAAGCTCACTGGAGTGAGCGAAGTGCGAAGTAAAGGTCCACGCTGAAGGTGGTTTCTTACCGTAATCTGATTTTTATTTTTATGATTATTTATTAATTAATAAATCGTGATTGGATCATCCGGATCCGTTAGTAGGAACATGTCGGGGCCTCCTTCGACTCTTTTTTGTCGGGGGTTGTTAGGGGTTTTTGTGGGCGTGATGAATATTATCCTTGGCGCTTACCCAATGAGGTGCCAATAGACAGGTCTATAAAACGCTGAAAGTGGAAGTGGTTGGGTCTTGCGCCCGGAGGGATCCTAGTCACATTGCTATACAAGACTCCGATTGGAATTCTCAAGGCAAAAGAACCTAACAGGCTGGTTTTCTACGCTGAATGCCCTCTACCCCACCTGGGGGGACATAGGGCTTTAATCTATCTTAGCGTCGTAGGTCTTTCGTACGTAAAAACAATTTTTATCCTAAAGTTCATAGCTGGTCAACATTCCAATGTAGTTTACCCAAGATACGAATTTAGAACTGCCTCGATTACACAATGAATAGACGAAAACGGCGACTAAAGTCATTTCAACCTTTAGGTACTACATATTAGCCTTGCCCTAGTAGTTAAGGCATATTGGGATTCGGTGTTCGTTTTCTGGGGAAACAATTAAAGAATTCGGGTTTGTAGATGCTGGTCGACGTGGCAACGGCAACATTATAACATACGTACATTAGTATAATAGTATACAGTAATAATTTTATCTATGTCAATTACTGAATTTAATAACTACACACTATAAATAAATAAACGTTGACTACAAAGTAATATCATCGTAAAAACATGAATCGGTTTTGATTGTAAACGATAACCTCACAAGATATTATGCATCCAATAAAATTAGGTTTATTTACTTTTTGCGAGCCATCATTTGGTTTTCTAGAATTTAGATCTTCAAAACTACGCTCGACACTTCAATATTATATGCGAAAGTTACATTAGTGTAAGATGTTACAAAAATTTGGAATATTTGCGCTCTTACTGGGCACGGATTAAAATATACCGTAACCCTGCCTCCCGCTCATAGCGAGCAAATGGAGCTGGGTTTTAGTGTGTAGGTATCCATTGTCAAGGACAGACCCCCACCCTCTCCATGTCGAATCATACATAATCATACATATGAGAAATAGAAACGCTAAACCTATTTCAATAATTTACCTATTAAATGTAGGTATTATTTAGCTTATATCATTACTTGCTGTAATTTAAAACAATCTGGACAATATTTGAGCAAATTGTCTCGTACAAGATTAGATTTCCCATAGCAATAAACGTCTGGAGTAAATCCAATGAATTCCTGCGGGGCAATAACTGTATTTATTTATATTTTTGTAAAAATGTACGTCAGCGACGCAGTGCGAAGTGCGAATTGTGCGCGTGGAAACAGAATAATATCAGGCAACTATATACTTATTACGACTTCGTACATACTATCTAAAATCGTACTACTTTGGGGACAACGAAATTTTTTTAATCGATGTTCCTTTTCTTGTGGTGAAGAGAAAGTGGATATTTACAGACTCTGTGTAAAAACGCTGCAAATCGATCATTTTACATGACATTATGATGCGATTTCTAGTTACGTCATTAGATCATAAATACCAAAGAGAAGCAGAACATTGAAATTTGTCTCAAATATTTTTTACCGTCACGTTATAACTAAAAGGTACTTTTTTATATAGTTATTAATTAAAACCATTACATATCATACAAAAAGTTCAAACTAAGGGAGGGAAATACAAACTTCGAAAAACAAAAAGCGTCACCATTGGTCGGATCAATATGACAGAAAACAACAAGTTGGTAAGAATAATATTTTACCACATATAGGTTTAATTCTATTCTGTAGTGATTTTTACTGAATTAAGGACGATGACTGAAACGGCTCTCTTAAGTTGGCGGGGGGAAATTAATTTTTTTGCACTTTTTTTTGGCTCTATCAACTGTTCGTTAACTGTTCTTCATTGTTCTATCAAAAAAATTTTTTGTTCGTTTTTGTTTTTTGTTTTTTTTTAATTATAAAAAAATTGACCCTCAATTTGGCACGAACTATAGATATTTGGATATTTATTTTTCTAATAGTTTAGAACTATTCAATAACTGTTCGTTCAAAATAAACAACTGTTCGGCTTTCATTATCCTGTAATTTAATAATAATTAACTTTTTTTTATAAATCTTAAATTTTTTTTTTGATAGAACAATGAAGAACAGTTAACGAACAGTTGATAGAGCCAAAAAAAAGTGCAAAAAATTAATTTCCCCCCGCCAACTTAAGAGAGCCGACTGAAACTGGTATTGTCCTTAATCGTCAATATTTCGTAGAAGGACAGATAAGTTTAGAAATAGTACGTATAGGTATTTTTACTCTTTAATTTAATTCACTCTGAGCAGTACATAAATATAGCATATTATCTATAATAGGTCCAATAGATCACATATCATGTCAGTAAAATCTCCATAGTGCCCTGCTTAAAAAATTTGTTGATGAATCGATACGGACTTCAAACATCTGTAAATCGACTTTATAAAATATTATGAAAAAGTACTAGGTGCTGTATTTGTTTTCTATCGTATGTTTGATTGCATTCGATTCTACTTATAAACTAGTGTTTAATAAGAATAAGGTTCACTGAATAATCACATTGTGACTGAAACGTAAAAAGTATTATTTTAACAAAATAACGAAATAGATACCTATAAGTACTTTTCATAATAACTGAGTTCGATTCACAGATAATTAATCTGTGTTATACTTTATTACTAATTACATATTTAACCCGATTTTTATTTTAATATATTATGTATTATTATTTTTCTTTATGTAATAATAGTCTTCATCAAATAAAATGCATATACTATTACGAGTAAATGCACCTTTTCAGATATACCAAAACTGTATCTATCAAAATGACACTGACATTTTTAATTTTTGGCTACTGACAACTGAACGAATTTTCAGTTTTCTTTTAATTATTTCTGTGATCTGTCAATTGCTTATGTCATTTGCGGCGAATAAAAATAAAAGATTTTAATTTAATTTTTTTTTTAAATATGCTAAAATAGTTTTATCTATATATAATGTGAATTTTTGGTTCATTAATGGCAGACCGTCATCGAACTTTCGACGCAGAAGAAATGGCAACAACAAGTACAGCGGTAACGACGGTACCCCCACAACTTCAAGAGGTAAATAATCACTAACCACTTATCTAACGTATTTGACTTGTAAATTCCACTATTTCTTAATACAAAATACCTAAGTACTTTTACTCCTTATCAAAACCCATATGTCCCTTCCTTGTCTTACATGAAAAAAATTACATACCTTAAAACGCCTTACTTGTATTTTTTTAGTAAGATTAAATGCTGTATGTAGACCAAAATCCAGTCATTTTAGACAATTTTTACTTACACAAAGAAAATCTCATTTTTTACTTTACAAATACTTACTTCTTCCCATTTAAAAACTTAATCTACTTACAGCATTTCTGCGGCGTGTGATTTTTACATTCGTTTACTTACAGCAAGCTTAGGGGACCTACATTTTAGTTTTTTTACCATTTACGACATTTTATTTCAACCAAACATTACATTACCAATACCCACTGCATTTCTAATCTAATCATAATTATAAACTAATCTTACATCTTGAATTGCAATTGAAAGTACCCAAATACATAAATTTACTGCATACAGCATATTTACCGCCAGTAAATTGATAATATTTCCGCCGCGTAAATTTTTCTTCTTTAGTTACAGCGTTTTAAAGGTTTGTGATTTAAAAAACTGTATGCTGTAAGTAGCCAAACACGTACTTATAGTAACTTTGGATAAAAAGTTTACATTGCAAATGGTGACTGGCAGTTAAATAAATATATGTTTCAAAAATGGTAGCAATATCATGGATAGGTTCGACACTATTAATTTTTTCCGAAATTAATTAAGTTTTTGGCTCTGGTGAACAATTGCAATATGTCTACTTACAGCAAATATGCTTTCCTACTCGATATCTTGTTAAACATAATCTTAGATTAAAATACCACTTATTGTTTAACACTTGTGTATTGAAGCCGTAACGCGCTATTCAAATTAACAAATGGGCTCTGTGGAGAAACTTAAAACTAGGCTAGGACCTCTTTTTCGGGTTATACTATCTCATACAATTAGAAAAACTTCATATTCAACTAATACAGGGTTGTTACGTGATATCAATGTATTAGATTTGTCAAGAATAATAGCAGGACCATTTTGCACCATGACTTTAGCGGATTTGGGTGCTAATATTATAAAAGTGGAAAGTTTTGATGGGGATGAAGCCAGGAAGTGGGGACCACCTTTCACAGAAGGAAATGACTCATATTATTTTCTATCCGTAAATAGAGGCAAAAAAAGTATATGTATTGATTTGAAGTCTCTACAAGGTATGTTTGTTTACTTTTAATAAACATTATTAAAAGTAAATCTCTCTATTAGTAATGTGATGAACCTTACCTATGATTGTTTTTGTACCTTTTCAGGGAAAGATATTATTTATGACTTAGCTACAAAGTGTGATGTCCTCGTTGAAAACTTTCTCCCAGGAAAGTTGGATAAATTAGGAGTTGGGTATAAGAAACTGAGTGAAGTTAACCCAAAACTTATATATTGTGCAATAACAGGCTTTGGACCAACAGGACCTTATAGCATGAAACCTGGGTGTCTATTTTTAATATTATTAACTTATTGAGTATTAACTTCAATCAATATAAGAAATGTTTTGTATAAATATTTTTTTTCAGTTATGATGTCATTGCAGCAGCAATGGGAGGGTTTCTTAATTGTACTGGTGAAAAAGAAGGTGGTCCGGTAAAAGCTGGAGTAGCAATTACAGATGTTACTACTGGTTTACATGCATTTGGAGCCATTATGACAGCACTATATTATAGAAAGAACACTGGAAATGGACAGAAGATCGACTGCAACTTACTCTCAACACAAATATCTAGTATGATCAACATAGCCAATAATTATTTAAACTGTGGTATTGAAGGACAACGATGGGGTACGGCTCATGCTAATTTAGTCCCATACCAAGCATTTAAAACAAATGATGGAGAAATTGTTATTGGTACAGGATCTAATGCACAGTTTGCAGATTTCTGTAAAATTATAAACAGAGAAGACTTAATAGATGATGAGAGGTTTAAGAATAACTCGGAACGAGTTGAAAACCGTAAAGAGATAGTAAAAATAATAAGTGATATCATAATAACAAAGTCAAAGAGAGAATGGACAGAACTTTTTAAAACTGCTACATTTCCTAATGGGCCTGTTAATACAATGAAAGATGTGTTTGATGATGAACATGTAAAAGATATAAAATTGGTAAAGGAAATAGAACACCCAGATGCTGGGATAATTAAGATGGTTGGACCACCCACTGTTTATTCGGAGGGGGGAAATGATGTTAGATTACCTCCCCCCACATTAGGTCAGCACACTCGAGATATATTGTCTAACTTTCTAGGTTATGCTGATATAAAAATTGAAGAGCTGATTCATAATGAGGTTATAAGATAACTTCTTGAATAAAAAGTTTTATTGTTTTAACAAAAGTTCACCTTGCATAATTTAATAGCCTTTTTTATATAGATATATATTATTTATTACTAATGCTAAATATTTTGACTTTTACTCCGCATTGGCTAGTTAATTCAGTACACATTTACTGTAAACAGTATTAGTTGTGAAGTGTTATTCTTATATATGTCGCAGCCAACTAGCTTAATTAGCTGTTCAATTAACAGCCTAGCACACACACAGTTGACAGTTGGAAGAGTTTCATATCGAGTTTGAGTGGCAGAAAGTGGAATTAAATTTAAATTAACGAAAGAAACGTAATCGATCATTCATTTGCCTAGCTGTTTGATCAACTGGGTGAACATCTTTCAGACCGTTAGTTAAACGGCGCCGTTCAGTTAAAAGGGTAGGCTGTTAATTGAACAGCTAATTTAGCTAGTTGGCTGCGACATATACATTATCTTTTATCTTTTGTTTTCATAGTTATTATCATGATGTTTGTTCTAAGAAAATAATGCTGTTTTATTTTTATCTGAACACAAAGATAAAATGCTCAATGATCAAAGGCAATAAAACCTTAATCTCCATAATAATTATTGGTATAAGAATTTCAAGCAGACAGTTCATATCCTGACCTTTATTTAAATAACAATGAGGACCTTCGTGTCGCGGAATCATAATTCCTTTTAATATTGTGTAACAGGACATTAAATGACCTTATTAAAGATACTTAACTATATTGTAAAAATACATATATCTTTTCATTATATTCTTGGTAGTTTGAGCCTTATACTGAAATCTAGATAAATGTATACAGCTAGCAAATGCGATAAACTTAAACGTAATACATACCTTTGAATGTTATCATAATATGAGACATTATCTTTCATTTCCAACCGAAAATTTTCTGTCCCAAAATTTGGCATAAAATATAGTTATTGAATTAATTAATAGTGTATTTTATCGCCCTAAGATTTGAGTATCCTCTTTTGTCCTTATCAGTCATGTGGCGAATGAAGAGATAATATATTCCTTAATTAATTAAAGCTCAAAAGTAAGTCATATTAATCGTTTTTCTTGGACGTTTTAAATGCAGTATGTTATGTAAATCATTTAACATTTCAGGAGCCGGTAGAGCCTGTAGCTGTGTTAACTCTCCGACCCACAAAAAAGCAGCAACGCAAAAAAGTTGTATGGACGGAGGACACCGTCGACAATGAACACATGAACAAGAAAAAGTCTAAATGTGAGTCATGATATTTTAAAATCAACTCCAAATCTGTAAAGTCTGAGTTGTTTAGGTATTCATTTTAGTTTATTAATTTCTTCTTTTCGGAAAACTTTTATACAATATCTTGGATGCCATGCCTAGAACTTGAAAAGACGAATTATTTCCACTAGAACATATTCTCTCTTTTTATAAGCCTTGATATCGCATTCGATTTAAAAGAAAATCCTCCCCCTATCTATTATTTTCTTCTATTTCAATTCATTAATTTACTGTGCGAAATGTATGTTATTGATGTAACAGGTTGTTGTATATATGAAAAACCGCGTCGTTTCGGCGAGTCCGACTCGGAAGAGAGTGACGACGAATGCGAACATTGTTTTGGACATGTCGAGAAGAAACGGACTAAGCACAACACACACGTACAAGTTAGTATTTTGCGCGTTTTCTCTCATTATCTAATTTCTCAAAAGCAACATTTTATCACTCGATTCGAAACTTTATACATTCATTAACAATCTTTTACATTCACAAAGCAACATCTAAACCTGCCTTAGGGAGCGTGGGGGGGCGTGTCAATAATCTCCAAAAATTGCGTGACGTAATACTTGAACGCTCCCTTATACTCAAACTGTATCAACGTAAAAAGACAACTTATCTCGTGCAACAGTAATAAAAGTATAGTAATTTATTAGTATGTACCTATAATCTTTACAATATCAAGTTTTCCTTACTTTCTTTTATTTATGGTTGCGGCTGTATAATTACACTATGCAAAAACATTAGTCTATCAACAAAAATAGGCTTTTTTTTATTAATAATAAGCTTTAGGGGTACAATTCAGGGTTGAGACTTAGTGTAAACTGTCACTCCCATCAAAACCGTAATGGATTTTGACACACGAGTGGTTTAGTTTGCACTAAGTGTAGACAGATTTGACATACAGGATATGTCAAATCAATGTAATAGTAGATGGTCCATAACTTGTTTGAAGCCCAGTGACCCCCAATAGGGTTGGTTTCAGCAAATTTCTGCATCTGTTTTACTGATTTTTCTCTACGCAAGCCTTCGGTGCCTGATGCTACTGCTCTGCTAAAATATGATATTTTCAAGAAAAAATAAAAGTGAAGTAGTTTTTAGGTTTTATAGATCAATAGTTATAAATAAAAAAGCTCAGGATGAAATTAAGTTTATTATAACGACATGGCATTTCAAATTTTATATTTATTTAATAATGAAAGATTTGTTTATTTCTTCCTGGTAAACTATATCTTATGCCAAAATTTCAGGAGAAAACAGAACAACCTGAACCAACCACATCTGTGACGTTAGAACCTTCGGAGCCCGCGCCGGCGCCGCCCGATAAACCGCCCTCTGATACTTAAGCACGTAAATTATTTATGTCTGACTTCTAAACATTTCAATGTATTTTCGTATTGATGATTTTTTCCATAGAAGTCATTTATACCTTCTATTTGGCGCCTAGCGCAATATGGAGATCCAAGGTTTTAAAAATGTTAAAAAGTCTCTATATAAAAACTATTTTGATTAACAGATAAAAGTTAAGTTTTACTCTAGCTTAAACATTCAAACTTGTTTTTAATAGATTTTTAATATGTTACAAAAGGAATTCCATTTATTCTATGAAATTTTCTTTCTCCACAGAGTGCATAATTCAGTATTCTGACTGAAATAAATATCTTAAATATATAATATGTGGTTAACATTTATAAAATATAATTCCAAATTTTTCAAGTATTTGGTACAATGTTGTCACTTTATATTTAGTTTTAACATACTTGTTTGTATATAATACACAAATAATACTTCTGTTGAAAAGATTTGCCCTCAAAGCACTGCTCAAATATTTCCATACAAAGTTTTTTTTTTTTTTTATATCGTGCTATCTGAGGCGTACCTCGAACTTTACAGTAGTGTTATCAAGTATTACGACAATTTTATTGACAGCGCGGAACGTATCGTTCATACAATTTGTATAGTTTACTATACGTATTCAATTTGACGCATGCTTCCGTTTAGTTATAAATACGCCCACAGAGCGCTTTAGTTTTTCATATAAAAATATTTAATTTCATATGAAAATTGTATGTTCGTTATGGTGTCTTTGTTATTTACTCATGCCAGAAACTTGCATTTTAATAAACTAAATCCTAATTAAAAGATTTATTAATTCCCAAGCCTATTTTGCAATAGAAAAATCACTTTTTTATTGTAAATTCTGGTAAAATATGGGAAAAGTTGTAAAAATAAACTTGTTGTTGTGTTGAGTCCATAAATTAATGAGAAGCCACGAATAGTTATCGATTGTTTTGACCTTATATCACTTTACTACTAAATAAACTTTACGAAACATTTCTCAACTAAGGCTTTTAGTTTCTTTGTAAGACAGTAATTACGGGAGACCATGGCTTAAAGTAGGTTTAACTGATAAAAACCTATATGTTATAGTCTTACGAGATTAGAAGCAGTTCTACAATAGTGTTGTAATTGTTAATCCTTTTTGATTATCTAATGATTGTTGTATTTGAGAATTTTGGGTATAAATTACCGTACTATAAATAGACATTTAAAATTTTTTAAAAATAAAAATAATATCTACTATATAAAAATAGTGATAATGATATCGGGGGACCTTATGTGACCTCATGAGAAGAGCTTTCAAAGTGATTGAAGATGGTGCATGCCGAGTTATCTGTCAACCCATCAAAAACAGAACTAATACTTTTTACCAACCGAAGAGTTCTTGGACCGTACAAACTCCGACTCTTCAACCTGAACTCATACTCAAGTATGAAATCAAGTACCTAGGTGTGATTTTGGACAGTAAACTGCTCTGGAACAAACATCTAGAACACAAACTAAACAAAGCAACGATCGCCTTTTATCAATGCAAAAAAGATGCTAGGCCGTGAAATGGGGCTTATCGCCTAAGTAAATTATGGATATACAGCCAAAATTTCAATGCTAGCCTATGGAGCCCTTGTTTGGTGGCCCCCAGAACAGAACTTCAAACGGCGGAATCACCAAACTCGGGCGCTGCCAAAGGCCTTTCTTTTTTTCCTCTTGCGGCTGCCATGAAATGTTACATAACCAACTGAAGCAATGGAACTCAGATCTTACCCTGGACCTACACATACCTGGCCCTGGCCTACTGACAACGGGGAAGTTCATGCACACGAGTTTAACAGGGCTAGTCTCACTTTATAAATAATCTTTTTATAACAGAATATTTGCTATATACAGAGATCAAAACATTTAGCTGGCTTTCTTTATTCATACAACATCAGTTTTCAATTGAATTCGCTTTAACCAGGCGCAATAATGTACTGACATTATTCGTCTCTTACAGTGCATCAGTGTTTATGGCGCTGGGTTATGAAACGGGGGGTTTTGCAGCACGGGGGGGAGCCGCACAGGGGTTGTTTTTCGTGGGGGTGGGGGAGGGGGGGTGGGTCCCCCCCCCAATGATTGCGGGACTTGGATGATGCCGGCTGGCCCGTTCCTCCTTCCTTTGCTTTACTACTGGTGCAACCTGTTGGGGGGAGTTATAAAACGAGTACAATTATACGGGCTACTTTGAAAGATTTAGATTAGGGACAATAACGGGCATTGCCTCCTAAATAAACATCTTTTTATCCTAGGCGGGGCAGACCCCCCCCCGGGGCGGGTGCTCTTAAAGATATAAAAACCAGTCCCACGTAGTCCTGGATTGGAGGCTTTGGCTAATCAACGTGAAAAATGCTCGAATGAGGTCGCTCCGGAAGCCTGTGAAGTGCCCAGGAGAGCGTTCTATTAGCTGCACTGCGAGCGGACGCACAACGGACCAACCTCGAGTTAATTGCGGAGAAAGGGGTCTTCCCTAACCCTAACCCTATATAAAAATAAGTCAGGTTATACTTCCTGAGTAACTCAAGAACGCACGAACGATCAACGGATTTTGCATTCGTTGGAAAGGTAGGCTCCGTAGGTTATAGCAAACACAAAAAGCGGGATCACCAAACGAAATGTTTCAAAGACGAGCTGGTGGCGAGCGGAGTTCGCCGAGTTTGCTAGTCTCTTATAAATAATCTTTTTTATAATATTTTTGCTAATCAATAAACATTTACTCCTTTATTCATACAAAATCAGTGTTATTGCAATTTTTTAACTAATGTACACTTTCGTCTCTTACAATCAAACAGTGTTTATGCTGTTATGAAAAAAGAGGGATTTACCCACTTTAGTTATAAAACGGTACAATTATACGAACTATTTGAAATAGATAGAATATAAAAACCATTTCAAATTATTTGGTAATTCTTATTGCCCCCCTCCCACTGCAGCAAGCCCATACGGACCGCTATACTAGTAACGATGATTTTCATTAGCAAAGCGAACTAGCGCACAGAGTTGAAAGAGTCACATAAGGTGAGGGGTTAGCGAGTTGACCGAGGTTTTTCCACGGGAAATGAAAATGTATGAAAATCATCGTACGAGTATACGGAGTCCCTTGTCCCTTCCCCCCCCCCCGATGGGGCATTAGAAACTACACAACTTGTTATTTTGAATTCTGTTTAATGTTGGCTTTAAATAAATCATAATTTGAAGAACCCGCCAAAACGCTTCGCCACACAAGATGGCGTCGCTCCTGTCCCTACGACGTACCATGCTTTTAAACACGTAAATAAACGTCAATTGTCTTAATTATCATTCTTAAATTACACAAATATTATATTTCGTTTTCGACCAAAAACTTCGACGAAATTAAGCTCCAGGATTAGCAGGATGTACATCATAGTCGATTCGACTTATCTGTGACCGTTGATTTATTATGATAAATTATATTTTTATAACTATCAAATAGCCTGAACTGATTTATTTTGTATGAATAACGGGGTTTCTTTCCTAAAATATGTAACGTAATGTGAAAACATTTCTATGCCATGTTTAAAAATAATTCACATCTTATTATGGTAATAATTTTACTGTAGTATTTAAGTATGTTAAATGAAATATATTTACTAAGTAAATCGGTATTTTATTTGAAAAATTAACTGTGTTTATAGGTAGAAATCATCCAAGCAGATTTATTTCTTTAGAAAATTTTCAGAAGTTAAACTTTTATAGATATTTATTTTATTGCTTACCTGTATGTACTTGTATATTACCTGTATGTACTAACATATGGATCTGAAACTTGGGCGTCCACTAAAGAGCGCAGCATACGAAGGTACAAGTGTGTCAAATATCGATGGAACGATGTATGTATGATACAGAAGAATAGAATAGACAAAATAAAGAATACAGCTTTAAGAAAAACAACTTAAAGGTAGAAGATGTTGCAATAAAAATAAATACACTAAAATTAGGAGGAGGTTTTTCCAAAAAAGGGCACATAGATACCTAAAAAAAGATAGAAATAGAAACGTGTTTAAATGTATCTGAATTAAAAGGCTATTATTATTACCTATTTATTTTATTAAAATGACAGTAAACTATATTTCATTTATTATTACGATTACCTCAACGTATTTTCTATATTTACATAAACATAGTTTTATAATACTAAGTAACATTTAATTTTTGTTATGACTCGATAAACTGATATCATTTAAGGCTGCTGCCTCGAATTTTGCGGGCAGCGGCGGCGGCGCGGGAGCGGCAGGATCTTATGCGTAAAATCAAATGGACCGGTTAAGTTCTCGAAAACAGCGGCGCGAGGGCGGGTAACGAGAGGTGCAATCGCCCGCTCCCGCGCCGCAGCCGCCGCCGCCCCGCTGCCCACAAAATTCGAGGCAGCAGCCTAAAAGAAGCATATAAAGCAAAGAAATTAAAATCAAATGTTTCTATATCCTCATTGTCCCATAGACCTTTGAAGATATTTCAAATATATTCTCTAGATTTTGAGATAGGAAATTCTGCCTGCATAATTGTACTAGTATATTCTAAGATCACTGAGCCTTAAGCTTGGTATTTCTAAAGTGCTCGTTTCTAAAGTCTTTGTTCATGTGATGTCCGATCCTCATTCGTAGTCGTTCCGGCGCCAACTTTATGAAAAAATACTGAAACAAAATATGATATTAGGTATATTGTTTTTCGCCAGTGTTACTGATGATTTAAATGAAAAATAACGATTTTGGTTTTAAACAACGTAGTTTTATTTTGAGGAATCTTTATCATAGAGTTGCCTGCATAAACTAGAGATTACTTATAATATGAGTTGGTAAACTAGGGTTAAATTTTTCTAATTTCAACAGTTACACATTTTAATTAACTTAAATTTATAGAAATGGGAGTTTTATTATCACGATTTCTATAAAGTACTCGAATAATGTTTAAAGTCCGTTAAAAAAGTTTTATTTGAAAGATATTACACTTGAAATGTATTAAAAACACCCCAAACTGAATTAATGTGTTATACACATTTGACGATTGCACTGAATAAGATTGCGTTTTGCTATTGCTAATCATAATTACGATATTTAGTAGTTAATATAGGAGATATGATCTAATAATTACCTGTATACCATGCAGCCAGTAGCCTGTGGTATTCTGCACTCTACCAAGTAGGTGTACAGCACTTTGCGCATATGTCGCAGCATCGGGAACCAAAAGGTTGCCATCAATCAACCTTTGGGAGAAGTTGTTCATCTTGGTGGAGACGAAAAGCGGTGAAACGTGTTGCACGTAAATTCCTAATGGAGAATATTCATCGCGTATGGCCTGCGTAAAGTTACGTACGTACACCTGTAAGTGTGGAAAGGGTCGTTAATTTAATTTACAATGAAAGGCAAAGTATCTTTATATAATATATTTCACTTATTTTCCAGCAAAACTATCCAAAAATATAGTTTCTAGAAATCCAAACTAAAGGACTACCGATTTAAGGTTGCAGATAGTATACAAAAAAATATTTTGAGCCTACTGTTTAACGAATATAAATTTATAAAATCGCAATTGTTAATATTTATTGTGTATAACCCGGAGATTCTGGGTACGATTCCTGTCAATAAATAATTGTTTCGTGTCTATTGATCCTATATTTTTTTTAAACTTTTCAATATAAAAAAATCCAAAAAGAATGAGCAAGTCACAAGATATCTTTATGAGTTAAAATTTACTTAAACATTTTTCTTAGTAGATACATATTTTACTTTGATTGACTTATAGATTCCACCAGAAATTCTGCCGATAAGTAATATTCTTTTTGTAAATAACATAAGCATATTTCGTTTGCTCTTTTTCCCCAACTTTAAATTACCTTACTAGCCGCGTACACAGCCATCAGAGGCAGCGGCTGGAGTTCAGATCCTGAGGATACATTGACGACTGCCCCCTTGCCCCTGGCTACCATCGCTGGTAGCAGCATTCTTGTGAGGGTGGTGACAGCTACCACGTTCACGTTGATGATCTCCCAGGCTTTAGCCGTTGGGAGCTCACATAGAGGCATAGGATATTCATACTGAACTCCTACGTTGTTCACTAAAAAGTTTTACATTATTATTCACATTAAAAGTATAAAGGTTAAGTGGCGGCGGTAACAGTGGCGTAACAATAGGGTGGCAGGGCTGGCAAAATGCCACGGGCCCCTGCCCAAGAGATATTATGTTCTATGGATGAATGTGAAGTCCCCCATACGCATTGGTCTTATGAGCGTGGGGGACCAACAGACCATTCCCTCTCGGAGGCCTATGGCCATTAGTGGGACATATACAACGTGTAATTGAGTACGCTGAAAATCTCGAAGTTTTAAAATTAAACGGAGGACAACGTGACGATTTTTACTTTTATTTGGTGGCGTAACTATACCCCAGATTGTATAGTTACGCCACTGGTAAGTGATGACAGTACTTTAATTGTCTTTAGTATACATGGGAACCGGAGATCACACTTCTAACACTAGTTAATATGTAGTAAACCTCATCAAATAGGAACATTTGAACAAGAAATTAAACTCAACATATAGATAGAACAGGGACCTTACAACTATAGTAAAAATAAATAATCCAGTGGCGCTCCAACCCTATATGGATCTTGGCCTCTGATTGCATCCGTTCCGTCTATCATTAGTAGATTAGTAATCTGTGTCAGACGCATGAATTGTTTAGGATAACTTGACTTACACGAGACAAAATTGTTACCCTAATATATTCATAAATAACATACAAAATTTATCACAAGACTGAGATTTTTCGATATTGCTTCTTTCCTGCTGATGATGGATACAATATTAAGCCGTGCTTGTAAATTATATTCAAGCGTTATTTAAAAATTCTGTGAATGTCTAATTCTTACACGTAGTCGTAATATTTTATGATAGCGTATTAAATTTTATGCAATCAAATTGAATTTTACATTGTAGCTAGAGTATATTTATTTATTGATCAATCAATATTTAATGATTGCATCAATAAAGTAGACCATAATATTGATCTTATTAGAGAGCCACAGTTGCATTATAGCCATGGCTAATATTTTACGAACTTCCCAGAAAAAACTAGGTGACCTTTGTTTTATGTTTAACAAAAGTTGTCGTTTCTTTTCTAAACTTATTTATTATCAGCCCATAACACGTTTTTTTTTTTTATTGCTGATAATATTTTTTTTGTCATACCTAGAATTCCTATTGGTATGTCCTTTAGCTCGTCTTCAATGTGCTGATATACTTCAATTCCTTTGCTGAAATCAGCTACAATTATTTTCGTCTTCACACCATATTTCTCTAAAATAAAACGGATCGTTTCAAATTAGTCAATTTCTGTAAAAATCTAAAAATTTAATTTGAAAATAAAAACAAAGAACTTAAGGTAGAGCGGCCAATTAACATGCGCTTGAAAAAATTTGGTTCCTTAAGGAGATCTTAAAATGACAAGTTCCCCTTCACACATACCAAACGTGGACATACAACACAAAAATAAAAACGAAACTAGTAGCATGCCAGAAAGCAATGGAAAGAAGCGTACCAAAAGTAAGAAAAATACATAAAATAAAAAGCGAAAAAATAGTTCGAAAAATAAAAGTGATAGATGCCTTACATATGCCCTAAAAAGTGACAATGAGCGGGGCATAGCAAGATACACAGATAAAAGGTGGACTTTAAAGACAATATGGAAAGCATCAAGGAGAAGAGGGCACACCAAGAAAAGATGGATATAAGAAATAGAAGCGGTAGCAGGAAACGAATGGATAACGAAAGCCATGGACAGAGTAAGTTGGAAAAAGCTGGAGGAGGACTTTATCCGTGAAACGGTTCCGATCGACGCTACACAAGGTGCTAGTATATAGGATTACAAGAAAAAAATATGTAAATGATCTAAGGTGTACATACTAACACTTTTTTATATAAAGATTGGAAATAAAAAGGGGCCTTTATTATTATTATTATTATTATAAGTAAGAAACTTACCAATTTCTTCAGCGGCGCTTTTCAATTTATCAGTGTTTCGGCTGATTAGTACAATGTTGATACTCTTCTGTGCCAATTCTAACGCGTAGTGCTTGCCGATACCATCCGTACTGCCAGTTATGACTGGAAATATATTTCTCAATTTATATAATAGTTTTTCAATAAAGTGTTCAAAGATTTCGTATGTCAAGATTTGTAATCTCATAATATTTTGAGAAATAATACGTAGATTTTTTTAATTGAGACTACAAGTGCTGCTAATATTGTTTTGTTAATAAATATCTACTTGTTATCACGTGATGAGCTACAAGTCTGTTTTTTATCAATATCAAACAATTGTCAAACATTCCTCAGTCATTAGCTTCTATAATCACTATGCTCATTTTTATGAAGTTGAATAATCTACCATCACTTAAAGGACACACACACACACACAATCGAATCATTTATTTTCTTGAAACATTTGATAACAAAAGAAGCATTTACATATCAAGGAAAAAAAATCCAAAAACGTTATTTTTTTTTAAACCTATAAATGTATGACTTGTTTCAAAATCAAACGAATACAAAGGTTTTCTTGCTATTTGTAGTTTTAAAAATAATCCTTAGAAACACTTATGATTTCATGGTACAACAGTGTCAATAAATGTCTATTCGTAAAATATTGTTGAGTAGAACATAATAGGCAAACATTTACAATTATTGTTGGATGATGCAAAGTACTTACATAAAGTCCACTAAAATACTTTAACTTTACACAACCTCAAAATTGTATAATTTTAAGTGTTACTTACACTCCACATAAAAGCGTATGAGGTAATATTCTTTGTGTGAAATTAAACAACAGTACTGTGTTGTTAGCAGAAGTACGTAATCAATCTAGCAGGTACCGAATTAATTAAGAAGCATTTCTTACGTCTAGACTTGCAATAAGGCTTGAAACAAACGCTTCAAAATGATATAACAACTCATCCCATCTAACAATACAATTCAGCTTGTAGCATTTTTATACGCGGCTATTTACTCAATAAATAGCGTAACTACATAAAAAAAATACTAAATGACGCACTAAAATAGTTATTTTTAAAAGTTTTATTGGAAATAACAATTCTCATAGCTAAGTAACTATAAGCTCCTCTCGGCCAAAAGGCCAAAGGTTAAGGACAAAATATGTGAAACTTTTACGTTCTACAGCGGGATAAGTATAGTAAATTGATTTATGCAAGCTGCCAGCACATGTGGTCAGTAACGGCGCGAAGAGTTCACAATCCACATTCACTATCACATCGATTTTTATTATTTATTCTCATTGCGATAATGTTTGAACGTAAAATAAAAAACACAGTAACTGCATTTAATTGTTAGTTACTATTAATTTCCTTAATGAGAAGATAAAAAATACGGTTTGATTATTTTAACAGAAAAAAACGACAATTATATAAATATTTTATTTTTATCAAACGTAAGTACAATAAAAAAGCAACTGAATACTAAATGACACAAAAATCTTGGTTTTTAATTAAAGTTCGACAAAATAATACAATTACTGCGTTTTGTTAGCATATTAAATTCCTACATACCATGTTAACTATTTCATGTTGTGTTGCCAATTACGGGGCTATATGCATATATAAAGGATGTTTCGTTTGAGGCTCCTTCACCCCCAACAACCATAAACCACTATCGCATTGATTAAATCCTCCTTATTTTTTATTGTGTTTTCTTTTATGAAAATTTATCCATACGGACTTCACCGGGGGGGGGGGGGGGGGAAACTGCTAAACATCTGTTAAAACTCGATCCGAAATGGAATGGATCACTGGATAAAAAATAAATAATGAAACATAAATTTATTTTTTGAGCAAAGCGGGGGGAGAGAACTGTGCATAATATGAATAGGCTAAACACTGAATGTGAAATATACAAAATCTTATTACTGTGCTGTTATGTATAATATTCATCTTAATGTTTTCCTTAGACTATAGATATCCAGTATTCTATCTATAAATCTTTTGCACCTCATCCCGTAATATTATAACATTTGCAACGTTGCCACGCTTGCATGTTGCCGTCCCCATTCAATCCACAGCAACCTCACTTACCTAGGAGTACGTGCGTATTTAAGTGAAGTTTTAAACATTTTGAATTATAAAGTAAACATTAATATCAAAATTTGACATCCAACATCAAAATTTGTAATTATCACATGTTTACAGATTTTCAATGGGAATGATTGGTAATTTAATTAGTAATAGAGCGGATTTAAGTTATAATTACTTTTTAATTAACAGTCCAAATTAATAATCCTTGACCTCTTTGTATGGATTGTATAATTTGCTGTCGCAATACATGTTGCGATAGAGTTTGGAAATCAGTTTTCACGGTCAAACGACAACATTATGAACTTTCTATCTTGGTTTTATAAATTTATATATGTATTAATTTCGAATAAATACATATTATACAAGAATGTATTCTCGAGTTTTTTGTAAGATGCACAAATAGGTAATGTACTATATGTATAAAAGTTCGATGATCCCTTTTTTAGACAGAACTGAGAGCGTAGTCAAGATGCATTAACAGTAATGTATGTAGAAAGTAGAAAACTAAATTTGTATGAAACCTGGAGCTTGAGACAAAATCACTTCGCGACAGGAGTGACCCACTAATGCACGTGATAAAGCGTGAGCTAATGTCATTCTTATAACATTTCATTTAAAGCTTGTGGATCACGCCTTTCTTAAAGTGATACAATTTCACTTTTATCAATCATTAATACAATCACGATTATTTTTTATATTAATGTAACGCTCCAAATATATAAATAATTTAATTTGTTCTGAAAATTATAATTTAAGATATTACTCTTAATTAATATAAATGATGACTCATTAATTAATACATTTTTATTTTAAATATAAATTAAAAAATTAAATGAGGTTATTAATTTTTACCTGTTTCCAATGTTTTTCTTATATTTTCTATCGAACTTATAAAAATGAATTACCAGTAGATATAGACTGGTCGTTAACTTGATGGTTATAAAGTATGTTTTGTAAAATGCGCGCGAACTGAAAACATGTCGTGACCGACCAATGAGCAGTGACATAATATGACGATTCCATGGCAGCAATCCGAGCTAGACTGGTAACTGGGTTGCTATTTAATAAGATCTCTAGAAAATCTAAAAATAATAAGATTTATAAAACAAAAAATTCACAAGGAAGTAAAGAATACGTTACTTACGTATTACAATTCTTACTTACTGTGTTAAATAAACATAACTACATAGTTATGTACTATTAGCTAAAGAAGCAATATTGGTTATACTAAACAGTCATTCTAAAGATTAATAACCATTTTTGGAGCCTACTTGGCTCTTACCAATTGTAACAAATTTTGTGAAATGAGATCCAAGTTCTCCATATTTCATAAATATGATGATGTCGCCAAAAAAGGAATTGCTATCTTAACTTAGGGTGCGAAGTTAAATATTGAGTGAATTAGTATAAATTAAATTAGACATTTTAAACATTTTGACTCAACAAAGTAAATCAGTTACTTGTTGTGCAAGCATGTTTACGGGTTGATATAATTTATTTAGGTATTTATTATTAATTCTGTATCACTCATGTAGATACAAAAAAATGTAATTCGCACAAAGAACTAAATCGACCAACTTTACTGTGTAATTAAACTACGAATTTTTTTTTTGCTGGCCTTTTAATGTACCTATCTGAGTGATCAGAGCTTCCTTGATATGTCTTGATGATAAGTGTAATAAAAATCTGTTATTGTGTATTTCTTTGAGTTATTACACGAGAAAAGACGTTGTATAATTGAGAACGGGGCTAAGGAATAATTGAAAATATCTCTCTATGAAAGAATCGGATGGAATAATCCATTATATAATTGAGTGGACATAACCATTAACAATTATTATACTAATTGTCTTCTAGTAACTTGATTCTTTATTGAAATGTATTTTACCTAAAGAATGGTAATCAATTTTATTTTATAAAATAGAGCGAAAACAAGCAATTAATGAATGCAAATTCAATTACGCGGTTTCGATTTTTACAGCGTAATGTTATGCGTACCGTAACCACTGTCTAACCTACGATAATCCTTTCGATAGTTTCGCCAAATGGAAAGTGTACCGACAAGTCGCTATATATTCTTTGTTTCGATGTTTCAACTAAAAAATGGTTCCATGGAGCGAAATTATGTTAACATATTAATTGAGAAATGCAGTTAATAATTCTATTATAAAATGAATTGATCGTGGTAATGGTACTTTTTCAAATAGATACCAAATCTAGTAATTTTACATACGAAGTAATGCTTGGTTCTGTGGCCTAAAATTTTTGGTGGTTATCTAAAAATACAATTACATCAGATCAACATTATAGTTAATTTACCATGTTACATAAGAGAACGTGAGATGAGATATTGCTACATGAAATCGTCTTCGGCATGTCGTAAGCTTAACAAGTATTGCACTTTGTTGTTAGTTAACGATTTAGGTTAAGGTATATTCTGTGGTACTAAGTAGGTAGATACTATTATATGCTGCGGTAAATCAAAATGGCTTCTGTTTGCGGCTTAAATGTTGAAAAAATTTATTGCTTGAATAGCTTTGGCAAAGCTAAATAGTTTTATAAGAAAAAGCTATAATTAAACCATAAATGTTTAACGATTAAGAAAATATTATTATTTATGTCGAATTGTAATCAATCACACAAGTATTCTTCGGGTTTTCTTAGTCCGTTAAAAATTATATTTGTCTAGATTAATTCTAATTGTTCTTTTATTTAATTGTACCTGCTCATGAAGATTACTAATTTAATTTATGTCTGTATATTTATATAAATAAGTTTAATTAAGAAAGAAGATTGTGTTTCTTAGATAGATACGATCTTAATTGCAGGTTAAGAAATGGGGATTGGATCATGCTGATGGTTCTAGACAATTATCTGCAGTTTTTACTTGACACATTATTATTAAAAAAATTACTGCTTTCAACAATGCTTCAAAGAATTTCGGGCCACTACAACAGGACCAATATAGTCGAGGAGGCATTTGTTGTTTTAAACATAAAGAAGATTTTAAAGAGTAGTAACAAGAGTAAAAACCTTGAGCAATGAGCTCGATGAGTTTAATCGTAAGATTATTCTAGGAATTCGGTTAACCGGTAAAGTAACACATAACAAACATTCAAGCAACCATGTTTCGATTATTACTGGACAATTTTAGTTAACGCCAGTGGTGATCAGCCCCTTTTGCCTCTCACACGCCTTCGATTTTTATGTCTAAGGCAAGCCCGGTTTCCACATGATGTTTTTCTTCACCGTGCGAGCGAATGTTAAACGCATTTAAAACACAAGAAAATAAAGTTCATTGGTACACAGCCGTGATGAGAACGCGCGACATTAAGTTTCAGAGGCGCACGCTCAAGGCAAGGCCAACACACACCGCTCTACTCCTATTTATGCTATATTGTATCCGTGTAGATAATGAAAACTTAAGCCTATGCTCTCCGCGTCAAAGGAATTAATAAATTCAAGCTATTTGTGAAGACTAAGTCCTTCATGTAGGTACTTGTACCACGAAGTATACCTATAAAACAGTAGATATAATTATTAATAACAGCCAATTCTTAAAATTAACATGGCATTAACATATTTCACATGATTGTTTATAAATGCTGAAATTTGTTTCTTTTAAGATTGGAACCATTAATTACTTAAACTTTTTTGAGACCGCAAATTTATTAACATTGATACGCTAATGTCGCTTGTGCGAATCCGGTTCGTAGGAGTACAATGTAACAAACACCTAAGCGTGCGTCTTGGGTAGCGTTGCTTTTGGTAATATTTTTAAGTCGATCTATTCGACTGCCATCTTTCTTCCATAGTTCTCGAGTGATTAATAAGGTAACGTCTAGTAAAGTTTTAAATACTTGGTACAATTGCAATTATCCTTCTGCGCTCCTACCTTTTAAACACATGTTTGGAAATAAATACTGGAACTGCTTGAGCCCCATAACCATCGAAATACGCCGTCGCCTAAGCCTCTTACTTTACAATTTTGACAGCGTTCGATATCCACAAAAAAATTGTGTTGAGTATTTTCGGAGTATCGTATCCTACATTACTTTAATTATATCGATTTACATGCAGTCACGTCGTTCATGATGTAAAATATTATGTGCCATGAGATACGTCTTATTTATTTTGTTTTTTATAGATTAAATATTTTATAAGTAACTTATATTATTTATTATATTTTTCATAATGCATATCGATAAAACTAAACCTTGGCGAACGTGCTACGACCGTGACTTTAATTTTGAAATACTTAAGGAAGCAGTTTTGATGGTTAACTTTTTAAAGAACAAGTATAATCGTCGACCTTATAGATGACATAAAATTAAAATTACAAAAATAAATTATTAAAATTCCTCCTCCTCTTGCACTTTTTCTTTATTTTAATTATTTAAAATTCAATTGACGAGTATGTGAATCGAGAAATAATCTATTATGACATGCAACATATATATGGTACGAACCAGTATTTAGTGTATTATCTATGGTACAAACCTGCCCAATTTCCATACTTCTTCCATAGAGGTTGAACGTCTTGTGGAAGAAAATACGGTGTCAAATGCGATACTATTAATTCAATTACACTTCTGAAGGAATCAAATATAATATAGGCCACTGTTACCGCTCCAATAATTGCTAAAGATATTATTATGAACATGTTTAAATGCGCAAGAAATTATATTTTAGAAAGTAGGTACACAACATTCTTTCACTGCGCGCGGTCTTATACTAAAGGCTAAAGCTTAACTAACAACATATTCCACGACTCGCTTTACTATCAAGTATCATAGTATCAAATAAGTGGCCACTTGTTGACCTACAAAGTTATTGTCATTACGTCACTATGTATAATAGTTTTCTTAGTTGCTGAGTCAATCTGTGGCTCTGCATAAATATCGTTTCATTTTTCAGGCCGGGTCCTACGAGAGGGCAGTGTAATAAAACCAGCGGTCTACTCTCCAGCCGTCTTACGAATTTTCGATCAGATCACGTGTCCTGACGCGAGTTTAACATTTTTTACCCATTCAGAAATAAGTGTACAACGCCTAGTATCTAGTATTTAAATATAGATCACCTTAGATTATTCAATAGCCTACAAGAACAAGACCTGGCTGTATGGACTAAAGTCCTTTGCCTTTCCAATTAGGGATAAATTAATATCATCATCATCAAAAGACTACATTAATACTAATTAATAATTATAATATAAAATATTCCGATGTAATTTTCGTTCCATGTAAAATCCTATTTCTTTACTATTCGTTTTCCTTACCTTTGTCTGTGGCAATACGCTCTGCGTGAAGCTATTTCTTATGCGGCTTATGCCGTTTATCAGGCTTTACTGCAAATTAGTGTAATTAATAACTATAAATACTTTTTAATAATAACGGATTCTTTAAGTCTGATAAAGAGTCTAAGTAATGTTTCTGTAAAATATAAAACCAACTATATTTTGTATATTATAAAAGACCTATTGTTTAAATATCATCTTAAGAATGTAAATATATATTTTATGTGGGTGCCTTCACATAAAGGCATAACCGGCAATGAAAAAGCTGACAAAGCTGCATGTGAGGCTATAAACAGTATTGACGTTACAGACTCAGTATCCGTTCCTTTTACTGATTATTTTCTAAATATTAAGGAAAACATTTACACTCTGTGGACAGAAATGTGGAAGAAAGACCAGGAAAACAAGGGAAAGTGGTATGGAAGTATCCAAGATAACATACCTGTTAAACCTTGGTATGACAAATTGAAATCTAGTGAAAGTAGAGATTTCATTACAACAATAAACAGATTGAGATTTGGTCATAATATTGCGCCGTCACACCTAGCAAGACTTGGGATTGTTTCAAACAATCAATGTAATCATTGTCAAGCAGAAGAAGGAACGATCCACCACATTATTTTTGATTGCCAAAGTTTTCTCATTCAAAGACTTGTGCTGGCTAGTGAACTTAGGGTGAGATCTATAGTGCGCACTTAGACTTTGCTCTGACTTAACTATCGAGCTAAGACACAGTCGGTATTTATAGAGCAAACTGCGAATCTCTCCCTAGTGTTGGCTTAGCTTAATCTCAAGTCCACGAAATCGACGACTTACCAAAAACTTTGACTATAAGCCTAACAAAAATGATGGCCCAAAATTTGCTTTACCATCATATCTTTTACTGGACTTTTTATTTTTGTCGGTTTTTAATGAACGGTGTTGCCATTTTGTATCGGAGTTCCATAGACTTTGGGAAAAATAGAATTTGAATTCAAAGAAATTATAAATGATCTTGATAAATACCTATGAAATGCATGAATTAAAATAATTACACATTATTATGGTATTTATTATTGTTTATTTATATTATTTATGTAATTGTTCAAACCCCATTTTTGAGAAATCTTAAAAATAACTGGTGTGATTTTGTATGTCACCTGGCAGCCCTGGCATATTATAGTGACAACGAAATCAAACTATAACCTAACCGATGTCTCTCGCTTCACATCTGTTATTTTCGTTTCCCTGAATCTTCTACCATTTATTATTATTATTATTTTTTTTTTTATAGAACGGGGGCAAACGGGCAGGAGGCTCACCTGATGTTAAGTGATACCGCCGCCCATGGACACTCTCAATGCCAGAGGGCTCGCGAGTGCGTTGCCAGCCTTTTAAAAATTGGTACGCTCTTTTCTTGAAGGACCCTAAGTCGAATTGGTTCGGGAATACTTCAGTGGGCAGCTGACCTACCTACCTGACTACTCTAAAAAATTTGAGATAGGAGTGGAACATATGAAATTAAAAAATCTGTTGGAAATAGAATTTCTTCAACAAAAATATAAATTAGTATTAGAAATATGTATTACACTTCAAAAAAGAATCAGAAAATAAATGATTAAAATGAAACAAGTTTTGTTTTGATATTCTTTATTACCAAACAAATTACCTAGTTAAATTGTGCAATCACAGATTGCCGGAATGCTAGACCTGTAGGAGATCTTTCATTGTTTCTGTGTTACTCAACTTCTGCTGTCAGCAAGATCACCATCATCATAGGCATCCCCTCTCTGTATACCTATATTATGCAATACAACACAAGCTATAATTATATTTAACTAGTATTTGTCAATTTTGACTGTAGTCCTAGCTGTAAACATGGAAATTTCCTTTATCACACTCCGAAAAACCTTTAAAAAATATGCCTAGTTCTTATTTGAGAATAATTATAAATATTGGCAGCTCTTGTCATTGGATTTAAAAGTGTTGTTAACATGAAGTTAAGTGCTGGATAACCGCTGTCACCTACTAAAACAGGCATTTTCTAAATATCCTGCTGTCGTGTGAACTGCCAGGCCACCTAGTCACTATAGCAAATATTTCCATATCAGGCCCTATTATTGCTTGCACATTTACAGAAAAATACCCTTTTTTATTTCTGTATGCTTCAGAGTGAGTGATACTTTGGGTCTATTAATTTTTATATGGGTGCAGTCAATAGCTCCGATTATACTGTTTAGGCCATGGTGAGTATTAGATCTTCCTAATTCTTCAAACTTTGTTATGGCTGTGTTCATATTTCTTAGAAAATTTACAAATCTAGGAAGTAATTTACTCAACTCTGCAGAAACTTTATTTATAATTAAACAGACTGTAGATTGGCTTATGCTGTTCAGATCACCACACACCATCTGTAATGTCAATAAATTATTATTAGTCACATATATGTTATGTTTCTGAAAGTCAGAAGACAAAAGTCTTCAACATATGTATTTAAAATCATTTGAGAAGAGGTATAATATATCAAATTGAAAAACCATACATATTTATGAACACAATATTACCTGAAAATATCCAGTTGCATTTTTATGCCTTAATGCAATAAGTATTTGCAATTGCGGTAGGTTTGGCGATCCTCTGTTGTTATAAGGTTGCAAGTTTGTAATGATCAGCGTCAGGATCACATTTAATACCGTGTGTTTCAAAATACGGTTCCTTCTTTTGAATTCATTCTCACCGTACAGGATGGAAGGATTTTGGTTTTATTAGTTCCGAACATATACTTTAGGCATTCGTGGATTCATATCGGCTGCAGTTCCTACCCTTTCAATGTTTTCTATTGAAGATAGAACTCTCTCTCTCCATCATGTCACTTTCGATATTGATATTTCCAAGCGGTCCATGTAACAAAGCCAAATCACAAAACGTCACAGTGCTTCGGGAATGCGTAGGAGTTAAGTAGGTATACGATCCAGATTGGTCCAGGTCCAAGACACAAAGCCAGTCGTTTTTTTGAAGAAAGTTAAATTTAATATTTATAAGCTCATACAAACAGAAACAGAAAAGAGAAAAAGTGGTTTAAAATTTTCAATTGTTGATACAAGTGCTCTGTTGTCAAAACATTGCGATCCGTTCTACGTAATAAAATTATTGTCAGTAGTAGTATAGTTAAATAATTAATACATTTTCTAAAGGTTCTAGTTATTGCAATAATAAAATAAATGAATACATAAATAACAATAAATTTAAGATATATGTGTACCGTTTTAGATGTTTAAATATTTGTTATTGTTTACTTTTTTAAAGGATAATAAACAAAGTATTGCATGAAATGAAACATCAATTTGTATTTTGACATTTTCTGTCTTAGCTTGGGCTTAGCTTAATCTCACCGTTAAAATGTCTATAAATACGAAATCATAGTTTAACCTTAGTGTACACTAAGCAAAGTTTTTCGTAAGGTAAGTCTGAGCAAAGTCCAAGTGCGCACTATAGATCTCACCCTTAGTGTTACCAATGCATATAAGTGTGTTTCTTCCTCCCGCCCGCCGCTCCTCAACGTTTTACTAAAAGATCCAACATCCTATAAACCTATTTATAATTACTTAAAAAATACAATTCAAACAATTTAAGTGATGAAATTTAGTGAAGTGAAGTTAGTGTCGCCAAATTATATGAACATACATATTCCAAATAAGTCGTGACTTAAAGGTCTTTGTTACCATAAAATTAAAAAAAAAAAAAAAAAAAAAGTGAAGCTATTTATAAAAAAAAACATTCTCTAGTTCTTTATTCGTTTGTGTTGTAATTTTTTATTTGGATTGTGGACATATTTTGGCAACTTTGTAAAAGCAAACCAAATGCAATGCAATATATTCAATAAGTGATCGAGAAATGTGATTCTTGAACGTCAAAACTTCAAACATACACATAGACTTAAGTCGTATTGTGAATTACCAAGCCCTGATTGTTTAGCTTTCAACAATACGTTAAATTTTTACAAGCATGGAGAAAGAGCTGGATAAAGTTGTTGAGGAAATAATGTTGACACCAAACGTTACTGGATGTATATTTGCTGATCATCAAGGTTTATGTTTAGCAGCAAAAGGAACTGCTCATGTAGATTCAGCTGGCATATTAGTAGCTATATCTGAGCAAGCTTGTAAATTACAGCCGAACTTGAAGCCACCGACGATATATCTAGAATCGGATGATAAAATGTGCCTAATACAACGACATGGTACTATTACTGGCGGAATTTTCAAACATAAAGAATAAATCCTAAGATTTTGATAATTATTTGGTACCTGTTAATTGCTATACCAGAAATCATAGTAATGTTAATATTTAGAAAATCTAAAACATTTATAAAGTATAAATATGTTAAAGTTATCATTTTCAAACAATTTTATAACATAGAACTTGCAGTGTATATATAAATATTGTGTTATAATTGTATTGTGTTATAATTGATTTTGTTCATATTATAAGAATATAGATAATGTGAACTGATTGTATTTCCACTTTTATTGCACCTAAACAACAAAAAATGGTCATTAATTTGTTAGAATGATAAACTGTATATCTACTATATAAAAATAAGTCAGGTTTTCCTTCCTGACGCTATAACTCCAGAACACACGAACCAATTTCCACGGTTTTGCATTCGTTGGAAAGGTCTCGGGCTCCGTGAGGTTTATGGAAAAATCTGGAAAAATTTCAACGGAAAAGTGGGATCACCAAACGAAATGTTACATAAAACGAAGCCATCTGGTGGCGAAACGGAGTTCGCCGAGTTTGCTAGTTATAAATAAAATAAACCCTATAATATACACACATTTATTACAGAAATGCTGTCCTAACAGTAACATGACAAGAACAATGTTATAACCACACCTATAACTATACATAGCATTCCAACATTATAGTATATACTGATTGCCACTACAAGTAACTCTTCAATTGTTCTATATTATATAAAAAAAATGATTGCTGATAATAATTCATAATTATGAATATAAAATGTATACATTATAGTTTTCTTGTGATAGAATTTCAACAAACCATTATATTTTTTGATTCATACGCTATTTTACAGTATAAGTGTTCAAGAGCAAGTTTTAAACTAGAGAATCTTTAAAATATATGTGAAATGGGTCACATCAATTATAAAAAAATCAAGAAACCAACTAAATCATGTTTGACTATGTAAATTGAAATTAATCTCTAAATTGGAAAGAAAATAATTTAATGAAAACTTTTTCTCTTGATATTTACAAAGGTCTATGTTAACAATATCTCTTTGAAGCATTACATTATGCTAAGGATTATTATGTTATAGATATGTAATAAGCACTATAACTTCTTCTGGAGACTATTTTCCTCAGATTTATACCACATATCTATTCTATTCTAAATTATGTCAAGTGATGAATTAGCTATAAAAGCAAAAAGTCAATAAACATAAAAATTTCATTTTGAATAACATGACAATAACAATTCTGTCACAATTCTACTATCTATTCTTAAAAATGGAATAACATAAAAATTATATACAACTAACATAATTTACATTCACTTATTAATTAAGAATAAACATTTACTAATATGATGAGGAAGATTATCCTTAAATTGAAAGTAATAAAATGGAATAAAAAGTGAATAAAATATATAAATTCATTTTAGATATATGAGCAAGTAATGGTAAATATCACTCTACAATTAGGGTCCAGCTGTGAAATTGTTTTAAGATTACTTATTAAAATACTAATTTTAAACACACAAACAAGAGGATACAATATTACTCCTTTTTTTACAATTTTTTTATAGTCAATAGATAATGGTAACGAAATATTAAGACCTAATGGCACTTATACAAATAGTATTTCTACATATTAACTCGAGCTGGTAAATTGACATTTATTTCAAGGATTGGTGCAAAATAAATCTAAAGTTAATAGTACAAGACCCTTATTTGGAATGCATACAATCAAATAATAATTTGTCTAAATTTAATTATTTATTAGTCTACGGAGAGGGAACCAGCTTGGCGTTTATGCAAAGTAATATAATTCTTATTTGCTAAATGTCTTTTCTTTTATTCACAAAAGTTATATTTTAATATTTTTCATAAGTTTTGTCAACATAACAAAAAAGGAAATGTAACATTTTTGCAACCTCAAAACCCGCAACGGTTCACATTCTTCAACTACTTTTATTATGTATTTAGTCTTACGAATAACTTAGATTTGATTACATGATGCAACTTACTATAATAATAAGTTTATAATAATTTTTTGCATAAGATATGATTTATAAAGTGCCCATCATCAATTCTGCTGTTAGTAGCAGAACATGTTTAATAAAAAATTGTATATTACCAAGTTATGCAAACAAAAGTTTTGCATGTATTGCAATAGGTGGCTGGTAGTTTAATAACCAATTTCCTACATGATACAATATTGCATTTGTATGGTGGTTGTATTTTATTTTACTTATAATTTTATTATTTCTGATTATGATTAATTCACTATAAAAGAAATCTGGTTGCCTAGAACATTAATAGCAAACTAAGACAAATTTTTCACTACAAAACATCATTTACTAATATAAATAACTTAAGTCATAGTGAAGTAGTTATAACAGCCTTTATATTTGTATGTAACAAGTCACACACATTAAAAGGTTTTACAACATATCACAAAATAAATATCAGTCACATCAATTTAAAAATTACTAATTAGCTACACTCAATTTATATGAATTATCTATACCAATACCAATATACAATAATTTAGGAGTAATTCAATAAATGTTGTCTTTTATTATGCATAAATCTCCCTTTTGAAAATATAATAAGTTTAAATAAGAATCTCAATAAAAACTCAAGTACAATACTTTCACATGAATATAGAAAAAGTATTTACCTTGAATATTGAACTGGTCCAGAAGTTTTAATATTTACCAAAGAGAAATGTCTCATCAAGAAGAGACTTGAATGTAATTAGAGAAATATGTCTAGCAAAATATTCTGTAAGAGTTTATGTTGGACTATAAATATCAATTCATTCTGTACAATATTTTTTAACACAACAGTTTTATGATTGTTATTTAAATGACTATTTAGAAACTCTAATACTATCTTAAAATAACAATTAAGATTTATCAGTTAATATGATATAGCTTAAATGCTTTATAGCCTTGGATTAAAATCATCTAAATACAACTAGATTTGAACTAAATATTTTAAATTCATTGAAAGTCAAAATTTTTGAGCACACAAACCTTTACATGCATAAATAATTTGAAGATCTAAATTAATTGAGGTAACACACATGTGTCCTGTCATATACATTAAATTCCTCAAGAACAACTTGAATTTTCGAAAACATAAGAATTCGTCAAGTAGCTATAAGATAAACTCACTAAGTAAATGGAGGTCAGTTATTGGAAGGCGGTGGTCCAGTGAAGCTGAATGGTTGTTCGTTGGAGACAAGGTTGGCTCGCGGCGCTGAGTTTGGCTGGAAACCACCGGCTTCTAACGTCGCCGCTGACGTTCTCATTTCATCGATCGAAGCTCTAAAGTACATAAACTGTTAATACAACAACATAAACGATTTCTTAAAAGTATTAAAACTCTATTCAATAGTGCTTATCTTGCCCGTTCTACGCCCTAGACTCGCGAACTGGTAGTAAATGTAAATTTAGAATCAATTTAACATATTTTCTGTTGCCTATGTTGTTCATAAGCGCACGTGGTTACCATCCAGTGCATGATCCATATTGTGCATTACTTTAAATGTGTAACTTTGTATGCTGATGTAGTAACTTCCACCGTCAATGCAGTGGCGTAGCAAAGGGAGGGCGGCGGGGGCGGTCCGCACCGGGTGTCACCTTTTTTGGGGTGACACCCACCCGGTCTCTCAACTTTAAGAACAATTTACAAACAAAAAAAAATCGCTAGCATTAAAATTTATTTTTCAGGGATTCCACCACTAGCATTAGCTCAGCTCTATGTAGAATTCGGGGATTCCCGTAAAATAGCCTGACGCTGTCGTGGGGGATTCCCCGTTCCATACTCGCGATATTTGACGTCTCAGTTGCACATTTCTCATTTGATCCATGTCCTTTATCATATAAAATTTATTGCTTTTTACTTTCGATGGGGTGACACCACCAACTTCCGCACCGGGTGCCACCCAAGGTAGCTACGCCACTGCGTCAATGTCATAATCCAATCATGCAAAAAATAAAAAGCAGTTTCATGCAATGCATAGCATATAGGCTACTGTTTGGTACTTCATTTTAGTAGGGAAGAGACAATAATTTCCTATTTCCATCAAGACTAGAGTTGTGTTAATTTGGTGTAAAACACAACAGTTTAACATATAAACATTTTATAAACAAAAGAATAATAGATAAAAGTGGTGAAAAATTTATAATTAAAATGGTATCTAATGTTGTGGGGAAAGGATTAAGTCTCTTCTGCACTTCAATGAAAGTCCATGTTATTGCCTTAGTTAGGACGCCACACGTCGGGATCCTCCATGAGTGTGACGTTGTGATCTTGCGAGGCCGGCATCGGAGCGCCCGGGGGCGTAGTCCCGCCTGCCGCCATTGCAGCCATGTCATCACGCGATCCTCTATACCGGGCAAGCATGCAGCAACCGAGTTTTGTATTATACACACCACAAATAGTTATTTACGTATTATTATAACACAACATATATAGTTATTCAATTGCATTGTTTTCATATTGTGGTATGTTAAGAACTGTCCAGTTATATGATACATTTGTTAGATATTTTAATATGAATAGTTATAAATATATCTTGGTTTTTATGCATAAAATATAAGATTAAAATTAGTAGTACAGTATGATTCTTTAGAAGCTTAACATTAAAAATAAACCCCAATACATATTAAGCTATTATAAAATTGTACTTACTTTTTACCAAGAGCCATCATGCCGTAAATAATTCCTGTAGCAAATATCATTCCACTGCCTAACAATGTGCTCACACTCACTAAGCACAAGAAGAATGGTGGAAGAGATAGCCTGATAAACAAACAATTAAACTTAATAATAAAATTATCTTTAATTTGAAAGTTAAACTTTTAAATTAAAATGAACTTTAATGTGACAAAAATAATAACTTAAGCATGTTTTGCACAAATGTCTAAAACAATTAGAAATTTATTTTATATGGCTCTTCCCATAAATTCTTAAGTATTATCAACTAGTTATGGAAGATCTAGTTAAGAAGCTCCTGCAGTTGTAAGCATTGTAGTTTCTATTTTCTTTAACAACACTCAGGAAAAAAAATATAAACATACCCAATGTATAGAGCTGCTTTGTTCCAATAGGGCCGTCCCTCCATTTTATCAGAAAGAGCTTGCACATAATCTATAAAGAAGCAACAGCAGGGTGCTTCACATACAATCACTATGAATCCCGCAAGCATTTGCCACACACCTGCTATCAAGCAATTAACTTGGAAAACTATAATACCAGCGCAGTTAAGTAAACCCAGTATGATGGCAACTGAAAAAAAAACAGTTTGTTATTATTATCATCATATAATATAAAAATTAATCGCAAAATGTGTTGGTTACTGCATAACTCAACAACGCCTGGACCAATTTGGTCAATTCTTTATTTATAATATTCCTTGTAGTACAAGGATGGTTCTTACGGAGAGAAAAATTTAAAAAAATCGAGTGAAAAAGTCTAAAAACAACACTTATATATTATATAGAATACTTAAAAGTCAATTTGAACTTTAATACCATACCATAAAGTTTAAGTGTTAGTGGAGGGGTTCCGGGAAGGTAAATTTTTATTTTTTGTCATAATGTATTTGTTGTCTTATCAACTTTCTTTTTTTTATCTTACTAGCTAGACCGGTGTCCCGAATAGCAGAAAAAGTATTTAAAAAAATAAAGAATCAACTGTAAGGCGTTACGATGTTTGCCAAGCCAGCTAGTACCTAATAAATGTAGTCTATAATTTTTACAACAACATAAATTATGTGAGTAATTAACTGAAGCATGACAAGTTAATTTAATTACATAAAATCATATGTAAGAACTTATTTGATGATTTCATAACAATTCATAAAGATAGATGCTTATGCTGAATTTAAAAGTATTATTCTTCTTATTAAGTTATCCACAATATATGTAAAATTTAATATAAATTATGCATTATCATCATTTTCAGAAACAAGTTAAATACAGCAGCTCATCATTATGTTGTTAACAACAAAATTCAAAATATTGTAAGTTAATTATGCAGATAATCTTCTTTAACATATGATAACAAGTCACATAATAATATGACATATTACTAGATTGCTCATAGTAATATATTAATTATTAAGAAATAAAAACTTTCAGTTATGCTTTAGCATACATGAAGGACTTAGTGAAAGGTACATAAATTCCCAATATGTGATGACTATTAAGTTTGTAAGGGGTAAAGTAAATAATTAATTACTCAAGACACTTTATCTATGTAAACAACTATACAATTATGACTATTAAATCTTATGTGACTTTGGGCCATTGTGCATTATAATGGCATGTTAGTTGTTTGAATAAAATTTTGATAAGATAAACATGTATGTCAGAATTCTTGGTTTTTCTAGGCTATTGATGTTAGTTATTCCGCTTCCTCTGTAATGGCTAAAGTATAAGTATTTATTTATAAACGGAATATACATACTAAAACTGCCAATCGTCCCCAACCCTCGTCCAGCGTAGCGTAATGTCCAAGGTACATCATCTTTTTGGTCATTGTCGGCTCCCGGACGGGCCCATAACATAGTAATCTTGTTTGCAAAGGACTACAATGATATTAAACCAAGATTATACAAATATTTCACAAATAAAATCAAATTTAATTAAATATTATTAAAGCTTACCATCTTTGAAAAAATCAATCGCCTTGGCACTGACTTGTCAAATTGCACAATCAACTATCAAGTATCAGCAATGTACATCGAATTTCAAAACTGCATAGAATGTCGAACACAGAGCAATGTCACTTCATTTTTTTTATGGGACACACTATACCTACCTACTGTAAAATGTAAATTAAGACCTTGTTTTTAGCCATTGTTTAAACTTTTGGTATCGATATTAAAATAAGAATTTACACTTAAAGCACTAAACTAACAAATGCCAAGACAAAATATGTTGGCCCTGTATCATCTAACGCCATCATTTACGCATGCTAAAAATAAGTTTATAAAGAAATGTCAATGTCAAATTAAAAAATTGGCATTGGACTGGCATGTTTGCAATTTTAAATTTGCAATCTATGTTTGAACTTGTAGTTCGTGGTACTTTTCTTGTATTTCGCTCAGTTTGGCATTTTGTCGTTCCCGAATTAATTTCTTAGAAACAGTCGGCTTATTTAGTTTTGTTTAACTTTATTCTGTATATCAGTATATCATATAAGGATAAGTTTATTTATTTCCATATTTAATGTGGTGAATACAAAATGCAACCGACAACCATGCATCCCAAACTCTCCGATACTACCCAGAATATGTAAGTCAAGAAAGTAATTTATCCCCCACACGCTATAAACACAAACACTAAAATTGTTTGTAGAATGGATCAAGTAATAAACAAAAGTTTATTACTAACCTTTTACTTGTTATGTTCCTGTAAAATATTGTCGCTATTATAATATAATCTATCAGTGTAGTTAAAAAAAATATTTACAGTTCATTTGCAGAAGAAGATGATATGTGCAATGCTGTAGTCTTTGCAACTGATGTAGTAGTTACTACTAACATTGGTAACCATAATCATGGTAGCTCTAAGGTAAAACTTACAAATATTGTGGATTACAACTGGGAAGCAAAATTTTATCCCGGCCGCCTAATTGATGTGCATAACAGTGGGAGATATTTAGCTTATTGTATTAAACGTAAGTAAATTTTTAAGCTTCTTATACTTTCTATTTTATTAAATAAAATTTACTAAATCAAATAATTCAATAAAAAATATCAATAAATGTTGTTGCAAAAATTATTGCTGACTTTCATTTTACTATGGGCAATAGTATTTATTTCAACTTCCTTAGGAAGGTTCGTTCGTGCTTAGATGCTAAAGATATATGTTTGAGATGTCTTATAAAACATTCAGTTCTTATACAACTTTTCAGCTCCAGTATCTGTGGATGGAATGGTCAGAGTTGTATACATGGAACCTGATATAAATGAAAGATGTCTTATCAAGGGTATGAAAGGAGAGGTAAAATATGATTTATTGATACTTGAAATTGTTATTATTAAAAGTTGTAAAGATAAACATTTTGCTTAGGTTGGATTCTTAGTTATAACACATTACAATAATCATCTCTTCTCATTTTAAATGAAATTGTTACATTAATATGTTTTTTAAATAGGATACTGTTTAACACTTCTAGAATTAATAGAAACAATTTTATATGCTTTCTGGTATAACTAAATGTTTCTGGTATATATTTTTTCCCCACTATTTGCAATATTTTTCAGGTCCAAGATTTGGCTTTTGCATTCATTCAGAATCAAGTTCTTCTTGCTTGTATAGATGAATATGGGAATATTTATGTGCATGAGTTTGTCTATGGAGATGGGAGACTCAGGTAATAGAAATACATTCTGAGAGCATAACCTATAAGTTTAAAAGAGATTTCAAATGTAATCCAATTTTTAATATTGAGTTTTTAAATCACTATTTCCTATTTGCAATATAAAAAGTAATTCATTAAACATTTAAATTGGGTTTAGTTTCCTGATGACATTTTAAGGGTTTTTAGATTAATTAATAGTTGAGTCAAACATTGACATCACTATTGAAGTTAGCTGATGTTTACCTGTCTGTCTTTTTTAATTAATTAAATTATAATTGTCATATAGATACTATTATTATGTACACACTAGTAGTGTAATGAGTAGACATCATTATATCACTATCAAAATCCAAAATATCATCAAATATACTAAAAAGGGCGTTTAAATATCACAATAAAAATGCAATTAGAATAAAAAATAAAACTAATAATTTATTACATAGAATTAATTAATAAACTTATTTATTATAATTCTTGTGACAGTAAACAATAATATATTTTTCCAAGTTTTCTTGAGCAAACTTGTGACGTTTGTCACTTAATATTAATTTATAGGCTGAAAATGACCTTTCTACGTCAACTGACGTTACGACAGAATTAAAATTTGGCGCCATTTCTCAGAGACCTCTTCAGGCAGACTTTGTCCGGTGCCGTTGATAAACGCGTCAATTTTCAAACCGGGGTTTTATACAAAACTGCATTTAATTTGCCACGAACTTTTTGCGATAGTCAACTCGGAAGGGCATTACTCTGTTCAATAATTTTTTCTATTGTTTCCAAGGACTGGCATAGAGGAAAGTTTTTTGTTTCTAATTTCTCAATCGCATCGGGTATATTACTGAAATGTGTTGAGATAATAGCAATATTTGCCAAACACGTATACCTAACTATTGAAATAAGCACTATCAATGAAAAAGTACCAAAATATGCAATAATGCTGTAAAAATAGAATTATATGCATTTGCATATGCAAACATGCAAATGCATATAATCCGATGTCTAGTAATGAGCTCTTTAAGATGGGTACTAGGGAGTTGGTTTTTAAGAGTGCATTGAAGGTGCATGAATTACATTATTTCTTTATTAGATCAACACTGATTGCTGAGATTCAAGAGGACACAGGCCTGGGGGGTTCTGCTCACTTAGTGGCTTGGTGCCCTTACATTCCTGATGAAGATGACGACTCCAGTGATGATGATGTAGCTAAAATGCTACTCAGCACGCATTCTAATGTTGGTATGTGTAACATTATTATTATATATGTTTATTGTTAATCTTTTAAGCGGAGTAATGTATGTAATTGGGGAAAGATTGTTTTTCTAATTTCAGTTCTTACAAAATTGACCAAACCTAAATATGTATTATACATAAATACACATGTCTAGATTAACTATGTAGATATATAGTAGGGGGATGTATGCAGTACTTTTAAATTGATTACTATAAATATAGTACTTTATGGTAAAGTGTTTATAAATCGTTTTCAGCTCGCATATGGAATATACGCGAAGTCAGTGCAATACCCGGTGGCGTTGTCAAAGGTAGAGAGGCGTTAAATCGCGGTTTGGGACAGATAGCAAGTACACACACAGCAGCTCTACGTGCTGCTGCTTTCTCCCCTGATGGTACAGCACTAGCAACTGCAGGGGCCGATGGATATGTTATGTTTGCACAGGTCAGCAATGTGTTAGCAGTGAAGGATTTTCACAGATTATTAATATTAGATATTCACATTAATTTTTCACTGACTTTATAAACAGTTGGCAAAACAGTTCACGTAAAGGGTTGTGCCTTTTTCTCTATCGCTTGTTCAGCCCTCTTGCTGCTCGCTCATCTCAGGCGGAATGTGACAATGAGTCATGTTTTTTTATCGTTCATCAATTTATAGGATGTTTTTACGACAAAAAAAGAAGATGATATTGTTAACTTTTTAAGGTATGCATAGATGGATCAGATGTACCCCGTTGTCTTCATAAATGGCAGCCACATGAAGGCAAACCTCTCACCTGTCTTTTCTTTCTGGACAACCGTAAAAATTATAATACTGAGTGAGTTTGTCATTCTTTTTATCTTCTCTCCTTTACCTTTCGGATTTTTTGTAAATTTTTAGCTGTATATTTTTTTTTGCGTTAAATTAGGGTTTTTGCCGTGTAGTGCTCCTATTATTATTATTAATTTACTTAAACATGTAAATATCCGGTTATATATTTTATGTTAATTATGTGCTTGACGCTTGTTATCTTTTGGAATGACATTTGCTGATCATTTACATTAATAAACGTTATTTCATTATTACTTAGTATTCCATACATTTTCTAGTAAAAATATTAAGAAAAGTTTTTAATGTTTAATTCCATATGCGCATGGAGCGCTGTTATTAATTAGTATTCTAACTATTCCATTTATCGTATTTTAGATTAACGGTAACATTTTTTTTTCCAGTAAATTTCTTAATTCTATACACATTATGTGTTTACTAAATAAAAATAAAATTCTATAAATTACAGTGTCCAATTCTGGAAATTTGCGGTAACAGGCGCGGATAATAACACGAGCATAAAGATATGGACTTGCAAAACCTGGATGTGCCTTCAGACTATTACATTCACCCCTCCCTTGGGCACAGATCTCCCTTTGAGCCTGAAGGCCCAATTGGATGCCAGTGCAAGCTATTTGCTTCTAAGTGACTTTAAAACTAGAAGTCTGTATGTGCTCAATATGAAGAGGGACGATGAGGACAGAATGGCATATTGCAAGAGTGTATCTGAGTTTTTGCTACCATATCAGGTGCTCGGGTTCTGTATTGTAGACGCTGGTGAGTTTGTAAATGTGTTCTAATATTTTTTGGCAACATAAACGACTTTAAGTGAGAAATGTCCATTGTCTTTGACGTCTTTAGAGGGTGGCAATTTTTGACAATTGCGTTTTCAATTAGCCTTCACAACGGTTTATCTTACGATAAAAATAAAAGCCAACAGTTTACTTATGTACTTGTTCTGTACAACAACAACTGTGTAACAACAAATTTTATGATATGTAATATATAAAATTCTTACGTCACAATGTTCGTTCCCTTACTCCTCCGAAATGCCTCGACCGATTCTTATGAAATTTTTAATACATATTCAGTAAGTCTGAGAATCGGCTTCTATCTACCTTTCAAACCCCTAAGTGATAAGGGGTGTCCACCTCAAAAATTCACTTTTAATTTTTTGGATAAAATTTGATTTTTTATGATACAGCATACAAAAATACATACAACCCTAAAAAAATGTTTCCTAGAAATATTATAGATGGCAAAACAATGTTTGCCGGGTCAGCTGGTTCTAATATAAAAATCTTAAATATTTATTGACTGTGTTTTGATTATATAGTATAGTATAAAATCGTTACTTGAATAATAATTATGAATATATATACTATTATAGTATAGAAAAAAGATACTGATATAATATTAACCATATTGATTTGTTTTAAATGTCAAATTCATTGTTTTTGACTTGAGTTGAGTTAAATATGACTTCACAGTTAAAAGCTACAAAATCAGCATTTAATAAGCGGTTGTTTGATATATTCCAGAATTAATAGTACAGATTATAATTTATGGTCCACAGAGGAGCAACAAGTGAAGTGTGAGTCGCGTTGTGACGATCCCTTCCACAGAAATGGATCTGCACTCGATCACTCCCCTGCTGATTTCGATTTACATGTAAGCTATTTACCCTTTATCTTTTTTAAGTAAAAATAAATCCTTAATTCATAATAACAGTATATTACGCTGTTTAAACTGATGTCTTTTTCATCACAAATATTGTATATTATCCAAAGTCTTAAGCTCGAAAGTTTTATTTTCCCTCCTCAACATAATTTTTATATTTTGACGAAAGACAACTTACATATTCAAAAATAATTATTAGCCAGTAGTCGATTTGAATGAGATTCAGAACATGACCTGAGTGATAACCCTAATACCCAGGTTCTTTTAGTTTTAACAGCTACAAAATCTATGCAAAACTTTGGAAGTTTAATATTCTATTTTTGTTTCTAGGACAACGAGGTGTGCACAGAAAATGATGCAGGTTCAAAGCGGACCAAAGTGCGACTTTATTTAATGCAACCCAAAGGTTTACAAGAGGCAAATCTTATATATACACAACAATCCACTGAAAAACAATCAGATGGTAATTTTTGTACTATTCCATTTTTGAAACTTGATAGATTACAAACGCTCGTGGTGACTGACATGTCAAGTTGACAGTTAATTATATCATATTTTGATTAGTCTATTAAAATGTTGCCATATCTTGCCGCCAAGTTGCTATTTTCTATTTAATTTTCTTGATAATTACTTTTTTGTGTCAATTAAAGTTAGAGTTCCATGAGGTCAAAGGTTTAGTATTTACAAATATTTTGTAAATACTTATACTGTTAAAATAAATATTTTGTAACACTAAAGGGCCCCATGGTTAAGCGGTACAGCGTGACGTCTGAGGTATCGGATTCGATTTCCGTTTGTAGCTGATATTATAAAATAATTTTTAATTTTCACCATCAACACCACCACCAACATTTTCTTCGCATCTAGTGGGTTGTGAAGACCCCACAAAATGCACCGATGAGAATCGCGGAAAATAACTAATTCATCTTACATTCATTTAAAGCGAAGATCAAAGCGATCATTAAATGTCTTAGCGCTAATTAAAACATGTCAACGTACCAAGTATTGTGAGACTTATATGCAACATATTCCTACAATTTTTTTATTCTAAATTTTTATTAGATTTGGAAAGTTTAACGCTTGAAGAGCCAGTGGAAGAAGACGAAACTCCGTCAAATATCCTACAGCAACAAACACAACAACTCAAGAATCTACTACTTAGGTCACAGGTGAGGTTTTTATCAACAAAGTAATTCAAGAATTTTATATTTATAAGTAGCTCAAAAATGGAACAAAGAGTTTATCAATTCGATGTGTATTTTTTTATAAGAACGGGTGAAGTTACTTTTATTTCACCTTCGAGTTTCATGCAAGTCGCGTATTTGTTACTCTGTCGTAGTTGTCATATACAAAGCTCATTTGACAGTTAATAATCTATATATATAAAAGAAAAATGGTCTTCGTTTGAGGCTCCTTCACGCCTAAACCACTGATCGTATCGACATGAAACTACCACCATTCGATGCGAAATTTTTGCCCTAGATGGTTTATGGCTATATCCTTTATTTAAAATTCCAACGTTCCTTCATTTTTTTTTATTGCTGTTTTATCTTTTATGAAAATTTATCCATACGGACTTCATCTCACGGAAACATTCGGGAGGCTTCTAAAAGATTACCTCTAAACGTCAACATCTGTTAAAAACTCGATTTTCGAAATATTTCAATTTTCTTAGCGGGAAGTTAAAAAGAAGAATAATAAAAATATGAAAAAAAATAAAATAATGAAACATAAAATTTCTTTTAATTCGTCCAGCAATAGCGGGCGCTTGTACTATCTACTTTCATGTTAGCTAGTCTAATATATAAAATTCTCTTGTCGAAGGTGTTTATGGTTAAACTCCTCCTGAAACGTAGCTTGACCGATTCTCACTGAAATTCGTTCCATAAAAAGTGTACATATTTTCGGGTATAACTGAGCCTCCAAAAAAAAAAAAAAAAAAAAAAAGAGAGGATCGGAAATCATCAAATTTTTCATCCCCCTAAATGTTAAGGGTAGTCCACCCCAAATTTAATTTTTTTAATTTTTAGATAAATTTTTTTATGGTACAGCATTAATGAAGGGTGGAAAAAATACACACAACCCCTAATTTTAACCCCTCTACGATCAAAACCTATTTTTTATTATAAATGATATACATGGCAAAAATCTACGGCTCGTAACAATTACGCCTAATTGGTTTAATAAAATTGTCAGTTAATTAAATTATTGTGTTTTGATGTTAAATGTACATTAATTCCAAGTATCGGTTTAAAATGTACTAACAAATTTACTGGTATTTCAGAATCAAACAAACAGTCTTATAAACCCTCTAGTGGAGTCACCTACTGATATGCCGCAGCTCAATCTTATGACGCCGGACGCTTTTAGGTAACATGAAATACTTTTTTTTAACAAACCCTTTATGTATTCTAACCTCATATGTTTATTTTTTTTAAACTACATGTTATTTTGGTTATAAAGATGACGTACACTCAGAGCGCCTATCAAACTTTAAGTGAATGTTTTAAAATGTATATGAAAGTCTGAATTTGGTCACCAAAATTTGCTCAGTATCGCGAAATCCCTCACATGATACGCTAATTGTTCCAGAGTCGTAATAAAAGACGATGAATAGTGTTTGTTACAAATTGATTGATTATTCCTAACTAAAGAACAGTTTTCTGTATCCAGAACCCAATTTATAATGATAGCAAAAAATTAAATAAATTACCTAGTTTTGTCATATTATTTGCAGCCAACCAATAGAATTAAAAATGACTCACGTACACGTGTACGTAAATATATCATTTATCGTGTACAAACTTTTGTTACGTCGCCCATTGATAAAATCACGAATTATGTTCATTCGCAATAAGATAGACATGTACAAGTAGCGGCACGAAACTCTAGCGCTGACCGTTATTGCGCAGAAGTAAAAAATAAGGTACCTGAGGGGGGCCAGCGGAATGAAGAGTTTCGATTGGCTCTCCAGTCTCATTCCGTCCCCCGCGCGTCAGTACACATGCGCAGCAATCCCCTCCACGTATCGGCCTGCGCTAGACTTACGTGCCGCTGCCTATATATTTTGCAATACTTGCGACTTAGATATAGAGGCTTCGCGTCTTGAATAAACTGCCAAACAATTTTATATACACTGTTACATATACAATTTTAGTTCATTTTTTTATCGTTATCTAGCTCTCCTGGTAAACGTGATGATGAAGAGACTGCAGTGACCGTTCAAGACATTCGGCGACTATCAAATGCCGGTCAGTTATTTCAATATATAGTGAATTAAAAAACTTTGTCACTTTAAACATGCTAATATTTGCGTATTGTACTTCTAAAAATATTGTGTACAGGCTGCGAAGAAGATGAGGTGGTCAGCTTCAGTTCTGCCAAGCAGGTCTCCGGTGGGTCCTCGCCAAGTCGAGAAGTTCAACAAATTATGTCTCATAACGACTTTTATAAGGTATATTTAACACCTCTTTAAAATACCGTGGCCCTCATTTGGGCAGTTTTCTGGATATCTCACAGATCCAACTTGTAGACTATGAATATAGTTTTAGCAATATTTTATTGTATTTAGGATGATGAAGAAGAATCTCAGTCCCCAGCAGTAGAAGAGGTGACCACAAACGGAACAGACACAATTTATCCAACTGAGTTATATGTTTCACCTGAGAAACCGCAAGCACCCGCCAAATTGACCCATAGCAGTAAGTAATATATATGTTAATTATATGGGAAATATAGAAACATTAAACCAACTTCAATACATTTCTTGTTGGGCATTTTGATAGTCTATGGTAAGTGAACCAGCTTTTTGCTAACTAATATAAATCTTCTTCACTATGCTACATATATTTTATTTGTTAGCATTTAAAAGGAAAACACACGGATTTATGGAATCTTTATTATTTAATTTACAATCATACTCAAGTGCTCAAACTCTAACATGCACAGACTACTTTTAACAGGAAGACTGACATAAGTTTGTACCATAGAACTAATGAACATACATTGTGGCTAGAGTAATCCACAACAATTATACTTTTTTTTATTATATATATATATATGGAGACGATTACTGCCTAACTTTATTAACATAGCAGTATTGTTAACAAAAAAGGTAGAGTTGTCACAAATAAATAATAGTCGATCAATATTAAACTCCGACTCTCTGTAGAGGTCTTCTCTGGGAGATACGACCTCAAATTGTTTAAAAAAGTATACTCGTCCCCTAAAGGCCAGCAACGCATTCACTAAAATGGGTGTGCATGGGCTGCAATGACTGCCCTTTTTGGGCACCCCGTAAGCCTAATACATTAAAAATTCATACATTAAGTATTTACTTAATTTTTTAACCGATTTCAGGAAGGTTAGCTGTTGACCTCGTTTAGATATTGTTACTTCAGTATCATTATCTTTTATTAGCTAGATTAGCAAAGTATGCTTGAAAACGATATCGAAACATCTATTTGTTTATACATTTTTCTGAAGCTTAAAGTCCTTTTGAGACGATCTTTTTTACTCATGCCATGTGCATTCCACGTAGGGAATAGCTCTAGTTCAAAATCGGTACAATAGTGTTACATACATTTACATACATTACTATAGACCACATTTGACATCTGTATTTTGGCTTTATGGTGACTGTTTAGAACATCGATTAAAATAATTGAAACTATACGAACTTCTAAAATAAGTGAATCTGTGAATGTAATTACATTAAATTAAAATAATAATATGTTTTGATATTATCACAATGTTGTTATTAATTTATGGTGAAATATTTCTTCACACGATCAATGAATTCCATGTCAAAAATCGCACTTAAAAAGAATTAAAACTATTTTTATTTCAGACAGCGAAACGTCATGGCCGCAAATATCGTTAGCTCAAATCACGGAAGCAAACCAGCGTAAAGCGTCTAGCGATAAATCAAGCAGTCAATCGCTTTCCGCTCCGCTACCAGCCCCGCTAACCGCTCCACCACAACCTACAGTTGTAACAGTCGTAGATGAAACAACTAAGAATAAACTGGAGTCTTTAGAATCTAAACTTGATAAGCTAACAGGTATTCTAAAATTATTTTAAATTTAGGAAATAAAGAATAAGATGGGCAACGTAGGGACATTTTCATTGAGTTTTTATTAATTGTTTTAATTTTATTAAGGTTTTTGGATATATTTGAAAGCAATAAAGAGTAAATACTTAAATAAAACTCATTTCAATAGTGAAGTAAAATCATTTATAATAATGCTTCGTCTTAATACCTCCTTTTTTACTTTAGGCACTCATAGAGTTTTGTTTGTCATTTATAGTTAAAAACATCTCTCAGTATATCTATTAATATTTTAGCGTAATATGTTTGTCCTTAAATGTGTTTTCCGTCTTTGGATATGTATTGTGCAAAAAATAACTTTTTACAATTTAACCATCATTAATACCCTAGCCATATTAATGAATTTTTCAGGAAAATAATTACGGATATTAACTACAAAGGTAATCCTACCCCTACCTATGTATATACCTGTTTATATATAGTCTATACTCGTCACTGGATTTAACGTCAAATATTTAAAACAAATTTAACACGACTTTAGATGGTTTGTTGTCCATACAAGTTTTCTTTCCATATAACGTTAACTCTTTAAGATCAGAATATGTGCCGCAAGTAAAACAAACCGTCAATATGGGTTTTCCCCATGTCCGCATTGATAACATAATTTTTCAGATCTAGTAACCCAACAATCGCGTGAATTACGTGCAATGCGCAATGAAAGTCGACCTGCGCGTGAGTTTGTAGAACAGGCGTTACTCGAACACACGCAGAGGACCACAGCTGCCATAGATGCAGCTCTTTCTAGCGGGTATATATTCTATTTTGCTTTAAATTTAAATATTAAGAATATCTTATATTTTATACTCTACTATCGCGGCATCATTATTTTTTCTAGTTGTCTAATAGCTCTAGATTACCCACGGTTTGCGTGATCCTCTTCTAGGTTTTTTGTTTGAATCTAACGTTAATATGGCGTCCATATCAATAATCAATTGTGTGTTTTTAAAACTAGGACAAGTCAATGTCTAATTTGAAATATGTAATATGTTGTTTAGATACGCTGAAGTGTTTCCGTCCGATAAATCTTAAATAGGTTTTAGTGTGTTAGTAATATTAAAAAGTCTTGAAAACTTAGTATAGAATAAACGACAATAAGTCTCTGTTAGCTTACTCTACCTATGATATATACGAATGTATATTATTCAGTTGGGAGCGCATATCTCGTATGGGTGACTCCGCTTGCATGACAGCGGCACAAGCAGCGGGAGCTGGAGCGGCTAGAGCGTTGGAACCACTCGCAGCGGCTTTACAACACGAGTTGGCTGTCAAACTCACAGCTACGGACAAACTTCTTTCTGAGAATATTAATAAACTGGTTAATAGTAAGGTAAATATCTGATTTGTGTTAGACTACAATTTTTTTTATTATTTTTAGTTTACTTCCGTATTGGCTGTGACGATAAAATAACGGTTACTCATTCCGCAAACTTTTTTGCCTAATTATTTAAAGTGGACAAATGATCGTACAGTTTTGGTTACGATGACTACGATATTTTGTAAATAAAAAATACTGCCGATTTCAATAGATTGCAAAGATTCAATCAGTGATAGACAATATATTAATGGATATTTGGTATTTTAAAATAAAACTTATAAAACGTATTTTATTATTTATTTTTATTTATTTTTTTTTTCTAAAAACCTCCCTTAAATAGATGAAAAATCTAAATAAATTATATTATATAATATATAATATAATTATAATTACTTTCCTAGACTCAATTGTGGCTGTGATGTTAATTTAGTAATCGTAATAATAGGAAGGAAGGATAGGTAATGCCTGTGAATATTAAAAAAAATTTACGGCTTTTCGTGTATTCTGTAGCACCATCAAGTATTGTTGGCTTATCTCTAAACATAAAAATTTATTTATAATATCTCTAAACATAAAAATGTAACCACCATTCCCATACATATTTGTTTAGTAATTTAAAGTGAAAATATATTTATTCCTGCAGAAAACATAATGAACGTCAGCAAATAATTAAATCAGTTCACCATAAAATAGTGTATACTCTTATTATATGAATTGGTTTAGCGGTTTACAAATTGTGTTTCGTTGTAGTCAAGGCTTTATGAAAACGTATGTTTGCAGACCGTAATGGAACGTCTCAGCGGGTCCATAGCGTCCTCGTTATCGGACATGGTGCGTACGTCGTTCCGCGATGCGTTGCTAGAAAGCGCTGTTCCCATGATGGAGAAAGCGCACTCGCAGATATTCCGACAGATCAACCACGCTTTTCAAAATGGGACTAAGGAATGTAAGTATAAGATGATGTTATTACTTATTTACAGATTAAAATATATAATACCAAAACTTGGCAAATTTATTGCATTTAATTTGTGAGGGGAAAGTAAATTTGCAGTGCGCCGTCCAATTGTCTTTGGCATGTGCTTTAAAGCAATACTCGAACATTACATTGAATTATTTCTTCCAATAATTCAATTAAATTAGTTTGAACTGTAAATACTAATATCTTTTATAGTAATATGGTTCCCTATTGCACTAAGTGTCATATTTATGTGTATATTCGTCAATAATAGATTTGCGCATATAATAGCGTTCACATAAACATTTCACTACAAAGACTAGAAGAATACGTAAAAAAATAGCTAACAAGGGAAAAGTTATGGTAGATTTTTGTACGGATAACTTAATAAAAGCTTTGTATTTGGAACCGAACATAATCTCTAAAATGTATCGTTTCAATAACTTCGTGTGGTATACAAATTGTACGAATAGTCGACACGTTTGAGCTGTCAATAACGGAAGTTATCGTGTTGACGTATACGAATACTTGACGAAACTATAATAAAGTCCGTACGCGGACTTAGGAGATTGTTTGGTAAATATATTTTCATAATCTTACAAATAATGAATATATTATAGTCACAGCGAACACAGAGCAGGCAGCTCGTTTAGCAGCAGAAAGGGGTGGGGCAGCTGCCGCCAATGCCTTGCGAGCAGCTCTCGAACAACACACGGAGGCTCTTGCTAGAGCCACGCCAGTGCAGCCTCAACTGTTTGCTGCGCAGTTAAAGGAAGTCGCACATAAGTATGGCTTGTATAAATTAACTAAACGTTAATACTAAAGTTTAAATGTTTGTCTTTCCAATAAAATTAGTGGTGGTTGGTGGTATAATTGGTAGCTCTTTATTATTAAAAGAAAAGGGTGCGTGTACTTATGTACGCGCGTAAGAAGTTATACTTCTTTGGCATTATTAAAAATAGTTTTTAATTGCATGCAAATAATTAATTACAATTAAATAATCAAAGACTGGAAAACGAGTCATTATATTCAATAAAGTTCAGTTTTCATTTGAAAAATTAAATATTTATTATTATTCGAATGTTGTTTTTAAATTATGTCCAATGCCGTAGCATCTTCCGTGGGCAACTTCATTCTGTTAATTTTGTGTCACGGTGCGCGCGCATCGTAAAATTTCACTCTCATCAATTTTTCATAACGCGCCTAAAGAAGTATAACTTCAAAAATGTTTAACAAGAATGTACAAATAAAAACGAATTAATTTTCTCAGTGTACTCGAAAAAGAAATGTCTTGGTGGCGTGAGCAAGCAAGAAACGTGGCAGTTCAAATGTCACGTGCTCAAACACCTGCCACGCCCTCTGTGTCTGACAGACAGGTAAGAATTAGGTTATGTAGTCAAAATATAGAATTATATTGAATACAATAATTATCACATGCCAATACAGACCGCGTTCCACAAAACAGAGTAGAAAATGTTTGTGTAATTTTTACTTGCTTAAATAAATCAGTATCATTATTTCTCTCTTTCGATTACAGCGTAACCATAATTTGAAAGGGGCAGCGTAACGAAATTGTTGGAAAAGTCTTAATATAAATAATGACTCCATGTCTTGACCGGCTTCAAATTCCTATTTGTTGAAATTACATGAGTATCGTTAGATGGAAGATTTAATAAAATTAAATTTGACAAAACAAGATATCTTTGAAGCAAATAAATATTTATTTTCAGAAAAATTTTCGAAATGCACCAAGAAACTGTGTCCAAGAGTCGTTACCTTTTTTGTTAAGGGTACTGTTTTTACTTTGAAAATATGTTTGTATTTTAATTGAATATAACATAGAGCGGATAATTGTGTGTAGTAAATATAATTTATATGTAGTGGTAATTAGTAAATAAAATGTGTTTTTCTTACCATGCCAGTATATTTATCTTTCTTTGACTTGTTTCAGCTGCAAGTTAGCCAAATTCAGCAATTATTATTGAATGGCGATGCTAATGGGGCCTTTCAAATGGCTTTACAAGCAGCAGATCTGAACTTGGTAGTGGGAACTTGTAAGAGCACGGACCCGGCAAATATTTTCGGCCCACCGTGCAAATTGAAACAGCCCGTCCTCCTTTCTTTAGTACAGCAGCTGGCTGCTGATATGGGAAGAGACACGCATATCAAACTTAGGTAAATAATTTTGGTCCTACGAGCCGGAATGTGAACATTTCTTCAATTTCCAAGTAATCAGTTGTCTGCAGTAATTATTTTACAAAGTGGAATTAACTGAATTTCTTCTAGAAATGGTACGTTTCAGGAATTATTTTTTAATTTCTAATGTGTTAATATTACAGGTATATAGAAGAAGCCTTAATGAATCTAGACACAAACAGCCCGGCGACAATAGAAAACTTACCAAAAGTGATACCAGGGCTACAGAAGAACATAGCAAATTTCCTCAATGCTAATCCTATACATGCATTGACGCGACAGTTCAAAGTTCTTTTGATGGCTGCCGAATCACTTAATAAGTTCTGTGCCTGACCGTGCTGTCATTGTATTTGTGTCAGACATTGACTAAAATTGACATTAAATCAACGCTTTCGGGTCTAGATCACGTCGAAATCATATTAGCCAAGAACCTGTTTTTCTTCTGACGGCTGTACACACTCGCTCTCTAAAGATGTCCAAAGCTAATGCATATATAGTGTGCTCTCACTGAGATTCCGAGATGTCGAGACTCTAAGGGTAAAATTCAGAGCCCAGACCTAAATCTTACCTTAAGCAAAGAGCTTGACGAGTGTGACATACATTATTTAAGTAAACAAACAGTTTCTTGCCTAATGTTTTTGATCTATATTTTACTTTTGAAGTTATTTTCAAGAGATAGTTTCATTATAGATCAAAAACTATGATTTAATTTTCCCGTTAGCAGTGTTGATTTTATAGTGCAAATTAATGAAAATATGGAGTTGGTGAATTTTGAGTGAAAAGTGATTTGATGCAAGACAATTGTGATTTTGTATAAATAAATAAAACTATTGTGTAAACTATTAGTCTGTTATAATTTAGTTTTTACATCTTAAAATACCCAAAAATATGTGCTACGCAATAAAATACAAGAATTTGTTTAAAGCGTAGTGTTGAAATAAAACATCTTACTACCGATTTTTAAAGAAGTCATTTAAGTGCCTTCATGGCGTAGGAGGGTATAAACTTATTAATTTTGTTTTAATTTACTTGAAAATGTATATATATTAATTGATTTTTTTCTTAATTATATAATGATTATTTAATATGTTATTATCATTCATACATAGCGTCGCTGTAGAATGATAATCTAGTATGTCGAGAGAACCATACATTACACTAAACAAAACAAAAATTAAATTTCGTCAATGTTCGTTAAAATATTATTATGTGTTTTTGTCCATAGTTTTAGATGGTAAAAAGAACTTATTTATTAATAACATAATTAAGTCCTTACTTCATGATTATACCAGTTAAAAGACAAGAATAAAAAATAAATGGTTTTTTGACATACGATGTTATCATTCTACAGTGAGAATAGATACTTTACAATATAGTCTAGGTTCCAAGCTTTTTAAAAAAAGCTGCTTTCGTGAATCTAGTTCCAGTTTTTTTCTTCTTGTAACTATAAATGCAATATTATAAAATTTAACAGAATTGTATTAATATTCAATGTTTTGTATCTGTATCTATTAAGAAATGAGCAGAAAAACTAATTTTGATCTTTTATATAATAGTAGGTACTATATGCAGTTAAAATAAGACTGGCCATGCAGTATGTATAAGTAGTATTTGTTGGAAAATTAACATTAAAATATCATGGTTTACAGTTAGTGTTTTATTAGCAACAAACTGAAATTAATAGATTTAAATGAGGTATTTTGCTTTTTTTTTTATAGAACAGGGAAACGGGCAGAGGGCTCACCTGATGGTTATTGATACCGCCGCCCATGGACACTCAATGCCAAAGGGCTTGCAAGTGCGTTGCCGGCCTTTTAAGAATTGGTACGCACTTTTCTTGAAGGACCCTAAGTCGAATTGGTTCGGAAATAGTTCAGTGGGCATCTGGTTCCACAAAGTGGTGAGGCGCGGCAAAAACTGCCTTGAAAAACGCTCAGTTGTGGAACGGCGGACGTCGAGGTGATACGGGTGGAATTTCGTATTCTGCCTCGTCGTCCGATTATGAAACTCAGCTGCAGGTATTAATCCGTGTGTCACAGCACTGCTCTCGAAGCTTCCAGCCTATGGGCTTCCCGAGAAATTATGCGATTGGATCTCCAGCTTTCTTGCCGATTGGAGTATCAAGGTCGTCATTGACCTTAAACCCATCAACGCTGGGGTCGCACAAGGCTGTGTTCTACTCCTGACCCTGCTTCTTCTGCATTAACCGCTAGCGCCTCCTCCTTGGACTTAATTGCCTCTGCCCATCTATGTGTAAGGTATACAAGAAGGTTACCAGCCGAACGACCACGACGAAAGCCGTACTGATAATCGCTAATCAGCTGGTGGCCCTCTAGATACCTCAAGAGCTGGCCATTAACAATGGATTCCATTATTATGGAGAACAAGGAGGTTATAGCTATTGGGCGATAGTTGGACGGATCAGAGCCAGCGAATCACAGCAGCTGAGATAAGGGAAATAATGTTATTATCAGCTCCTATATAATTCTTAAAATTCTAGACTATGTACTTGATCTGTGGCTACAAGATATATCGCTAGAGTCCTTTTCATGAAAGAAGTCCCGCGGAGATGTTTGGAACTAAATTTGACAGGTCGGCCATGTTGTCCTTGTCGTTCGTCGAGGTTATCAAGTTCGTTTGTTGTGGTAGATTTTTGTAAGTTTTTAACTAACTTAGTGCATTTTAAAGATTGCTTACAATGCTAAAATTTGTAAAAAGTTCGGCTCGAGAAATGATATTGATGGTGAAAGAGTTCTGTGAAGCGGAACAAAAGAATCAAGGTGTTTTAAAATAGTTAATACCACTAAATAATGTTCGGAAGAGAGTCGCCGCCATAACAGATACTTTTTAGAGTTGCCACATAATAATTTTTTGCTGTATTGATGGGACTTTTCATTTTTTCACTTTTTGATTTTTGCGAAAAAATGAATTTATATCATAAAAAATAAACAAATACAAAATTGAACAAATACATAACGAATGAAACTAGGTAACTGAAATTAAAAAATATATTACATAGTTACATAAACATTATCAACTATAAGTTAATATTATTTTTAATTGTTCATTATTTAATTGCAGGTAACAATTGCTGTAACAAGAATTACAAATGAAGGTATAACAGCGGCGAGTACTTTGAAATAAATTGTCACCCCGGGTAAGAGTATCAATATAAAAAAGAACCTACGGCTAGTGATACTGAAACAGAATCTGATTCTGTTTCCATCCACTCTGCAGACAGTGAGTTCCTATGGCCGCTGATCTAAAATTATTCAATAAAACTCTAAATAAAAAATTGGATTGCTTTTCTTTACCCTATTTTCTCATCTTATCCCTGTAAGTAGGTAGTACACCGCTTATATAAGTAAATAAAAATATACTTTTTACATAACAGAAATATTGTTTCATAGAAGTATGCAGAAAATAGTAATATTTGATTAATTAAATATGCTAAATGTAAAATAGGTAACTTTTTAACTCATAAATGGCAACTTTAGTCTTTACGTCATGCGAATTGCGATTACGGCGCTGCGTCTGGGGGTCCTGGGGGACTTCTTTCATGAAAAGCACTATATGTCAAATGCCAACACACTGGACAGTCTTAATTACTTATTACTATTGAATATTGATGTTTTGACAACTGACAACATCTATTTCTGAAAATAGGAATCAAAATAATATCTGAATCTGAAATTTTGAACAAAACAAGTGGCTTATTTGGTTTGGCTTCTATAAGAAACATAACCCAGTTATTGACTACATGTGAAGTAATAAAAATGACGTTTCAACAGTAACCTAATAAGCACAAATGCCTCTTAATTAAAAGTTACTGATAAAGTGATTTTATTAACGAAAATGTATTGTCAATACTACGTTTCTTTTGTATTATTGTTGACTCCTAATATTTTATTCTGCGCGTCGGCTGCTGTTCACAGCCATAGCTTAGATGATCCAGAGCGAGAATCTGATGGCGCGTATCGGCCACGAGATTCTGAGCACTTTAATGATATGGGACATAATGTTGAATTCGACCATGAAGCCATTCTAGGTACCTAGTGTTTACAGTTAATATAAACTCAAGCTAACTCAGTTGTGCAATCCTAAGTTGATAAGGAGCACGTTTGCGTTTGCTATGTCTATTAAACTGGGTTTATTGTTTCTTATACCTACAATGCTTGTTGTAACTTATTATTTTTCAATAGGCAGCGTAAAAGAGGCAGAAGAGTTTGATAAGCTGAGCCCGGAAGAGTCAAAGCGGCGCCTTGGTCTAATGCTGCCAAAGATGGACCTTAATGGAGATAAATTCATTGATCGAGATGAACTTAAGAAGTGGATTTTAAACTCATTTATGTATGATATGGTTACTCCAATATAAAGGAATTTACAATTTAAAAACATAAGCCTTTTACTGGTTGTTCTTAAATAGATCACTATTATTTCAAACAAACACTGTAATAAAATATATTATTTCCTGTTAATGCATTAATTTCTAAGTGTAAGCTTGTTTAATGTGGGCTAAAAAAGTATTTATATGCATCGGTATAAGCTAAATTTATATACATTTAAATGTAAATGTACTTCTACAGTAAATACTACAAAATAGGTAGGTTCAGGTAACATGTTAATAAAATATTGGTCTGATTATTTCAGTAATCTTGCCAGAGAAGAAGCTGAGGAAAGACTAACAGAAGCAGATGAAGATGGTGACGGCCTGGTGACATGGTCAGAGTACCTAAGAGACTCTTTTGGGGTTGATACTGAGGAGGAACTTAATCCAGAAGACACAGGAGATACTGGCATGGTAACATTTTATATCCAGTTCAAATACTAGTATAAGAAGTCAAGTCAATTTCATTGGCATACCTTCTGATTAGGCCAATGTTTCGATTTGTATCTTACAATTAACTTTTATATAAATTATATTAAACTGTAAAAGTTTTTGCTCTTGCTTTGTATTTGATTTTTTATGAGTATATGTAAAATTTTATGTGTTACTAGCTGATACGGCAAACGTCGTTTTGCCATGTATAATAAAAAATAGGGGTTGATCGTAGAAGGGTGAAAATTATCACATACAACCCGAATGTATTTTTTAATGCTGTGTCATAAAAAAATAAAAATTTTATCTAAAAATTAAAAAAAAATAATTTAGGGGTGGGACTACCCTTAACATTTAGGGGAATCAAAAATAGATGTTGTCCGATTCTCAGACATACCCAATATGCACAAAATTTATGAGAATCGGTCAAGCCGTTTCGGAGAAGTTTAACTACAAACACCGCGACACGAGAATTTTATATATTAGATAAATATAAGTGATTATATACGATTTGTCTTATAGAATACAATCAGAAACAAATATTTTTCTTTTTTAAGCAGTTGGTGCGTGATGAGAAGATAATGTGGAAGACAGCCGACAGAAATGGAGATGGAAAGTTGGATATAGCTGAATTTGAGGTAAATATGTATTGAATTTTTTTAATACTTTTGTAGACTCCTCCAGAGTAATAAATTATAGATTGCCTAGCTTAATCAAGTAACATGTTGTAGTTGAAAAACAATAAAAAAATTTATGTATTTACTTCCCAGTATAATGCACCAAATCCATTTAATTTTCTTAACATAATAAAACATATAAATATTACAGGTATTTACAAACCCAGAGGAGCACTCAGTAATGCACCCTCACCTAGTATCTCAGGCTCTAAGGGAGAAAGACTCAAATGGCGATGGAATGCTTGACTTCCATGAGTATATTGGAGAGAGAGGTTCGTAAGAAATAGTTACATCATTATTTATCAACATTTTATACCCGATTGTGCCGCTCTATCTTCCCAGAAATTAGCAAGCAATAAAACATGAACTTCTTAGCGATAAACTATATATTACTACATAATATGGTATTTTTCTCCTTTTGTTATTAATACATTAAGTATTTAAAGGCAACTATTTTGAAATTTATTCTAGAAAGGTTCCTAGAACTTAACATCGTCTACAATCATAAACTATTTTCATGTCTCAGTAAACATGTGAAATGTTACTGATTTCTCCAAAAGTTTAGAAAACTAAATAAATAATTTTATTAAGGAGTCAGTATGGTTGCAGCTCAACACCAAGATAAGGAATGGGTGATGACAGAGCGGGACAAGTATGACCATGAGCTGGACTCAAATGGAGATGGCTTACTTGATGAACATGAAATACATCGCTGGATGATACCAGATAACAAGTAATATAAATACATTAAGTAGGGATGCATCGATACGCCTTTTTGCCGATAAGATACCGATGCCGATACTCTTATAGAAATATCGTCGACACCGATACAAACCCTTATTGAATTAAAATTAAATTAAGGTAAAATATATCAAGTTTGGTTAAAGTTTTTAATTTTTAATAAGAAATATAAACAGTCACACACTTTGAATAAGATTAGGTTCAGTTATTAAAATTAAGAATTATAATTATACTAAAATAAAATAAATTACTGTTAATAATTAAAATTAATATTGATAAGATTTTTGTTATTCTGTATTTTATTAAATTTGGTGTCAAAAAACTTAGCCGTATTAGCAGTTAAAAGCCAACTAAAGTGTCTAGTGAAAGCGTCTAGGGATTCCCCGGGCATAAATAGTCAGTGCCTCGTTTGCAATTTTGAAGCGCGACAAGTATCGTTGTATCGGCAATTGAAATATCGCGATGCCGATATATCGGTATCGGATGCATCCCTATTATAAAGCATATTAAACTTCAAAAATAATTATTATTTTGTGTTTTAAACTAAATCTTCAATATGTTGCTTTCAAGTAAAGATTAATAAACATGTTAAGAAATCCTCTAAAATATTTTTTTAGTGAAATAGCTGAGGAGGAAGTGTCACATTTGTTCGCGTCCTCTGATGATGACCACGACGAACTCCTGTCATTCGAGGAGATACTTCAGCATCACCATGTCTTCGTTGGTAGCGAGGCCACAGACTTTGGAAACGACATAGATCGATTTGACGATGAATTATAAAAAAAGGAATTTAGAAAATATCACTCGTTAAGTGCTTATTTATGAGTTTAACAATTTTTAATACATTTTTTGGGCCAAATATTACATGTCTGTAAGCTAAATTAAAATTCGATTATTTGTCACATTTTTAAGTAAACCTTACGAGAGCTTTTAATCTATGTGAAATTGTTGTCTAGAAATTATGTAAATTAGTTTATTAAAACAATTAATATATATTTATCAATAAGTGAATAAAACACGGTTTTGCTGAAATATACCATATAATTTGGCTATAATATGTACTATTGATTTAATACAGCGCTTTTACAAGTTCTGATACGCACAAGTACTTAATGGGTTTTAATCGTATGATTTACCTGTTTACTTAACCATAATGTTCAAAGAGACTAGTCAAAGTTACTAATAGCAATTTAAAATAAAGTAGTACCCATAATAGTAGGGGAGCCCACGGTGCTAAATGGGGATTTACTCGAGCGTAGAGACCTATTGAGTTGCGAATAGATAATAAAAAGAAAAAATGTTATTTAATGTATTCCTTTTCATCGGTGGGGGGAGCGGGTATAGATTTTCAAAAATGTAAAAAAAACTGTGCCGTGGACATACTCGAGCGCGTCAGATATTGATAGCATCCATACGATGTTACTCTGATTGTTTGCATGGTGGGGGTGGTCGTACGTAAGGGTTGAAAATGAAAAAAAAATAATCGAGCGTGTTAGATTTTTTAAGGGGATGTTAAGTGAACCAAAAAAAAGCCCTCATCTAATAATTTGACGTTTTGGATGTGACGCAAACGGACGGTCATTAAAAGAATGTGCAAAAAAAATCGCCATTTTGAAGTACTCAAGAGCGTCAGATTAAGATATATATGGTTCATCTTTATGTCCTAGACGTGATGTCTCATCATCTGACGATTAACTGGAGGGATTCGCCTAATCTGATAATTAAAAAAAAATATTTTTTTAATCATTGAACTTAATTGATAAGCTTAGGAAATAACAAAAAGTGTATGTTGTTCAAGTAGAACTTGTATTTATTATATAATTTTAAAAAATAATTAACCAAAAGAATCGGTTTGCTTTGACGATATTCCAAAATATTTATACGATTTTATAATGTTTCTATTGTAAATTTTTTGATTTTTGCAAAGTAGTTTCACCACAAAATACATATTTTATGTTAGAATTACTCATAGTTAATATTATTAGACTAATATAGGCATTACGCAGCCGCACGTATTATACTTTATCGACGAATTTTACTTACTTCTGCTTGTGGGAATCGTCAGATTATATATTTTTCGTCATCCTTGAATTATTTCCTTCAAAATAAGGGAGCGTTCAAGTATTACGTCACGCCGTTTTTGGAGATTATTGAACTAAATCCCGAAATCCCCGCTTGGGCTCCCCTACTATAAGATACTTCATTCATATATTTGACACAGACTTGTATGTCAAACTCATGGGTAAGTTGTGGAATCCATTTTTAATATTTCAAATAGCGACTGACTATCCATTTTTTTATAAATTTTTACATTTCTACCAGTCATTATAAATATGTTTTGCCCTTTGCGGCAAAACAAGTACGCCGAATTATATACCATATTATGTAACCAAATTATAAAGCATGTTATACCAAGCTTGAATAATTATTTTCATCAAGTGAAATAGTTTGACATCTTATGATCCTGTAATAATTATAAAAAGTTTTTAATGTGGGCATCTTAACCAGCTCTCCTAAAATTGTGCCATTTGATTTAATTTGTAGTAAGTAACAAATTAGTTTAATTGAATTATTATTTTAGAATTATAAATAGTTAATAATAATTTAACATACTAATATTATACTTAATGTATTTGAAATAAAACACAAAAATCATTTACAATATTTTTTTATTCAATATAATAATCTTAATAAATCCAAAATATTTACACAATACAAAAACATACTATATGACCTTCCATCTCCGCTTGTTTTAATTTCATTACACGAATGTTCTGATAACATCTACATATAACTATAAAGGATCATACCGCATCCTGTTTTTAAGCTTTAAGGTCCTTTTAAACCAGATACATTATATTTAATGTCAGTTATATTTTACTTGATTATTTTAATTTAGACATTTTTAAACAGGAGACGGTCTGATTACTACTAAGTATTGCACATTTTGTGGTATGATGTCTAATTTTTGTATGTCATATTTCATGAAAAATATTATTTTTTTGAAACAAATATATATTAAACACAAGACATTACACCAAAAAATGATTTAAAAGCCTAAAAGCACTTCATTCTTGAATGAAATTACATTTGTAATGTAAGGCTTAGTATAAAATTGATTTTATTAGTTCTGCCCTCTAGGTAGAAATACAATGTTTTTACTTTTATATACGGAGTTGTCTATTATTATCGAGCATAAATAGAGAGTTATATATATATAAAAAAGAAGACCATAATTGACAGATAATAAATAAGCGGCATTGCTACATACATGTGCAATAATTATTAAAATTCAATTATGTTACAATCACTATTTTAGTTCTCATTATATTTTACAGATGAAAATTCATTCCTTATTCTAAGGTTACGAAAATTATCAGTATACGAAGAAAAAAGGATAGAGCATAGACAACCCAGACTTCTACAAAGGAGTATGAAATCTTTTTAATGCACTTTTATTATTTTGGGTCTGTCAAAAACATGACTCAAGTCAGTTCTGTTGTTTATGTGTAAAGTTTGGCTCTGGTTTTGAACTTAAAGAAACTGATTGCCAACAACCAGAATTAAGGTTGTATTCATTCTGATTATTTCCAATTATACAACAATAACATAGGATTGCGTTCACATTTAACAACAGAATTGACCTTGTCTACAGCTACACCCCATTGGAATGCGATAGTAAAATACAGCTAGAACTGCCACATAGTACAAATACCCTTATAACAAAATTATACATATGTTACTTTCACTGAATATTAGAGTTTAAACTAAGAAAGGCGTTCTAATTTTATCTATACTAACTAAAGGTGATCTCTAGTCGCGGAACGGCAAACAAATGATAACGATAATCAGTCCATTGAATACGGCACTAAGGAAGTATTATTAAAATAGCTTTTTTTACAAATTCAAAACATTGTAGCATCTACATATAACAGCTCTATTGTGATGATGTAATAAGCGAAAAAAGCACCAGTCGCATTCAATGGACGACCATCGATGGGTAATATACAGTAATCCTACCAATTCGTTAACATATCCGTAAATGATTGACGCTATTCTAGACCGGCAATGTTCAACAACAGTACATCTGATAACAGTTTAGTTTAAAATTTGAATTATAGGGCAATTACTAGGATACACAATAAAAAGCCAATGAACAGAGAATGTAGTTGTCAAATACGCCAGTCTGAGAATTTCGAGGTATTTACACTTTGTCGAGTAACGTTTGTAAAAGCGATTTGCGAGAAATGAGTTTGGATATATTATGCACAGATTTTATAATTTTCAATTATGCTCGGTCCGCTACCAAACAAAGTGTAAATAACAATAATGATAAGGTGTTTCGTGTACCCAGCCTAACGGAGCCGTGACCTGAGCAAATAGAAAATTCATTGAAACAAAATAACATAAAAAAAACACTTTAATAGGTTTACTTTACTGAGACAGGCATTTATGGTTTGGTTTCTCTTTTTTATTGTTGGTACTTCCTTATTTTGTATCTTTAAAATTATTTTAGGAAGAGGTAAAAGGCAGATACATTCATTCTATAAAAAAATATCTTGCTTTATGCGCCTCCTATAGGCCTTCCTACCGTAACAGTGTTTTAACCGCTACAGAGGGAGCTCACGTTAGCACGTGACAGTATTGGTTTAAGTAATTTTATTGCATTGAATTATCATAACAATAATGTTATAAGTTATTCTAAAATTATATAAAGTAAATATATTAATAATTGTAAAAAAAACACATAAATTTCAGATATATTTTCATTACGTTTAGCGTAAACTCACTAATCATCAAAAGGCAAACTTTCCAGAGAAAATATATTTTACCTATTTAAAACAGGCTTAATGAAGGGCATTTTAATAATTGTATGCGTTTTCATCCAGTAAACAATTTTCTGTTGAATGGATTTAATATGTTTAAAATAATATCACATTAATTGTGTAAATTCTTTTTTAGATTATCCGGTTAAAGAGGGCTATTTTAATGTACAGAATTTAGATTAAATTATCTAATCTAAACTACAAAATTAAAATTTTGTATAATTGCTAGAACTTCAATACAAAATGCAATAAAATATCGAACTTAGGTAGTTTAAGAATTTAAAGGAAATTATTGTAAATAAAAATTTGAAAGACTATAATGTATAGCGTCATACATCCGGATGACACTTTTATAAAAACAAAAATTAAAAAATTAAAATGGGTAAGGTTTTTCTGTCCTCGTATATAGTGTATACGTGTGTTTGTGTGTGTGTCATACCTCATCCGCGCGCCGCATCGCGCCACATTCCCACACTCTGCTTCTGAAATTATATAAAACATTGTACAACCATGGAAAAAGCCCTGATTATTCGACATAGAATATAATTTAACAATAAACAAATTTATTTAATTAAATACTAAACGAGTGTTAAAACAAAATATTCCCCCTAGGACCAACTTGAAATACTTCTAAATACCAACTAATAACCCCTAAAATTTTGATTGTACAATCACTTCTTTTGAGAGGTAATTTCAAATATGAATTAGGGAGCGTTTAAGTATTACGTCACGCAATTTTTGGAGATTATTGACCCCCCCCCATGTAACGCGCAGTACCGTTTTTCTGAACCCAAGAACAGTACTGTACCCAAGTATAGTAATACATTTCGTGACCACCTAGTGACTCGGACCTAAAAGTTACCATTATGTGGTGTTAAGTCGAAAATAATATTGAAAATAACGCGTAATTCAATCCCCGCCCCGCATCGTAACGTTACAAAAGGACACCCCCCCCAAATTCGTTACGTAATACTTGAACACTCCCTTAAAAATATATTCAAGTAGTATAAAATAACTGCTTTAATTGTGTGGGTGCATTATATGTATATGTGTGTATAAATTAATGATCTAATAATATTTAACTTCTTGTGTGTTAAATCTTGACTTTTATGTATTTGTCGACTTAAAATTAAAAGAAGCTGCACAAGCATCCGTATAGTTTGCGCTAAGGCCTTTGGGAACAGTACGTTGACCAGACGTGGGTACGTACCGGGCGCTATCACTTGCAGCAGGTGGAAGTCCGCGGCTGGTCGCCGTCTGCGAGACGCCGCGCGCCGCCCGCCGCGCTGCCGCCGCCGCTCTCACTCTTTGGTAACTTGTTCGCTGAAAAGGCACCATGTCAAAATATAAGCCAATTAAATTATACCAACTTACTTAACAACTAAATTTACAACCTATTGTTTAGCTGTGTTCCTTTAGAACAATCCTGCTGCAAAATTCTATAAGATTCTACGTCAAGAGCGGACGATAAGAACTGACAGTAAACTCTTCGCCACTATTTTTATTTAATATTTTATTCAACGTAATTTAATTACAATAAACAAAACTAAGAAAATATGTTTCATAAATAACTTAGAAATAGAAATTTACTTATTTTAGTACGGAACGTTTGTTGTTTGACCTAAGATAGATCTAATATCATTTGGCGTATACGCGTCGTCTAGGTTACGATAGATCGTGTGACGTCATTAGACAATTCGCCGCGTGTATATGTTATAGTAATATCGTCGTATATCTTTCTACAATTATCCAATAAAAACAAAGAAACTTGTTCATTAAAACAATTAATGATGCTCAGATCACCAGATTTGTCTTAAGATATAAGATTGTATGACAATAGAATTATTAGTAATATAATATAAGTCCGCGTATTAAAATTCATTTGAACGTATTTTAACATTTATATAAATATATGAAATTTTTATACATATTTATTAAGAAGAAAAAAAAATCTTATAAAAATATCAAATAAAACTTAATATCTTAGAATAAAATACAATAAAAAATAATTACTACTATAAAAAACCTTTAGTGTAATATTATGTTATTTTTAAATCACCAGTAGGCAATAAATTTTTTTACTTATGACTCACCAATGGCTAGAAAGATATCGTTAACGTTCATTGCCGTCTTGGCGCTGGTCTCCATGAAGAGTAGACCGTTCTCATCGGCGTAGGCCTGTGCCTCATCAAATTCCACCATACGTTTTGCTGCCATGTCGCTCTTGTTACCCGCGAGTGCAATCACGATTGATGGTGACGCCTGCCTTTGCAGTTCTTTTACCCAGTTCTTGGCTCGGCCGAACGTGTCCTGAAAGAGATGTAGTACTTGATTAGAAGAAGGATAAGAAATATGCATATGCAGTTATCGTAATTGGTCAATCTTTAACTCCAAAATTTAAGACGTTTACATAATTCTCCCTTTCACAGATTAGATAAAACTTTTAATAAAAGTGACTATAGAAAATGTTTAAGAATAGAATGGCTAAGTATATTATGTTTCCAAAGTCTTTTAACAGAATAAAAACTTTTTTAAATATACTTTTGTTTATATATAAAAACTCCCCATCTCTCATTTCTTTAACGCTGTTTTAAGATTAGGAATACCTATTCTTTAAGCTTATTTTAATAGTTAGGAAATCATATTCTATTATTATTTGTAGACACACAATCAAAGAGTAGTACGAAATTTTATGTCGATCACGCTTTACTACTATATTTAGACATAATTAAAACTACTATTCATTGACGTTGCCACACACAGGTTATGTGAAACAGTTATCATCTAAAAATAAACGTGATGAGAGTACGTATTTTATAGTACACAAAGAAATTGCGCAGCGCCTTCTTTATATTATAAGCAATAATGCGATAGAGCTTTGCCCCTACACTACCCGTTGGACTATCAATGAGCGATAACGCTATCAAAGGTCTAGGAAATAGTCTGGTCATTGAACGAATCATTTTAGTGCCCCACATTGTAAGGGATATGATAAAGTATTAAATGTTGTCTAATAATTCATTCAACTTTGAATATCTTACAAATGTATTATTTATATAGATACATACTAACACAATTGTTCGATCGAACAACAAAACATGCACGTGAATAACATCAATGCAGCTGATTGTCAAAATAAACACTCAGATTATACAGAGCAAATCGGTTTTCTAAGACTATTTTCTTTTGTAATAATTTCATATCTATTAGCTTTTGTGTTGGCTGACTCACGTAACACTTCAAACTTGCCATACAGTGCAAGTTGGCAATATGACGTAAACAGCAATCAATATCTATACATTACGCCCTTGAACTCGAAGACTTATGCGTGTAATACGATTGACGGCTCACGCACACGTCAAATACTATTTTCGCTATTCTCTTTACATAATTAAGGAGAGTAATTCCACATCAATGTAGTTAGTTACCTGATCACAAAGCGTCATTTCCATACATTGTTTTAAATACATATAGATATGTGTACACTCTTTATAATGTCATTCGTTATAACACTCTCTATAACGTAAAGATGAGGTACATTAGTTTGGTTTAACACAGAACCCATACATCAATTCAGCCAGTCTCTATTACGAAGAAACTTAAGTGTAATTGTTTTTATTATCAAATTACAAAACTAACCTATTGAGGTGCCGACATTTCTAAGAAAGACACCTGAGGTCATAAAAAGCCTTCTGGCCTTTGTTATTGTTAATTGCATTAACACTTGTGCCATTATTTTTAGATTACATTGCCTTAAGTTATTTTGGTCTCAGTTACTAAACGCACCATTGTCACCTATCTATTATTGTAATTGGTTAATTTTGATGTTTTTTCTCTTCGCTTATAGTCGTTATAAAGAGTTTACACTGTACTAACAACCTGGATTGGTTGGGATCTCCCATCACAAGCATACTTTTTGCTTAAAGGACACGACAACTGATCAGTCACTCGTACTTTGTATGTATATTTTGGTTAAAGAAATAAAATAATTATTTGTTTCCGTAATGATACATAGCAAGTTAACTGTCCGAAAACGTAAACAACTTCCAAGCCACTGCTCTTTTGCTGCATTGTCCACGTGAAATTAGGGCAGTGCATAACAACCTACATTCCGGTACCAATAGACAATTGTAACATGAATATGCGGTACATTAAATGCTCGGTTAAACCTCGTCTCATAGGATGTCTCACACCGTGAAATAGATTTGTAAATATTACCGATATCGTTGGTGGACCGTGACGACCGTGAAATAGTTTTTTGATAAATTTACGCTATTGATCTTGAAAATTAATGTGTGTTTTTAATAGTAGTATAGTATAATTTATTCCACCACTACATGTTGTATTTAAGTTAAAGTAGGTATTAGTTTTACGCGTTACAAATTCGCAAACCGTTATTATTATATTTAAATTAATTTGGAATAGCGGAATGCCGTTCACGGTTAGATATCAGGCAGTAAATATTTTAACTAATATGTCCCGACAATTTGCTAAAATTTGAGGATATAACATAATAGTACTTCTGTTCATTTAATTGATAAGAACATCACGTGCGCATGCATCTCCTGATAAGGGGATTCAATATTGTTAAGAACTGTAATTACTAGCACCTTTTCAGTTGCTACTAAATGTGTTATGTATAGAATTATTTAATATCGTTTTGTGCGAAGGCATTGTCGGTCTTTAATTAGTAAATTACATATATTTTCATATCTGATTAAGATCTTTTTTGCTTAAGAAAACACAATACATAAGTCCTCTAAATACAAGGCTATCAGTAACAATTGAATGCAGTTTAAGGTGCAAATTAGGAATTCTGTGTTCGTGACAATGCGATGTGCTTCGACCGTGACCAAGTATCGATGGAATCCTCGATCATTTTGTTAACAGCACAAGCTTGAATAGTTAATGTTAGATGGCGTAACAAAAATAATAACGAGGATATTAAATGTTTTTAGGCGAAAATAAATGTAAAATAAACTAATAATTTGTTAATTAAAAACAATAACAAAAAATATACTTAGATTTATAGTGAATAAAATTCAATTAACTTTTGTATCGAAGGTAAACATCACCCTTTATTTTAATAACAATTATATGTAATTAACAATAATTATTCAGTCGGATTTTCGGTGGCATATTTCTTGCCTAACGTATATTATGCCTCTTACTTTTGATTAAGATTAATAAAGATCATAGCCTAAATACGCCTGAAACGTTTTAGTATTTAGGCGAATAACAGTCAAAATTTATACCTGAATTAATTAACTCTTTCGTGCTTCAAGATAATGAATAACAACACGCTTAACAGGCGCCTGAATGTAGTAAGTTAACTATACAAATAATATTAACACGCCCCGATATTTAGATTAAATTTATTAGTTATTTAACGATTTTCCTCGTAATAATAATTTGTTTTGAGCTGGACACACCTGGTAAGAAAGAACAAAGAAACAATAATATGTCTATTAAGGTTTTTTGATAAATTAATAAAAATGTTAAGATTTAGGAAACCAATTAAGTATATCATGATAAAAGCTCAAGCTTGCTTTCCTTATTTTTCTATGTATAGGAAAATTTTATTATTTGAATTCTACTAAATCGTTGAGAATTCATTAAGTTTTAATGTTTCATGTATTTAATAAATTGACAATTTAGGTGATAATTATTCAATAAAACAACATATTAATTACAATGTTGTTTTATTTTACGGGTCAAAAATCTTATAAAGGGTTTTCCGTTTCGTAAATATGAAGATTATAGGGGGATATATCTCTATTTTAATTGATATTTTATACAGAAGTAATTTTTTTATCTCGTCTCTGAAACAATGTATTCATTTAACAATCGTAACATTGATATAGTCAAAGTTACTTCTCTAATGTTCTAATTTTCTTACAATTTCAAGTATCTTAAGTAAATCTCAAATAACAAATTGCTGGGCTTATAAAAAACGCCTTGTTACGTATACAGATCTAGGGAAAAAAATTTCAATGCAATGTTCAATATTCAATAATTATGGTAGTTCCTAGGGAGATATCTGATATACCATACTATAGTGTCATGGTCTATTTTTATTGATCAAAGTTGATTAACTGGTTTTATATAGACAAAAAGTCGTTGAATAAGCACTGACTAAGACATATTTACAAATAATTACATCTACAAATTAAAACTTACCACACCTCATTTAGCCTCACAACGGCGGGAAATACCCGCAAAGCGTCGGCACCGTTTCAAAATTATAAATTAATCTAAATGTAATCGCTAATTATGTATTTTGTTTAAGAAAAATATATCTCCTTTGTAATTAAAGAAAGATCATAATTTTAATAATAAAATATACATAATATAGATATAGTGTACATCTTCAGAAGTATATTTTAATTTGATTATCGTATGTATCTTGATATGTTATCTTCATATGCGAGTTTATTGACATAAAATTATGTTTAAAAATTACATTTACTCGAACTGACGGCTGACTCATACAAAGATATTTAAAAGTTTAACAAACAAGTATTTATTGCATATAAGTGATACACGCGCTAGTTCAAATAAAGGCTTTGATACTTATTTAACACTGAAAAATATGAATATATTTTTAACTAAAGTAGGATCTATCTAATTTCAAAGTTCATACACATTGAAATGTAATGTTAAAATTTTGTTAATACAGAAAAAAAGGTTTATAAATGTAGAAATCTGTTTTTCCTCTGCCCCTTAGGGATTAGAGGTAAGATTGGTTTGACCCCCAACCAGCAAATGTTACTGAGATTAAAATTTAATTTTACGTACCTGATTAGTAATATCGTAAACTACGATAGCTGCCTGGGCTCCTCTGTAGTACATTGGGGCAAGACTGTGATATCTGAAATATAAAATTTACATACAAGTTATTTGTTGCGAAATCATAACAATTGGAACAAAAATCTAAAATCTATAAAAACGGACTGACAAGTCAAATAGTCTCGACACCAATATAGTTTCAAGTTTATGACAAAATTAACACTTTTGACGGAAATTACTTTTTGAATCCTCCCCATAGTGCTAAGTATGACTACGTCAAATACCATACATTTTTGACTTACGGGATGATATAAGTATTTTTTTTATAGAACAGGGGGCAAACGGGCAGGAGGCTCACCTGATGTTAAGTCATACCGCCTGCCATGGGTATAACTCTCAATGCCAGAGGGCTCGCCAGTGCTTTGCCGGCCCTTTAAGAATTGGTACGCTCTTTTCTTGAAGGACCCTAAGTCGAATTGGTTCAGAAATACTTCAGTGGGCAGCTGGTTCCACCATAGACTCTAAATGTTACCCTTAGATACTAAGCATTAATCATTTGTTTTTCATTTACACAACATATAGATTTTTTGTCATAACGTAGATATAAAATTAATTTCCCGTAAAATTTACACACATTTTAATATTCGTGTTCATGCGGTGAAAGATTTTGTAAAAAGTAATATTTTGAAACGAATGTAAAAGAATGTAAATGGCACGTTTACTACATAACAACTTTTAAGACGTACCATTCCAGTACGCGATCGAAGTTATACGCATGACGTATGTTTTAAAATTAATCCGTAGTATAAAACAGCTTAATTATCATTAAGATTTTCCAACAATATGTATATGGATAATGTTAAATTACATGTGTAATTATAATAAAATTTAACCTCTTGTTTATACCTTTTTCGTAAAATATTTTATATAATATTTATTTTTATATAATGCTTTAAAATGTAGAACATTGATAGATTCTTTTATATTAAACTGTACTACTGATCAAATGTACAACTACAATTCGACATCAGTATAACAATATTCAAAAGTCGTGTATATAAATAGTCGACATAAAATGCATACCGTGGTACCAAGAACAATAAACAATCATTATAGTATTTACATTATAATAAGACAACATAAATTTACAGTACAAACACAACATGCATTTTTATATTAAGACTAGCTGACCCGGCAAACGTTGTTTTGCCATGTATATTATTTCTAGGATTTTTTTTTATTATTTCAATAAACATAACTACTATACTAAAAATAGGAGTTGATCGTAGATGGGTGAAAATTAAGGGTTGTATGTATTTTTGTATGCTGTATCATAAAAATGTAAAAACAAAAGATTTGTCTAAAAAATAAAATTTGCGTTGCGTACTTTTCATCCCCCTGAATGTCAGGATGTAGTCCGATTCGCAGACCAATCCGATATTCACACAAAATTTCACGAAAATCGGTCGAGCCGTTTCGAATGAGTATGGGAACGAACATTGTGACACGAGAATTTTATATATCAGATTGTACTGTGTATATTATACTTTATATAGATGGTTTCTATTCTGAACTTTTTGACTATTATACAAGTCTGAGACTATTTATATTATGATTGTGTTCTACGTTCGCTTGCACTTTTAAACAATGATCGTGTTGATTTAATTTAATTAAAAGTGATTTTTTGACTCTCGTACCTATTAAAAATATATTATTCAGTACAATACATATTAGTTCTAATGTTTTCACACTCCAGACAATAACATAAAAGCAATATCATACCTCTCCTGCCCCGCCGTATCCCAAATCTCAAACTTAACAGTAGTGTCATCGAGACATAGGGTCTGCGTGAGGAAGGCGGCTCCAATCGTGCTCTCCTGGTACTCGTGGAACTGTCCCTTGACGAACCGGAGCACCAGGGATGATTTGCCGACCGCCGACTCCCCTAACAGCACCAACTTAAACTGACAGACCTTCGTCTGCGGCGCGCCGTTTGGCCGCTGCGCACCGCTTCTGTTTGTTGCCATCGCCTATAATAATTAAAAAATACAGATATTAAAAAAAACTATAAAAGGAATAAGAAGGTTAATATGTATTACTGTTTACGACACATACGCAAAAATAAGTCGAAACCATCCTCAACTACTACTGCTGACACCGAATTATGCTTAGTAATTTAGCCTTGTGGGGTCTCACTTCTATGATGGTATATGTAGTGCTTTATCCCATGATTTATTTGTGTATTGGAAATAATGTGAGTTGAAGGGTATTACTAAACAAGCAATATACACAACAATCATCATATTACAAGCTTGTCTATGACGTTCTATTATACATCACATAGCCAAATTTACTTTTTAATAGATACCTCATCATTGCATCCGTTGGTACTCATGACTCTTCTGTCGTGCTGGATTGAAAATACAAAACGTATATATGAATTATTAAGAAATTATTACATTTCGACTCAATATGTAAGTTGAACAAAAATATTCGTAATACTAAAAAAAAAGCTAAGAGGTTTTAAGTAGATCGCGGGTACAAAAAAGACATTTTCTATAATAGCAGTTAGTTCCTCCTATAGCTAAAATTTTACAACAAAACCCTAATCATATCATACATATATTTCGTAAGACTCCAAATTATTATTGCTTATATATTAGTATCTAAATTAGCAAACATATTTTCTGATTCAAACGAGGCTATTCGATTCCGTTACAGGGTGAAGGATAAATTAGCGAACGAGAAAACCTCGTTTCGCAATGAGAATATTCTTCAACGTGACGTAAGTATGTACGTAACGCGTGGACCGTGTGGGTTAGTTTTTATTGGATTAGCTTCTTAGGCCAGCGTCGACTAATTTGTAAAGATTCCTTCGAAAGTGTACTTGCCTTGTTGTATTCATTAAACACAATAATAAAGTAGAAAAACAGTTACGATAATGTATAATATCATCTATAAAAATATGCATTACATACATACACAAAGATTTACATACATATATATAGTTAACTTAATCATACATAATATGTCTTAATAGACTAGTACTTCATCATTATAAATTACTATATTGTTGTCCTTAATAATTTTTACAAAATGTGCATTTCATGAGAGAACTGTACATTGTATAAAATATTTCTGTTATATGAAAATTTAGATATCAACACTTACAAATGAATATAAAAATGGTGTATACCAAAAAATGAGTATACTGTGGACAATAAAATATCTGAATTAGACTTACTTATATTGAACATATTATTAAAAGTTATCTTTTAATCACAAAATCTTATAAGATCTATTATTGTAAACACTCTCTCTTTTTAATATTGATGTTCATAATGTATGCAGATTATTATCATGTGTATATAGATTATATGTATAAATTAATTTTGAATTGATTAGATACTCTCTTAGAATAGCCACATTTATTTAAAATATATAATTAAACATTTTTTTCCTACTATATAACCACTTATAAAGCAAGGTATATAGCATTATAATTTGTTTATATAATTAACAATAGAAAACTGATTTTGAATCTTAGAATAGATATCTATTTGACTTCAATTTTAAAAAATATCTTTATTTATTTTTAGAAGTATAAGGTCTTAAGACTTCTGTTACTTTATACTCAATATCATAAAAAATATTAGAGGGTAATGTTTAATTTATTTTTTTGTGCCAGTATATATTAACAGTTTTTGCTACATCATCTTTTTTTAATAAAAACTATGATGATATTTTAGTTAATAAGCATTGTCAAAAATGTGAAAACATTAATTTGTATTTTCAAAACTTTTACATTTCACAATTCTTCTAATATTAGAACTTTTAAATAAAAATTTACACAAAGGATGTTATGATTCACATGCAAATTAAATTTGTTTTATTTAATTATAATATTGTCCATTATAGCTACTCACCAGACACCAGTGGCACAAACACACAGATTAAAACCATTGACAAAAATTTTGATTACTTGATAATATAGGAAAATAATTATGACGAAAAGTCGCGAAAACGGTAAACACAGTTGTTATCTTTGCGGCGTTATGTCGCCAAGACCACAAAGAACATATTCACCACAAAGACAAAATAACCAATTATTTTGTTGCAGCGTTGAAGCCTCCCAGTATTTAACATTACGATTTACGTTTGGCGATACCAAAAAATACGACTGCTTTTGATGACTAACCGTTTAACTCCGTATCAATTCATTTCCTTGGCTGAACAAGCTGTGAATCGCCCCCTTGTCAGCAGGAGTGTAATACATCCCTTTTAGATTCTTTGAACCATATCCTGACATTTAACTACTGAATGATAAACTTTCATCATTCCAAACCAACAATAAACTGGTTTTAGTAGACATTTATTCTATAAAATGACGCATTTACGTGTATTGAAAGGACGTGAAAGACGTACCCTCCCTGTTGTTAAATCACCGTGATGCACTTTCTTCTCGGCGACAAATCCTTACAAGGTCGCCGTGTTACCGATAATTTCATTAATTACACTCCTATAGGAATTTAATAACTAGGATACTGAAACTAGAAATTGTAGCACAAAAATGCAAAATGACCACGAACAAACATGGATGATGGAAGCGAGAGAGCGAGAAGACAATTAGTAAAACGTTGTCTATGTATTTTTTTGTCTATACATTGAAGTTAGAACAGATTATAGGCACAGACGATGCAATAGTTTGGAGGACTGAAAGGGGTGCATTTTAAAGGCTCCAAAGCCAAATGGCAAAAAAACAACCCTTTCAGATTCATCGCTGTATATAACAGCCACTTATTAGCCACAGAAAATTATTCAGACTACACAGTGAAACTATGTGGATAAATGTATTCTGTAAACCGCTTTACGATTTATACAAAAATAAAAATTGAAAGGGGCTCATATGTAGGAGGAATTTAAGTTAAAATTACCTTATTTTGCCTATATACAGATCTTTCAAAAAAAATTTATGTAGATCTTGAATAATAAACCCTTTCAACGAAAATTAGGACTTTACTATGGCTATATAAAAGGCTTCACCCCCTACTTGTGTACCTAGTAAGACGAACTGACATATGTATTTGATCTGTGATGACGATTGACTAATACGCCAAACTGGGGCTCGAGACGAAATAACTTGTCGAGACGCATCGCCGTCACCACAAACGCCAAACGAATTTGTATGACAATAGTCACGTGACAAAGCGTGAGCAAACGTCATTCCCAAAAATTCCTTTAGCGTTTTATAAGTTTATTACGCCTGTTTAAATTTTAAAAGTAATTTTGTTTCAACTTTCAAGGCCCTGAAAGTTGAAACTTGAAAGGACTATTAAAAGCACGTTCACGAAGAAATATAGTTATATACTCTTTAAATATATACATATATTGTTTAATTTAGTATCAAGTATGGTCAAATTATAATAATTTACTTTTAAACAATCTCTAATATTTTTGGCAAAATTAATTATTTAACAAATCATTTACAGAGTTCTTATTAAACTTTTAATTTGATTTGAATTTCCTAAACAATGGATAGCAAAGTTCGTCGGAATGGTCGTTTGATAGACATTGTTGATGAGGAGTGGCGTGCAGAGGTTTTGCCACACGAAGATATACAGGTTCCATTAGATGAGCTACCAGACCCTGAGGCAGACAGTGCAGACTCACACCTTACTCTCAAAGAACAAAGTCTCAGATGGCAAGAGAACTTTCCTGAGCCAGCTAATGTAGAGCAGAATTAGGCTTAAAATATTTTATTTTGATTTAAATGGCCACAACAATTTAAGCCGATAGCTACCAAATGTTAACAAATGTACTAAAGGCAAATTTGTCATATACATTGCATGGAAATGTGACAATATATCATAACATTCCTCTGGCTCAAATATTTCTTGGCCATCTGGTGAATCCTGAAAAAACTTTGTATGTAAAACTGTAAAGTAATATTATATCTAAAATTATTTATTTAATAGTTTTATTTAAAACTTATCATTTATGTAAGGGCTTATTAAGCTTGTCTTCTATTCAACTTTTAGAAACTACATCTTCATAATGTATATCTAATACATATTTACCGTAATTGTATGCCTGATCATGATTTCTTTAAAGTACTGCCAGACTGCCATAGGTGATATCCAGTAATACCACTTAAAATGCATGTGTGTATATAAATACATAGTCATAAGACATGCAAGCTTAGTTGGAGGAAATCCCCTGTGAGCTGCATAATCAATTGCCTCCGTAATCAAGCTAATTAGAAAGTTCTTTTCAGATAGGTGGTAGTTGGGCACCACATTCTTTTTAACCAAAAATTCTCCTAAAATTATTATTATATTAGTGAGTAAAAAAGTATTACTTAAAAAATAAATAAAATGATTACCTATGGCACTTTTTAAGGATTCTTCTGTTGCACTTGCAATAATTTCTATGCAATCTTTTTCTGTCACCAATGTCCCAATCAATAGTTTTGGTCTAGCTTCATGCAGTGGTATTTTAAAAGGTGGAGCTTTATTCTCTTTTAGAGAGTGTAAATAAGATGGTGCTGATATTTGAATAGTAAGCTTTGTTGCCTCTGAAGATGATGGCAAGGGAATTATAGGTGCAGATGCTACTTTAAGCTTACCACATATGGATTCTGTGTCTACAACACTGGATTTAGAATGTAATACAGTCTCCATTTTGTAATACAATGTATGCTTATGTGACAGCAGTTCTTACTTTGAATAAAAAACAATAAACATGTATTAAGATTATCTTGCAATGTAGATAATACATTGCAAATTGATTAAATAAAGATGTCATAATCTTGTCAAAAATCAATAAACTTTGGATTAACACACATAAAGCTTGGATGATGGACACAAAGTAGTAAGTAAAATAAATGAAAAAATTACTTGCAGTAATTTATTACAGATGTATTTACTAAACATCTACACAAGCATATTATTACATATTTTTTATAAATTTAAATTTCTTAATCGATTTATCGTCTACTTTTAATTTCCCTTTTATGTCTTGATTGTCTCTGGCTGTCTCTTGACTTTTGTGTATCATAACTGTCCCAATATCTTCCAATTTTGGGTTCACCACTTTCCTTTTCTTGTGAGTTTTTCACATATTTATCTCTTTTATTTCTTGAATCAGAATCTTGTTCGGGTGTTCTGCCACTCTTACTGTCATCTGAATCTCCCATGGGTTTTAAATTATGTTTGCCATATGTTTTTTCATCACTAGAATCATTCTGCGAATCATCGCTACTTTCTTTATCCTGAGTCAGTTGGACATTCCTATTATGTTTGTAATGCCTACTATAAGACTTATTTTTGTCAGTTTTACCTTTTTCACTGTGAAATCCTTTATCTGCAATAATGCCTCGATCAATATGACTGCTTTTTTCTGGTCTGCTTGTATTTCGAGAGCTAGTTTCAAGAAATTTTTCTTGATACTTACTGTCTCTTTTAATGCTGCTTTTCATATTACCATCAAATTTTCTTTGCTCTTCACTACTGGTGTTTACAATGGATTTCTGGTGATTTCTTTTTTCATACTTATCTCTACTTCTGTTTTCATTTCGCTCCTTCTCACTTCTCTTATCAGATTCTTTGTAATTGTCCCTATCTAAATCTTTGTCGCTTCTACTATTTTTATCTCTGTGTCTATATTCATCATTTCGATCTTTACTAGAATCGTTTCCTTTTTTTCTACTAGTGCTACTCCAGTATGAATCATAAGTGGGGGTTTGTTCTTTTACTGCTTGTTCAGTGTCACTTCTGCTCCTGACATCAAAATCATTGATTTCTTTTTTGTTTGCATATTCCTTTCTTTTTTGATGTGTTTTACCCTTTTCCAAGGCATTCTTTTGTTTGATGTCAAAATTGTCATTACTTCCATGGGTATCCTTAGTATGTTTTGATACATCCTTGGGTCTTGCAAATTCACCCCGCTTTGATCTACCCTCTCTGTCACTCCTTTGTTCCTCTCTTCCATATCTTTCAAAATAACCATCATGACCCCATCTTTCTTCTTCATTACTAGTTTTGCCTGGATTATCTTTAGGAGATTTCGGAGTATTACTACCTTTTTTTTTAGTTTTATTTTTACCATTTCCTGTATCTTCTTCTGAATCTATCAAAATAAAACATTGAGAATTAATAAATAAAAAATTTCATCAGGAGCCTATTTTAAAAAAAATTAGAAAAAATACGACAAATATAACAACTCTCTGCTATAACCAATTATATTTGCAAGTTGAGTTTGCAGCTTAAAATAACACCATGATACCATGGAGTTAATCAATGGTCTTTTTGTAAAAAAAATTATAATGCAAATTCAGAAGTTCATACACTAATTTATAAATACACCTCATCTCATCTTTGATAAATCAAACCATCAAATCTTGACCCATAGATTTGGATTTCATATATTTTGATAACATCTACTCCTGAGGCTACCTTAATATGCTATGATAATAAAAAAGCTTCACCACTTGAGCTGGAATCACTAGAAGATGATGAAGAACTTGAACTGGAGTCTGAACTTGAGTCACTATGAACCTTGATTTCTGCTGGGGCTGGTACATTCTGAAATATGAATATCCATCATATTTTTTTTGTCTGTGTATTCTCATATTACAGAATTTTTCATTACCAGATGATCACAGTGTTAAAAAAAAAGTAACGATTGTGAGTGAAAAATTAGATGATGCCTTATTCTAAGATGTTACTTATTGGCTTATATTTTATTATAACATATACTATACAAGTAATGCAAATGTTTTACCTTAGGCATCTGCTTAAGATGTTCTCTTAAGTCATCTGTAAGACCTCCTAATCCAATAGAGGTAAAAAAGTTGATGGAAAATCTAGTATTCTTAGGATTGTCTCTAGGAAATATTCCTAAGAAAGCTTCTTGAAGTGTCCTGAAAACAAAGTTACATATTTTAACTACCTGTATTTAATTAAAATTTGATATACTTGTACATATTAAAAACTGACTATACTGATGCAAATGACATTTAAAACGAACTACTAAGATACAAAATAAAATGGTAATGCTTATTTAGTTATATAAATATTGCAAGCAAGACCGGAACTTACTGATCTCTCAGCCGGTCATTAAGCTTTTTTAGCCCCATATACTCAGCTAGCTCTTGAAACAGAATTTTTATATAAATACGACTTGAACTTGTAGTATCTTCTTCATTAAGTTTCACGCAGTCTAAAGCTTCCCAGCTAATTGAATCTGTGAATAGGAGATGAGCAAAAAACTTGCTTATATTTCTAAGACGATTGGTATCTAATCTGTGAGCTGTTGCATATGAATCTTTGAATATCTCTTCAAATGGGCCAATATATATTCTATTGATATTACAAAATCGTTGTGCTAGAAGACCATAAAATTTTTCATAAGTTCTCTGTTCAGCACAACAGTCCAGAAACATGTGACACAGTTCAATTTCTTGGCCTGGTTTAAGTTGCATTTTCATAAGCTTATGTGCACATTCCTCGAAGTCCAAACTTGAATTAATAGTTAAATAGATAGTGCGTCTAAGTGCAATAAGATTGGTTTCTGTATTGTCTATGATTGTAACAGGCTTTTGTTCATCTTCCTCATCATCACTTTCATCGCTACCAGATTCTGCTGACCCATCCTCATCTTCACCCGATTCAGCATCCGAGCCAAGAATCTCTTTACTCAATGTCTTATATTTCTGTTCATTGTCTTCATATTTCTCATCAAATTTAAAAACATCTGTAATGCAAAACTAAAATTAGTAAAACGGAGACAAACAAAATTGAGGTTTGTAAAAAACCTCTACAACAATAATTTAAATTTTTTAATGATTTATGAAAAATACTTAGGATATCCTGTGCATCTGTAGCTTCATCGAGCATTAATAGGTGAGTAAATTGTTCTTCCTCAGGTACTAATTCTAGCTCTTCAATAACTGAGGGGTGATCCTTAAATCCATCTTTCCAAACTTGAAACATGACTTCTATCATGTACTGTACCCTCTTATCTAATTGACCTTCATGTAATATATTTCTTAACATCTCAAAAATAGCATTAACACCCTTAGATGAGACTTCCGTTAACTTCTGTCCACATTCCTTTAAAAATGCTATTGCAACTTCCACAGAATCATCAGACGGAGTCTCAACAAGAAGTGTTAAAAGCTCCAAAGCAAGAATTTCATGTGCAACCCTCTGATTAACAAGATGGGCTACAAAAGAAGCTGATGATATGCATATTGCCTTGTCATTCCTTTTAAAGCCCCTTTTAAATTGTATTACTAATCTTTTTAGTAATAGTTCCCCAATGTTCGGAAATCGTGAATTGACAGCAGCAACAAGGGCTGCATAGACATTAGTAAATGTTGGTGAAGCGGCCTGTGCTTGAATAACAGAACGACACAACAAACCACGACCACGGACAATGTTTTCTTTAAGGAGTTCTTTGATAATTATACCAATATTGCCAACATTAATTTTGTTTATATGACCGTGAATAGATTTTTTCAGAGCTTCCCAAGCTAACCTCTGATAAGCAACAGAAGATTTATCTGTGATCTGAGCTTGCATCATCCTGAGACGAGCGGGCGGAATATAGGCACCTCCAGTCCTAGTATTCAGCATATCATCTGTTTTTGATTTTCTAGGAGGAGCTTCCATTTTACCCTCATTGCGTCTTTCATCTCGTTTTGGGGATCGAGAACGTCTTCTTTTGCGGCTGGCATCTCTTACAGAATCTCTATCACGATCACGGTATTTCTCGGGGGATTTAGAACTATGTTTTCTTGATTTCCTTTCTTTGTAATACTCGTCTGATTTCTCCTTTCTACGTTTGCGCTCTTGGGAATCCTCCATTTTTTGTTAACGGGACTAAATTAACTTTTTTTTACTACAACTGATCACTTGAAATAGTAAATATAAATCTATTATAAAAAACAATTATTTCAATATGACCAGAACGAAATGTGACTTCAATATTCATAAACAAACTAGGACCAAAGAACAAGAAGCCATGTTTCAATATTCCCATTTACCACAGATCAAAATATTACATTTAAAGTTGACAATGACAATACCAGGTCAAAACAATTTAAAAATATGGGTAAAACCTTATGGTAGGGGAGCCCACGATGCTAAATGGGGATTTACTCGAGCGTCGTAGAGACCTATTGGGATGCAAAGCTTAGATAATAAGAAGAAAAAAATGTTATATGATATATACCTTTTCATCGGTGGGGGAAGCGGCTATAGATTATTAAATATGTAAAAAAAACTGTTGCATGGACATCCTCGAGCGCGTCAGATATTGATAGCATCAATGCCCTACGTATTTTTAATAATGTACGTATGTTAATCTGATCGTTTGCATGATGCGGGTGGTTGTATTTAAGGGTTGAAAATGAAAAAAAATAAAAATTATCGAGCGCGTCAGATTTTCTAAGGGAGTGTTAAGTGCACCAAAAAAAAGCTCTCATTCACTAATCTGACGATTTCGATGGGACGCAAACCCACGGCCATTTTCATAATTTGCAAAAAAAATCGCAATTTTGAAATACTCAAGCGCGTCAGATTAAGATAAATGTGGTTCATCTTTATGTTCTAAACGTACTGTCTCATAATCTGACGATTATCTAGAGGGATTCGCCTGATCTGACAAAAAAAATTTAGAAAAACGGTTCACCTAAAGGGCCATCCCTGCAACTTCCCGCTAATTCCATTCCTGGGCGCTTAAAATTGATATTTTGAGCTCGCTGAGTTCAAAGAAATAATATTTCTATGCATTTGAGCTCTCCCAGCTCGAAAGTCTGATAGAAGTTTCATAGAACACTATTTTTGGAATTTTCAAACCGCAATAACTTTTGAATGGATCAAGCAATTTTCACGCGGTTGGCGGCATTCGACGCAGTTTTATCATCCTCATATGTAATTTTGCAATTTTAATTGATCGAACCACAAATTTCGGAGTAATCCCGACGAATCCCACTTTTTCGGGTTTCTTTCGTTCACGATATCTCTCGAACGAATCAACCGCTTTTGACCAGCTTGGTGGCGATCGACGTGGTTTTTCAAGCTCAAAGGCGGATTAGTTTTTGAAGTTGATCGATAAAGAAACCACTTAAAAAAAATTATTTCTTATTTTTTAAGATTTTTCAAAATTTCTCAAAATCTATCGGTCCGAATCGGTTCAAATTCACAGGAAATGTAATTTTGAGGGAAATATTTAGAACGCCGTTTAGTAGATTCCGATCGGCTTAAGTAAATGTAGGCATCACGCAGCTGCACGCATTTAACTTTATCGACGAATTTTTGTTATTTCGGCTTGCGGAAATCGTCAGATTATATATTTTTCATTATTCCTGAATTATTTCCTTCAAAATAAAAAAAAATTTAGCTACGCTCGAGAATGTCGAGATGACGTTTTTTTTACAACTTTGTTGCCCTCCCCTTTTTTTACGTCACTTTCAAATTGTCAGATTAGTGGAATATACACTTTTTAGGATGTAATTAACTCACCCTACCTTAATCTGACGCGCTCGGGAATTTCTGATGGTCAATTTTTTTTTACTAATCTGATCCTGTCTCCTTCACGGGCGGCCTTATATATGGGCCTCATATTTTGTGGAGGTACTTAACCGGGTACAAGGTATCCCCCTATATATTAATCTGCCGCGCTTTAGTAAATCCCGAAATCCCCTCTTGGGCTCCCCTACCTTAAAACTACATGACTGTCCGTTTAGCTCACTGTGCTTGAACCTCAAGCAAGTGCTTCATTCGCAATTTGATAGGAGAAAAATATATACGGAGAAGCCCGTCTCAACACAAAAATACCTATATATGATATGCATTTGGTGCTCAGCGTCTTTTACTAAAGTACAATTGAATTTGACAAAAACATATTTTAAAAGCGTGTTTTAGTTGATGCTACATGGTGAAAAAAAACATATCAAAACTTAAGGTATTTGTTTGTACCAGATTGTTTTCTGATAGATGAGGAAAAAATATTAAAGGTTACTTTATTTATAGATTCACCATAAATTAGAATTTGACGATAAAATCGTTAGAGGCTTGTAACCGTCCTTGGTATAATTTATTTTATATTATTTTCTTGAAAGCAAAAATTATGACATAGATTCTACTTTTGTGCTTAATGAGTTATGAGACTATGGGCTTGAGACAAAATAAAAATAACTTTTTGACAGGCGTGACTCACTAACGTTAAACGTATGTGTATGGGACTGACAATAGGTGACGCTTTGTCACGTTACCATTTTAGGGATGTTGCTTGAGGGTTGATTGCTTCAGAATTATTTGGTCGATGTTAAAATAAAACTCCCTAATTACTTGTAGAGAAGAGGTGAAGATGGAATAATGAATGATATTTATTTACAAAACTGTTTTTTTTTTTTTTTTTTTTTTGAAAGGGATCTCGCTGTTGGCCTTTAGGGCCTTGACAGCTCAGCTCGGGCTGCAGCTCAGCTCGGGCTGCTGACAATTATACTTAAAAATTATCCTACACTTACAACTAATATTGACATGTGGTACCAAGATGCGGAGCGTTGATTGGTTGCGCAGGTACCAGAGTAGGCGATAAAAATGCGGCGCGGCAAAAAGTTGGCCTTTTTCTGCACGCAGCCATCTAAGCGTACGAACGTGTTCTTCTCAGAACACTTCGATATCGTAACCTTGCGATAACGCTAATAACTGTCCTTTTCAGGACAAATTATCGTATCACGACTAAACGTCTACAACTGTCCTTTTCAGGACATATTATTCTTGTTTCACGACAAAACGTTTAACAACTGTCCTTGTCAGGACATATTACCGTGTCCTACGACACGATGAAACTGTTCTTTTCAGAACACACGACCGTATCTATTCTGATGTGTTCTTGTCAGAGCACATCACTGTTTCATTACGACACGTTAATCAATCACCTACAGGATTCCCCCTCTAGCGAAGCGTACCGGCAGGCGTATAACGCGGCCTCGGCGAGTTGTCCTTGTAGGTATTGAGTTGTTCCCAATGTCTTGTTGTTTCAGGTCGTTGTCATTTTGATGTTTCAGGTTGTTATCGTTTTGATGTTTCAGGTTGTTGTCGTTTTGATGTTTCAGGCTATTTGATGGTTTATGTAGTTCGCTCGCACTTGATGTGATTTGCTTGTTGCAGGTACTCGGTATTGTGTCAGTGGGCACATCTGGCTCGGCGATAGTGTAGGCGGGTTTGAGTCTGTCAATAGAGATGTTTGTTTCACGGTTAGGTAACTGCAGCGTGAATATCTTGCTGTCTCGTTTCAGCACGCGATAGGGTCCGTCGTAGGGTGCTTGTAATGGCTTCTTTACGGCGTCTATGCGTACGAATACGTATTCACATGTCTGCAGGTCGCGGTGTATGAATATAGGTTTTGTGTTTCCGTGTGGTTGGTTAGGCATTGGTTGCAAGTTACGTATTGCGTCGCGCAGCTGATCGATGTAGGCAGAGTCCATAATGACGTCATCGCGGGTCGTTGATAAGAAATCACCGGGTAAGCGTATGTTGCATCCGTAGGTAAGTTGGGCGGCGCTTACGCCGGTGTCACTTCGCATGGCGGCGCGTAATCCGAGTAGGACGGTTGGTAACTCGTTGATCCAGCTTCTTGCGGTCTGTAGTCTTGCCTTTAATGCGGCCTTAAGGACACGGTGCCATCTTTCGATGATACCGTTACACTGTGCATGGTATGATGTTGTACGCGTTTTTTCAATTCCGAGTAAGCGAGAAAGAGATGCAAATACTCTGCTTTCGAATTGGCGTCCTTGGTCCGTTGTTATTGTAGCAGGGCAACCGAAACGGGAAATCCAACCTTCGTATAATGCTTTGGCGACGTCTTCAGCTGTTATTTCGCATAATGGGTATGCTTCGGGCCATCTCGTCGCTCTGTCGATCATTGTCACAAGGTATCGATGACCGGTGGCCGCGGTTGGTAGCGGACCAACGATATCGATGTGAACGTGTTCGAATCGTTCGGTTGGTGAAAAAATTGATAACGGACTTGTTGTGTGGCGTTGTATTTTAGCGCGCTGACACTGTAGGCATACTTTTGCCCACTTGCCGACATCTGCGTTCATTGAGGGCCAAAAGTATCGTTGCGTAATTAATTTCCTCGTGGTATTTATTCCAGGGTGGCTAACGTTATGTACTGCGTCGAATGCGGCACGTCGGTATTCTTCAGGTAGGTACGGACGTATGAATGAGGTCGAAGTTTCGCAGAGTAATTTGATGTTTGACGCGGGCAGGTTTACTTCCTTGAAAGATAAGTTGCTCTGTAAACCGAGTGTTTTAATGGTATCGCTGTCGCGCTCTTGAGCTATTGCAAGTTGATTGTAGTCGATCGGCGATGGACATGTGATTGCGTCGATGCGTGATAATGCGTCTGCGGCTGCATTTTGAGACCCACTGACGTGACGTATATCAGTGGTAAATTCGCTGATATAAAGTAGCTGTCGGGTGCGTCTCGGTGATTCGCTGTTTGTATTTGATTTGGTGTAAGCGAATGTTAGCGGCTTGTGGTCCGTGAATATTATAATTTCTCGTCCCTCGAACATTTTGCGAAAATGTTTGACAGCCATGTAGATGGCGAGTAGCTCTCGATCGTAAGTACTGTAGCGAGTCTGTGCGTCGCTGAATTTCTTCGAAAAATAGCCGAGTGGTTGCCACGAGTCGTTGATAAACTGGTTGAGCGCGGCACCAGCTGTTTTGTCACTCGCGTCGCTGAATATAGCAAGCGTCGCATGGTGAGACGGATGAGCGAGTAAAGCAGCGTTTTTTATGCTCTCTTTACATGCTTCATAAGCTTGCGTCGATTCAGCGGTCCAGTCGAT